TAAAGTATTCCGCCGCTACGGGTGGCTGCTGACTGCGGACCATTAGTCCCAGCTCCCGATTCAATGGGGGCTCCTCACTGTAGACCAGGTATGATGAAAAGAACCAAGGAGACAAGTGTACTTCAGTAATTTACGCTAGGTCAGCACAAGGGAAGAAGCTCAAGCCCAGCACTGAAATTTCTGAGCATAGTGAGAAGTAGCGTCGCAAATACTGCAGAGGAGTGTGATTGGTGCGCACTGTGTATCCACCTGCCTCAGGGTTATTTGTAGCTGTCACACTATGTCGAAAGTGTCGGCACGTCTCAAATACACACCAAAACAAAGCAACAAGCTTAGCGTCCTTATCCACAAAGCTACTCCAGGGAAATAGGTGAAGCTTTCACACATCAGCTCAGAATATTTGATATGCTTTCTGAGCTGCGACAGAGCTGGAGCAAGTGATGACATGGGCATATTTGTTGAGTCTGCGGAGACGCACGTGAATGCCATTCTGACTCTTGAGATCCGATAGCTCAGCAATGACGTCCATAGTCACATCAGCTTACACCTTTTAAGGAACCGGATGGCTTTGCAAACGACTCAAGTTAGGAGAGCCGCACAGGGTCAGCTGCTGGCAATCTGGGCATCAGCTGCATACTCATCTGTAGCATCAATCCAAGCATGGACCAAAAGAAGACTAGCAGCTTTGCACAAACCGGCACTGCAGAAACGAATTGGGATGTGCAAAGGGCGTAATTCCCGCATTGTTTTGAGCCACAGAGATCCACCATTGACATGATAGTGCTTTACCCTTTTGCCTTTCTGAATTTTGGCAGTAATAGCGGATGAATATGTACAAAATGCATGAGCCTCATTGAGTTTTTGATAGAAACTGTGTATGACCACTGGCAAGAGTGGGAGCGTTGCGCAGTAGCCAACCGCCGAAGCATCCCGAATGCGCGTTGACGACCACTTTGGTATTTCTTTTGATCTATTTGACTGTACAGCCATACTCCACGTGACGCTCAATCCAACTATCAGCTCTAGGATTACTTGAGCCCCGGGAAATCTTTGCAAGATACATTAAAGACTAATGTATCTCTGGATAGTAGAATGACCTCCATGTGAGCCATGCGCGCGCGGCCTTTCACGTCCTCTCTCACCGCAGATTTTCTTCTCCCGTATCAAATATCGCTGGTTGATTTCGGTACAGCGATGTAATTCTCAGCTCTGCTTTGGTGTTGAGAGAAGCCATAGCCTGTTTAATAATACTAGCACCCGCCGCTATGTCACGTCACGTATATTGGGTGACAGAAAGAAATGACGCTCAGAGCGGGCAGCTTGAAGACCAACAAGCTTCCAAGCAGGGACCGATAATTAGTTTCGTTGCTTTCGCGTCTGCCTCCATTCTCCAGGCCAGAGGCTGCGTTTTCTGTAGTGCTTCGATCCCAGCACACTCAAGAAAATATACGATACTAATATGCACAACCGAAGAATTTCGCAACGTCCTTGTTTGTGCGTACAGATATAGGCCACTCCTGGACTGCTTCAACTTTTGCCGGGTCTAGGTCATTTCCTGCAGCCAAAACACGGAAACCCAAAACACAATTGTTCTAATGAAAAAAAAACACTTTCCTGTTGTCACACACCAGTGCGTGTCCTGCAGCCGCTGAAGCGCATGCGACAGGCGTCTTTGATGCTGTTTAATGTGTTGGCTGTGGATCAAGGCGTCGTCGAAGCAGACAGCAATCCACCCAGCCTTGCTCGAGAGACTCATGAACTTCGTGCCTTCTTCCACTGTTCAAGCTCAGCAGATGCCTTTAAAAGTTCGAATGACACACAGGTATACTCAAGCTTCCGAATGTGATGGTGAAAGCCGTCGTGTGCCTATCATCGAGATAATGGGGATTGCACGCAAGTGGCTGTTAAGTGAAGTGTGGACTATAGTGTTGATTACTGTAGTGCTAGTTAGTTCGCTAACGTGAGGCATTGGGAGCTTTTGTTCTGCAGGCAATTTGTTCAAGGGCTTAAAAGTAGCCATCATGCGCCACCTGCCCTCCTGTTTCGGCACCAACACCGGATTATGCTTAGAAGAGCTGGTCAACCCCTGCAGGTCGCCATTCTTCAACAAATCATTTGCCTGCCACTCGATCTCCGTTTCATGCCACGAAGGCTTCCGATACCACAAAACATGACTTGGGACTGACTTGTAGTAGAGCTCGATACTGTGTGCTGCACGAAAAGCAGGTGGCCCTGGCCAGCCTGCTGGCAGCTAATGAGTATTTACCTAATCCGCCCAACACTTGATATTTGCCCATTCATGCTGTTCTGCGGCTTAAAGTTTAACCGAAGTTCCTAATTACAAACCGGTTGCAGAGCCAATTAGACGAGATGCGTGCTCAGAACCATCTTGCCTTACTGCAATACTTATCCGCTTGCGCAAAGTTTCTGCCCTGCCCAATTATTGAGGCACTGACTGTACCCCGATCTCCATAGATAAAGGAAACGTTGTCGATGGTACTAGGAGCTGCTTTGTGCTAGCGAATCCTGACACAGACCTCCACAGAATGCAGGTGCGGCCGTATGGCGTCTTTCCGCTGGAAAACCCATGGCATACCAGGATCCCGTCATGGTGCACGGGTTCGGCACAGAAGTAATAAACTGTGCTGATTGGAAACCCTTTCATTCTGACGTAGCATATTCTTGCGGTTCTGTCACCAAAGGTTGCGTTCTGCTACCATTCAGTGAGCCGAAGCTCTTGGGACTGCTCTAACGAGTGACTGAGAGACTGCAGTGCAACATCTTGAGTACTAGATCCAATACAGCTACAGGGGCTAGTAACGCCTGCGGTTTTCGTGTGAACTTGTGTCTCTGATCCCTGGTGAAAGTCCAACTGCAGCTCTACCCTCTAATGCCTCCTTCAGTGCACCAAAGCGTGCAGGGACAGGCTTTCCATTGTTCTCGATGGTCTGTCCTTGCTCGTCAAGCAGCCTGCTTGCGTTGAGCTCAGTCCCGTTGTTCGAGTTCTTTGGATTTCCTAATGCGCTTGCAGCTCTGCATCAGAAAACCAACGCTCCTACAGAAGTATCAGGTGGGTTGTTAAGAGGCTGTTGGCAGCTGCCTGAAAACGCCGAATCGCTTTAGCTTCTTTTCGTTCACCCCGGACTGTAAGGTAGGGCCACTTCACATGGCCCCGACATCCATAGATCCTACACCTTGACTCAGCTATTCTCTTTCTCACCCAAACACGTAACAGATGCCTTATGTGTTCTCACAACCTCTAGTAGTCCTGCAGGTGCGGAAGCCCCACGGGACGATCATTTAATCGGAGTCGCTGTCCACAAGGCGGCAACCTGACTAGGCACCATAGGAAAACCTGATATAATTTCACTGAAAAAAAGTTACTTGTTCGTCTACTCTAGGGGTTTTGCAGACCGTTTCATTTGTCTTGATATGCCGATCTATTGATACATTGCCATGCTCCGATTGTTGTCCATTCTTATGACTGTCATGCTATTCGATGCATCTACAAACATCCTGTCGGCTAACGAAGCATGCGTTTCTGCCAGTGATGGGACTGATGAGTTTATGTAATCATGCAGGTAGGCTTGTGCGGCTGCAGTAGGCGTTGTCGCACCATCAACTTCCACTGTCAGAGAGCTTTTGTCCCGGCACTGTTGTCGGAGAAAATCAAGTCACTTAATTGTCGAATACCTTCTTTGAAGCCAAACATTACTACTAAGAGAAAACCTGATATACTACTTCATCGACAGCCAGTGGACGAGCGGTGAGCCTGTGCATCGAATCTTGCAGTGTTATCTAGTTTGAGGATTCACTTAAGACCTCCAGAGGGGAAACTTGAGTTGAGACCCAATTCTTACTCGATAAAAGGTTACCGAGTATTTTCTGGAAGTTATCCTACCTTTCGTTTACTGTGTCTCTCAGAATTCCTGACATGAGGAAAGGTACAGCTTTAGAGCGTGCATTAACGCACCATGGAAGCACTTCGGGGATTTACAGCTATTTGCACTTGGGATGTAGTGCACACGCACGCGATATTGGGTCTTCATATATCCAGGTAGCGGTATTCTGCAATAAATAAGATACACAGAGAGGCAAATGAATCAGTCAATCCTTTACTAATTCTCGGTTGAAGATTACTAGTATTGTGGAAAGTGTTCAGGTGTAGCCTATCTCGCTAGACCCAGGTTCCTTTTAAGTTTGAACTGCACTATGCGGGGCAGGGATGACCTGCTTGAGAAGGCAAGCCATTATTCTGTCATTAATTTGAACATGCAAAAGTTTGCTGGGTACTGAAGCTGCCAGATGGCAGGCACACAGAGGCGGAAACGGAGGAACAGGGTAAAGAACTGACGGTGTGGCTTTATTGTTTTTCATTTAGGTGTGATATAGCGCTACCTGCACGCTGCAGCTTAAGGGTTTCACATAGTTGCACACGGATAGTGTAGGCGTTCACGACACAAAACCTTACACAGAGAGTGCAGCTGTTTGACCCACTGCGGTCGTGTCTACCATGGAGCCGGCAACCTAGGGGGTGAAGGCCAACTGCGAAGGACAGATCTGTAAATAAGCAGTCTTAAAAGCTTCTTGCAGGATCCAACTATGTGACTGTTGATCAGTTTTTCTATGGGCGCTCAAGAAGGAAAGCTACAAACAACAATTTCCTAGGATTTTGTCGGACAATGAGTTGTCTATTGAACGAGCTTCGTGCCATGGCCTATGCTTCCGGAGCCGTTAGCTTTAAAATCCTAGTCGTAGATTTAAATCAATTACTACTCTTGCTGATATTAGCTTCACATCGATCGTATCATGCGGCATCTGCAGCACAACTCCATGCATCCAGTCAAGGGATGCTAAGCACTAAGTTTTGGCGACTTTAGTTCTGAGACTCGTTGTGTTGGAGTCGTAGTGCACTGGAGCAGACGCTCACTTGGCAGAGCCTGGTAGGACAAGCAGATATAACGCCATATTTCTTTGAATCTGTGTTTGCTGCATTTTAATCAATGGCATTGCCACTTCACAGGGAGAGGGCATATCAAAGTGCTATTGCCGTTAGGTTGCAAAATTTGTAAGAGGCTGGAAATTAGACAGAGACACACCTGCGCATACGTCGACACGCTGAGTTTAAATGTATTGGCCTGCATCTTGGCTGGCCGTGCTTGACTTACATACGGCTGTATTCCACCGAGAAACAGGATGGCAGGTCTGTATGGTTCCGCTATTGGGAGGTCACGGAAGTGACTAGTAATTATCCGAAGGGTGAACAAATCATCAGTTGACACGTAGTTCAGTTCAGCACACCGACCCAGGTGCCAAGGTGTAACGGTAGTCAATGATGAGCGCGCTACCGATTGGCCAAGTTGCTCATTGCTCTGATTAGGATCTTATGATTCTGCAAAAAATAAAATCCAGGGCAACGCGGTCCGAATCATACTTGTGTGATTCCTTTGCTCGTCTGAAGTAGATACTCCAAAGGTATTCTCTCCGGGTGCTCAGAGAGCTCTTGCAACTTCTCTGCATCCTCCTGCCCTTTTAAAAGCTCCAACAGGGGCCCAGCACAGCAGTCGATAGAACCGCGCTCCAACAAACGCAGCAAGCGAGAGGTGTCCCCAGTGGTCCCTCCCGCCTTGTCCAGTCCCATGTGCCACACATAACTCGACGTACACCTGAAAACACAAAACATGTAGGTACGAATATACATACATATATACAGCCTTCTACCCCAACCCGAGCCATTAGCTGTGTGTTGCACCGTCGCCGTGTCAGCTAGAGTATAAAATAAGCTAGAAGTATAAAACAAGGTAGGTCTAGTCGCTTGGCACCTCCAATAAAGGGGAAGGACTCACCGACAGAAAAGGTAGCAAAAGTAGTTCGCTCCATAGTGGACCAGGTGCTCAAAAGCCCTCAGAGGGGGCCTGCCAATGAGTTTCCAAAAGGGCGCTCCCATGTACCCATCTACCATTTTCCCCAGGACTTCCCTTTCGTTAAACGAAGCATCTAAAAACGCAGCGAGGCGCTTAACTTCTTCATTTGCGTCTGATGGGTTCAGACAGCCCATAGGATCCAACAAGCCCCGCTGTGGGATGTAACTATAAAATGCCTGCACACAAACGGCACTTTCTAATGCTTGAACCTAAAGCGCACATAATGAATCCGTGATGCTGAGGAAAAGCTGACAGAACCCGTGCCTAAGCTATCATATGCACTTTCTGAGATTCATGGAATGAACTTTTTCTGGCATTCATGGCTTTCGAATTACGCGATCAAGGAGAGCCAGTTGGAGCTGGTGAGCCATTTGGAAGCCTTGAAACAATCGAGGATTATCTTGAGGGGCGCCATCTGGTCTGAAGATCCTGGGGGCGAAGAGTTCGAATAAATGGGAAGGAAACTCGGCAAAGTCAACTGCTCCTCGCGTGCCTGAGAAGTGTACACCACCCGCATTTATCGACAGGGCTGTCCACGAACGATACGAGGATTTCGATGTAGCAGGACTGGGGCAGACCCTCATTGGATCGAGGGTGCGCTGACTACGCTGACTGGGGTACACCCTAAACTCAAGCACCTGCGTTCCAAACCCTCAACGCATTTGACTTGACACGGTGTGGCAACAGCTTTTGTCGCCAAATAAAATTTTGAACCACTTGTGCTGGCAGTGTTAAATGTAGGAGTTAGGGCATTGAAACTTTGCCTGCAAGATGCTGCATTTGGGTTTGGGATAAGAGTCCATGCACAGCGTGGCCCAACTCGTGGAGAAGATGGACGCTTTCTTCTTCAGTCACCAGGAATTCACGTAGAAGTGTCAGGGAGTCATCTAGACTTCCCTCTGAGCACACATACTTAGAACCTCGATCCGCTGACTCTAAACTCGAAACCCTGAGGCTCGATCGCAAGCCAAAATTGAGCCAAAAACACAAATTCGAATTTGAATCTCAAGACCTTATAGCCAATATGGATGCACACAGAAAAAGGATACGCGTAGTTACCCCAAGCCCTGAGCCCCTATTCGCTACCCGTCGCCCACTGTACCTATAACAACCCACCAGTACTTGAGCTGTAAATGCGTGGAGGCGGAGCAAAATTAGAGACCAATGCGCAGCACGGAATTTGCCTTAGGTGGCCTTCCGCATCCTCGGTGACGCAGGTGCGCATCAAGGGGCCCCCCAGATTCCAACCCTGAACCACAAATCCTCAGCACTTCAGTCCACACCCTTTACACTAAGCGCTTAGGCAGTAGAAACCTTACCCACTTCACAAAGAGGACTCTCCTCTATGCCACTAAGTCCTAAGCTTTCAGCTCATGCTCCTAAACCTGGTACCCCACTCTACACTCGCCTACGTGGCTGTGCAGTACCGCCATATCCGCCAACGCGCAAGTACAGACCCTGAGCCACAGCTATACCTGCTTTAAAGGATAGTCCATTTGCTTGGACCCCCTAACAGTGAATTGCGCCAAAAGCCTTGTCTTGTCCTTCCGAGCCCACAAATCAACGTATAGGTCGCCTCGCGGGGGCCCTAAGGGGCCCCGTGATGGCCGTAACTCAAACTTCAGAACACTCCAGTGCCATGTTTCGCCTGTGAACAAAACGAGGCCAGCGTGTAAAGCTTGAAGCATAGGAGACGGCGCAGAAGCGCTAGCTCCGGCGTGTGCAGACTACTCGACCCAAAGCCGCAAGCGCTGTGCTCCCAAGGAAGCCTGGGGACGTTCATGTGGCGCAGCACGCAGAGCACACCCTACACTACCATCCCCCAAGTCTAAAGCGCACCGGGTGATGGGCATTTAGGGACCATAGAGAACCCTGTGAGGCTCTCCACGATTTCCGTTGCCTTGCGCCACACAGTCTCCAGAGGGAGGCGTCGGGGCTCAGTATACCTGAAGCCAAAGCCCATAGTCGCAAGCCCAAAACACTATATCCACAATGTTCGAGCATGCAGAACACACGTGTAAAGTATGTTGCTGAAGAATGTGTTGTGGCTTGAGAGCCATCTGGGAGTTTCGCTCTAATTATATGCTGTTTGCCAGAGGTGCTTCGTTAGGGCTGTGCGATTCGAGCACACGATCGAGTTCACGACTTCCAAGGCTGGAGCCTAGGGTTCAGAGGTGCGTTTGGCTTTCCTGTTTTGTTGCTGCCGAGTGTACCACTCCATTAGAAACGGAATATCCCATGGTTGCAGCGGTAGCTGAACGCCAAACGCTTCCGGCAGCCCCTCTGCCAGTGCCTTCAGCGTAATAAGTTCCGAATCGAGCTGCGGCTGAGCAAACAGCAGAGGCCTGTAAGGTGCACTCCTCTCTTCGGACTGAGAAACCAAACCATGCAGAGCTGGGGGCTTCGAGCGTACTGCGTGAGGCTCGGGATTCAAAGCCTAGACATGAGGGTGAAACGTGATGGGGATTTGGCTGCACCTTCAACGCAAATTCAACACGCTCAAGGAATGTTGATACCGCTTCGGGGGTCCGTAAAACGCCTTCCCTGTTACGCACACATAGAGTATAGGTGGTAGGGTTTGAGTCGTACGCAGAGGCCCGTAAATTTCGTTCCTTAGCCTTCAGGTGTCTTATATCTGGGTAGCTAGATGCTAGCAGGGCGTCTCTGGGAGACACCAGGTATCTTTTGTTGTGATTTCTGCCCCTGCTGCTGTGTCTTGTGGTTCTAAGTTATTCTACCTCGGAGCGAATGCAGCCCAGGAAGGAAACCCGCGGCTTTTGGCGATTTCTTGTCTCAGTGCTAAGAGACGAAGGAACTTTTGGTCTGACTGCTGCAGAGACACCGAGCGCAGGGAGAATTCACATGCACTCAGGGGATAGAAACACGTGAAAAGAGGATTGTAGGCGGACGCACACAAAACACACACGTATGCGCGCCCTGCTAAAATTTTTTCCCACGAAGGGTTTCGGGGCACAGACACCTACGCACTTAATCGAATGAAAAGGCATGTAGGAAAGCAAACAAAGAGACGATCGATCAAAACGCGCTGCAAACCTATGTGCAAGGCGGTAGATTCAACAGGCAAGGTAGGACGCATCAAAAGCTCAAAGGAGCAGACTTGGTGAGCAAAGCAGCAACATGCACAAAAGCTAGCAAGGAGGCGAAAAACAAAGTTCTTTATCTCTCCTCTCACAAAGTTCTCTGCACCCTCAATAAGGCGATGCAGCTCCCGCCGCAAACCCCGATCCCTGCTTGCCCTGAGAATCAACAAAGAACGGAACCCCCAGAGGGCTGATTTTTGCGAGCCTTTGACGTAGTCTGCTGGAAAATCAGCAGCTCCCAGGATTTGCGGCTTACCCTTCCGCACGATTCAGCGCTGCGTGTCAACATTAAGACTGGGATTTATGGATAACAGCTGGGGAGCCACCTGCCTTAGAAGCACTTTGGTGAATTCGTCGTCTGCGGTGATCGTAAGGGAATCCGCCATTCTGCCTTTCTTACGTCCCCACAAAGAGAACATCCCCTGGTGCTGCTCTTGCTGTTCCTTTTGTTGCTGCAGCTCCGCTGTACGCATCGCGATGAGGCTCTGTGGAACGCCCGCCTTCAGCAACATCTGCGTGGATACCTCTATTTCTGCAGCGAGCCACCAGGAAAAAGGCAGAAACAGCAAAAGGATACCCTTTAGAGGTAGGCAACGGCTCCCCGATTCACCTTCGTCAAAGAACCTCCAGTGAAAGCACACACATGGCGGCACGTGTCCATAAAGCCCTGCGCAGAGTATTATGGCATTCCAGAGCCTCAAGTTAAGGAATTCGCGCAGAGCAGGAGTCGCCACAAAGGGTTTCTTTGGTGCGCATGGATTTGTAGGGCTTACGGGGTGCCTCGTCTTGGGTGGCAATGCATTCTGCGGCAGCTTCATTCTCTTGTTCCAACAAGAGCAAAAGCCGCTCCTGAACGTCCGGATGCAAAGACAATCCAGGGTAGCCGCGGCTGCAAGCCTCTAGAGCGAGACGCTGTGGGTTTAAGAGTAAAGTGCCCCGAGATCCTTGGTTTCTCTCATCAAAAAGGCTTCCCGAAATACCCTTAAGGAGCGCTTGATGAAGGTCCACTAGAGGCACTACTCGTGCACCTAGGATTTGCGACTAGCCAACTGATTGCGCCTTGGCAGTACCTTTTCTTGAGGGCTCAAGTGTATGCCCTGCTGCTCCATCGCCTCTCGCATGCATCGTAGAACCACCGCTTCCTCCTTTTGAAGGGCGCCATCTGCAGCACGCTCAATCCTGAAGCAGCAACAACACAACAGGCTGAGGTGCCGTGTCAAGTCTCCAGGCATAAAGGCCGAAGTCTGCACTCCGATCAAACACACAGGTCCAGAAGGACGTGAGGAATGCCGTTTCTCTCTAGCTCACCGCTCTGCCTCTCCGCCGGAGACTTCGTGGTCGCCCCCTCGCAAGCGCTTGTATATCTGGAGCCTCGCAATCAGACAAGGCTGCGCCATGAACCCTAGGCCTGGTGTGTGGTGTGAAGAAGGAAGATGCAAGGGTTCGGTACTTACGGAATCGCTGAAGTTTGCGATGCTCATAAACTGCTGCACTTCCTGTACAACCTGGGCCCCCGCCTTCTGCCATTCGGCAGATGGATGGACGCTCCTGCACAGCCAAATTGCATACGCCAAACCCGATGCCTCTGCTCCTTCACAGCATTCGTGCTTACCGGTTCGCAGCTGATGGTTCATTGCCTCAATCACGAAATCCTAACCCTAGACCTTAGACTCTTGCCTGATGAGCTCCGCGGCATCCGCAACTTTGCACAAAGCGTTGCTGACAGCATCAAGCGCATGAATGGAGCGCCTAGTGGATTCCTGTGTGGTTTCTTCGGCGCGCCTTTCCTCGCTCTCCAGCAGTGCCTCACAATCCCTAACGCAAACACGCGCCAGCTGCAGGAGCTGCTCAGGTGTATGTACTCCCGGTAGCTGCAACAGGCCTGGGCGGGGGTCGGTGCTTGCAGTAGGAATACAAGTCTCAGCAGCAGTGGGAGACGAGGAAAAGGGCCGAAAGTGAGGTGGCGTTGTGGCGTTGCATCCGGAAATGCTGCGGTGTACCGTCAGCGACTGCCTTCCTATGAAAGCTGGAGACCCCGAAGAGAAGCTAAGGGGCCCCTTACGCATTGAACGACCAGGGGAAAACCGAGTAGGGAATAGGGGGGCCCCTTGGAAACACTTCCTCAGAAAGGAGGCCCTCCCGGTAGATGCTGCTGCCGGCAGGTGCGCGAAGAGCGGCTTCATTTGCTTAGAAGTGCTTGAATATTTCTTGAATTCCACCAAAACTCTAACCCCCATAGACAATCATTGCGAACAACACACGCAGGAAGGCCTGCCGAAGGACGGAAGGCGAACGCCCTCACTTGATGCCTACGGTCTTAGGCACATAGAAACGTACAGTGCACAGCATCAGTAAGCAATAAGCTATGGCACATTGAAAAAGCATTCCCATGGCGCACACATGGGGCCCCCCAATTGGGAGCTTGGGGCCCCTGGGGTACGGGCGCCGATGGAGTGGAGAGCCGTCGCAGGAAAGAGGGGGCACGCTTAGCGAAGAAGATATCTTTTGGATGAAACTTTAACATGAGTACAACGTGCAGCGTTTACGGAATTGTGAGTACATATTGAGAGAACGTACAAAGTTGACGCAACAACAGGGAGTCTCTGCCCTACCGAGATAGCGCCCGAACCACGCCTATTTCCCTAGAGAATGGGCGGTATGCATTTGATAGGAGGCTCTCCACATAAAAAATCTAACTATAAACGGGATTTCTTTCGGCTACTGCAGCAGGGATAACCGCAGTGAACACTCGCGGCGACTGAACCCAGGATTGTGCCCTTTCTTCCCGACGAATATCGAAGGGACGGCTGCTCGCCAACTCACGTGGCCTAACTAGTTTGCTACGCCGAAAAACAAGGTACCACGCACTGGGCTCCCTAAAAGCCGACCCATTGGAGCTCGTGGGCATTCGACACCTGAGTGCGTTCTTTAGTTCTACTGCTGCCTTTATGTGGGAGCTTAAGAGCATAAATCGGTTGCAATTATCGTCCAGGTAGTTGGGCAGCGACACACTGCCCACAAGAAATTGCGTGCCCCTTCAGCCGTTACTTATGCTCCATTGATATTCTCGATGGAATCAGTTAGCACAACACGCACTATTCATTGCAGGGGGTACACGCGACGCCAAGCCCCCCACACCTGCCCTACGGGCAGGGCAGACAAGCAACAAGGTATACATATACCCAAACGGGTTCTGCTGCAGCATACAATTCAATTGCCGAGCCCCCGCTCCAGCAACCGACTAATTGCCTCATTCACATCTCCGTTTGTTTCTTGCAAGGCAGCAAGGTTGGCATCTCGATCGATGAATCCCATGTCTGTCAGAGACTGCAGCTGAGATGCAAACCTGAAACACTCGCAATCCACATATTTATCCCCACCTACACACCCCCAGCAAAACCCAGCCGCAAGAGAACCTCCATTTGCCGAGCCGAACTCCCGCTCAAAGCAGCTCAGGCGCTTTTCGCGCGAGGTGACCCCCCAGAGCAGCTCTCCAACCCGAAGCCACCCCCCTTCATACCTCTCCTCGGGGAGCCTCGCATCGCCAACCGCAGACCCCATGCCTTGGAATGGAGAGCCTTCCATGCTTCCCAAACTTCCGAAAGACGAAAACGCCGCGAAAGGGTTGGGGGCTCCGGGAGCAGCGCCTGGGGCCCCAGGGGCCCCCGCAGCGCCTGAAGCTCCGGGTGCCTGCATGTTGCTGAAAACCTGCATCATCTGGCTCATAAGCTCAGGATTAGTCCGCATCAACTGCTCTGCTTGCTGCACCATCGAGCCAAAGCCAGCAGGACCGACACCGAAGGGCGGAGGCACTGCTCCCCCAGAGTTTCCCGCAGCAGGCGGAGTGCCTGAAGCTCCCATAGCGCTTCCTTCGGCTTGAGTGGCTGCTCCCTGCTGCTGGCGCATTTGCTGTTGCAAGACTTGCTGTATCTGCATAGAAGCCTGAAACGCGCACGCGCAAGCAAGCAAGCTGGGGGCTCCCCACCCTTAGTAGTTGCAGCCGGCCGTAGATCTGAAGAAAAAGTCTCGCGGCACACACACTCAGAACCACAGCGCACCTGAACCATTTGCGGACTGAACATCGCGCGCATGCGTTCTGGATTGTCTAGGATGCCCTGCATCATTGGCTGCGGAGAGCGTAGACACACATGCACACATGCACACATACATGCACACATACATGCACACATACATACACAAACACACATACATACACACACACACAACCTTCAACCGAAGAAGACAATGCGACTCAGTGTGCTACTCTGAAAGGCTAACACTTCAAGCCCCTAGCGTATGTAGCCACCAGACTGCGAATGACTGCAGCCGCTCTAGAAATTCAAAGACGAGGAAGGCTGCAAGAAAGAGCGGGTGAAACGCAAATAACAAGACAGCGCGTTGCTCGTACAAGCATGGGCCGGAGGGTTGGAACGCTTTCGACAATGCTCCTGAACATCTGGGGGTTCTGTGTTAGCGACTCGATAGCCTGCTGGAAGAAGGGAGTCTGCATCATCTCCAGCATTTCGGGGCCCATCATCCCCATAGGGCTTGCCCCCATGGGGCCCCCCATAGGGTTTGCCCCCATGGGGCCCCCCATAGGGTTTGCCCCCATGGGGCCCCCCATGCCCGCACCCAGGCCACCTGTTTCGCACGACACGCAAATCACCAAGCCCCAATACACGTAGGCATGCACTGAGGCAGCACCACCACAGCTTGTGTGCTCAAAAACGCGGCTCCCCTCCAAAACAACCAGACACACGACCGACCCACCTGAAAGCATGGACTGAAGAAACTGGTCCATCCCCGGAGGGCCAGAGGAAGGAATGCCTGTGATGCAAATCGCACACCCCCAACATCCCCCTATATGCCCTGATTCGACAACATTTTCCAACACCCCTGAAAGCGAAAACGCGCGCATGCGAAGCCCCAAAACCCACGAAACACACCGGCGGAGGCTGCGGGAGGAGTTCCTGCAGCTGGCGTTGCTTGCTGCTGTTGTTGCTGCTGCTGCGGCGGGTTCGCTGGTGGTGCTGTGACGCCTTTAACCAGATGCATGATATGATGATCCTTCAGACCCAACCCACTGACGGAGTCCTCGTCCTTTAGGATTCTTCCTGAACAACAAAACGTGCATGCAAACACTCATAACATGAACCCCACATCTTATCCCGATTCCCCCCTCGTCCTGTAGCTCAGCCCGACCGTGGCATGCACACGGGCAGTCCCTAGCCCTATGGAGGAATAGCGATACACAGTTTCCTCACACTATCTCTCCGACTCAGATATCCCCAACTTCACATCGCACACATCAAACCCCAGGCCCAAAGAAGCCTGCATGACGCTTCGCCACCCATAAGAACTGACGAAGATTGCCTCGAAATGTACCTTTGTAAATTAGCCTTTGAGCTGCAACCGGTATCTGGCATTTTTCTTCGCATTTCTGCTTGAGTTCGCGTACAGTCCAGTTCTGGTTCACGTTGAGGCTGAAATTGGTGCCCCCAGAAACCTTAAAAGAAACCTCAGGTAGATGCTCAGTAGGTGCTGCTGCTTCCGCAGGTGGTACTGCGACTGCCGCGGCTTCTTGAGCCGTAACAGGAGCACTGGGGTTCTCCCCTGCTTGCTGCTGCCCTTGAGGGGGGTCAGACATTGCGGGATGAATGCACAGGTGTGAACCCTGCTCCCCAAACACACGAGCCACATATGCCCATTGCATAGAGCTGCATCCAATACAGATTTCTAAATAGACTAAGGGGTAAGTGCTCTTTCAGGCTGCAAAACACGGAACCTGGAACCGTGGGTGTGGGAACGCCCCTACTGTGCATGCAACTGGAATTTGGGGCATGGGTGATTAGGGGCAGATCGTGCTTTGATGCGCTGTTTCCGTAGGCTCCCAACACAAAGAGTACTGGTAAAGGCATGGAAGAGACTTACGAGGGTCTTAAACAGGAGAGGACACGAGTGGACGACCAACTGCAGCTATCTCGTGTTGCGGCTGCCCCTGCTCCGGCTGCAGAACACAATTTTAGTGGCATGCAGAGGCCAAGACAAGCATTAATTTGGTGGGAAACTAAAGGGGAATCATATCAAGGATGAAAGATGACAGACATGGGGGCTGCTACTGCAACTGCAGCAGCCGCCAGCAGCGACAGCGGCAGAGCAGTGCTCTATACTGCTCCCACCGCTGCCATTGGAAAACACCGTCAGAAGGACCGTTTTAGTTTTAAATTGTCTAACAGCTTGTTTTAAAGCTCGTAGTAATAAAGAGAGCAGGGAGGAGTTATCTTCTACTGTACCCAAAATCTTCTAGCACACGAGGGGCACTTCCCTGGAAGCACTTGAAGTGAAGGCAGCCAATATCACAGCATGAAGTACAAGCGAACGATGTAAGCACGAAATCTGTTCATTATACTTTTGCTCTATTGTGCTAGGTAATACGCTCGAGCCCAATCTTTGGCAAATGCATGCGGGAGATAAAATGTTACCTGCCTTCTAGTGTCCGTGTAGTGGGCTAGGCTACACGGGTTAACTTCTAAAAAACTTTCTAGATTAAACTGATACTTGAATTGAGCTGATCGATTGGTTTGTCTCAACTCAAATCCTTTCTGTTGGAGAGAACTGTCAGTTTGATACAATTAGAACCAATATTGTGTGCATGTGCGCTGGTAGCTACACGCAGCTAGCCATCTATGCTTGGAATGCTTTGACGATGCAGCCACGCACGCCCAAGCTGTCCCTGTCCCTGGAGGTCTGGAACTCAGGGGGCTTCGGCAAGAAAAAGGCGGGAGTTTTATTGGCGAAACACTTAAGAGTTTCCTCTGAAGTTTATAGTGACCCTGGAGCGAAGTGTCTCCCTACGGAGAACATAGACGGAGTGCCACAGTTGGTAGCACCGCATGGCTCGATGGGCCTGTTCCCCGCTCATCCACTGGCTTTGGATGCACTGGGCTGAGTTGCTCCTACAGCTGTATTCTAGCATCGATCAAGTTATTTGAAGCCTAATAATTTGATTATCTTAGGCAAGAGACTTAGGGGGAAAACCCTCTGGCAGTGGAAGCTGAAGTCGCTGCAACCCTTTTCGGGGCGGCAGTGACCGGATTGTAAACTGATGTGAACAAGGCTGCTTTAGAGCTGGTAGAAAAGCAGGACGTGTTAGACCGATAAACTGTTTGTGAATGTGTCGATGAAGTCATGCTGACCAGGGAAACGTATGACGGTCATTAGGACGGGCAAGTAGCTGAAGACTTAATCAGAGGGTGGGAAATGTACCTCGCCTTCCGCCCCTAGTTATAGGAGAATGAGTGCTCCCTGAGGCGTGTTTATGGGAGAGGAAAGCACTTCAACAGTAAGTCTGTTTATGTAGGGAACTTCGTTTGTGTGTACGGACTTAGACTCTTCGAACCTTCGGACAAGCTCTGACGTATCGGTTGATGCCGAGGTCCGCGCAAGAACAAGCGTTGAGCGAACTGAGAAATCTGGAGCATGGCAATGTATCAATAGGTCGGCACACCAAGACAAATGAAACTTTGGTCTCCAAAAGCCTCAATGTAGACGAACAGCTTGTTTATCAGTGATTTTTCCAAGGTCTCCCGAAGATGTCACATCAGAAAGTTGCTGTGTTGCGGACAGCAACTCAGCAATTCAACGGTTGATCGGTGGGGCTTCGGCAAACGCAGAACTGCTTGACGTTTTGAGAATGACTGAGGCATCTGTTGTCTCTTTGGGTGAGAGAGAAGAGCACATGTAAAGATTTGGGACCTATAGAGGTCGAGGCCGTGTGAAGCGACCCTAGCACACAGTCTAAGGTAGACGAAAAGAAGCTAAGGGGAACAAGCGTTGTTATGTAGCTACAAACAGCCCCCTAACACCGCACCTGCTACTATTGTGGGGGAGTCGTTCCAAAAATCCAGATATGCAAGCCCATGAAAAAATTAAAGAATTTGGACAGTGGGGCTGAGCCCAGCTTAAGCAGGCTGCTTGGCGAGCAAAGGCGGTGCATCAGGGAAGCGGCCAGCCCCCCTGCCCCCCCCTCCCGTACACCGTAATGCAATGAAGAGGGCAACAGAGAATAGCGCTGCACGAGCTTACATCGATGGCCAAAAGTTGCAGCGTCACTAGGTACAGAATTTGAAGTGGATCTGGTATCCGAGAAGGCATAGAAGCGCAGTCTCCCAGTCACTCGTTAGCGGACTCCCAAGGGCTTCGGCTCGCTGAATGGTAGCAGAACGCAACAATTGGCGACAGAACCGCAGGAATATGCTACGTTAGCCTGGAAAGGTGTCCGATCAGCACAGTTTATTACTTTTGTGCTGAACCCTTGCACCATGACGGGATCCTGGTATGCCGTGGGTAAGCCAGTATGCCATGAGTGAGCCAGGGGAAGGCCGCCATACGGCCGCACCTGCATTCTGTGGAGGTCTGTGTCAGGATTCGCTAGCACATAGCAGCTCCCAGTACCATCAACAACGTTTCCTTCATCCATGGAGATCGGGGTACAGTCGGTGCCTCGATAATTAGGCTGGGCAGACACTTTACACAAGCGGCTAAGTATTGCAGTACGGCAAGATGGTTCTGAGCACGCATCTCGCCTAATTGGCTCTGCAACCGGTTTGTAATTAGAAACTTCGGTTAAACTTTAAGCCGCAGAACAGCATGAATGGTCAAATATCAAGGGTTGGGCGGATTAGGTAAGTACTCATTAGCTGCCAGCAGGCTGGCCAGGGCCACCTGCTTTTCGTGCAGCACACAGTATCGAGCTCTACCACAAGTCAGTCCCAAGTCATGTTTTGTGGTATCGGAAGCCCTCGTGGCATGAAACGGAGATCGAGTGGCAGGCAAATGATTTGTTGAAGAATGGCGACCTCCAGGGGTTGACCAGCCCTTCTAAGCATAATCCGGTGTTGGTGCCGAAACAGGAGGGCAGGTGGCGCATGATGGCTACTTTTAAGCCCTTGAACAAATTGCCTGCAGAACAAAAGCTCCCAATGCCTCACGTTAGCGAACTAACTAGCGCTACAGTAATCAACACTATAGTCCACACTTCACTTAACAGCCACTTGCGTGCAATCCCCATTATCTCGATGATAGGCGCACGACGGCTTTCACCATCACATTCGGAAGCTTGAGTATACCTGTGTGTCATTCGAACTTTTAAAGGCATCTGCTGAGCTTGAACAGTGGAAGAAGACACGAAGTTCATGAGTCTCTCGAGCAAGGCTGGGTGGATTGCTGTCTGCTTCGACGACGCCTTGCTCCATAGCCAACATGTTGAACAGCATCAAGAGCGCCAACGGCGTGCGCTTCAGCTGCTGCAGAACAAGCACTGGTTTGCAACAACAGGAAAGTTTTCTTTTCATTAGGATAGTTGTGTTCTGGGTTTCTGTGTTTCGGCTACAGGAAATGAGCTAGACCCGGCAAAAGTTGAAGCAGTAAAGGAGTGGCCTATATCTGTACGCACAAACAAGCGCGTTGAGAAATTTCTTCTAGGCTACCAGATTATTATCGTAATTTTTTTTCAGGAATTTGCTCGACTCGGATCAGGAATCCGCTCAGATGTACTGGAGATACGTTGTCTCTGGCCTGGAGAATGGAGGTATATGCCGAAGCAAGGAAACTTCTTTTCGGTCCCGACCTGCAGCTTGTTGGTCATCAAGCTGCCCACTCATGAGTGCCACATTTTTAATCACCCAATGTAAGTGACGTAGCAGTGGGTGCTAGTATGTATAAACAGGCTATGGGTAGTCAAAACATCAAAGCACTGCTGGTGATCTCATCGTTCTACCGAAACCAGCCAACTGTATTTAATGCAGGAAAAGGAACTCTGCGGTGGGAGAGGAGGTGAAGTGCTGCGTGCTCACGGTTCAAATGGAGATCATTCTACTCTCCAGATATACCATCAGTCTCTACTGTAAATTACAAAGATTTCCCGGGGCTCTGATATTCCTAGAGTTGTCAGCTGCGTTGAGCGCCCCGTGGAGTGTGGCTGTACAGTCAAGTGCATGCAAGGCAGCACCAACTCATGCCGAAGTACTCTCGTGCCTCTTCAGTGATCCGTTATTTTGCAGCGCTGCACGTGACAGTACATGGTCTTTAATAGAAACTGAGTAAGGCACATGCATCAATAACCATGTATCCACTGTCACTGCCAAAATCCAAAATGGCAAAAAGGTGAAGTACTACCCCGCTAAGGATGGCCTGCTATGGCTCAAAAACAGGCAGGGACTACACCCCTTGCACATTCTGACTTCGCTTCCGCAGTGCCGTTTTGCGGAAAGCACATGATAATATTCTTTCGACCCATGCTTGGATCGATGCTACATTTGGAAGGGCTCTTCTTGTATTTCTGGTGGCCTAAAATACATTCCGCGGCGGATGTGTATGCAGCTGATGCTTAGATCGTCAGCCGCTGAGGCTGCGCAGTTCTCGTAAATTAAGCTTTCTGTAGGGTCGTTCGGCTCCTGGAGAAGCTACAAAAGATGTGACTTTAGAAGCCATTGCTGGACTGCCGAATATCAAGGGTCAGAATGACATCTACGTGGCTGTCAACGGACTCTGTAGTACTCCACATGCATCTCTTGCTCAAGCTCTCAAGCGGATTGTCACTCAACTACTCTTAGTCACTCATATCTGAGATCTCTGTGTATTCATCAGGAGCTCTATCATCAAAAAAGTTCAGATTTTATAGCTGCGTTTGTGTCCGCTTAAGAATCGTCCACATATTAATCATCGTCTGACCACTACGAACCCCACCCTGAGGCTGTTGGGCACACGGTGTGCGCCAACAGCACAGTTCCGCAGTATTCGCAACGCCATACTAACAAGCTTTCAATTACTTGGCTTGAGTTTCTTCCTCATGGTGAGACAGATTATAATAAGACAGTAAATTCATCTAGCCGTTGCTCCTCGGCATTCCTGGTCTACACTGACGGGTCTCCCTCCGAATCGGTACTACACCGGATGCTCTGGGGTCAGCAGCGACCCGTAGTGGATGAAGCATTCAGATAACAGCTGGCTAGTGCACGCAACTGTATGCACAATTCTCAAGAAAGACAGACGCGAAATTATTTAAGGGGGCATTGGCTATGTGTTTCGAGCCTGTAGATTGGTTCGTAGTGGATCGGCAGGTTTGATGAGGTGTACCAGAGGGTAAGTGAAGAACGAGTTTACGACCAGGTGGATGGGGTCGATAACCATTTTCTTAGTGATCAATGTTCTGTTTAAGATCTTCTAAATTCGAAGTGGCATAGAGCTATCAATGTTGGCGTCTCTCAAAATTGACTAAAACCCTCAAGATTGTTCGGGACTTTGCCGCTCATGCAAGCGACAGAATAAGGCGAAGGGTAGACAAGAAGCCGTATAAGTGTACAATTGTAGTGATGGTGGGCTTTGCCACAAGGAAATATATGGTGAAATGGGGTTGGGGGACGCCAGCTTCAATTGTTGAGGGAGTAGCAACTGCGGGTGTCTTTGCCGAAATACAAATTTCAGACTCAGTTTGATTAACGGCAATAGGTGTCATAAAAAAAATACTCCTCGGTTCCCTTATTAATTGCCTTTCCTTAACGTGCGCTGCGCCGAAATGGCTACTTTCATGCATAGATGTACTTTGAAATTTCTCTTTAACTATTGTTCTGGCATTCAAGAGACTCAGATTGGCCTGGTACTCTCAGATATATGATGCTTATGCCCGTTTCGGGGTGTGAAATGGGGTTTGCTTCATGAACTGGCTGTTTTTGCATGCAGGATCTGCTCTGTGGGGACGCGGAAGCACCCCTGTAGTAATGTGTACTTGATTCTCCTCACACATTTACTGGCCTTCTGCTTTCTAGTAGCACGAAGCACACCAACTCCAGCGCTCCGTCGACAGCGAGACACCTCGCGACCGTGGTCATGTTGGCTAGGCCTCTTGTTCGTGTTTGGAGAGTGCATGTACTTTTCTTGACTTCGGATTTGCTTCTGTGCTAAAGGCACACCTTTTCTTTTGCACACTTTCCGCGGCTTTCCTACTTGGGCAGTCGCAAAATACAGGGAAATTTTGTTCCTACACTCAGTTCGTCTTAGGTCTTGATGTACAGGTAAAGAACATGATAGCATGTGTTTGAAAGTAGGAGAGAAGATGTGGTGAGCTAATCGCACATCAACGGTTTCAACTACACTCGTTGATATCCCAAAGAAATAGTATCAAATTGACTTATTGATTTGGCTGTTCGTATAGCATATTTGCTGCAGCATACTACTAGCTGAATACAAGAAGATGCAGTGTAGTGTATGGTGTGAGTGGGCCAGATGCCACGTGCAGCCAGCTGTGTGTGTTTAGAATGCGGTGAGGCGCATCTACGTGTACCCTAGCTGACCCACTCCCCTCCTGCCGATATCTCTTAGAATCGCCGGCAGAGAAAAACAAGGGATCTTTGAAAGCATTCAATAATGCTCTAGGAAGTTCCTGTTGTCTCTAGAATTGGGGATCTCTCGACGAAGACCTTACCTTCGGGGTTACAGTGCCGATAGAGGTTCAGTTAGGCGTCAGTCCCATAAAGGGGCATGGGACGTACATTCTATCATACCTAAATTCATTCTTCGAGAGAATTATATGTCCATGACATGGAAAATGAATAGAATATCCAGGTTTTCAACAAGTGGGGGCACCATAAAGCCCACTTGGCGAGTCAAGTGTGGAAACTGTCAAATGTTGCCTCATGAGTAAAGCTAGAGGCTATCCCATGCCAAACAGTAGCCAAAGTGCAATCTTGTATATTGGAATACAAACTAGGAAGCTGATGCGTGGGTGCTTCATGGGTTTGCACTTGATGTGTAAGAGTAAGGAGTGGCCATGTAGCAACTGGACGCTGAACAGAAATGGGATCGGTTCAATTACATTGTTCGCTCGTTTATTTTTGCCTTTTTCTTGTAGCAAAACTAAAAGAAGACGCATGCCACTCCTCAGGAGCAAGTATGCCCGAAAATTTAACAGAACGAGAGGCAGCAGCAGCCCCGGTAGAACAGCAAAGCATCGAACGATTCATTGTTGCTCCGTGCCCGTCGCTGCTGCTGCGTGCTTCCAGTTTGAAACGGCTTTTCCTTTGTGCTAAATAAACTAAAAGAGAGGAATACTAGCTGCAGCACTCTCTCTTCGTCTGGCAGTACGTGCAGGCGACATGAGGCTCGACTAGCCGGCCCTCGGGAGATACGAGGGGATCTGTCATTTTGGACCATCTAAGCCCTGCTTCCTTTCCGTGCCCTTTGTATTCCCAGCAGAATGTCCATTATGCACGCATATGGGCCTCTGGTAATCAGATGACTCTCCCTACAGACCTCAATCCCATCTGTGCTCCACCGGAACCCACCTCCGTAGCGATTTATCGCTGGTCGTCCAAACTTGGGGCTTAATATTCCTTAAATCTTCTATCCTTACATCTGCCCGCCTCATTGGCCTTGTGTAAGCCTCGAATAGCAAGCTCCCTGCTGACGGGAGGTGTGTGGCCTAAATCACCAAGCCTTTATCATTAGGGGAGACAAAACCAGTGTGAGTCCTTTGGGGAAGTCAGAGAAGGAGGGATTCTTTCAGCAATGGCGAGCCTTAGCCTTGAAAAGGAAGGCAGACAGAGGTCGCTCAAGGAGCAGCAGAGGCACCGCTACGATGAGGACTCAGAAGATAATCAGTCCAACGCGTCTGAAAGTATGTAAACACCAGCCATAGACCATATCTATTGCGAGGCTAAAACACCATCTCTCCCTTAGATCTACTTGTGCTGTGTTGGGTGGTTTGTTGTGGCGGGCTTGCATTGAACGTCCAGGGTCTGGTATCTCGTGTGGAGCTATTTCTGTGCGGTTGTTTGGCATGCAGACACTGGACTAGAGCCTGAGGGGGCGCGCACACTAATAAATGGATACAGCAAAAGAACGAAGCAGCTGCCCTGGTCGTGCTTGTTGGCGTATGCGGCCCCCATGATTGGAGCGGGGGGCATGAATTTTACGCTCACTACTTTTGCGGCGTATTTCTATACTGACACTATGGGACTAGCTCCAGGTCAGATATAGCAAGCTCTAAGCAGTACTCTCCTTGGTGTATTTTATCTCGCTGAATTTTATCCAAACTTTATTCGTGCAACAGCAACGGGCCCCAGAGCTGAATCGAGAGCCTTGGTTTGAGACTTGTATGCTTTTTACATCTAGTGCACAAACAATACCAAAACCCGTTATCATCGGCAGTGCTTGAGGATTCCTGCTCTCTCTGGATCCCCACTGGTTTTAGCGATTCTGCTTTCCGCCGGAAATTGTGTGCTTTCGCCCACTTTTTAGGTGTCGTCGGGAAGGTACAGATGTCGTTGATGATGATGTATGCGGTATCCGAGCCGATTTTCGGATGGCTGAGTGATATTACTGGAGGATGGGTCAAACGTACTTGCGGTAGAAGAAAGCCATATCTGGCCATTTCAGCGTTTCTTCATTCTGGTAAAAAAGGCACCCTCTTGAGATTTCTAGCATAATCCCATACTACTCTTGAGTGTGCTGCGCTAGTGACGTGCGAGCGGGCGTCTGGGCGTATACCTACGATAGCGTTTTCGGACGGGCAATTATGCCCTGGAGAGGACACAAAGTTTATGCCCTTCAGTGGCTCTGTTTTGCATTCGCATCTGTCTTGTTTTCCGTAGTTACGTTTATTGGTCTTATGGGCCCGCCCGGTGCCTTGACAGCAGACAATGGCCTAATTGAATGGGCCTTTGCGTTCGCGGTACTACTTGGAATGTCTTGGGGATGCAACGAAGTCACCTTCCAGGCCCTGGGCGCGCAAATGACGTTTGATTACGACGAACGAACAAAGTTGCAAGTGCGACTAGTATTCATTGAAAAAAGAAAACAAGGTCTTGTTATTTTATTGGGTTGCAGGGACGGTACTCCTCGGCTTGCTCACTCGCGGATCTCCTTTTAATTCTTGTACATCACATATTGTGGATAAGTATTGTTTTGCCCTCTGCAGAACACCACGTTCGTGGATACTTCACACAATATTTTGTGGATGTTTTAGTGGAATCTTCTGAGGGGAGCCATTTTGGTTCGATATGCGCTCTGTCCTTGAACATTTCTTGCTCTCTGTTTTCAGGCAATTGCGGTTTCTGTGATCACGTTAGGATCAACCTCATGTGGATTGTTGCACGGTGTTTTGGGTTCAACTTTGGGGGCCACCGTTGAAGCAACGCGTCTCAGGTTCCTGATTCTGGGTTCAGTATACGCTGGGGTCTTCTTCCTTGGTACTTGCATCATGCTGATTGTGATCAAGGAGGAAAATGTTCAGCCCGAGTACAGTAACGGTACACAAACACTCGGCGAGTGGATTTGGTCAGGAGTTGAGTCCACGCAGCAGATGTTCCTCAACCTGTAAGCTTGCCGCTATGAGCTTGAGCAGTACTATTTGTAGTTCTACAGTTTCTTGTGATATGTGTAAGACTGAATATGACTTACCCTGCCTCCTTTTAAGCATATTGCAAGTGGATTTGTGATGACAGAAATAACATGCAATCAACCTCGTAGCAAGCAGGTTCTGTGGTGGGAATTTCCTGTGCGGTTGGCCGATTCGATGGGTGGCTTTTTTTTATTCCCCTTTTGTTCTGTATGCTGCTGTTTCGGTCGTTTTCAGGCCATTCTTCTTAATGATGGTTTCATACTCTTGCATGATCATGGCGGGGGCGGTGACGCCAATGATGCTTCCATATTTCTGTAAACATGTAGTTCAGTCCCACTTTGCTACTGACTGGGCTCCTCTTCTTTTCACTGCCAGTGCAGTGGTGGGGATGCCCATTTGGGTGGTTTTGGGAAGCTCTTACTTCCTAGTGGAAAAGAAATGGCGCTTCGTTTTCGCTGGAGTAAGACCATCGAGATTCCCTTCTGCGCACGCCATCTTGAAATAATCTGGATACGACTATTTGTGTAGCACTTACAATGAACGTTGCATGTCTCCAATTTAAGCACTTTTTACTGGCAGCATAATTCTGTCTATCTGTTGCATAGGCTTGGGTCGGATGTTTTCTTGGCCTTTCCGCTCTTATTGTCAAGCCTGGAGACAACCTTTTGTTTATTTCATTTTCCGTTTTGGGGGGCCTCGGAATGGGCGGTTACTTTGCTACACCAGAAGCAATGAAGCCCGATGTCGTGGACTATGACGAATTCAGGACCGGTGCTCGGTGAGTGTTCTTATTTTCTGCTTTTCACTCTCCGTATTCTGATTAGGGCAAAAGTTGATAATATTTCATCAAGCATCCACACATGGGGGGTCTTTAGCTGCTTGTGAACTAAAAGCTCTTGAGTTTCTGTTTCCTGCTGCTTTGATCGGTCGCTCAGGCATGAAGCACGTTTCGCTGGAGTGTTTATGTTCTTTGCCAACATTTGCGCGGGTGTTGCTTTGGAGGTGATGCTCCTGCTGCTGGACCATTTTGGCTACGATGGAAATAAGCGATTGGGAGATGCAGAGCCCGAGGCTGTTGTAACCACCATCCGCGTGGGGTTTGGATCAACTCTGCTCATGATGCTCGCCCTGATTATCCCAGCGATGGTCTGCTACCCAATTACAAGACAAAAGCATGCAGTACGTTCTCTTGCCCTTGTACCACCTTGGAAAACCTATGGCCCATCTTTTGTTTGTCTTCGGGCATCGATTTGGTAATCTGGATTCTATCATAAAGACCGAAGCCACATGTTGACTTGCTTTGTGCTGGTTGTGTTATAGGATATCTTGACTGCCATTCAGCGGCGGCTAGAGGGCGAGCATGCGCCGGATCCCTTGTACGGAGGGCGGCCACTTCCGCCTTATGACAACGTTCCGATAACCCGCCGTGTGGCTTCACTAGAGGGGGCGGAGCCGGGGACTTCTACTTTCCTGCAGCAAGTCGGAATGGAGGTCGGTTCTCTAGCGGGAATACACGGAGACAGAACAGGTATACGTAATGTGCCATGAAGTCTTGAAAGCAGGCAGAAGAAAGGAAGGAGCGAAAAGGAAAAGCTAATGGCATAGCGATAAAAACTTTTCGAGAAATTGCAGCCCTGTGGAGCATATACGATCCCCTGTTGGCTAGGTGGCTTATATGCTTCTTCACCCGCAATCGCAGGTGAACCTTTGGAATGACGCACATCATACAATCATACCATAACTCGTGGTGCAGAGATCAGTTTGCAGTCGGTAGTAGAGGGACGTGAAGTTCTGAAGCAGTCTCTACCTGCTCGACCTTGCAGTCTAAGGCCTGAGCGGCGTCTGCTGCCAGTGCAGTTGTTGCAGCTTCTGCTGCTGCCTCTGTCAGAAAAAGAAGCTGCAAGTGTATTCTCTCTCCATCACCTTTGAGAGGGTGGGGGGATTAGGCCAAGGGGTACCTACTGGCCACTGTCAGGAGGGTTCATTCACCCCAAAGTTGCATCAGCGGCCCTGAGTGACCTCTGTCCCAAAGTTTGGCCTCTTACAGGGAATTCAGGCTGCATCTCAACGTACGCTATCCAGTCAACAAAAGCGATCTTCTGATTAAATGTCTATTTACACGAGCCTGCTCTGCTCTGTTCTGCGTGCATATCGGAATGTTAGATATACCGGCATTGTTCAGCTGGTAGTGAATTGTAGATAAGAAATATCATCGCATGAAGTGCTAGGCTGAAGGATACCCGCAATGCCTGAATCGTGGTCAGATCAATGCATTAGTCTGGGGGCTATTCCGCGTACACTGCATCCAGTGTCAGGCTGAGATAGGAAGCATTTGCGTGGCGTAAAATAAAGGAAGCTAAAGGAAGAAAGAGACATGGGGATACGGAGGTCCCACCACAAAAGTGAATGCTTTCAGAAAAGAGCATCTTGCGGTACGATAGGACCAAAGTTTGATGCGTGCATGAAGGGTGCAGTCTTAGGGGCAGTGGGGGCTGAGAAAAAAGAGGTTTCTTAGTGCTTGAAGAAGCAATAGGGATCCGTGTTGGGAGCCAAGGGACTTTCAGTTGTTACCCTGGAAAATTCAACGACTTAGTCGCTCATTAAGTAGGCTTTTCAAAAGCGTGGTCCCTCATATGTATCCTTTTACGTATGCGGGGGACGACATCCAGCTTAACGAGACTAGCCTTTCCGCTTCATCTGGCTGCCAACATTCGGTTTTAGCCTATCTTCCTCGACCTGTCACATGACTGCTAACTTTTAAGGTACAAAGGATGTCAGTATGCTAGGTCCGACTAGGAGGCATCACAATGCCTCGCAATTTGCCTGTAAAAAATGTCTGGGTAGTTTAACCGAGCTACATTTTGGCATTCTCTACACGATAGCCGTGTGCAAGTGCGTTCTGGTTAAGTATTGGCTGCGTCTTTTGATCGGTGTTACGTCCAAATCGTTGCAGAGCAGCATTAGCTATACACTAAACGAGTGAATGCGGCATGCTTGTGGACCAAGTGACTGTCTGCAACCTAACAGGAAGGCTCAGAGTGCTCACAAGGCGCTGCTACTTCCATCTCGAGTGCCCGTTCTCCCCTCAGGAAGGACCTGGATTGTGACGCCTTATTTAGGGGCGCGATGGGCACGCACGCACCGAAGTTAGGTCTCAGTACAAGTTGAGAGGAAGTGATGAGTGCTGTAGAGAATTCCCCTGCCTTCTGTCCTCATTCCTCAGGTGGCGTGCCACGAGGGGAGAGAGTAAGCTAGAGTGCGCCTTTTTGTACCCTAGAAGCACTTGTGATTGTGACAGGTCGTTGCCTATTCATCTAGAAAAGTCGCACCCAACATTCCTTCTTCTTGTATCGAGTTAGCAGGACCCTGCAATCAAGCTTCACGAACCGACGGCCAATAGTCAGCTCTTGAGTAGCCCTCCCCAATACATCTAGTCTAGTAGAATGTTTTGGTATAATCAAAACCGCCAATCTATCCCCCCCATCCCATCCGTCACATGGCAGGCCAAGCCGCCGGTATGTGGAGATCACTAAACGACTTACATTATATCTACTCAAACAAAGGAGCATTCACTTTCTTAAAATGATCGATTCACGAGCTCTAACACATCGGAATCCAACAGCTTGACTTGAGTGCAGCCCTCACTGTGTCTTGTTTCCGTCCGTACATTCCTATCCTAGCAGCCCCACCACGTTTATAGCTACACATCGGACTTACATATAAAGCTTATTATAGTTGATAAAACCCTTTTCTATTCCTCACTCGCTCATTCATTTCTTTTGTAATCAAAATTCAATCCTTCAATGACAGGCTTTATGCTATTATGGTGCTGTTCACTGCAAAACTCCGGCACGACAGTGCAAGAGACCCCCGCTTTCGACACTTCTCAGGCAGGCTGGAACGCATTCGCCAAGAAAAAACAAGACATCAAGCCGACAAAACCGTGGCGGCACAAGAGATGACTAGCTGGGGTGGGCGCCTAATTTGGGTGAGGCACCTATCACTAGAAAATACAAAGCAAGTAATATGTGTAGAGCATATAAAAAGCACACGACTCAGCAGTACCTCCATGCCTCACTGAGCAATCTCTGCATGCCAATAGAGCGGATGCATGCAGCATGGTAGACTTGTAGGGTAGGCCCTAGAAACGGAATAACTAAAAATCGAGGGACAGCATATCAAAGAATGCCTGCACATAAATTTATGCATGAAAGCTTTGCTAAGAAAACCAGGAGCTTTCTAAGCTGTACACATATTTCAGAAAGCTACTCGAAGGGGAGCCTCCACTGGTGGAACACAATTACCAAGGGATGCGCGCCGTATAATCCAAGGCGACTACCATTGTTAGCCAAACAGAGCTGCAGAGTTTACCACAAGCAACGAAACCTGCAACTGCTCCTCGGCCGACCACTGAGGCAGGCGTTCCCCACCCCGTTTCACTTATTAAAAGCTATCGTCAAGTGTGTTCTTGACACTCGAGAGCAGTACATGCCAGCACTTCTACGGCTCCCTGTCAATACTTCATAGTCCACATTAGCCACCTGCCTGCGCGGCACAGTCCGCGAATGCTTAGGAAAAGTTTTGATGCCTCTTTGCTATGCAATATTAATAGTCATATACTATTTCTAGCTTTAGGAGAACGATTAGGGTAAAAGGAAGAAATGGTTTGTAAGAAAGCTGAAAATAACTCTACCATCCTGGTGGCAGGCGTCATCTGCTCACCGTGTGGTCACCTCGTATGATGCCTAGCGATCCACCAGAACCAAATCTCCAAGTTTGTAAAACACAGCTGGGCTCCGCTTATCACAGTTATGTACTTTTCTCTCTTGTGCTTTGACCGTAAATTTGCGTATATAATCCAGATCCCCTTTGAATACGAATGCCTCTCCAATAGGCTGATAGAAACTTGGACTACTTGCCCAGCCTTACGACAGTCAATTTTCTGGTCGACGAAACAACTTCCACAAGCATTTTACCAGTTGAGGAATCATGCCATTCTGCCAGCTATGGAGATACTGCGTACATATCACTTTGCAGGGTACGCTCTGTCGCCCCAATAAATAGGCGTTGTCCCACAGTAGCTCTCCATTGCCACGGGACTTTTCCCTCAGACTATTGCTAGATAAAAACATATGATCGAATTAACAAAAATGTTCATGAAAACCAGACAAGTACTGTGGGAAAAGTTGACGTGTCAATGCATCCACAGCCGGAGGATAAGCGGCGATCAGGTTCATCCAACCATGCAGTGCCAGCAGGTGCAGCGCTCCGCCCAAGGCTTCCGTAGAGACGTGTACGTCTCCAGACACAAAACGAATTAAAGCAAAGTTAACGTACGTGTATTTAGCGAAATTGCCGCCCCTTTTTCTGCTCGTGCCTCTCGGGGTTCCCTACATGACGGGAGAGGGACAGCTATAGTCCGTTCTGCCTCACCCTCGAAGCACACCGAGCATTAACAACTAACTGCACACAGCATCTAATGTACATGCACACAGGATTGCGGCAGATTGTATCGAGCTAGCACTTCTCTACAACAAGAACGAAATAACAACAGGCAAATCAATTAGGCGATTCTTTATTAACTCCTCGTTATAATATAATTAATGCGGTAGAACGTGTTTTAGCATTGCTGTGGGCGCCTCATATGAGGCAGGCAATGCTAGAGGGGAGACGCTTTTGACAGAGCGTATACAAGTCTCATCGTTAGTTGCTCCCGCTTGTTAGGCTCCTCTTTGGAACTCAATACGAATTTCCTCATCCCCTATCCCCCCATTACACCCCTCCAAAATGTAGTGCCTGCCCTATTCTCTGTTAAAGGAAAGGAATCCAGTGGGATGGACAAGGAAGAAGCCGTGGAAAGACTTAGTAATAGGATCATTACGCCCTATGTTGGCGCAAAACAGGGATCGAATACCATAAAGACAATATGCAGGGAGTCCAAGTTCCAGGAAAGGAATCTATCTCTGATCAATCAGATCGCTCCTGCGTCGATTTTCAGCTGTGAATTTATCAAGTTTGTGCCTTTCCGGTGTTTGTATGGTCGTCACCGTCACGAGCTGAATGAAAGTGTAACGCACGGAGTTCGGCCTGGGGCTGCATGTGAAGTGGGGTCCTCAGACTCAGGGTATTCCTTTCCGTATTCCATTTCGTAGATTTCCCCCCTCAATTTTGTTTTTTTGGTGTTAAATGCGTCAGAAATACAAAGGGAAGGGAGAAGAAGAGGGGGAAGATGTCAACTTTTGTCCCTCTCGCCGCAGACACAGACGGCACCGCTACGGCTGTGGCGGTGGGAGAATGGCTTCTTCACAGTCCGTATTCACCTTTGCCCTAAATTTTAATCCCTTTTATTATCAGCTGTGCTTCAGCAACCTCCGCCCGAGGCTCAGCTGTCAGCCACTCTCGTCTACTGGCTGCTTTAGGGAGGGGCCCTACCGCATTGTGACTATACCACTGGCGTTGTCTGCATCTTTGATTTACCCAACGCCGATTGCTGCATGCTGTGCTTTTATTTCCCTCGGGTGATGGTGTACTCCCTGCGCACTTTGCCACATCTTCATCTCTGGCAGGGCCCAGTGAATGGCCCTTTTGCACGAATACGTTCGATTGTGTACCTCGTATGCTGCTGCCTTTCTGGCCGTCTTGTATTATAATTCTTATTCCTCCCACGCACTTTCTAGTATACTACAGGCGACAAGTCTACGTTCCAGTCGTCTGGATTGCAATCGTTTTGTCATTACTCCCTGCTAGTTGGATGGCTTTTTTCTTTCATTCGTTGCATTCGTCTTTTGCTGCGTCTTCCTCCTCTTCTGTACTGTTTACAACATCCTAATGCTCTCGCAGACTGTCATGCGTGCACCTTACACTCTCTTGGCTTCATCTTCATGAAAATCGCTTTGTCTTTTCCCTTAATTCCTCAGCCCCGGCCTTGTTTCCCTTTTTTCCTTTCAGTTATCAGTCTGTACGACTCCGAGGAAAATCAAACCACTAATGGATACTACAGACAATTTATGGAATGTTTTTCCCGAGATGAGGCAGCGGGAGAAACGAGGATCTGCGACCCGATGCAGCTTCTGAATCTTCTCCTCTCGCAGAATGAGCTGGTGTTTAGGTGGCTTATTGATGTCAAAAATGCTCAGGAGCAACACGGGTCTGGACCTCCCGCAACTGGATCTGACGGAAAGCCGGAAGTAAATCGCAAAAGGCATACACGCCAAGCCCTACATCGCATGCTCGTGCCGTAAAGTTCCTTAGCACCCAAAGGGGCTACACGGGCGTTCTTATTGCAACGCGAAGGCATCAGCTTAGCATCTCAGCGGCGCGCATGCATGCAGCTATCTGTGTAACTTGGGGCCTTTGAACTTGGTGATCCCTGCTCCCCTTCAGGCGCTCTTTTCTTCAATACGAGCACCGCATGTGGTAGTTATGGCTGTGTTCAGGCGAAAAAGTCTTACATGGAAGCTCTTCGTGAAGTAGAGGATTTCTTCGTCCTCCTCATTTCCATTGTTGTATTGCGGATAGAAGATTGCGAGAAGGCCGGACAAGCTGCAGGCTCCTTTTGCTCTGCTTTCCGAGCGAGCAAGGAACTCCCAGAGTTCAGAGTTAAACTGTCAGTTCCAAGAAAATTGCGTTGGAGTGCTGCAGGCTTTGCAGATTTTAGCGTCATTCTTAGCATTGGGCGTATTGCCGTGGCCGTTCCTGCACAGACTCTCAGCATCATTCACAGATGCATTGTTAGGCGCCATATCGGGTGTCGGTTTCGTTTCGATTCGCCCGCTAGTCTTTTTGAACCCGCGTTTTTTCACTGTTTCTTTTCTGGCCGTTGTGTGTGGGGCCTGTACAGGATGATGTGTCTGTACAACGCCTTTCCTCCCACCTTCCCATACCGGTTCCCGATATTCGTGTCTCTCTTGGAGTTTGCCGCGGAGACTAACCTCTTCCACATGCTCCTTCCATATGTCAAATATGTAAGCAGTGGAAGGTGAATAATTCATTGCCATGGTTGCCACTTCCAGTAAGGGAAGAACACTGCTCAGGCGTTTTTCGTATTCGCCACTTGCATGCACACGGGGTGACTGTTTGCAGATCAATGAATGGGCAAAGGATTGGAACCTTGGACCGGCAGCCCATAGACAAGTGTTCCTCATTCTTGCAAACGAACTCAAAAAGCTCGGAAAGACGTAATTTTCACGATCCTTGAAGCATTGGGTCCCAACCCCTCAGCCTTTGAAACGGGAATCCCCACAGACTAAACACCAGACCCCAGTAAACGTAAAGCCGTTCATGCTCTTTGGGCCTTTGTTTTATTTGATTGAGGCTCCTTAAAGCAGCTTGCAAGCACAAGTCAAAATGCTTGGAAGTTTGGGTTTTTGTATGCTACCCGTGTGTCTTCCTTAGGGATGAGGCGTTCGACTACCTGAAGCGTCACGTGCACTTCTTCCAGGGGGAGCCTGAGGAGGTTCTTGCTGAAGGGTAAAAAAGCAGATTTGTATGTGTTTGGGTTTCTTTTGATGGTCATTTAGTGCTCTTTTTAATCAGAGCACTTGAATGTGTGCACAAGATACTCTTGTTGCTTCCTCCTCTCTCGGTAGTTAGTGTTTGTTTTTTTTGGCCTGTATGCGGGAATCCCAGTTTGTTCTCCCACTGCGCCTTGGATCCTCTTTATTACGCTGTGTTCGGAGTTTCCCGTATAGCTCTCCATCGCTTGCTTTCTGTCTGTGCTTCAGTGCCACGGTTTCGGCAGCAGTGGAATTGGCAGAGGATGCGATCAGGATGCCGGATATTCTGTATTTTGATTCTCTGCTGGAGCTGAGTGCAGTTAAGATGCTGCAGAAAACCCAGCATGCGCCGCTGTACAGGCTTCTCGAACTCTTTTGCCGGGGAGGTCCCAAGGAGCTCGAGGAATTGCATGCACAGCAGCCACAACTATTGGAGACTTACGGTCCGACACTCAAGCCCCTTTCTAGCCCTTCCTGTGTCTCTCCTATCCCCTACTATTGTTCCTATCAACCTGTGATGTTGGCTTTCTCTTTTTGCTTCATGGACTCGGTGGCTACCCCACCCCCGTTTGTGTAGGTGTATGTGTCTGTGTGTGCCTCGCCCTCCAGCTGCTTCGTGCTGACTGCTTTTCCTAATCCCTTATGCTTCTGTTATGCAGGTTTAAAGTATGAAACCTGCTTGAAGAAGCTCCGCCTTCTGTCTGTGGCTTCGGTTGTTGCGAACAAGAAGAATATTGGATTTAAACAGCTGAGCGATGCGCTAAGGCTCTCTGAAAATCAGGCAGAAGAAGTTGTTGTGCAGGCAATTGGCTTGGGGCTTATTGACGCAAAAGTTGATCAGATTAACAGAGTGGTGCACATCAGGTTCGTTGCAATTGCTGATCACCTTTTTAAATTTCCTCTTTGCTTTAGCTAGCTTCTCGTGTGCCCACTTTTAAAATATTCCCTTTATTGGCGGGCTGATCTTGCTGCTGCCCCTCGTCAAAAAGCTGAACGTCTGTTGATCAATGCATTCCTGTCTTGTGTTACTCTGTAGCTGCCTCTCTTTGCTTGCCTTCATCGCCTTTGTCGCTTTTCATTCCGTCTTTCCTCACTACCCCCCAACGCATTCAGTTTCTGATTGTTCCATGGTTGATTGCTCTCGCTCTCTATTCTTCTTTGCATCTGGTCGTTTTCTTTCTGGTGTCTACTGTATATCTATTTGTACGACACTCCATTCATGTGTCTACAGAACGGCGATTCAACGGGAATTCGGGAGAGAGCAGTGGGAAGAAGTTGCCGCCAAGTTGGACCACTGGCATTTGGGAGTGACTGCATTGCTGCAGTCAATAGAAACAGCCAAACTTAATGCTGCAGAAACGAGCCCTAGTCCTGTTTCTGCGTTCCAGTAATTACTCTGTCTTATGACCAAGGGGGGGATGAAATTTGCTAACAGTTTCAAAACGTTTTTGCTCCTAGAAGTGAATTTCTCGGCAGCAGTAGGCAGCCACGAAGGAACTATACGGGAATTAGGAACCTCGCCATTAACCTGGTTCTCCGTGACACTTGTCTGCTTCTTCTCAACGTCTCAGTTCAATTCCTTTCTCTTCCGTGTTACGGTTGGTGTTATTTCAGTAGCTTTTCCTGTTCGAGGGAGTCGTATGTTTTAACGCTACTTCCTTGGTCTCCCTGTCCCGGCCTATCCTTTCTTTCGTCGTAATTGAGATTCTCTGTTCAGCAGAATATTCGCTGTTTTCTTCATGGGATTCATGTTCAGTATACGTTCTGCGTGAGATATCTAGAGCTTGATACGATATAACACTGATGTAGCAAATCACCTAGGAGGCCACAGTAAAGGGGCACTTGGGGTCTAGCAAAACAGTAGGATGCACACTTGCCTGCCTTTTTGCTAACGATACATTTCCGTGTTCCTCAACTTCGCTCCCTATTTGATGTGTTCTAACTCACGCTACTGCTTTGCGTTTCAGTCCTTTGCCACGTTCGTGCTGCTGTGCATTTCTTCCTTAGTATCGCTTCCCTTTTTCTCGTTCTTTTAAATTTCGGTTCCCCATGACTCCCGCATCAAGGGGTTGCAGCAAAATGTTAGTAAAGCAGAAATTCAAGGAAATCAATTCAATACGTTTTTCGCCTGCTGCTCTATTTATTCAAGGGGCAAATTACAACAAACCCAAAGAGCATTATGATACCAAATGCATTTCTTCCGTGGCTGGGTGCATTACGAGATAAGCAGGGCAGCACGACGGTAGAAGCAAGGAATGCTGAGCAGGAAGTGATGAGAAGAGGCACAATTAAGGACGGGGACGGACGAGGCATTCGGTACACTGGGAATGGTGTGTATAGGGGGCAGGGCGCGGTGAGGGGGGCGCAAAAAAACAGCAGCAGGCGCTGTGCAATAACTGTTTGGCGCATGTATTACTACAATAAAGCAAATTGTTGGCTTGCCTGAGTGGTGGTGGAACCTAAGCAGTCAGAACAGCAACGTGGTGGCTCCCCCCCCTCTCTTAGTATCCGAAGTTTGTGGGGTGCAAGTACTGCATGTTGCCCTGCAAGACTGCGTGCGGCTGCTGTCCAGAATGCACATCAACTCCACTATTGCTGCTGCTATTTAGCCCATTCGCTTGCGACGCTGCTTCCTGGGATGTGTGCACGCGCTGTAGCAGCAACACGTGGGCGTTGTGCACGGCGGCAACGCTTCCTGACACGACGATCTTTCGGTCTGTCGTTCCAGGAACAAAGTCCCCCTTGTGGCTTATCTGCACCCTAGCGCCGGTCTGTTTCATTATCTCGGAAACACACCGACCACTCTTCCCTATGACAGCGCCAATGACGGCTTCAGGAACATGAAGATAGATTTCGCACTGCTGGGAGAGAATGTCGGGCCCAGGGGTTCCAGCTGTGTAGGTTCCATATGGGCCTCCGTAGCCCGCGGAGGGGCCCCCGTAGGGTAGAGAGAGGGGGGCCCCAAAGGAGGCCCCAGCTGCCTTGTAGACGACGTACATGTGGGATTTGAGATTTGGGTCGTTCTGCAAACAGGCTGCAATGGCAAGGGCCGCAGCCTTGGCCTCCTCTAGATGACCAGACACCGTAATTAGCCGTTCAACAAGTCCTTCTTCCCTGTTAGAGACTTGAACTCGCGCGTTGGTTGCCTCCTGCAGCTCCTTGATCTGTTGGCCCCCCTTGCCGATGATTGCGGCTACTGCTGACTTGGGTGCTACGATGCGCAGCATCACCTTTACAGGGGGAAGAGAAGGAGATACAGCGGGTTCATAGGTGTCCTTCTTGCTGCTGTCTGTGAGCAGCTGCTGCTGTTGCTGCAATTGCATCATCTCATGAATTTTTTCTAGCACCACAATAACAGCGTCGTTCAGGGCCTCCTGCTCGCCACTCATTATCAGGATCCGCTCTTCTGTCCCTGGGTAGTACATGTTTGCAGGAGAAAGCTTCAACGCGCAGCCTGTTTGCTGCTCTATCTGCGCAATCACGCTGCCACTCTTCCCGATTACAGCACCAGCAACAATGTTGCTAACCAACAGTTTTAGGTAGCAAGGGCCCTGAAACGCAACGCGCTTCGGGGGGGCCGATCCCTCCATTTTCCGAGATGTGCGTGTGTCGCAAAGAATCTCTCAAGAGGGCCTTTTCGGCTAGATAGCTCCTGCGGAGGCGGCAGGAAGAAACGCGCAAGGCACAACTGAAAGGTGGACGCCAGAGGGATGCGCAATCTCAATGTGCGGGGAAGAAGGAAGGCTGTGACGCCTTATCCTAAGGACTAAGGAAGGAGAGGAAGGGCTAGGAAGAGTCGAAGAGAAACTGGAAGCAGAAGAAGGAGCGGGGCAGGGGAGGAGGAAATGCGCAAGAAATTAACCATAAATCCTACACCCTAAATCCTTTTCAGTTAGAGGAGGGAGAAAGAAAGGTGTCTATATAAATGGAAACAAAGAAACGAAATACTTAGCCACAAAGAGCCTGCTGCTTCTCCTGTGGATACGGGGCTCGTACACTATCACTGCAACAGAAATCGCAGCAAGCATTTAGAGGTGCTGGAAGAGGCGCCTGCCCGTCTAAATACCACTCTGCTTCTTGTTCTTACTTGTTGGATCAAGTAGTATTAGGTGGAATAAGTTACGTGCTGCGTATTAAGGAGGTGTTTTGGCCATTTAGTGAGATTCTCGTGCGGCTATCCGTCCCGCCGCCTTCATTGCCGGCAGATAGCAGCAGCAGTATCGGGTATGTGCTTCCGCCTCAGTGCGCGATTATCGAGATCTACCCCCAAATGTGCTTCTTATTTGCACATTTGGAATCTCTCTGATGGCTGAGAAGGCCGAAGACAGCCATAAATAGGCAGGAAATGCCGAGCCCAATCATGCACCTCGAAGTCGTTTGTCTTTGCTCGAAGCGAGGGGATGGATGGAAATGGTGACACACAATGTACCTTTCCTCAGTTCTAGAGTATAAATGGGCTGTGGCATATGCAAAATCCGCTTCCCTTGCCCTTTCAAAAGCTAATGTGTTTTACACATGTATCTTAAACCGAAGCCGTACCAGGGGACCCTCCCGCCAGATGAACTCATGGGCATATACAGCAGAGCTCTGTACACACACAAAAGGTATATTTCAGGGTGCTAGAGTGTTTTTCTCCCTGGTGGCTGCATGGGAGGCGCTTGAAGCCGCGCGTTCCAGCCCAATAACCCACACAGGCAGACGGAAAGAAAACCTACAGTGTAGCGTGCTAAACTACAAGTAGGCACTTTCTACTAAATTAGTTCATTTAATTAGGGATTAGTGAACAATTGACAAGTTGGTTTGTGTGCTCGTATATCTTAGGTATTGCAGAGCATTGTTAGCTCTATACAAGAAGTAGCAATGTTGTGGGCATCTGCTGTAGATGCTACATGCAACTTTAGTTGTGAATGCTCGAAGTCCTTCTAGGGTGAAGATACGCACACCCTAGCTGTTGCTCGCTAGTCAAGTAGAAATTTCGAGGGTTGTGGGCAGGGGCATGAGGGAGCTCCTTTTAGAAACACTCGATAATTTTCCATCAAGTTTGCATTGAGTCTGAAGGTAGGTGCACCCCTGCAGCTATCTAATATGGATTGTTCCAGACTAAGAGAACTACACTGGAAAGACACGTGTGAAATAGAATTGCCAGAGACCGCTTAGAAGCTGCATTTCCTTAACGGTAACCCAGCAGAGAAACCATCCATTGGCGCTTTCCGTCCGTCCTTTTCTGTCATGCACTGTGTTAATATTTTGGCGTGCCCAGCCTTCCCCTCGCTCTCCTTTCCACGCCATTGGGCCGTGACTCCTTCGAGAGCAGACACACTGTGGCCCTTCATCTAGGGTCTCCGTAGGCACACAATCTTCTTTAGAGTCGACACAAATTTACTAAAAGTTATTGGGTGCTTTCTGAAAAGAGCTCCCTCGGGGTCGCCCCTGCTCGCATCACTGAGAGTTCCGATATGACGAAGGGGAAGCAGCTAGGGTGCGCGTAGCTGTACTATCAATTCACTCTGCGCATTCACTGCTAGTTATACATAACAAATATAGCACATGCCCACTGCATTAAATCTTCTTGGATCAAGCTAACAGTGTTCTACAGCAAATATTGAAATAGTCAAAGAGCCAATTATTTACCAATTTCTAATTGGATATAATTAGTGCACTAGGAGGTTGCTAGGTGTAGTTCAACCAGCTGCATCTTTTCCCCCTCTCTAGCGTATGCCCTCGTATTCCAGATTCGTCTGATGAGGCGAACAGCGTGCAGGATGGCAAAAGAGTTCCTACCCTATCACTACTCTCCAGGCACACAGAAACACAACAGCACTGCGATGATAAGCGTAAAATGCTAACCAACTGGTAAAAAGAGACTGAATTGAAGAAAGAAACACACCCTCGCGAAGAACGAACAAGAGACCAAACCAACATGAGTGCGGCACAATGGGAAACTTTCGTTGAAACACCTGGAGCTATTAAGCTGTGCCCATAGTTCAAGGTAGCCACTCGAGGAGGAGCCTGCGCTGGGGGAGGACAGTTACGAAGAGATGCGAGGTTTCTAATTCATGGTGACGAGCGCTGTCAGCCAAACAGAGCTGCAGATCTTACCACAACCAACGAAACCTGCAACTGCTCCTCGGCCGATCACTGAGACTGGCATTCCCCACCCCGCTTCACTAAAAGCTATCGTCAAGTGTATTCTTGGCGCTCGATAGTCGTACATGCCAGCACTTCTACGGCTCCCTGTCGATAATTCTCAGTCCACATGAGTCATCTGCCTGGGCGGCACAGTCTGCGAATGCTAAGGAAACGTTTTGAAGCTTCATTGCTATGCAATATAGTAGTTATACGCTACCTCCAAATTACAAGGGAAGGCGATTGACTGAGGAAAAGCACTAATTCTGGAGAAAAACGCAAACGGTCCTAGCTACCTGGCCATAAGTTTATCGTCTGCTCACCTTCTGTGCATCTCATAAAGCCTGCCGATCCACCATGAACAAATCTCCAGGCTCGGAACACACAGCTGGCCACCGCTGATCATAATTCCGTGCTTGCCCCTCTCGAGAATCACTCATACATTAGCTGCTTTCTGAATGCGTCCTGTGCTACGGTTCGCATCTTACCCCGGATCACCATGTGCAGGCTTCAATCGAAGTTCTTCAATCAGCGCCTACCTCTCTGGTTGTTAAAGTCCTGACACATGTTTATATGGTACCTCAAAGAGTCACGGTAAGTCTGGAAAGCAAAATGCAGCACTTTAAACGCCCCATCACGCCTCGTACTGTTCCTTCGTCTCACTGGCTACTGCTGCTTGGTTTCGACGCAGCAAAAAGAGCACCAAGCAATATCTTGGTGTTTTGGCCCCGTCATTTGTAGGGATAGAATAGCATCCGCAGCTGCATCATTAATATCGGCTATTGGAACGAAACTACACGCATAACTGGGCAGTGTGAGTACTGTAGGAGTTGTTAAACGGCTCATAAATGTTCTTGTTGCGGCGTCAGTCTCCGCTATCCAAATCATAGACTACATTTCCCAAGCTAATCAGTTAAAGAAACATGCATCCAAGAACATACAGGAATGAACTATCGGTCATACTATGCAGACCATATCACTTCATTAAATCCTTCGGGGTGAGAAAAGGTAAAGGCCACGCGCTGGCAGATTCAATTGTTGCAGAATCTTGCTGTTTGTGCAGCAAAACAAGAAGACCCAGCAACTATTATTATTTATCATAAAATACAAATATTTGCCTGCCTTCGCATAACGGTGTTTTTCCCGTAGGAGCACACTGTATGTGCTGTAGGTGTTCTTAAAGATTTCGGCTGAATCCTGAGGCCTCCTCCACTTAGGCAGCAATCAGCCCTTCGTTTATGGGCTCGTTAAAATCCCGACTACTGCGGTTGCAGTCCGGCTGAAGAGCTAACAAGTTTAACTGGCATGCAGGTATATCCTAGTTTGCGAATGCACATGTGTGGTGTCATCTTGTCTGACATTGGGGTGAGCCAAGATTTACGAAAGCATCTGTGCAATCAAATCCCGAGGAGGCTGTTGATCTTTGTAGTTTTGTCACGTAAAGCACTAACACAAGGCAACATGAGCTTGTAAATCGCATTCATGTTTGTCAAGCGATCAAGGTTGTCGCACGTGCGACAACTGTCGTTATTTCGGCATGAATACGGAGTTTTGTTCAAAAGGCTGGTAGATTCCTGCATGTTGCCTTTTTCAACAAAATCATACGCTCGACGCTTGATGTCCTCTTGATTTTATGAGAGCATTTCGTACCGTGGAACATAGTTTGGAACTGATCAGGAGATTACGATGCGCCGGACGACCACGGGTGGCCATCCTTCTGGGAGCTCGTCCACATTGAGCACATCCACGAGCTTTTCCATAATATCTGCTAATTCCTACTTTCCTTTGGTAGACATTTGAATCGCATTACTAAGAAATGAGCAATTACAAAGCTGGGAATGCGGGATACATGGCCAACACCGTCTTGTCTTACTGTACAGCTGAGCCTTCCTCAGGGATGCTCTGCCTTGCTTAGTTGAGGCACCCACTGTACCAGGATCATCGGAGACGAAGTGGGCGTATTTTAGGATACTAGGAATTGCGGTGCGATGCAGCAGCATCGCACCATGCGGTGCCATCAACTGGAGCAATCCCTCCGATGCTTCTATTTCCGGAGGGAATCTCTCTCCAGATTTGATAGAACTTTATGAAAGGAAACTTAAAGTTCTCTGATAAAAGTCCTGCTTCCCCCTGCCCGATCTTCTCAGAGTCCTCCGTATGAGGTCACATTACAGCTAGGGTGTGCATGGGCACACCCTCCAAGCATTCGCAGTATTAACTGTCTGCTGCATGTGGGGTACACTGTACAAGCACACAAAGGCGAATCCTAACCGTGGTAGAGCTAGTCTGCAATATATAAGATGTACGAGCAGACAGAGTATTAGTAAGTTCATCAACAAAATTGGAGGGAATGTGTCAAGAGCAGTACGAAGTGGTCAGATGTAGCTTGGCGCGCCGCATGCGTCCTTCACAACCTGCTTCCTTGCCTGCACCCTTGCAAGGAGGCATCAACTGCTGCCTAAACGATCCGCCTTTAGCTCTGCAGCGCCTTCCTTCCCCCCGTTCTGTCTACATCACAGCCTCTCTCTTCCTCTCGTACCCTAAAATGCCGGTACTTCCTAATCCTCTCTGACTGCGGTCTGACGCGTAAGCGCATACATGTATAAATATATATATGTATATATACATGCATGCCCTAAGATTGATTAGCCTAAGCAAGCCGCGTGCTCTTTGCGAGGCCAAAATCCTGCTGAAGAAGTTCCGGGCTGGATGCTCTTCAGCCTCTCTGAAGTCACGAGGACTTGCCATTTAAAGGCAGGTTTCAACGTACACGCTTTCCCCTATGCCCCCAAAGGATTTGACTGTGCCTGGCTTTGGGAGGGAAGGAGAGGTTATACGGTTGTCTCAAAGCCAGAAACTTGCATTACAGGTTTAACGCTGAAAAGCAGGGTCCACGGTCCACGGGTTCTTGTGTTTATTCCTCTTCTTGCTCTTCTTGCTCCTCTCTCACGTTGTAGTACCCGATCTCCTGAGACGAGCCGCACACAGGCATGTATAATCTAAAGATGCAAAGCCGTTGCACGCACAGGCTCCGCGTCCCACCCCTCGGCAGCATGCATACACCTCATGATTCGCCAAGTTGCGGTGCTTCACGACCATCTGCAGTGGACCTCTCGCGCCGAGAAGGAGCCGCTCCGCTTCAAAACTGCGGTCTGTCCTCGTTTGCCAGGTTCAGTTCGTGTAAGCGTGTCGGTTTGGTGATGGCGTGCGCTCAGAGCACTGTGCCGAGACTGGCGCTAAGGGCCGCCCAGGGTTTACACAATCACCGCTCCTGCGTGACGACTTGCCTTGAAGTACTTTTCACGAGCAGCATGGCTGCGTTCCTCGTAGCATGGGTCGTCCACAAAGTACCTGCACGCGGGCGAAGAAGAACCTCAGAGGCACCCTTTGTTGCTCTGCAACAAGCGCGCCCACCGCTCTAAAAGCACGATCAGGGGACAGCAAATATTACGCACACACCCCTTGCAAACTGCGCCTACTTATTTGGCTGGTTCATGGTCAGAGGAAACCGAGCGAAGCTGAAGCGTCTCTCTGGACGCACGCCCCACGGATGATCGCCCTGAAAGTCGTGTTCATTATCGATCCAGCTGTTCGCAAACGAAATTGCGTAGTTCCTGAGACACACACAAAAAGAATTCAGTTGTCGTCATGCATGCATGAGCGCTTGTTTTCTGCGCCGCCCGCAGAGGGGCCGAGGTGTTCGCGCGCGCGCCGTTTCGCGCATGCTTCACCACTCTTGCTGCATCGCCCTCATGAAGCAAAAGCCGCCTCCTCTCGTCCGTACCTGAGTCTGCTATTGAAGTAGGGCAGAGAATACAGACTTTTCTGCCACCGGTCGACGATTAGCTTACGCGCATCTCCACGACGGAAGCTGAAAACACACACCGCAGGCAAGGTTCAAACGGCAGGGGCTCTGTGGAAACAGGGATTTTAAAATATAAAGATGCGAGAACTGCGTCGGGGGGGAGGGAGAAGGGGGTGTGTGGGTGGAAATGCTCGAGGTTTGAGTTTTACTGGACGTCTGGATTGAAGAGGAGATGTCGAAAGCTGCAGGCAGCTGCAGTTCCCACGGCCAAGGCAGACAGGAAGAGGTAATTGTACTGCAACGCAACAGGAGGGGGTAGGAGGGAGTTTGTGATGGCATGATATGCTTCATGACGCTCATTTTTGACAGCCCCTCCACGCGAATCCTGAAGATGCGCATGCATGCCTCACCATAATGGGGTCGCAGAAATACACCTTATACGACTTCTTGCAAAGAAGGTCTAGGGTTTTATGGTCCATGCACCGCCCATTCCAGTTCTGAAAGAACTGTCGAAAGTGCGCGGCGTTCTTGAAAATCATCTTCAGGCTGAACCGCGCACACCAGACGACGGAAAAACGGAGGCAGACCCTTGCATACAAAAGATCAAAGCCAGTCATGCACCACTGGGTGGGGTTCCGTAGGTAGCGGGGAGGGCGGGAGGCGCGCATAGCACCGGAAGCCTTAACCCTTCAGCCATCAGCTTTCAAATGGAGGAAAGGAAAATTAAAGGCTGCTCTTGCTGCCGCCCCTCCACTGCCTCGAAGCAGTTGCCACCGACAGCAAATCAAACCCTTCTCAAGGGTAGTCGCATGATCGGGAACTTAGAGAGTGGGGCCAATAGCAGCCCTAAGTATCCGATCATGCGACTACCCTTGGTGCTGCAATTGCTGCTGCCATCCGCACCGTCATTTTTAGAGGGCACTGCACACCCACGGTGCAACAAGTGCTGCAGAAAGGAGGGTTCAGCTGCCGCAGAGGCGGCTTCCGACGTCGCTCGCCTACCCCGCCTCACGCCCCTTCCCCGACCGTACAGCAAGACTCATAGCAATAAGCCTCCACCCAGCCGTCCAAATACGCAGTCACCCTAAACCGCCAAGCCGTCTTTTGCCGAAACTCAACTTCGTGCCTACACCCTGTGTGCGTATAGCACCCGAATTGCACCTCTCACCTTCTGGCGTCGTCGACCAAGGGGAGAGAGCCCCAACAGAGAAATAAAAGGCTGTTGTTCTTTCTGTATTTTTTGGTAGCCGCATGGGAGTAGGAATGCATGCTCCGCGCGCTTGATGCTCATGGGGCTTTTTCTGCTGCTGGGCGTGTTGTTACCCTCTGCCGAAATCGCAACGGCACGTGCTGCTGCAGAAAACGCCTCATGGCTCTGCAGAACATCGTTTTCCGTGATAATTATGGTAAACAGAACTGGAAACCACGAAATCTGCCTCTACTATCCCTCAATTTAAAGCCTGTACAGCAGGTGTGCGCGTTCATTTTCAACACCCACGCTGCAAGTCGCATTCGAGACAGTGGATAGCAGGCGGCGACTGCAACAGCAGCCCGAGGCGCAGCACACACGCCTTAGCAGGAAATGCTACTTGCGTATCAGTGCCTCCAGCAGCAGTAAGGATGCCGATAATACGCAAATAGCGGTTTCTAGAAGAGCAAGGTGTACCAGTAACGACCGCAGCGATAGACAGGAGGGGGTCCTTGCAAGGCGGCAGAAGCACTGGCTGTTGCTGCACAGCAGCTTCTTCCACGGGCCCAGCAGCAACACGTCTACCACAGCACCCTTGGAGGAGGACCCCTTCATGCGCGCAGCTCTTGAAGTGCCAGCAGCATGGTGCTGCTTCAACTGCTGCCTCCACAGGCGTAGCTTCGGGATGCACAGAAAGCCGTCGCGTCGGGCAAATGAGCGCTGCAGCAGACAATGGTAGGAGGGTAGGCGGCAAACTCCAAATGTGCTCGAGGTTTTGGATATGCTTCTTCCTCTTTGCGCTGGCTGCTGCCACACAGCAGCCTGCAGCCGCTGCTGCGAGAGTGCTGCGCTGTAGAAAGCAGCTCCAACAGCCTCTGCTGCCCTCCCGCCCGTTCCTCTTTGCTGCGAAGCCTGCAGCAGAACCCACCTCTCACAAGCCCATGCAACAGCAGCTGTCTCTTGCTGCTACTCCTTGTTCCTCGCGAACCCTTTCATGTACTGCTCCGCAGAAAGGGCGGCTGCAGCGCACACGGGAGCTTTCAAGACCATGTTCGCTGCCGCTGCTGCATGCTGCAGCAAACGCAGAAGTGCCAATTTCAGATGAAGGAGGAGCGCCTGGCGCGCAGTCCGTAACTGCCGCAGCACCAGCAGCAGAATACACTGCAGCAATGGCAGGAGAATATACTGCGGCACCAGCAGCAGAATACACTGCAGCAATGGCAGGAGAATATACTGCGGCACCAGCAGGAGAATACAGCACAGCATTTCCAGCAGCATATACTGCGGCACCAGCAGGAGAATACAGCACAGCAGTGACAGCAGAAAATACTGCAGCACCAGCAGGAGAATACAGCACAGCACCTCCAGCAGCATATACTGCAGCACCAGCAGGAGAATACAGCACAGCACCTCCAGCAGCATATACTGCAGCACCAGCAGGAGAATACAGCACAGCACCTCCAGCAGCATATACTGCAGCACCAGCAGGAGAATACAGCACAGCACCTCCAGCAGAATATACTGCAGCACCGATAGCAGAAAACACTACAGCCCCAACAGCAGCTTCTGCAGTACCCGCCTTGGATGGCGCCGACAGTGCGTCCTCAGCATCCTCAGCAGCTGCTGGTGCTTTTCTCGATTCACCCGAAGTGTCAGCTGCAGCTTCTTGGTCGCCGCACCACGAGATGTTCAACGCTCATGGCGAGGAGGGCTACCAGCAGGCAGTAGGGCAGTTGGAAGAGAGGCTTCCTGCAGAGGACCAGCCAGCTCCTGCAGGCGAAGCAGCACCAGCAGCCACAGCGTTTGTTGCGGGCTCCTCGGTCGGCAGCAAATTGCATCTGTTGCGTCGTAGCCTCCCATGGGGTCTAACGTGCTGTCGCATCGTGGCTGCAGGGTTGCTGTACTTGCAGCCGTATTGGGGGGTTCCGGCTGCCAGGGGGGGGAAGCAGAAGCTGCATTTGATGCAGACTGCAGCAGTGCCTAGTCTCCTATTTAGTGCTGCCGCTGCGACGGATTGGCTGGATGGCTGGTTGGCGCGGCGCTGGGGTGTCTGCACGGCTGTCGGTGCTGCTGTGGATGCGGTAGCCGACAAATTACTCGTAGTTGCTGCTCTCGGCGATGTAACGACTGCTGCTGCTGCTGCCGCCGCTTCCCCCGCTGCTGCAGACGGAGCCTGCGGTGTAGGCACAGGCCTGCCGCTGCTGCGGCTTCTACAGCCTGCAGTGTCGCTGCTGCTGCTTCGCGAAGTTGCAGTGCAGGCGCTGCGGCAGCAGCTGCAGCTGCAACACCGGGGTCACCTAACGGGCGTTTCCTTCCTTGGGAAAGCCAAGACGGCAGCGGAGATGTTTTCTGTGAGCTTGCTGCTGCTGCTGCTGCCCCAGCAGCAAGAGCAGCAGCACGTGCCAAGAGCAGGCGCTGCAGGGGGAGTAGCTGCAGCAGCCGCTAAAGGCATCCGCGCTGCGGCAACGCGCTGCTGCTCAGGCGCAGTCTCCCTGCTGCTGCAGCGCCCTGCAAGCGCCGCCGCTGCGGCAGCAAGCAGGCTGCGATGCCTTATTGGTTTTGGCTCTAAGCCTTCGGGCAGGCACCCCCTCCTCATGCGCTGCGGGAAGTTGCTGCGGCAAGCGGCGGCAAGTGCAGCTGCTGCCGCTACCGCTGCCCTCTGGGGGCTTGAGGACTGCGCTGTCGCTGCTAAACGCGTGCGGCTGCTCTCTCCCGCTGCAGCCAGCAGCCGAGCGGCTGACGCGCTCTCTGCTGCTGCTGCTTCGCGCCACCGCTCGATGCCACAACGGCTGGTCCTGCGGTGTGCAGCCGTTGCTGCAGCAGCAACAGCGGCAGCAGCGCGGGGGCTTGCTGCCGCTGCGACAGCAGCCGCTGCTGGTTGCCGCTCCCTATGCAAGCTGCCCCGAGTGCAGGCGTTTGCTGCGGCAGCAGCGCGCAACCCGCTGGCTAGGCCGTTCGTTTCGGCAGCAGCAGCAGCAGCAACCGCAGCAAGCAGCAGCAGGCAAGCCCTTCAGTGCACCTATATCGACGGATATCCATCCCTTCTCACTGTTGCGGCTTCTTCTCTTTGGGTGTCGGCCGCGCTAGCTGTTGCTTCTGCTGCAGAGTATGTAGCAAGGGCGCTCTTGTTGCCGTAAGTAACAGGGGCAGCAGCAGCGTGAGCGGCAGCGCCAGCGTGACCAGCCGCAGCAGCAGCTACAGACAGTAATTGGGTGCTGCGGGGATTCGTGCTATCAGGGATGACGCCATGTACACCTACTACTTCTACGCACAGATGTGACCCCACACGCGAAGCATGGGGAAAGCGTAACGGCAGCAGCCAGCGGGAGCGCACCCAACTCAGTGTGATTTCAGGGGGCTCCCAAAGGCTCTCGGTGGTCTTAGTGCACTGGTACAGCGTGCAGAGGGGGAAGGGACGGAGTCGCACCGCTGCAGGCAAACAATTTGTAGGGGAAGGAAGGGTTGGGGGGTGGTGGGGAGAGAGGCAGGCAGAGCGACACTTGTGGCAATGGTTAAAGCAGCATGAGGAAATTCAGTCCTACCATTCTGTTGGCTTTGTGCGAGGCTCTGTACCTCTAACATTCCCTCGCCGCCTGCCTGCCCCTCCCGCCCTTTGCTCTCTTGCAACTTGTCTTTCGCATGAAAGCGCATCTCTTGCTAGCCTCGTTTTTGAAAGCCTATGCCTGTAAACTCCCAAACTCCGGATGCTCATTCGGCATGCGATTCTTGCGATCCAATTTAGCACGGGAGAAGGGCTGGCAACGAACCCTCCGAGGGGCCCTCCCTCACAGGAGGGGCCCCCGGCGTCAGTGAAGCCCCTTGAGCATTTTCGCACGGTTGCGCGCGTTTCCCCATGATCCTTGAGAATAGATCCTTCAGAGAATATGGGTACTGGCTGAAGGTGAGGGCGAACACAGGGAGGCTAGGAAGCTCGAGAGTAGGGCAGATACACGTGTGTTCAGCATCCTGGAGGCGCTGCAGTGGGTGCCACAGGTGTTCCGTCGCCTCTGTTGCTTGCTTTCTTTTCAGAGATTGAGAAATTTGTGTGCTTGCACCCACCATTACGTAGGCCTTTTAGGCGCGCACCTTGGACGGTGCCGGCGGCATGCGGATTTTTCACTCTCGATGCAGGGGGCTCGCGAGCGCTTGCGGGGAAAGTCTGTCGACTTAGGGTTTGTGGCGTCTGTTTTGTACCATTTTTAATAATGGATGCAGACTGTTTCTTTGATCATCTAGTTCCGCTCTCTGGAGGGGGATCGAACGCCAGTGGTGATTTGCTAGGGGCGCACTCCGAGAGGCTGCAGCCGAAGCTCGTTGATGGGGGGCCCTTGGAAAATCCGCTGCCCAACACTGCAGATGAATTCTTGAGCCAATCTGGTCGCTCTTCTTCGGAGGCACCCTCGGCTCCAGCCTGGAGTTCCCTCGTAGGGGCCCCCTCGAGAACTTCAGGGGCATGCCTGGGAGGCGAGGTGAACGCGGAAGACCCCCTCGTGCAGCGATTGGTGAAGGAGATTCGAGGTATGCACGTTCAATATCTAAGTTATGTCCTTACTTCACTACGGTTTGTCGGATGGTGCTATCCTCATGCGTGTACAGCGGGTTGTGTTTGGCGGCATTGCCCCCAAACACAACCCGCACACTCACACCTGCTGTCCGTATCGTCTTTCTCCGGTGCTTGCTGTACATACCTCACCCTACGAGGAATCCATGTTGCGCGTCTGCATGCATGGTACGCAACTTGTGCACTCAGAGGCGTCGGGGGGGGGGCCACACGCTCATACTACCGTCAGGGAGTGCATGCCCTTTAGGGTCTGGAATCAGAAGCAAGTTGCACTGGAACAGACGTCGGGGGAAAAGCTCGTGGGGCTTTTAGGATCCATCGTGCAAAAGATCGAGCACATGATAGCAGGTGTTCAACTAGAAAAAAAGGCCCTCTTGGAAGGCATGACCGAAGAAGCCAGGAGGGTCTGCCAGGATATTGAAGACAGAATCGCGACGCCTAGTAACGAGCAAAGCATGCAACAAAGTTCAAAGCTTAAATGAACAGCGTATACAACAAAGTTCAAAGCTGAACTGAACGGCATGCGACTTCATCCCGAACCACTGGGAGAAAGGGTGCCTAGGGCCCGAAGAGTCGCAATGTGCGCTGTATGTGTGAATGATTTTGTGATTTACTCCGCATTTTTTGGTCTACATCTATCGAAACCTCACATTGAAGGCATCACGTTATTAAGCATGCGCCGAGTCGGGAAAGCGGAAGCCACTGAGACTGATGCTGCTCGCTAGGGTCCGGAGTGCAGCAATGGAAGGATAGATACGCCTTCAACAGCTCAAGAGACACGAGTTACGCCCCCAAAGGGTTGCACCACGACTAATTCAGAGTCTCCCCCCCTTAATTCAGTTTTACGCTACCATTCTCTAGATCACGGTTTGCGCTGTCTAGACGCCCTCCGAAGCGGCTAGCCGGAGTTGGGGAGAGGGTCAAACCATGCAAAAGCAGTTCGCCCCCTCAGACAACCTCAACCAGTGCAGCAAAACACTTAATAACCCTAAACCGCGACTGCGGCGTGTACTAACACGCCACGCCGCCAAACTTTAGAGCGTGGCTCCCACGCGGTCTCTGGGAATGAGCCGCAACTCTCCTCCGTGCTTCAAGAAGATGATGCCTGCAGTTTGTTGGGGGTTGATGCCGACCCCGTCGTTCGTTATGCACGCACAAGTGGCGGCGCTGACCTTGAACTGGGAGAGACAAGATAGTGGGGCACAGCACAGGAAGTGCAGGCGGGGATAGAGGCGAAAGCAGAGACACCAGATCAGCGTCCTCTATGGACGGTCTTAGCTGTATTCGCTGATACAGAAAATGTCATCTATCTGAATTCCTAATTTTACGTCGTATACGATTCTGCCATCAGAATGGGTCATGTGTATGTCTCGTTAGGGGCATTCCCGTGTCTTCGCTTCTACGCGCGTGAGCACGAGGCACATGTCCGTGCATGCGATATCAAGTAAGGGAAGGTTGTCACGAATAGGTGCGAATAATTGTGGGGGAGACCACCCGTCCGTTGGGCAAGGTGTCGAGAAGGTGCTTCCTCACCTCTTCTGCTGCGAATTTGATGACAGCAGAGAAGGGCGTAGCGTCGGGCACGCAGAGGACTTTAAACGGCTGCCTGCTATCTGAGGCTAGGGTGATCTTGAAGGTGACTTTACCCCTTCACGCAGACAGACCACAAGACAAGCGATCAAGAGAAGGGAGCACGCCTGAAAGGACTGTAGAACGCAATAACCTCAGCAAATCGCATGACCCCAAAGAGAGAATGATATCTTACTACTGCTTTTAGGGGGGAAGCGGAGGGTTAAAAGGGGGGAAGGCTGAATAGCGCAAGTAGCAATACCCTTTCTCAGACATTGTCGGTACCCCAGGCGACAGGGAGTCGCAGGTTTGTATGCAATAGCAGAAGGCGGAAACGGTGTTTCTCTATGCTTTATTCCTGGAATGCGCAGAGATCTAGTAAAGGAAACGGAGGAAGAAGACGCTTGAATTCGGCTGCTACGGGGGCCCTCTCAAGGTACTGAAGCCCCTGTGGCTACAGGGCTTGTGACAGTTGGGCTTCCACTGCATGCATAGTGTTCATTCGGCTCTGTGTGTGTTCATTCCTTCTTTAAAATGCTTGTGTCTTTTCGTTCGTCGGATGCCGCTTTCTGATCTGTAGATGCGGCATTGTCGGGCTAAGCCTCCCGCTGTGCTCTAGGAAGCGACCTGATCCTCTTCTTCCGTTCCTCTCTCAATTGCTTCGTACGCGCTTCCTCTTGCTCTCTCTTGACCTCGGTGCAATCCATCACCGGCGAAGGAGGCAGATGATGCCTCAGCCCACCGATCCGAAGCCTGAAGTTCAACTGATTTGCGAGCGACTCATCGAGCGTATGCCAACTCCCACACCCTACGCCATAAAAGCCCTTTTAGCTACTTCAATGCTCTATCTCCTGGATGCGCGTCTTCTTGCTTCATCCTAAGCAGCCGAACAACAAGGGCAGAGCCGTGTATACACCACGCGGTGCTGCATCGGGCAGCCGTGCTTCGTGTGCATCAAAGGCGAAGAGTACCATAATTAAAAAGAGCTTGCATGGATGCAGATTGAAAGGGGTGGGGAGCAGACAGCCTTGCAGCATAAGAGGCCTTCTATTAATCGCGTCGCCGATTTTGTGAATTCTTTGTGGATAAACTTCATGGCGGTGTATTTTTGTGCCTTCCACGACACCCACCCACTGGGGTGTACATGCCTTGCTCTAAACGCGCAGACTTTGCCTCCCGTATTGAGGTAGAGCCGTCCATTTCGCTGCCAAAGGAGATCAAGGAAAAATTTATAAGAGTGAGGCAACCCCAAAAGCGCACAAGGAAGCGGGTGGGTACAGGCGTTTGGACTGCGGATTAGCCAGCCTTGCAGCATTGCGGAAGCGGAATATTCATTTAATCAGGTTCACGGCTCTGGTGTCACTTCAGGTGTGGAGGGAGGGTACTGTTGAGCGTCTTCGGAACCAGACGCTTGCGTTTCCAGAAGTATGTTTCATGATGCAGCCCCTCCCTTTGGCATGCACCCGTCCATTCTGAATGCTCGGACTTGCAAAGGGGCACATGCAGTCAGCTCATAAGCAGGGAAAACGAAGAGGGCTTTTTGCCATAAGAGCGCTGAGTAATCAACTGTACAGAGCGTTATGCTTGCATGCTATCGAGGCGCACTTGTTTCCGTTTGCGCCGGTGTTTTTGTTGAAATCCTTCAGGCGGATGGAAGGCCTCTGGCGCTCCTCTCTGATCACGCTTTTGACGAAGAGAGGTTCGTAAAAATGCATGGTTGTAGCCGCATGGGAGCCGTAGCACGGGTAGGTACAGTAGGCTTGGTGTCTTTAGGGAGTCTAGTTGCTCGTGAACTGTGTGGGCTGGAGGTGTCTCTTGCAGTCCAAGCAGAAAGAGAAGGCGCTCAAGTACCGGAGGATCAGACGGTAAGCGGTTTTGCTTCTTTTCTTCCATTTTCTCTGCTATTTTAGCAGTTCGCTGTTTGTACTGGCTTAGGAGTTTTTAAGGGTTTGAACCTGGCTAGCTTACCCGGTTGGCTGTTTCCGGGAGGCGCTGTCCACAGATCATCGCCCCCCTCTTCTCCCTTCTGGGGTGAGCATGAGTGACACAGCCGGCTACGGAAGCGAATCTGCATTTTTGTATGTGTAGACGAGTTTGAGGGCGCGAATGTGGACAAGCTAGGACCAGAAGGAGATTGTTTAGCGGGAAGAGTTGGTCTTTCTGCGGAAGAAGTCGCCTTCCTCTCAGAGAACCGGCTGGCGCCACCTCCGCTCTCAGATCTTACTGAACTTATCCCAGAAGCAGACGCACCAGACAAAATTATTGGCCATTTTGATAAGGTGCCCATCTTACACGCCACAGGCTTCCTAATGAGGCGAGAGTCGTTGAAGAAGAACGAGCTATAGGCTCCATGTGCTGCAGACTCTACGCCCTGCACGCCACAAAGCCCCGAAACGCTAAATGCCATGAGGCAACTACACTCTAGTGCACCGAGAATTCCATCTTTTTACTTAGAAACGTGCCTGCGCACACTGCGCTTGAGGCCAACGCTCTGGAAGCTTAGCTGCTCTCGGGTGCTTCATGATGAGCGCTTCAGGTTTCGCGACCAGCCGACTCCTCTCGCCCGCTTTCCATGGAGCGCAGCGCCACATGGGGCATCATTATTAGGGACGGCATCATTAAGGTATAGCCGTTTGTTTATGTCCTGCTCTAGCCTTTTTTGGAGCTCTTTTAAAATGCATGAAGAAACATACTGCTGTCTTCATGCAAGTTAGGGGGCGGCGAAATCTGCATGCTCCGGGCAACCTAGTTTTTCCGGCGCTGTGGATGGCTGCTACATGTGTTCTTTGATTTCGTATCCTAGTCATGAGCTATGCATGCGCTGTCTTCATGCAACTTTGGAGCAGACGCATGTCCGCATGCATTTTAAGCGGATGCTCCACACAACCACCACCCCTGCAACGGGGCAGAGTCACTCGCGTCTTTTCTCATGGCGTTTTTCTCTCTGGAATGTGTGGGAGTCTTCGTATGTCACTCAATGTTGCCGCCCTCCATGGGTGCATACAGGGCTACGTGTAAAGGGGTTTGGGGTGTCTTGCTGCTTCGACTGCCCGCAGGTCGGCGGACAGGAATTCGCTTTCAGCCGTCTCGACGCTGAATTAAAAGAGCTCTGAACATTGACGCAGTCACACTCAAGAACGCGCACGTGTTGCATAGCCGGTGCTGCATGCTCCTGTTGAGCCGAGAATATACAGGAGGAGAAGGAAGTCGACCCTGAAACGCAGTATCTTCGTGGTATCTTCCTGGATCAAGAGTGGGGGCGGTGGTTGGTGGGGGCTGCAAGCGAGGCAGCAAGAAAAGACGCGACTCGGCGGACTCTTAGGGAGCATATGCCGGGCAGAGATACGAGCACACATAAAGGCGAACCTTCAGCAGTAGCCAGATAAGCAAAGCGTCGTGCCGAAACACGCACTGGGAGGGCGTCTTGGAACGGACAGGGGCGCTCATGTCAGCCAAGCCGGAAGCGTTCGGGAGTGCAGTTCACACATTGAAGGAAGACCAGATGACAGAAAGGCGGGAGCAACAGGTCAGCTTCTTCGCTAGGAACCACCTGGAGGTGATGGCATCGAACCGGGGAATTCCGGCTTTTTCTGCATTACACATAGTCTGCTGCTAATTTAAGGGCCTGCTGGTCTTCGAGGCATCCACTCCCTCGCGAGATTCCTCATATTGCGGTTTTTCCCTTCCTCTGCCATACTAGCTGTTGCTGCCAATATTTGCGTGTGGTTCTCGTGTATTGGCTTTGCGTTTCTAGGCCTACGACGAAGTCGCGTTTATGCGGGAAGCACTAAAAGAGGCCGCTGCGGCGGCTGCCGAGGGCGAGGTACCAGTAGGCTGTGTGCTGGTCTGCCCATTGACGCTTCGAGTTGTTGGGAGGGGCCGAAACAAAACAAATGAAAAGAGGAATGCGACGCGGCACTGCGAATTCGAGGCAATAGATGACTTTTTAAGGAGCGCGGCAGAGAGAAACCTCCCAGGTGACGGCCCCCTTTCTGTGTCTGCGACGCTGTCGAGCCCAAATGTGGCAGGAAACGGCGGCAGCAGTAGCTGCTGTAGCGAGGAGGCGAGCAGCAGCAAGCGTAGTCTTGCACAAAGCCCGGAGCTGTCTTCCCTCCATCTGTACGTAACGTGTGAGCCGTGCGTCATGTGTGCCTGGGCGATTCGCCTGTGCGGTATCTCGCGCGTCTACTTTGGGTGTATGAACAGCAGGTTTGGGGGGTGTGGCACAGTCCTCAATATCCATAACTTCCCCGCGAGCTGCTCCCTAACGAGCGGCCAGCACGGCGATGCGGGCAGGGAGGCCGTCCCGCCCCTCCTGTGCAAGGGAGGGATCTTAAAAAGCGAGGCAATTGAGCTCCTCAGAAGATTTTACGCCAGGGGAAATCCCAATGCCCCGGAATGCAAAAGGAAGCGGCCGATTGAATCCGCTGCAGAAGGTGCAGCCGGTTGCGGGGGGGAGGAGGGAGCTGCTCTTCCTCGTCATGACTGGCTGTAAGAAGGGAGACTAGAAGTCAGACTCTGTGCTAGCGCGGTTTCGTTTGCCATGATCCGACGCACGTTTCCTAAGCGCTTTTTGCGGGATCTGGCTCTAGTTTTTATTCGGATCGATAGGGGGAGTCGGTCCACCGCCCACGAGCGGCAAGCCGCGTGTTTGAGCAGCCCAGAGACGGTGCCAGTGCACAAGTTCAAAGGATCCACACATCCGACAGTTAAATTTGCGAGAAAAACAGGAAAAAAATCATTTCAGTCACATGCTGCCACTTTACGCGGCAGATGGGCGGGCAGCGGCGTCTGTGTGCTGCAGGGGTTCGGGTTCGCTACTTACTACATTAGGGCTCTAGTGAATCACGTCTAGAGGGGTTGATGATTGAAGAGGATTCGCAGTTAGAGGATCCTCGATCCAGTCGAATTCCGCAATCAATGGGACGTGGTCAGAGGGCCGTAAGGGTGATGGCAGTGCAGCACTTCGTAGATGCAGCGTTTCTGCCTCCTGCAGCAACACCGCAAGCACCGCGCGGCATCGCGTCTCCTGTCTGTGCAGCCCAGCAGCTAGGAAGCGTCAACGAAAGAAGCCGACAGAGAACAATTCAAGGGGAACGTAAGGGCGACGCGGAACTGCAGCAGTCGGTGCAGACAACTAAGGCCTGTGCATTCCCCAAAGTAGCCACCGAGCCAGCTCTCCACCACTCCGAACCTTCAGTATTCACGACTCTCTTCAGACTTATCCGTAGCCCAAGCTTCTGCCCCTAACGTACGTACCATGAAGAGCTGAGTTTCCGAGACTGGCTCCATGAGAGCAGCAAGTCGAAGCTCGGACGCGGAAAAGAATATGTAGTCCAAGCAGCCCGTAAAGTTGCCAGTATAATTCGTGAAGGGCGGTTCACACTGTTGCGACACTTCAAAGTCGTACGGATCCAGATTTTCCCGCAGAGCCTTCCCCTACAAGCGAACACGGCAAACCCCCAGCACATCCTCATCTACCCCATGCGAACGTTGTGAGCCGGAAAACTGCAGAGAGGGAGGCCCTTCGCAACAAACCGGCAGCCTCCGAAACAGAACCCCCTCTCCAACACAGACCCCCATCTTTCGTTTGCCCGCAACGCCGTTCGCAACGCGCCTACCAGCGCATACGCCGATGAGAGCATTAGCGAATGCCCAATGTGGCAATCCCGGAGGATTCCATTGGCGTCCGCGGCGAAATCCTGATGCTGCTCATCGCATGCACCCGTGAGTAGGAGTCTGTACACCGCGGAGTCTGGAGAGCTGTTGAAATCTCCACACAGGAGGAGGGCAGGCGGCCGTGAAGGAAAGCAGCTTAAGTAGCTGTCGAGCGCTCTACAAAAAGACAAACAGAAAGAGGGCGCTCATTAGAATCACGCATGCACGGCGGAGGCGTGCAGAGAGCAGTGCCGAAGAAAACAGCAAGAAAACAGCAGGCAACGGCGGGGGGTTGAAGGCTAAGGAGGCCAACCGCAGCAGACCGAAGGAGCAACATTACACACAGCCAAGTCGCTCTTGAGAAAACCCAAAAAGCAAAGGCCTTTTCTGCTTGAAAGGAGTGCGCAGTAATACACTGTGTGGCAAAGACAGCACCACATCCCCCTCCTCCCCCCTACCCGAGAAGCGTCTGGGTTTGCCAGATCTTCACGTCATTCGAATCCGGATTCGCAGCAACGTGAGTGTTGGCCAAAAGCAAAAGTTTTGGCTCTCGTTGCAGTTCTGATCCGCCATGCGACTGCTCTGGTCGCTGCTCCTGCGATTCTTGGGAGTGCGCAGTGGCATCCGTCTTCAGCTCGAAAAGCAGCAAGAGGGCGATGTTGTCTTTCAGCAGCCGTTTAGGAGGTCCATCTTTGCCGCGGGCTGGAGTGCTGAGCTGCTGCTGGTTGGGCAGCAGCATCTGCTGCCGCTGCTGCTGTTGCTGTCGCTGTTGCTGCTGCTGCTGGGGTGTATAGGCAGCTTTCGCCAGAGCAGAGAATTCCAGAGCCGCAGAGTCAATCAGTCTGTACTTGTGCATCAAATAGAATGAGGCGCATCCATCCATCGTGAACCGCCCTCCCCCTCTCTGGCTGCTGCTGCTGGCAGCAAAAATCTCGGCAGTCTTCTGCTTATAGACCCCAGCATACCCTTCCGCAGCCAGTTGTGGCAGAAAGAAGTCCTCGTAATGCTCCCGCTCCACCTCCTACGCACATCAAACACAACCCCTCCAAAACCGATCGTCAGCCGTAGAAAAAACGCCGTGCTGGGAAGAGGAAAAGGAGAAAAAAAAAAAAACCTCTCCTGCCATCCCCCTCTTCGATCCCTCTCTCTCTCTTCCTTCCTTCCCTCTCTCTCTCTCTCCCTTCCTTCCCTCTCTCTCTCTCTCCCTCCCTTCCCCCTCTCTCTCTCTCTCTCCCTTCCTTCCCCCTCTCTCTCTCTCTCTCTCTTCCTTCCTTCCCTCTCTCTCTCCCTTCCTTCCCTCCCTCCTTCCAACAAAAACCACCGCTTGGTGGACTCATACATGCCCCTCATACTCCCGATCTGCTCTTACCTGAAGACACACAATATCCGGCTTGTGTGTCAGAATCTCTTGAATGATCCTCTGTTTTCTGTACGGCCAACTGAGGGCGTAGGCTTCACAATGCGGAAAGGCAGCCACTGTGCTGTACAGCTCGGCTAAGACGTTCCAGCTCATAATGCTCACCCTTAGACTGCTGCTGCCGCTGCTGCCGAGGGGCGGCAGAAAGTCTCCGTAGTCTGCCGCAGCTGCTGGGCACCCCCCGGGAGCCTCAGGGGCCCCCCCCCCTTGGGGGGCCCCCAAGAGCCCCTCCCCGAAGTCTGCAGCCGGGAAGGGGGAATCTCCAACGTCGAAGGGAGGCATCAGATGCGGCGAAAAAAGGCCCCTTCGCAGGCTTGAGCTGGCAGCAGCCGAGGGAGCGGAGAGGCCTGAGGAGTTGCTCTCCCCCCCCCCTCTTGTGCTCCATCCGAAAGGTTGTTGTCGTCTCCCCCCCGACAGAGTGGCGGCAAGGGGCCCCTGACAAGTGCCCCCCAATTCTTCGCCTGGCAGGCAGCCTTGAGGGGGCCCCCTGCTGGAGCGCAGCCAAGGAAAGGCTGCAGGATTCATGCCCTCGCACAGCATGCCCTGCACGATATCGTCCAGCTTGGGAAGAAGACTCCTGGGAAGGGGCCCCTTACTCAGAAACTGCCTGGAGCGCATCCTCTCGAGAGGCCCCTCTCCGATGGGTCGTGGATGATGCCTAGAAGAAGGCGGCATAAGCCACCGTCTTCTAGGCTTGGGGGCCCCTACCTTGGGGAGGCAGAAAGCCGTCCGAATGCATCGGTAGAAGCTGCTGTCTCGTGGAGCCCAGTCGAAAATACTGAGTCTCCCAAAATCAGCCTCCCCGTCGTCTGTCTGCTCGTCTGGAGCCCCCTCCCCTGGCTGCGAGTGATGCCTTGGCGCTCTCCCCTTCGCTCGTAGCCGCTGCTGCCGCTGCGCCAGCTCAAACTCAAGCAGCACCTCATCGGTGACAATAAGGGCCTCAAACTGAAGCTGGTGCCCGGCGTCTCCCGGTTCGGGGGCATAATTCTTCTCGTAGCTCACTACAGACCAGCCCTTCGCATGCGACTGCCGGGGGGGGGGCCCCCGGGGGGCCCCCCATTCTTCCTCCACCTCCCCCTCCTCGTCCTCCTCGTGTACCGCCGAAGGAGGCGCCGAGACGGGAATGACTTTGCCCGTCGAGAACTCGTGCCAAGGCTGCTCCGAACCCGCGATCCCCTTCGAGGGCGCTCCCTTGGGGGCCCCCCGAGGGGCCCCCCCCCCGGCGAGCCCGCGCGGATCCACAACATCCACAAGGCCGGCCTGCGTCAAGAGAGCTAAATGCTGCACGTCAGTCTCGCGCTCCTCGTCGATGTCGTGCCAGCTGAAGGGGCGACAGGGGGCCCCATACGTGCAGGGGTTCGGATGCGAGGGAAGGGGGGAGAGGCCCCCCGAGAGGAAGAATCGCCGCAGCTGCTGCATGCCAGCAGAGAAGCATCGATAGCCGCAAAAGCAGCGCAAAGAAGCCACGCACTGGAGCTTCGCCTCGCGGTGGGGGTGCAGCGCACAGACCGCGCGGGGGGGCCCCCGTTGCCACCTGTACAAAACACGGCAAGGGTACGGGGGGGGCCCCCCTGGAGCGTCACCAGAGGCGAGGAGTGCGCTTCCTGCTGCCCCTTCGACATCCGCAGAAGACGAGCGCCGCTCTGCTTCCGCCAGATGAACCCACTCCGAGACACAGGGAGAGCCCCCTCCGAGCTGCAAGGCTTCGTCGTTGACAAGGGCCCCTCGTGTATCCTTGATGAGCAGAACTGGACGCAGCTCGCACCCCTCAACAGGCACCATTTCCTCCTGCAGGCCGCCTCCCCAGGAGAGGCAGCATCGAAGAAAAGACACCGGAGCCTTGGAGCCGGAAGAAAATCGGAGGCAGCGTCGGGGGCTTCCCGGAAGATCTGCGAAACTGCCAGAAACTTCCAAAGAGCCGTGGGAAATGCTTCGAGATGCAGACGCGCTCATGGCTCGAAGGGGCGGCGTAGAGGATGCCCACATAGAATCTGCTAGCGCAAGTGTTTCCGCGAGATGCGCATGCGCCTCCCCTGCCGCTTGCGTAGCCTCTTGGGAAGCTGCTGCTTGAGAAGCTGCTGCCTGTGTAGCTGCTGCCTGTGTAGCTGCTGCCTGTGTAGCTGCTGCTGCTTTCGCCAAGCGCTGGCGTTGGTGCAGGCGCTCCTCTTCCTCCTCTTCCTCCTCTCCCCCGTGAACTGCACAGCCCGCTTCTGCAGTTGCCGTAGCAGATAGCTTTCCCCCTTTAGACGCCTCGCTGCCAATAGCTCCGTTCGCGCCAACAGTAGTGGCGTCAACAGAGGCTGCTGCCAGCTTCTTCGGGTTGCTATTCAGGTGACGCTCCGGAAGGCGCGCAGACGCATTCTCGACAGAAAAGGATCCGCCTAGGGGGCCCCCAAGGACCCCACCGCCTTCTGCACCCATGCCTGCATGCACGTGAGGAGGCAAATGCACGGCAGTTTCTGCGGCTGCCTGTGAGTAGGACGGCTGGGGGGCCCCTGGAGGGCTGCTGAAGGTGCTCAGTATACCCGTACTACTGCCACTGGCAGTGCTGTTGCTACAGTTGCTGCTACGTCTGCTGCCGCTGTTGCTGCTATGCACGGCGCTTCGGTGGATTTTCTTGGGGTTGCTGCCAGGCCCGTGGGAGGTGGACGCTTCAGCGGGTGCTCCGGCTCCTGCTGCTGCGGCTGCTGCTGTTGCTGCGCGCTGCTGCTGCTGCTGCTGCTGCTGCTGCTGCTTTGCAGCATCCTTCTTGCGTTCGTGGCGGTTCATTGGGGGTTCAGGGCCCCCTTCGCCGAATGGCAGGAGCGAGGCCCTTTGCTGCTCCACTCCTGCCGCTGCTACTGCTTGCGTTGCGCTGCTTCTCTGGCTGTCGCTGTTGCATCAGGAATGTTTTGGGGGACGCATGCGGCGCACATGAAGAAAGGCTCCTGATCCTACTCTGGCGTCCGCTGGAGAGAGGGGGCCAGACGAGTCACTCGAATGCTTTGTTTCATGCAGTCTCTGCGCCATAAATCGTTGGTAGGCCGCTACTCGACAGGTAAACATTAAACTTCAAAGATCATGCAGTAATCAAACAGCAGCAACCCTACGCTGTCCGTAAAAACCCAAATCCATAACCCACTGCGTTGCTGCAAGCAGCAAGCGGTGTACCCCCACCGCCAGGCCCCTTGTGGCCTGTACTCAAAATTCCAGAGGAAGCGTAGGTTGCATGCACAATATCCTCGTATTTGACGAGAGAAATACCGCAAAGCGGCTACTGCCTAACCACCGTCCCAGTTGACGGGCAGCAGTCGGCGTGCATGCAGCCCTACATACCGGTACCACCTGTCCTCCAATCGCTCCCTGTTTGCCCAGTTACAGATATGTTTTCCCGCTTAAACGCAAGTCTTCTCTGCCCCCCTTCTTGTGTCGACTCTATAATAATGTGTCTCGAGGCGAACGGACGTCGGTTCACCTCGAGACTGCTCCCCGGGGTGTCGGGCGTAGTTGTTTGAGGGCGTTGCAGGTGTGTCTTGCGCCCTTTTCAGACGCTCTCTTTCCCTATTCCACCTTTTTAAATGCTCCATGTGCGTGTACGGACAGGTAGACGGGCTTCCATGCTCCTGCTTTTCCCCCATGCGGTAACACTAGTGTGCGTTCGGGCACGCCAAAGTTGTACGTAGGGTAACTGTCCACCGCACAACTTCTGTTCAGAGAGAAGCAATGAAATATGGACTGATTATTAGATGCGGCTATTTGCTTGGGGCAGGGGACTATGGGTTGAAGCGTAGCGCTGATTAGCTCACCATAATATGAGCTCCAATATGAGTCCCCTTGCGCTATAGATTGCAATGTACAACTGGGTGCAACAGAATGCTTGGAATGCTCAGATCGGGCAGCGTTGCACGCCCTATCTTTCTGTTCTCTACCCTTACGCCGGAGCCCTCTACGATGCATAAGGCAGGGAGAAAGGGGAAGAAAGACTTTTATAAGCGGGTATCAAGATCTTTCTTTCCGATCTTTAACCGGGATCAAGGCTAAAAAGGTCGCTTTATAAATGTCTTGCGATCAGTTGTTGACTGCCGAACAGTCGCAATGTCCATTTCCTAGTCTCCCCTAGTGTGTCCCCCGCCTCCGAAACTGCTAGAAAAAAGCCTCTTTAGGGCCCTTTTCTTTTTACAGCTGCACGGTGGTCCGCTAAGAGAGAGAAGCTGTAAGAAGTCGTATTCTAAGGGGCTGTGGTGTTGCTGGGCAGCGGTTTCTATCACCCCGGTTCTGCTAAGAAGCCTTCACCAGAGCTCAGCAGCACGCAGTGCAAGCTGGCTACTTTTAGGAGTTCATCGGTGCTGTGTTTGTACATGATTGTTGCAACGCTCTTCCTAAGGTCTCTTTAAGAAGACACTTCAAACCTTATTGAGTTTCTTTCCAAAAGAGCTTCTCTATATTCCCCGCCCTCACCCCTAAGAATTCTGGCAGGCGGGGGAAGGAACATGAAGCTGTGCGTAGCTGCATCCTCTGAAGTTCCGCTAATTTTACATAGCTCCTGGCAAATACACGCACACAAACTTGCGTCTTACAGTGCCAAGCGAACAGTGCTCTACAATAAATAGCATTCTATAATAGACAAACCGATTAGGCAGCTCTAAACAAATCCTTGGATATATATATATGTATGTATATATATCATGCAGTGGGAAGTGCCTATGCGTAGCTTAGCCCTCTACTGAAGGTCTATCACGTTTAAGAGCTTGTGGAGTGTGTGTAACGGCCCGGAAAAGCTACACACTGGACGGTCCTGCTTTTCATACCCAACAAAATGAATGACGCTGTCTGCATTGTATCTGGATGTACGGCTTGTGTTGTGGTGTCCGTGCAACAGAGCAAGGCTGGTCAAGCCCATTCACTCTCTTGACTTCAAGTTGTGTGGTATTGGGCACAGAGCGACTCCGTGAGCAGCCAGTCAAGGTGGTGAGCATGCTGCTCACGGGGTCTACTGGCTCGAGCCCCCTTTACCTCCTCCTGACCTAAGGCGGGATTTTGTGGGGTGATGGTATGGTGGCTTGAACTGAGGCACCCCTGTAGAAGATCTGCTGGAGAATTCCAAGGGACCGTTCAGTCCAAACAGCGTCAAAGCCGTGCGGAATTTCAATAGGCTCTGCGACAAAAACACTTGTTTTCTCGTCGGCAGAGAAGCGTATGGGGAGGAGTATGGAGGAGGCAGTTTAGGGACTCGAAAGCCGTCCAAAAAGCTCCCCCGAAGGAGCCACTGGCCTTAATCCTGATCAAGGTGTCTGGCCCTTCGTTCTTAGTTCGAAAAGGGCTTCCGTTCTAGCTCCTTTTGTGACTGCCTGTCTACAAACCGTTCCCCCTAGTCAAGGGTAAAAAGACATCAAGGCAAGGCCGCTTAGGAGCCGACTTGTTGAGGCCTCTTCAAACCGTAAAGCTTGTTGTTCGCCAGCCTCCTGTGGCGGGGTGGTGCATGCATCATTCTTGCCTGAAACAGCCTGCTTGGATAGCCCTGACTCCGTCTGCGACGTATCCTTTCTCTACCGTGTAGCGGGTGTTCTTTCTGCTCGTCCCCTTGCATGAGGGGGCACTGCGCATGCAAGCCACGCGTTTTCTGGCAACCTAAAGCCCCAGGGCATCCGTGCGATTGCGTGGAGGCGCATCCTCCAGGCAAACGGTTGCACTGCCCAAAAGGGCTCTAAGGAGGGAGAGGCAGAGCCTCTGACACGCCTCACTTAGGGTGTAAGTTGGGCGACTCTGGGGCTTTCGACGCTGAGGAGAAAACCATTCCGTTACTCCTAGCATCCCTCCACACCTAAGCGACCCCCTGGGCAGACTTTGTCTACTGCACGTGGCGTCGTGTTTCCCCGGCATCAGGCAGATGCATGTGTATGCAAATATGCAAGCAAGTGCCCTTCTCAGAAGCGCACTTCGGGGTTTAGAGACGCTTGGGTCTCTCGAGTGGCATTTCGAGCTTCTATTAAATGCGCAAGGCAAACTCCCGTATTGCTTCTCGCGCCGCGCTCTCAGTGAACTGAGGATGGCCTTAAAGCCTCGGGAAACGCTTCTTGCTAGCCTGCTCTCGAGGCTCGCGGCACCTCCTTCGTGGCTCTGGCTGGTAGGTAGATAGGGAGCCTTGCCTTCGGCTAGCGCTCCGAGCCACTGCCAGAAGAAAGCTGTGTGGCAAATCCTGCCTGCAGGCTAGAGCGGCCAGTAACCCTGTGAGGCCCAGCCCAACCTCTACAGCAGCTCTCTCTAGCGCTACTTGTGGTAAGTGTAAGTAAGTAAATATATGTAAGTGTATATGCATGTGTATATGTATGTGTATGTGTATGTGTATATGTATGTGTATGGAGGGGCCAGGCAGGAAGCCGTGAGCGGCCTCTAGGGAGCATCTTGCCCCTTCGCAGCACCGTCTCCTTCTGTGTTTCCGCTCGATTCGATGAACTGCCCCCCATCTACCCTCCTTTTCCTGGGGGCAGCAGGAAGGTCTGCCTCCGTGTCTGTAGCTCCCGGTGCCTCTGCTATGCAAACCTCCTCAGAGTTGCGCTTGCGGCTGGCGCCTCCCCCGTTGCACTTGTCTCCGTGCGCGAAGACGGCTGTCTGGCATCGGCCCCCCTCTTCCTGAGAACCCCCCGCTTCCTCCTGGGCAGCCGCTGAAGACGCGTCAGCCTCCCCCTCAGTCTCCGTTTCGAGAGGCCCCTCAGAGGAGTACCTGCTGTGCTGCTGCTGCTGCTGCTGCTGCTGCTCCAGCAGCTCGCTCAGCCAATCGACGCAGCACGGGCAGCCGCAGCGCGCTGCCTCGCCGCAGCCCGCCGAAGAGGAGGCCCCCCCCCTGCCTTGGGGGGGCCCCCTGGAAAGCAGGAAAAAGCCTGTGCGAGCACCTAGCAGCCGCCTAGACGCTGCCGTTAGCGTATCTGACACCTGCAGCGGCAAAGCCCCCAAACCAGAAAACTCGCGAGGAGCGCACAGTGATTTCCACAGCGAAAAAGAGGCCTGCGGGGAGGAAGGGGGGGGAGAAATCCTGCTGCGCCTTCCTCCCCTTCCCCCCTTGGAAGAGAAACAAAGCAAGCGCTGCAATGCTGCTCAGGATAGAGGCGGCTGCGCTACACGCCCCACAGTTGGCCTTGTTTACTCGCAACACGCAGCACCGAGCTGAGAGGCTGACTTACGGCGTTGGCTGCTGCAAGACGCCGCTTAAATGCTTCGTCGGTAGGGATGGCTGGAAGGGATGGCCACTCAGTGCACCCATCCCGCACTCGCACCAGCTGCACACACATCCACATACACACACATAGACTGACACACATACATAGACAGACACACATACATACACACATACACATGCTTGCATATACATACACATACTTGCACACATACATATATGCATACATACATACACATACACACACATACATATATGCATACATGCACATACATGCATACACATACACATATACACACACATATACATACACACACATATACGTACACATACACACACATACACATACACACATACATACACATACTTGCACATACATACACACATACACATGCTTGCATATACATACACATACGTGCACACATACATATATGCATACATACACATACACACACATACATATGTGCATACATGCACATACATGCATACACATACACATATACACACACATATACATACACACACATATACATATACATACACACACATATACATACACATACACACACACACACATACACACACATACATACACACACATACAGAAAAACTCAACGTCATAAGCACTAAACCGGTGCAGACTGTGGTCGTGGGGAAGGGTGCGCAGGTTGAGGGTGGCTGGGCAAGAAACCAACGCCAAGCAAATCAATCCACTTACCTTCTTAAGAGCAAAAAAAAGCTTCTCCAGCTGCTGGTGCGGAGGCTTCCACGCGATTTCACACAACCGCTGAAGCGTCAACGGAGGCCTAAGACCAGAGAGTCAGACAGAGAGATACACAGATAGACAGACAGAGGGATTGGCAGACGGACAGAGAGATTGGCAGATACACAGATAAACACACAGATACACAGATCGAGATACACACAGATATGTATATATATATGTATATATATATAGCTATGCACACAGATACACAGATCGAGGTATGCACACACAGAAACACAGATCGAGATACACACATATACACACATATACATATAGCTACACACACAAATACACAGATAGAGATATGTACACACAGATACACAGATCGAGATACACACACAGATACACAGATAGAGATATATGCACACACAAATACACAGATCGAGATATGCACACACAGATAAACAGATCGAGATACACACACAGATACACAGATAGAGATATATGCACACACAAATACACAGATCGAGGTATGCACACAGAGATAAACAGATCGAGATACACACACAGATAAACAGATCGAGATATGCACACATACACACACATATATATATAGCTACACACACAAATACACAGATAGAGATATGTACACACAGATACACAGATCGAGGTGTGCACACAGAGATAAACAGATCGAGATACACACACAGATACACAGATAGAGATATATGCACACACAAATACACAGATCGAGGTATGCACACAGAGATAAACAGATCGAGATACACACACAGATAAACAGATCAAGATACACACACATACACATATATATATATAGCTACACACACAAATACACAGATAGAGATATGTACACACAGATACACAGATCGAGGTGTGCACACAGAGATAAACAGATCGAGATATGCACACACAGATAAACAGATCGAGATACACACACAGATACACAGATAGAGGTATATGCACACAGATACACACACAGATACACAGATCGAGATATATACATACAGATACACACACACATACATACACATATATATATGTATACAGATACACACACACACACACACTCATACATAGATACACAAGTACACACTGTAAACACAAAAACCACAGTTTTAACCCTTACGACCCTGGCATTGCCCTGTCTTTCATCGTAAATATCCCCCCTTCGCCACATGTAGACGTTTTCTCGGAATGTTACAGTGGAGGATACGCAGTTCTTCAGATCATCTGCCTATTCGGGGGGAGGAGCGGCGTACGCTTCAAATGCGAGAACTTGCGCGAAGAGGGTGTCGCGAGCTCGTTCCCAGTCGAAGGAGCGCAGGTGTCGCTGTTGTTTTTTTCCAAGTGCAGTAAATAGCTGCAGCGAAGGAGCGTGCGCAAGTGGCGGCAGTGCCGCCGTGATGAGAATTACGGGGTACAGGCTCAGTTCGAAAGGGGGCAGAAAGAGGAGAAAAGGGGTACGCTTCCACGTCCGTCCACTTTGCCGCGTACCTCGTACAGCCGTCCTCCGAGGATGAGCTTAAATAAAGACCATGGATAGAGGGGGGCCCCCCTAGCGGCAGTCTCTCGCAAGAGATCCAGGAATTCAGCTATTCCTTCTGGAAGTCTAACGGTGGGGGGTGGTTCTCCGCATGCTGCAGTGCAGCAGGGGGTAGTCGCTGGGGGGCTGGTGTCTAAGGAGACTGACGTTCTGCTCTCCGAGGGAGGTGGGCATGCGGAGGACGGGGAGGCAGGTGAGTACTCAGGACTGGCAAACTCGCAGCCGCAGCTGCACCTTGTAGGAGCTGCTGTTGCTGTTGTTGCTCCTGTTGCTGCTGTTGCTCCTGTTGCTCCCAAGGATCCCCCTTCCTTCCCTGCCGCTGCTCCTTGCGGGGAAGGGGTGGCTTCGTCAACGCCGCACTGCAGGACGAAGTCTGTGCGCATGCGCACACGCGAACCGAGCAGCGCAGCCCCCTTCTAGCGCCCTCTTCGCATACATATATATATATCAGCGACACCCCCCAATTCAAAGCTTGAAATAGGGTGTTCCCGAGCAGCAAGCTGCAGGCTGAGAGAACGGACTTACCCAGCAAACGATTCAAACCAAACCTATAGAGGGCCTCTTGAGGATCTTGAGGGGAAGCGCCCTCAACACTGGACGCCTTAGGCTCCCTTGCCGTGCTGCTGTTGCTGCTGCTGCTGCTGCTGCTGCTGCTGCTGTTATTCGGTTCGACGATTTTGCCGCTGCTTGTCTCGCAGGGGGGGGTACTGAGCTGGCGGTTGTATCGGTCGCTGGCGCTAATGCTGCTGGGGTTGCTTACGCTGCTACTGCCGCCGTCGCGCACCTGTTGCTGCGTGGCTGCAGCAGACGCCGCTAGGGGTTCCTCCTCCACATGGCCTCCCCCGCTCATCTCCGACGTGGCTTCGAAAGCCCCTTGCACATTCGCTCGCGCGCTTACACCCGCAGTTGCGGAGGACAGAAGAACGCATGCATATGTAAGGGAGAGCAGCCGAATCCGCGTGGGGGAAAGAGCGGCGTGGCGGAACGGGGGGGCCCTTCCCACCTGTAGTGCATGCATGCATGCATGCTTTTCTGCGGCAGCCCCAGCGTTGCGAATTACCTGCCTGCGTGCATACCTGCGCAGACACCCGTCGAAGCAGTAACAGGGCCCGTATTTCCGACACTTTTCAGTTTGCACTCTCATATTAGTGGCTGCTTCACGAGGGGGCTGCTCCCTTCTCTCCTTCCCCATGGCGCTGCGGCAGAAGGGGACCCTTGGGGTCCTGTGGTGTGTGAGCCTACAGAGGGGAGCTTTAAGAGAAAGCGGTAGGGTGGACGTTTTTTTTTCAACGCCTTCATGCATAAACTCAACTAGAAGGAGCAGTTCCTCCGCCAAATACGTCGCGTTCCGGGAAAGCGTGCCTGGGCAGGCTGTTTCTCCGGTGGGTAGAATCCGCCTGTCCGCAGGTAATTCTTCGCATTTGGCCCGTCAAATTCACCATGCAGCTTCTTCTCGTGTTGATCCTGCTCCTTCTTCATCAGACAGCCATCAGATCTCAAGGCAGGGTGACACCTCGCCCGTCGATCCTGTCGCCAGCACGGCTACGGTTTCTGCGGTGGAAGCGGAGTCCAACAAAGCGCTCGCTCATTCCAGGCGCGTTCTGAAGAAGCCGATCCCTCCAAACTTTGTCTCGGACACGTTTTTGCCGCATCTAGAGCATCAGATCATTCATATGGCTCCATCTTTTTCAGTGCTTCAGCTTGGCGAGGTGGGTGGCGCGTACGCCAAGCTCCCTGAGGCGTTGCGCGATAAGGAAGTTGAAAAGGTGCTTCTGGAGCATGTCAGGAAAAACTTGAAGCACGTGCATACATCTGAAGAGGCAATGGCAGTCGTGTCTCTCATGGAGCTCTTGTGGGCAGGGGGCAGCGCCAACCTCTCCCCGGACGGAAATCCTCCCGAAACGCGGAAAGACGGAGTGCTGAGCTGGCTAGTGGTCGGCTCTGGACGAACGCGACGCGTGGAGGCAGACTTGTTCGTGTCGCTGAAGGAGAAGACAGAGGCAGAGCCAGCATTGCTGTCAGGACTGTCGGCGCTAAATTTGTTTTCCTTCATCCGCGCTTACACAAAGGCCCTTGCCGACCCAAATGCCTTTAGAAAACACGAGCGAGAATCGCTGGAGACGTTTGTTAAGCAACTCAGAAGGCGAACGGATGCAATGCTGAAGGCGCATGATCCCCAGGAGTTAATCTCGATCATCGCGTCCATAGCAACTTACGGAGGAACTGCCACGCCCTCGCCTATGCCGCCTACACCGCAGCAGCAGCAACAACAACGACACATGCAGCAGCAGCAGCATTCCGAGGAAGCCCAGCACCTCTTGAACACAGAAAACATGCAGCAGCTCCTGTCTCGCAACCCGCATCTCGCCGTGTTGCCTCACGTGTTGCAACAGGTGGATGGACACCTGAAAAGGGACGGATTTTCATTTTTCCAGCTCTTTCAATTGTTGCACTTGCTGCAGAAATGCGGAATTAGACACCAGGGCATCTTAGAAGAATGCGAATACTTCTTGCACAACGGAACGTACACTCCCAAGGCACACTCTGAAGAGCCTCCTCGCGAACAACCTCTCAACCGGCAGCAACACCAGCAGCTGCAACAGGAGAGTGTCTTGGAAGTGGATGCGGAGGCGCTCCGCAAGATGAATGTCACAGAGGTTTCGCAGTTCATCCAGGCTTTAGGTCAAAGGATTCGTTCCCAAGGTCTCTTGGAGCAGCACCAACAGCAAGAGCAGCAACCGTTGGCAGCAGCAAAGAGGGGTCCTGTTGCAGACGTGTTGCCGCCTTCCTTGCTAGCCAAGATTGCATGGTGTTTCAATCAATTTGGCGAATTTCACAGAGTGGAAAGGGTTCTGGAGCGGCCGGTGAGTTCGACATGCGTCTTATTTCAACGCGGGAAATGTCTTTTGCTCGCAATCAACGAACGTGTTTTCGCTCATGAATGTGTACCCTCACAACAGAAGGCATCTAGTGCTTAGGACTCTAGATTTAGGAATTCACTCATCGAACGCAGGCATGAACACCGTCGGCATGTTCGTGGACTGAGCTGTATATGTGAAGTGCCTTTTGCACGCATTGCCGTACTGCAAGCGTCCAGGCATATTTTTGCAGTTTCAGCAAAGAGAGGAGCGCCAGCATGGACGTTTCGGCAGGCTTTTGATTCACCACAGGCTTGTCTGATGGTGCTGTTACTGAGGGGCTACAGGCTCTACACTTCGAGAAGCATGACATAGAGCAGTCATATATGTGTTTTTTTCGTGCAGATTCTGCGAGCCGCCTCCCGATTCGGCCCTATCGATTTTGCTCGTCTAACCCAAACACTACCCCATGTAGGCTATGCTGTCTTTCCCCCTTCTCCACTCACATATTGAACTCTTCGCATCGATTGGTTGTACCCACGAACTGTTCAGCTTTGCACTTTCGAAGCACGTTTCCATAGGACTGTCTTTACCCTGTGGCTGTGCTCTTTCACAGCCAACGTTTCTTCCATTCTGCGTGTTGCTGCTGCTTACTTTGCTTGTGGCAACAGGGAGCCCCGGTTTTGCAGCTTATCTGCAACAGGCTGGCCACAACTGCAAGCGGAATGCGGCCTTTTGAGTTCCTCTTTTTCGTCGTCGGCGCTCTGCGCCTCGGCCGTCTGTACACCGCAGAACTCATGGGTTCTGCCGAGTTGGGTAAGTCGTTACTTAGGATACCTTCATACCTGCCTCTCAGCTCTTCATTGTTTTGTTCAAAAACACTTTTCTTCATCACCTTCTCCACGATGTTCTGTTACTCTTCCGGCTTGAATGTGCGCAGCCCCCGGTGATCAACTCCAGCTAAGGGACAGTTACGTCGACCTGCGTCCATTGATTCGCCAGTTCTTCTCCGAGAAAATAGACGGTTTTTCTCCTTCGCAGATCAATTATTTGCTATGCGCCATCCACAAAACGGCCGCGTCACAAGAACACGCAGATTGTGTGCTCGAGTTGCTGCCACAAGAATGGCGTAACCCACAGCAGGGACCACAGCGGAAACACGAAACTAAATGAAGTGGACAAACACGCAAATCATGTTGCTGCGGCGTAGTTTGTTCATCGTACTGAAGTAAAGCGTCTCTTGCAGCAGATGCGCAAGTCTTTCTTCTTTTTGACAACGCGGAACGTTTTTCAGGTCTTGTTGAACATTATACGCTTCTCTTCGCGCGGCACATGCATAAAACGTGTTTACACCTAGCGCTGCCTGCTGTTTCCTAAAGTCAGCTCCATGCTTGGATGAAAGGAATGCGATCAACGGCTTTCGGCGATATAAATGTAGCAGAGCTTAGCCTCGTGATTCCGCATTCAGCTGTCTAAAAGCCGTGCATCTTGAAATATTGAAATTCAGACTCACATTCGGGATAAAACCGAGGCGCATGCTTCATATGGAGCAGCGACGGCACACAGGAAGCCAGTTGTAGGATTAGAGAAAAGCATGGCATAGAGGCCACTGCGCCTTGAGGAAGAGGGGAGGGAGGGCAGATGCCTGGACAGTAATGGCTCGTCTGTGCTAGAGCCATTAGGGCTGAAGCCCTACTGCCTTCGGCAGTAGAGGCACAATTCAAATGATGGATAGCCTACGCCACATCTTAGCCTAATTTACGGATGGTATCCTCCGTTTAGGGCAGCAACGCAGATGGCAGCGCCCTTCCCTGAACCGTCGTCAGCAGCCCTTAGCGTAATGCGCTTCTGTTTGTCCCCCGTGAGAATCTTCATGTATTCGCTGATCCGCTCGCCGTACCACGCGTTCCGCACGTACAAAGAGCCATCCACAGCAACCGTCAGGCTGCCGTTATTGTCGAGCTCCTGCGCAGTAAATGAATGCAACGCGACAAGTACAAACCGAGAAAATCGTTCAGTACGCGCTACGCGCAAAGAGAGGAAAGGAAACGCAGGGCGAATTCGATTCACAGTCTCAGGAGAACCGTATTCGAGACTGGGCTGGGGAATGTGTTTTGCTTAGGCATATATAGGCATGCTTGTTTCTATCACTTACGCCGGTGCGTTCTGCCAGGACAGCTATGGATATAGCAGCAAGAGCCGCGGAGCGATCAAACACCGCGAACGCAATATCCTTCATAATCTTCAGAGACGCGTCGTCAGTTTCCCAACACCATGACTCCTTAAGAGTGTCTCTGCATTTCTGATCTGCAGCTGCGTCCACTGGAGTACCGGGAACGCAGGTACAAGCAAGAATAGCAACTTGTTTCGTGTCCAAAGAAAACTCTTCCCTACCGACACACACACACACATATATATATATATATATATATATATATATATACATATTTTTATACATCATGCCTGTACTAAAGCTGACACAAGTTATTAGCAAGTAGGAATGCCGCTGGTCATGCGAGATGAAACATGAAGATGAATATTTGTATGGCGTGGAAAGGTTCCCATGAAGAGAACACATGTATGTAGACCTCCTCCTGTAGTTTTTTAGATTACAAAGCACCAAATACACGCACACACGATTAAATCTCGGTACGCCGTTCAGACCTGGTATTAGACTAGAACCACCACTTCAAAGTACACGCACAAGGCTTCTGCCGTACTTTGCCTTTGCAGGAGCAGCGTTTCCGAAGATACGGAGAGTGAGCAGTCGGACAAGTTCACCCAAATAGAAGCCGGAGATCATTTTCTCGAACAGCTGCTCGCCTTTGTTGGGCGACTTCTCATCAATCTGCAAAATAAGCACCCAGAAGATCACACATAGACCCCACCCCAATCTGTTTCCCTTGAACTGCGTGATGCGAACACAAGCACTTCGCTGCCTTGAAGATCAACACAAACTGCCCCAAACCAGCACCCCCTGTGTAATGCGTCAGAAAAAATCTAGCTGCACTGTTTCCGTAAAGTGTGCTAAATTCTCAGTGTGGCTACTGCAGCTCTTCTAAGAAGGCAATTTGCCTACGAAAGCCGAACTGAACTCGCAGGTGCATGCACCATACACCATGTTAGATTCACAAAAGGTTCCTGCAGCCGGCACTGGAAACCATTTCCAACCGAAAAAGAAACCTACAGCTGTATCTACAGAAGTGGTGGGGAGATGCTTATTGAAATTGCCGCACTCCACGTTGATGACGCGCCCTTTATATCCGTTTGCCGCTGCTTCGGGCTCAACATAGCAGCAGTTCGCTCCAGTGCCGAGGATAACCCCCACGCTACAAGGAGGAGAACCAGGCTGTTTTTGATAGGCGCAAGACAGCATAGTTCCAACCTGCACATGAGTGAAAGAGAAGGCCACAAAAACTCGTAATCGCAGTGGTCAAAACACAGCAATAGGATGATGTGTTGTATGCGCTAATAAAACGGATACAAGGAGAGCTACAACCTACACGAAGGAAAACGCTTTGAAAAACACGAAAGCGGTTGCATCGTACAACATGCATCCATCTCGATTGCGTTGCTTTCAGCCACACGCTCCCATCCTATATGAGCAGCCTCGCAGTGCTTGCACACTCACTGTGTCATTGACGACGGCTGCGCATTTAACGTTTAGTCCTTTTCTTAAAATAGCTGCATCGAGAAGCGTCACAACATCCTGTCCCACCACTGGATCTGTAGTGTCATAACCTGTTTTGAAGCCTTTCGTCCACGCCTCCAGAATACTGGTATCCAGAGCCTGAAAACACACGCCCAGGCAGGAAGTACACGAGGAGGTTTAATAAAATACAGATACGCAACTCCACTTGAATATAAGAAATATTCCTAACCCGTGAATGATGGCTACGATATGAACGATAGGCAAAGCCGTTCTACGGATGCACGTATTGTGCATTCATCCTCTTGTGATTCAAATCTATCTCACGCTCTGCGTGCAGGGGAAAGAGAAAGTAAATCCGAGCAACCCCGGTCCTTTGTTGAATGCCTCCCTATCTTGCTGCTGGTCATCGACAAGTTCGCTGACACAGGCAGCCAAAACGTCAAAGAGCTGTGAGGCAGATGTCTCGCGAGCCATCAGATTCACATCCCCTCCGCATTCATACAAGCTGAGAAACAGCACGAAGAAATAAACATTTCAGGAACCAGGCTTCAAGAATTTGAAAGGCCGTCAAGCAACACCGAAGGAACGCGCCCCCCACCTGACCGACCGTGCAACGATACTTTTCATGCATTTCAAGGGGAAACGCGCTTAAACTAGACGGAGAGATTGTAAATCGTACTTCTTAAGTGACTGCTTGGAGACTATCTTCCCTTCTCCCATCAGTTCGCAGCGCACAGCTCTCACATTGGTCCCGCCAAAGTCTAGGGCATAGAACACGCCTTTCTCATGTCCAGTTGGCACGACGGAAACACAAGAATCCAGCATACGGAGCGAGCATTCCTCGGGAACCCACTTGAGGCCATGATGCTTGTGCATTGCAAGTCCCTGCACCACGAAAAGTTGAACACCCTACTCTGTGAAGCGCCACGCCTCCGCGAATCACCATGAAGCACGGGGAGGGGTTTTCACCCACAAGCGCCTTTTAAACAGCCTTGGTCAAATGAATATCGGCATTAAACAACCACACAAACCTAGGGGAAGAGGCTTTTAATCCAGGGTTTTTAATCACCTTGATAATCTCATCCTTGAATGCCGCTGCGAGTTCTTCAAGTTTCTCCGTTGTCAGTCTGAGGGGCGCCAATTCGCGCTACACAAACCGCAGTCAGGACACGTTAAACAGTTCAAGAAATGCATCTGAACCCTTTTGCATGTACAGGAAGAGCGAAAATTCATCGAGACAGCAGCGGGTCGTGCCACTAGGTTCGGGAAGCCGCGCCGGAGGGCCTCGATGGCACAACCACGCGGCGTGCACGAAGCCCTATAGAGTGTCACTCGCTTAGCGACGACATACTTCGTGTACCAGATTGGTCTGAATGACGCAGAAAGGAAAAATACCAGGTAGAGGGATAGGGGGCTCGGCATACCTCTGCGCACTGTGCGGTCGAGAGCGGGCACATCGCGGCGGGAACTGAGAATACGATAACGACAAAACTTGCTTGATCTTCCAGACGAGCGAACGGGCGAAAAACGAGGGAGAAGAGTAATATACGAATTGTTGGAGCCGCACTTATTTCTGCGCTGCGCGCTACGCGCTGAGTGAGAGCTTCCAGAATCAACGGGACTGGCCAGAGGAGCTGAGGGGTGGCAGCCCCAGTTTTTCCCATGATCATCGGGGGTAGAGCTGCGGCTGCCACCCCTCACCTCCTCTGTTAGTGCTTCGTCTCTCCTAGCGCTTCATGACGATGTGCGAATGCGTCCACGCGTGCATATCTTCCGATCGTGTAGAGGGCTTGTCTACTGAGCTGTACTGGTGGGCGATGTCGCGCGCGAAAGTCTGGGCGTCGTGTGTTCTGCTTCCATGATAAAGACACGACGCTTCCCAATTCGGACTAAAAAAATACCCCTAGTGGAGAATCGGCTTCTCTGTGTGGTACTTCTTGTGGCTAGTGGTGATCCTTCATTGATCTCGCACCAGCGGCGTACGAAATCGCTCACCGCTCTTCCTGCAACAAAGCGCTGTGAACGCCATTCCCAGCACCCCGTAGAGACTGCTATGGTTCTTTTATTGCATACCGGATCGGGCGCTGATCAGCTAGCAGCTAGTGCTCATCAAAACGCGCGCCTGAAGTACCGACATAGGGTTTTAGATGGCTGTTCCATCGCCGAACAAAGTAGTAGCGAGGCAGTGCGTGGCTACAGGGGACACACCGTGGGTAGGAGGACTAAGGCACCTATGTGGAACCACCAAAGCTTTTGTTTTAAGTAGATCTTCAGGTGTGTGCATGCGTGTGTACACCGTCCTACAAAGACAGCCCCATGAAATTCGCACACAGCGGTGAGCCAGAGATTGATGTCGCCTCGCGCATCCCCAGATACGGCACCGCGAATCTACACGCGCCACCAAGCATCACCACACAAGACGCTTTTCCGGGCGAAAAAAATAATTACATTCCCGAACTTTGCGCTTTTCGAGATGCGGAAGCCCCCCATCTATAGTGGCTTCGTTTGCACGCGCAGCCCGCCACGTACCGTACAATACGGAGTGGCGCTAAGATTCACTTCAAAACTTTCGCCTACACTGGAGGGAGGCATAGCCGCTAAACAGGAGAAATGGAAAGGTTTATGCGTTTGTATACTTGTGACCATTAGGTACTGAAGAGGCCGCTTGGCACGATACTCCATGACGCAGTGCTGTGTGCGTTTGTCTGCACTAAACACAAGGTGCAGCAGCTAGCTGCGCATGCTGGAAGGTGCAGCCACGCGCGCCTTGGCAGTCTTTTCCTCTCATATTTGGAGCTTGAGGGGTGGAGGCGGGGAACATGGGCAGCTTTTTGCAAAGCCCGCTCAGTGACATACAATCAAGTTTGTATCAAGTAACGCACTAATATACAACTAAGTTTGCATTGAGTCTGGAGCGATCTATGCCCCCCGGAGATCTAAGATGGAGCATCGCACGCTACGCCTCGTACAGAAGAATAAGAATGGCATCTTTGGCCCCGTTAATAGTGGTAGTTTACGCGGGAGGAGAGTACAGGCTCAAAATCACGTAAGAAGACAAGGTTCTGCAAAGACGCCTCTCGTGCCCAAAAACTGAAAGCCTTCCAAGGAGGTTGGGATGGTCTGAATGTTACACAGCTCGAAAGGGTATTCTGCTGTACACGTCTGCCCCATGAGAAGGGCAGCAGAAATCTCTGGCAAAGAGCAGCAAACGATAGGTGTGAGCGGCACCATGACGCCGATGCGTCTCGTAACCCTCACCATTCGATCCGTAGCGACTTTTACGTAACGGATTCGTGCAGCGCATTGTGATTATTGCATGCAGCAGAGCAAGGCGGATCGCTTGTATATAGTGTCAGTTAAAATGGATGGCGCTTTTCTTTCCGCTAAACGCGCTTCGCTAAACGCGCTGCAGAACCGGTGATACGGGGGGGGGGGGGTGCTGCACGCCTCAGAAGGTGGGCTGTTGCAGGTCACTGAGTTTGTCGTCCAGGAGCTGTTTCCACGGGAGTCTCTGTGCCTCCTCGAACGTATCCGAAAGGGAAGCAGCTGCAGTATCTATACGCTGCAACATAGCGTTCACGCCTCCATGTACTTCCAGTTGCGTGTGCTTGAAGCGATCACGTATGTCGATGAAAGCCTCGGAGAGCTGCTCACGGCCACATGGGCTGCAGCGGCACTGACGCGTCTCCTGCTGTTGAAGGCTCTCCTGCTGTCTGAAGCCAGCCCGTGATCTCCAACTGCTAAGCTGGTGATGGCGATACTGCTGGTAGGCGAGCTGATACGCCTGTGCCTGTTGTTCTGCTGCATCCCGTTGCTCTAGGAGCTGCTGCCGCTGCAGCAACATGCCAAAAAGAACTAGCTGCTGCAGCAGAAGAAGCAGGAGCAGGCACCCCTGCAGCTTCGACACGCACAGCGTGCATATTGTAGCTCGCATGCAGCGTCGCAGGAAGCCAGGTGCTCCTCTTAAGGCCGCTTTCGGCGGGAAATTGCCTGCCGCTTTCTTCTTGCACAGGGCAAGTGCGGCCCTTACTGCTGCTGTTCGAGGTTCAAATCCTGCATCTGCTGCCTCTGCTGCTTCTGCTGCATCTGCTGAGGCTGGAAAATCTTGTGGCTGTGCCGATATCGACGAGCCTGAGGGTGTATGTCTTCCCGCAGCCTGTTGAGGCGTCATGCTGCCGCTGATGCTGCAGTTTCTGCTGCCTGTGTTGTTGTTGCTGCTGCCGTCGAAAGCGTTGCTTCTGCACCCGTAATCGGCGTCACTCGTGGTGTGCTCACTCAGACAGTAAGGGAACGAAGCCGGTTGGGCATTGTGCGCTGCAACACATGTGGCTGCTGCTGATGCTGCTGGTGAAAGCGGCCACTTCGAGCCTGATCCTTGGTGCACCTTGCTAATACGACGCCGGAAAAAGACCGGGCGGGGTATTTCTGCAGAAGCACGCGTAGCTACACACACAAGAGCGCTTGGGGGAAACCATGGCAGACGCAAGCGGTAGCTTCGCGGAGGAAGCACACGCGACGGGTTTGGGAAGGAGAAACGCAGCCACCTATAGACGCGACGGCCCCGCATAGCCCAATGGAGAAGAGCGACGGCTACTACTGCGCAGGGTAAAGAGGCAGACACCTCTCCGCCGTTTTCCCCTCTACCCCCTTCTCCCCCTCCCCCCTCCCACCCACCTGTAGTAGATAGAGATTCCGCCATTCGCTTTCTCCTACGAGATCAAAAAAGTTTAAACCCCCAAATATGCAAGAACCCTTATTAAATGCTCATAAATGTGGCCACTTTCCACTGGAATTGGGCACACACCATGTTGCAGTGCTACACCCCAGAGAGGGTTCGGTTCAACTCAGATGGTGGAAAACGCCCCCAAAATAATACCACACACAGAATCGAGCAGGAATAACAATTGTTAATACGATACGGGACGAATGTAAATTTTAAAGCAGCACTAGACATATTGGCAAGAGCGCAACAGAGATACACTGCTGCTCCTTGGATAATCCAGCGGCGGCGGCTGCTGCTGTGGCGGCTGCTGCTGCTTCGGTAATGGCTGCTGCTGCCCGTTGAGCTCCTGCAGTGTCTGGATTTTTTTGGCATTGAGACAATGCAAATTCTAAATATTGTTTCATCTTCTCGAGCACCCTGCCATGCGCCAGCGCTCTGTATATGCAGCGGCAACCGCGGCAGCAGTAATTACACCAGCGGTATCGGCTTGATTGTCGCTGCAATAACAGCGGCAAATCGGCCGCTGGCTATGAATCCTTCCGCAGGCAGTCCCCCCTTGTGAGCCGGAAGGGCTCTTCCCTTTCTTTGCCGCCTTTCCTCCCCTTCCCCTTCCTCCTGAAGACCTCGATCTCGCCCTCGGCTTCTCTTTGCGATCCAGCGTAAGCGCTCCGTTTCAGAAGCGCAGCCGCTCAGGCAGAGGCACCAGCAGCACCAGCAGCAGCATCTGCGGCGACAGCGGAGCCTGAAGCAGCAGCACTGTGGGAATTGGAGCGTAAACTGCAGTGACAGCTCGGCCTGGCGCCCTCCTGCTGCACACGCAAGGGGCAAGCGATCTGCCGCAAGATCATCAGAGCCCCTGCCAGCAGCAGCAGCAGCAGCAGCAGCAGCAGCAGCAGCAGTACCCCCACCACGCGAAAGCGGCAGCTGCATACGTACAGCCTCAGCGGTCAAGATGGACGACAGCGACAACAGCTCTGAGGCATCGTGCAGCTCAACCTCCTCGAACCCCAGCAGCAACAACAACACCAACAACACTACTCGCCACAGCAGGAGCAGCAGCAGCAACAGGACGCTGGGCATGGTCTTGACGGGCAGCATCGATGCTGCCGCAGCAGAAATTGGGAAGCGGGTAGCAGACGTAGAGGACGATCAGGAGGATTCTCAGACTCAGCCAGGAGTCTCCAGAGGGCTGAAAGCACACAGAAGCCTCGAGCACCTCAGCGAGCTCCAGACCGCCGTATTGCGTAATCTTACCCAAAGGCAGCTGCTCTCAGGTTTGCTGTGCCCCCCACTGTAGCGTTTGCTGTCTTTTTGCGCGTCTTTAAGTGCTGCTAGCTTACGCTAGGATACGCTAGGCTGGGCTTACCGAGGTCTGTGTAGGTTGCAATACTGCAGCAAGCGCACATAAAGGGTCTCTTTCTTCCCGCATTGTACACCCTGTTGCCTGTTGGCTTCGGCAAGTGCTCCTCTAGCGTCTTCTGCTGCTTTCAAGGACCTTTTGAGGCTTCGTCCTCTTCCTGTGCGCTTGTGATTTCCATTTGCTCAGTAATTGACGGCCTGCTGGAGGGTCAGGCTCTCGATCAACTTCTTAATGAGACATCCCCGCAAGTGGCTGCCAGAGTGCAGCAAGTAAGCCAGCGCGAAGTCTTGCGGTCAAAGACATGTTTTACGATCCTGCTTGGCATATATATATAAATATATATATGTATATATATGTATATATATGTATATACGTGTATCTACATACATATAATGTTTATGCGGCAATGAACGGCCCTGACCTAGCGTCTTGGGAACGTCTATCATAATAGGAGGTGTGACAGCGGTCCGTGTTGCTGCAGGCAGCAGCAGAGCAGGCAGCAGCGGAGCGCGATGCAGCGGATGTTGCGGCAGAAGCAGCGGCCGCTTCTGCTGCCGCTGCTGCTTCTGCAGCAGCAGCGGCGGCATACAGATCGGACTCTCGAGATTCTTTATCTGCAGATAGCTTCGTCCATCTGGCAAAGTTTGTTCCTTTGAGACTCACATATGATGGTGAGCGTGAAGGCAGCGCGAGATAGAAGTGAAACTCCGTCTAGGGTCTAAACTTGAGACCTCTTGCGCTGCGGCAGCCACCTCTACCTCCTTCTGCACCTCCACCACCACTCCTCTTCCCCCATTCCTTCCTTTCATGTACTTCTCCCCACATCCCCCGTCAGTGGGACGAGCTTGACAAAATTTCTCCCGTGGATTGCGCTTGCAGAGCGGCGTTTCCTCCGTTTGCTGGAGGGTTCCCTGGAGGTATCCGAATATACCGACCGGACAGACGTCATTTGTGCAAATCGTGCAAGGCGTATCGTGAAAGAAATTCGGCTCGTCTGCTCAATACTTACGGGCCTTGTTGTTTCACACGATTATGGTGAGGGGCATTTTGGGCGAGCACTATCGTTGTAGGACCGACCTACTACTCACCTTACACGACTGCGCGTTGATGGCGATGAGGTGTATATCCGCTTGTCGCCGCTTTCTGCTACGCGAGGGGGTCGCTGTATGGACATAGATAGATAGAGCTGCTGGCGCGCAAAGAGACCTATTTCCCACATGCCCTCTATTTATTTATATGTATAGATACATCTATATATATACATCTATATATATACATATTTATATACATATATATATATATATATAGCCGCTGGGTCTGAATGCCTGAAGGAAAAGGCGCTGTTTCCTCAGCGTAGACACACCCCACGGTGGAAGCTGTGAGGTGTGTGGAGGCGAGGGGGAAATGCGTGTAGCGGCATGTGAACTGTGTGTGGAGGCGTGTGAGAAATGTGTATAGTGGTATGAGAACTTTGTGTAGTGAGGTGTGTGCGAAGTTTGTCTGGTGGCGTGTGAGAAATGTGTACAGTGGTATGAGGAATCGGTGTAGTGACATGTGAGAAATGCATGCGTGCAGAGGAGGGTCAGCGACTGCTGCAGGAAATGACTTTTGCAGAGCAATCGCTTTTTTTCCAGGCCGTCTTTGAAATCGGCAGGCGCTATAAAATCCTCAATCCTGAGCGCATGCGATCGGCATACGGCAAGCTGATACATTTTCTAATGGACAGCCAAAAACCCGACATCCAGCAGCTCCTCCAATTTCAGCTCGTCACGCCTGGTACGCTTTCTTTCATCAACTAATTGCCGTCAGCCCCCTGTTCAGCTACCCCCAGTGCAGCTGTGTGTGTGAGGGGGTGGGGTGGCAGCCACATTTCGGAGAGTATGCATGTTGCTTGGGGTGTGCATGCAGTGCATACGGTGTACTCGCTGCTTGCTTCAAAGAAGAACGGCTTGGCGCTGCTGAAAGACCCTCTTGTACGGGTTGCGACTCGCGGTGAGAGGCCGATTAACAGTGATACAGATATTGAGAGAGAGGTTGCGAGAAATTGGAGATGGTTACTGAGAGAGAGGTTGAGAGCAACTAGAGATGGTTAGCGGGGTTGAGATATATAGAGTCTGATATAGGAAGAGAGAGAGACTAAGATAGTGATCGAGATAGAGATACACATAAATATATATAAATATCAATAGATTCCTTCAGCACATTAGTGCTCCCCCGAAAGGTCTTTACTCTCTCTCTCTCCCTAGGAGTCTTCAGTGGTACTGGCTTTGTGCGGCTCTGCGGCTCAGAAATTATGCCTGAAAAGAAGAGCAGGAGTCAGATTGACAGAGAGATTAAGGAGAAGGAGGCTGCCGTTAAAGCCCTCAGCAGGAAATATGCCGGCAACCAAACTCCTAAGCAAAGAGCTCTCTTTGGGCTTCGTAAGTTTTTTGGTGGATTCCTTGTGCCTTTCTCCTGGGGGTTGTGCGTGCAGCGCCCTTGTGGAACAAAGTTTTGATTACTTTTTGTGCATTATTTGCTTTGTATAGGCTTTAATTTGTTCTCCCGGGTGGAGCCTGAAAACTCGTGTTTGGTTTTATCCTCGGAAAGGGAAGACTCCGTCCTCACCGCCGAAGAAATTGAGCAGTGCCTGTATTCTTTGGGAGATTACAATACGCATTTGCGATTCAGCAGAGGGCCGTGCGACCGGATGATTCAGTTAGCCGCTGTTTTGCTGCTGTTGTTTTGCCTTTTGCTGCTGCTCTTCTGCTGTTTTATCGTTGTTTTGTTGCTGTATTGGGTGCTGTCTGTCCGTCTGTCTGCATGCATGCATGCGTTGAGTGAGCTTCCTTCACCTCCGTGAGTGGCGAAGCCGCGATTACCCGCATGCCGTCTGGCGTGCAAGCAAGACTTCTAGGGTGCAATCTTGGCAGATCGCGCTTGTGTCTGCGCTCATTGCAGGTTCCTTCATGAATACTTCTCGCCAGACAGCCCTTCTGATGAGTTCTCCTTGGCGATTTCCCATGGAAGCGGAGGTTCTCGACTGACGCACTCTCACAGGTAGCCTACTCTGGTCAGCCCTGCTTCTAAGGCTACCGCTTTCTGTCTTGGGATTGCTACTGTAATAAGCACTGGCAACAGGGGTTCTCCCCCTTTCGCTCTCTCCGTCGATTTCTGTGTATTCTCATAAGCTTTGGCGTGCTTTCCTTCCACCATTTAGTCTCTGGATTTGTGCCTGCACTCATCAACTTTCACGTATGCATCTGTATTTGTATATATATGTATATATCCATACAGCATGTCGTGGATGCGCTTTGAAGCATGACTCTTTGGCGTATGTGTATGCCGTCTGATGATGCCTCTACCCCCCTTTTACGTTCACTCGTTCCGCAATTTTTCGCCTTGGCCTCTTTCCTTTCCTTCTCGAGTCGCAGAGCGACGCCGGGAATGTTTTGCTGATGATTCGCCAAGCGTAGAAACGCGCTTAAAGCCAAGGTTTTAGGAGGCCTCTGTATGAGCGAGGAGATGTATTTTGCACCTGTGCATATATATCACACTGCCTGTTTTCGCTCGCTGTCTTGCAGCCGGCAGTACCTCTACGTTTTGCAGTCCCTGACGCTGTGGAGGGAGATCTCCTCTGAGATGTTTTTGCTCTGGGCTATGGCGGAGGCAGATCTGCTGCAGTCAAACAACCCGTACAGACTTCGAGATACTGGGCAAGGACTCAACAGGTATTTTGAGGGCGTAATAGAATTCGAGTCGTGCAAATCCCGCCTTTGCGCGGTGGCTCTCCCTCTTCCTCTGGCTTCCTTACCCTCGGATCAGCTTGCTGTCGCTCTGTGTGTGTATGGGTGGTACACGTAAATGTGTGTGACGTTCGATTGATGACGCATGCAAATCAGAGTACAGGAGGCACCCCGCGTTGGGAGGGCCATGAGGGCCATTCTGGAGAGGGTGCAGCGGCAGACATGCGGTTGGGTGGGCTCCTCCGTAGTGCACTTGGGAGACAACAACGTGCCTAATGCGCTTATGTTCATCGACAAGTACACGCAGGTACGAGGCGTATAGGAGGGGTGCGGTGGGGTGTGAGCTGCGCCTCATAAATGGTTCGGCGTTTTGCGTGAGGGCAGGTGATGGGGGAGGGGGTCCTCTTTGAGAGGGCTAAGGTCAGGGTTACAGAGAGAGATAGCGAGAGATAGACATAGACGACTCGCTTATCGCCTCCTTCGGCTTTTACAGCTGGCGGAGCAGGAGATTCAAGTTTGCATACCAAAGGCCTTCAGGCTGCGACTTCTGCGTGGGGTCAATACGGGCACTCACGTTTGATACCAGTCGGCCTCTTTAATACCTTTTTTTCTGTCTGTGTATATACATGTATGTATGTATGTGTGTTTGTGTATGTATGTCTGTGTGTATGTATGTATGTCTATTGTGTTTCTCTGTCTGTGTGTGTTATGTATGGATGTCTTTTGTGTTTATTTGTCTTGATGGGGTATCTTCAGGTTCCAAGGATCTTGGGGCCTCTCGTTTTGTGTCTCGACAAGCTGCCAGAGCTCAATATGCAGCCCGCCCTCAAGGTGTATTTCGACAAGCAGTTTGGAGGTTTGGAGAATCTACGGTAAGAATGCTTGTGTTTCCTTATGGCAGCGCTCTGCGTGGGAAAGTTTTTTCTGCGATAGAAGGCCGAAAGTAGTTGATTTTGTTGTTCTTGGTGGGGTTTTTGTTATGGCTGCTTGTTGTTTGCACGCCGCTTTTTGTTAGTGTTGCCCTTCAGCACGCAGCGGTTCCATGCAACAGTCTCTTGAGACCCTCATCGCCATCTTGCGCTAATTATCTATCTATCTGTCTAGCGATCTGTTTTTCTTTAATTTTCGTTCCTTGAACATTGACTCGTCTTCTAATGTGCAGAGTGTGTCCATATCCATAAATATATAAATTGTATAGATCGACATATTCATACATGTCCGCGCTGGATGTTCATTGGCTGGGATGCTCCCTACGCGTCTGCCTCCAAGTGTTTGTGTTTACACAAGGTGGTGTATAGTGTCTGTATTTGTGCGTTTTTGGCTGCTCTGAGGGTCTCATGACGTCTTCCTGCGTCTTCTTTTTTCTTCGGCTGAACTTTTCGTTCATTTTTATGGCGCGAGCGATGTTCGCTTCTGCACCTTTTTGTGGAGGTCCTGCCAAGGGCATCTCAGCCTCTGCATGCGGGTGTGTGGCGTCTTGTTTCAGGAAGCTTATCTTGTGCGACTTCTTTCGTCACGCGTTTGACGGCTCCGGCGCGGATAATTTCTTTGATGCTGGCAGCTGTATCGATGGCCGCCTTACCTCCGCATGGAATTGGTGCTCATCTATCGAGAAAAAGCCCTTTTTCCCCGCTCTCCTCCTCACTGGGTTTACGGGTTTTGATGGTAAAATGTAATCTCTGAACCTCTTATACCCCAATAGGGCGCGAGGATCATCGCTTTGGCCAGGAATTCGCGAAATCAAATGCACAAGGCCCCAAACTCAAATCTGCAAACTCTTGCGCCGCCTCTGTGTTAATGCGTGTTGCCATCTTTTTCCTAAAAGGGGCGCGTAATAAGAACGCAAAAACCGCATGCCTGGCTGCTGCTGCCGGGCGTCTGTCTGTCTGTGCGTGTCTTCGGGGAGCCCTTGGGCTCTCTATACTGCTGCCCTTCCTCCCTCGGGGCATGAAGACGCTCTACATTCAGCACTGTCAGAGCAGCGTGGATGTCTGCTAGTTTTAAGGGGTTTTAGGGGTGTGTTGATCCCTTAGTAGCGCTTAAGGCCGCAACCAGATGTCATAGGTGTCTGGAGTCTAGGGGTGGCAGGCATCCTCAATCCTCAGAAAAAGTCCCCTTCCCCTCGTTACCCTCTCCCTCCCCCAGAAAGCAGCTTAGGGCTGCTTTTTGCAGCACCTGGAGTATGGTATAAAAGCCCTCGATGCACTGCCTGCACGCGCGTTTTCGTGCCGTCCAGCAAAGTGGGTTGCTGTTGAAAGTAGCAGCAACGCAGCGCTACACAGTTGTTGGCAGCTCTGTCTTGCCGAAGGCACTCTACCAAAGTCGTTCGTTGGAAGGCCCAACTACACGGCCTTTAAAGCGTGCGATTTTTCTGTAGGGGTTTTGAATGTGTTCATGCCGGAAAGCGGCCGAACCTTCGGAGAAGGCTGCGCTAGAGAGAACTACACCCAAGGCCAGCAGCTCCATAATTTGTTGGAGTACCCAGTGCCGAATTTTCGTGCCGCATGCGCCGTGAGCGGCCTAATCAAAGCAAAAGAACGCCTTTGTGGGCATAGGAATCTATATCTGTTTAATCGGAGAAGAGGCAAATAAGGATTCAGTAGTTAATGGGGTTGGCGTCCTGTGAAAATATATATATATATATGGACCCCCGTACGAAAACCAACAGGTGAGCGCATGGCAATGCAAAGAGCCGACGGGCCCTGCCGCCACGTCAGCGCAAATTTTATGAAAACCCTCGATGCGTGTTTAGAAGAGCACTGCAAATTCTGCACCCCCCTGTACTGCGTCTGGGGGCTTGCTTCTATGCCTCACAGTGTGCACCGCTACCTGTGGAGGGATGTGTACAAGAGGTCTCTCCCGACGCCCTCCTGCGGAACTCCGGCATTCCCTCCAGTCAGTCTTTGCATTAAACTGGGGGACCGGACCGTCATGCGATTCCTCTTGTTTCCGCTGCATTTCCGCATGATTTCAGTACTAAACAAGCGCCAGAAGCCACCGATAGTAATGGCTAGTATTATGGTACTAACTATTACGGTGAAGAGCTCTTCAGAACGCCACAGCGGGAGGAAACCTGTGACTCCTTAGAGCCCTTGACCATGCCTGTGGGGCTTTGCCAGAGTCAACCGCCCGTATACTCGGGTGCCCACCGCAGAAACGCATTGGTTTCCTTTTTGTTGAGACCGCCTACTTAGAGCGCCGTTTGTTTGCGACTAAATGAAACAGTACTATAAGAAATACACGCCTGAAGTCAGTTCCTTCGTCATCAAACCACGAAACTCCTGGATAACCTGCAAGACGCCCGGTTTTGGTGCTGCTGCCCTTCGTGTAGGCACCCATCTGTGCAGGCACGACCTCACGACCTCAATTCTCATTCAAAGGAGGCCACTGCCCTCAACGCTTCCGGACTGTTGTCTTGGTCTTCTTCATACACTGGCTCTCGTTTGTACGCTTCTTCCCAGTGGGGAGGAGCCTCCAAGTACCTTTCGTCCTTGTACCTTGCCCTATGGGAAAACTTAGCTTTTGACGCCAGGAAGGGTCCTCCTCCCCCCTTCATCTTTTTCTTGAAGACCCAAAACACCAAGGCCAGAAGAAAGGCTGTCCCCAGAGCAGCAAAAACCAGTGATCCATGCCCGAACTGCAGATTCAAACCAGCCGTTCGGTGCACGAATTCCAAATGCTGTGGCTCCACGGGGCTCTTCGCGGGCGCTGGCGCCGATATCATTCTCGCAGGCTTCGGCTCAATAGAGAGATTCTTGTGTACGGACAAAACCGCCATAGCTTGGAAGTAGGTGGCAGAGAGAAACGTATTCATACGTTCTGCATCATACGACGCAATGAATAACACCAAAGAAACCCCAATGGCGAGCCATTCACTCGATCCCGTGAGGCACCCCCAGTGGGTGCGGGCGGCCTCCGCAAGGCCGAGGCGCGCCTCTGCCGACCTCAAAGCGAGGCTTCGCAGCCTAGGGTCTGTCGGGTGTATTCTCGGGATCGTTCGTTTTTGTTGTTCTTGCTTAGAGTCCCAGCCCCACAACCCGAATGCCCCTTACCCTACCCAGAGCAGCAGCCCTTCGCCTGACTTCGAGGATCGTAGGCTCTGGAAGCTGCGGGTTTGCACTCAGGGTCTGATAGACCTCTGCATTTTCCCCAATGTAGACTTGCACCGGCCTAAACCCTGAAGCAATGGCAGCCTTCAAGAGCGTCAAGTCCCCGCTGGCAGCAGACAGGCGGATCTCAGTCAGCCCAAAGTTCTTGCAGCGGCGCAACAACGCCTGCAGCAGCAACAGTCCTAAAAGTCCAAACCGCAACACACCAGTTCCAAAAGTCCAAACATTTAGACACACACATGCCGAGGATGGGTGAAGGGGACAGACACACAAATTAGGGCGCCTGACTACGATTCAAGTCTACGGGGGCGTAAACGGTTTACCGCAGAGTCCGCTGTCATCCCCCAGAGTGATCTCCGGAACCGATAGGAGCTTTCCATTTTCTACAGTAAAGCCTTTGTACTTTAGGGACCCGAGGACCGTCCTGGTTCCTTGAGTGATCGCTGCAATAAAGCCGCACATCACTCACAGGCAGCCGCGCATCCGGAGTCAGCAGGATGCGACAATGCCTCACGGACTGACATTTCAAGAGGCCCCCGTGAAACAGCGGGTCTCAAACAACCCCCACAACTATCGACTCTGGCGCACCTTTACAGTCGAAGGCTTCTTTGTCCAAAAAATTGGCGTTTTCTTCGCTTACAGTGTATTCAACAGCGACGCTCATGTCCGATAGGTTTGAAGGGACTGCGGATTCAAAAAGCAAAATTTACGGGGGGGATCGCAGGCTCTGGAAAAACACAGTCAGCCCATCATCAAGGGGGAGTAAGCACCACATTAAGAAGCCTTGCGAGCGCACAAAAGCCTCATAGAACTTCGAGATTCAAAATTCATGAGCACACTGCCGAAAAATAACGCGTGCGACGCGAGCTTCCCAGTATCGGTTTTTTCCGGTTTGCACAGCTGCACATGAGCTATGGGCAACGCTCAAGAGCAAGGCACCGAGAGTCGATTGACATATATTTTTCGGTTCTCTGCGGCACCGCCATGATCCACACCCTTTCCATTTAACTGTACAATGTGCTGCGGTGAAATGTTGAGCTTTCTGAATTACGGCGTTCTTGCTTACATGTAAGCCTGGCCTTTTCAAAGGACGCTTGTACACTTTGAACGAGTCGCAATAGTCCAGTATATTTCTGCTCTGGAGAAAACACAAAAAGAGACCAGAGCAGAAGCACCTCCCTACTGCCACCCTCGAAAAAGAGCTCTCGAGCAAGTACATCGGAGCATTCGATAACACGCAGCACAGGGGCACATGCGTCGGCTGAACTAAAGTGCGCCAACCAACACCAGTAGAGCTGTCTATCAACCCAGCTGATCCAGAGTACCCCTCTGAACAGCACAGGGACGACCCATCCATAGAAGCGAGGATAACACCCTATAGCCAATAGTGCATCTCTAGGCCTCCCATGTCAGTACATGCATCCCACTCAAGTACAAGTTGGTTTTTTCCCTCAGCTGCTAAAAAGAATCATCAATAAATATAATATGCATAGATACCGTGTTTGCTGGAAAGCAGAACCTTTCATATACACATGCGTACCTGCATGTGTACATGAAATATGCATATTTATGCATAGATATGCATATGTATAATATATATTTAAATATATATGTACTCGTGCAGGCTAGAAAGCTGAACCCTTCAGATCCATATACACACAGAGGTTCTTTCCCTCTTCAATTTCCGCAGCTCTCTCTTAACCCTGGAGCGCAGATTTCAACGCAAGCGTACCCAATGAAGCGACGTTATTTCTGAGGTGAGCCTCGGAGCCCAGAGGCTCGCTAACCCAGAAACGCCAGGTATAGCCCACTTGTTTAGTGCCCTCCGGAATGAGCACCCAGAGGTCCTCCAATTCCAAGTTCAACTCGGCACATAGAGCGAACGCCGTCAAGTCTGTCAGCACCGTTCGCACGACACTGGTGTCTACGTTGCTGCGATTCAGGATCGTCCACCTAGATTGCATCTCCTGCAAGTCTACATCGCACAGCCGCAGAGTTGCTGCACGCAAAGATCCGTAGGGACGCGCACAGTGCCATTGCTGCCCGCCAGACACCCCGCGTGCGCGCGCGGCATGAAGCACTTCTTACGGTTCAACCTGTATCTGCCCCCCTAGAAGACTGCGAGGATGTGCTGCTGCTTCTTGCACCATGTATTAGCACGTGGTAAACATTATTGCGCTCGGTATTGCAGAAAACGTTCGGATCTACAGGCGATTCTCTATAAGGAGGGGCTTCGGACGGAGTTTGGGGTGGGTTCAGAATTTTTACATTCGTAGAAGCTGTCTCCATAGATTGCGTTTCTCTGTTGGCTCGTCTTCGTAAGCAGGAGGGGTTCGACCGATGGGTGCGCGCTTGGAGGCGAGGAAAGAGGGGGAGAAAGGGGGGCTGCTTGTCTCAGCGTGAGTTTTAGCTCTGGATCTGGATTCTGTAAGTCCGCAGTGGTATCGGTAGTTTGGGAGTCTACATGTTCTAGCGCTTCTGAAGGGGGGGAAGCCCCCAGGCATGCAGGCAGCTGCAGAAGGCCCACAAGTAGAGGCAAGCGGCAAGGCGGCAGCAGCAGCAGCAACAGCAGTGCCTGCCGCTGAAAAGCGCTTCCTCGGTACGCCATAGGGTTCGCGGCTGCAGCCGCTGCCTCGATATCGCAGGAGCACCTCAGGCTCAACAGCCTGGAAGCGCAGAGACACCTATGCAGGGGAGGATCAGTGCGGGATAGTAAGAGGTGGAAGGGGCCATAAAAGGTGGGTCAGGGGGCCCCCTTGAGCGATGGAGCGGGAAGGAGGCCCCTTGGCGTATTTGGGAGACACACGGAGGAGATGCCCTGTAAGGGAGCTGCAAGGAGGCCGTTCCTCCTGCGAAACCGACCCCCAGAGCTACCGGCTTGGCGCTCCGTGTGTAGCCGGTGCAGACCTTACGGCAGCAATGCAATCATCTGCCGCAGCTTCGCATGAATGAGATGCTGTTGCATCAGAACGCCACAGGGGTAAGCTGAACCCATCTGTCATCCCCAGGCACTGCTCCTCTGGACGCCGAACCATACGCGGCCGCCATATTTGAAGATATAACAAGGGAAAATCCGCTCCAGAGCAAAAAAGATATTTCATCCCCTGCCTTCACTTGGTGGCGCCACGGGGTTCAGATCTACAAATTGACGATCGCTCAGAAAGCGGGAACCCCCTATCTTCCCGAGACACTCCCGCTCATTAATCTACTTCATAAAAGAGAATGAAGCAAATCGAGAATGCCATTTAAGGGAAGCAGACACTTACAAACCAAAAAGCGTTCAGCAGCCTTCTCCTGCCCCAAAATGGAGTTGATCAGGGAAGGGTGCACAGTCGTTCCCCAATGCCGCCAGTAATTGCTGCTGCTAACCCCAAACCCCAGAAACAGAGAACAATATTTCATTTCAGTATTAAGGAATTACAGTTCAGGAGGTACGCCATCTGGCCGTCATTTGCGCAACATGTTATCCAATCTCCACAGCCGCGTGTTGATTCCGCTGTCTCGCCGCTTAACGCTGGGTGTATGCGTCAAGGCCTGCGGTTTGCTGTTGTCATATTAAAGGGGTTTGGTACAGACTGTGTTTACCTTATTCTAAAAGGAAAATATGGCAAAGTGCCTTGAAGGCATAACTCATGGGATTCACACCGCGGGGACATCTACTGAGCCGATAACTGCATACAAATCCTCTCTGGAACATTATTCCCACTCAGTTAAGACTATATAAACAACTGGCTAACATTTTGCCTGGATGCTCGTCGAGTCTAGTTGCCGTAGCGTCCAGCTGGGTAGCTGGATACGTAGAGAACCCGAGCCTATATATTAACGGCCAGTTGCACAGGGCACTCTATCGACCACAAGCACTCATGTAGTCATTACAGAGAGTATGGTAATGCCAATTTCTACCCCAGCAGTGCCAAGCTCTCTCTCCTCTTGCAGGAACTCTGCAGGGTGTAAACGGCAGGCAGCGAAGGATGCTCTTTGAAACAACACTTGAAAACTGGCTAATGAGTTCGCCATCTAGATCGTAGGACACCAACCCGCTTTCCCGCCCTATTTCTTGCACGCTTCCGCATTTTTATTTGTGAGTTTGATAGGCCATCCAGGTGCCATGAGGCGCTCCCTTACAGCAGCTACCGCTCCACGTGGGGTCTTTCTAGACAGACGCGTTTAGCCCAAAATTCAATGCAGAAGTGCCATTTGGGCACTTTATACTGCAGCACTATATGTAGGTAATAATTAGCAAAGTACTGGCTGAGTGGACAAGCTGCTTGCACACTGCATTTGTTGCAGAGCACGGTTAGTTAACTCCATAGAGAGGTTATGCTTTTTGCGTATGCACCAAGTTGCGGTCTTGAAACTGAGTGTAAAAACGGAGAATGCAATTGCGCTTGTTCTCCGGCTTTCATTCCTGTAGCACTTCATCTCTCAAGAATATTAAACTCAAGACTAAATACGAAATTACTCAGAAGTTATTGAGGGTTTCTCAAGGGGAAAAGCCGCTCTTCCTTGCCAGAGGCCCTCAGAGGTCCCACCGTGAGGTAGGGAGAAGCTAGGGTGAGCGTATTTGCACCCTCTCAGCAATATTTGCATTCACATCCAGTCGCACAAAGCGTCTTACAGATACGTACACAACTACGTGCCGTTTTTCCCAGCAAGCTAGCAGTATTGTGCAATAACAAGAGATTATTGCAGGCAAAGCAATCGGTTAATATATTAATTCGTAGCTATATATAAGTAATATAGTTGAAAGCATTTGAGTGTAGCTCAGCCCCCCTGCATTTTTCCTTCCTCGACGCAGTAACTGTGGAGGCGAAGCGCACGATAAGAAACATATAGGTCCTCGCATAGAGACCGTACAAGATGCATTTCAGCTTTAACCGATCAACCCTCTCTCAACTGTAAAAATCATCAACAGGAGCGTCAAAGCCGGCGTCTTGTTCAGTTCTGGAGGCAGGGGGAAGCTCCGCTAGAAGGCAGAGGCTTTTCCTCGCTTCCGCCGCAAGTCCGCACCACCCATGCTTTCAACATAACCTGACTACAGCATCAGGTAGGCGTTTACCCCTACCAGAGCGTACCCAAAAGTGCTCCCGTTGCAGTCCTTTGAGTCCTTCTATGCACACGCCATGGATATTTCTTGGGAGAACGTTACTCTGACCGGCGTTGATATGGCGACCTTCCCGGTGGCCTCGTCGCAAAGCTCCCCTTTTACGAGGAACCTGGACGGAAACTCGTTGGGTGCTGCCTAATGGTTTGTCACATTGTCTGATTCCTGCTGCCCTAACCGTTGTGATAGGTTGTCATCCTTGGTAAAGCACGCCGTAACATAGCACTAACACGCCCTTGCACAAAGGTGCTAAAGTCGAACCAGAATGAGTCTAGCACTCTGTCGAAAGCTCTGGGTGTGCCGCTGTGCACGCACCTGTTGGATTACCCAGCAAGCACATTCAGGAAGCAGCCCGTTACACCCTCTTCTGGAAACAAACTACAGTGTGCTTCTCCCAACTAGACGGCTGTCCAGAGGGGTTGCAATCTTCTCAGCATGCCCCGAAGTGCTGGGTAATCGGGCACACATGCCCGCATGAATTGAACTCCCTGCTGCTAGGCGGCTAATGCACACGCGACCTACTCTTAAAAGGTGAGGAACCGGCCTCTAATTAAGATGGCTGTGATAAGCGGCAAATTCAAGTGTCTCCACCCGGAAAACAGGCACTCCACAAGAGAACCAAACCTAGCCGGAAAGGGCGGTCTAATGACAGAAGATTCGGTGGATCGTGTTTGCTCTACTGCAGGATGTGGATAGTTCCCTACTTCCAATACAAAGGCCAGCGTTCGCCTACGCCGCTAGGAGAGTCTAGAGGAAAATCTGAAGGGCGAGAGTTGTCCAGGGTTACCAAGAAGAGACACAAGGCATGCGAGACACACAGAACTGACTGAGCACCCATAGGCAATGAAAAAGGTGGCGCCTGGCAAAGTCAGAGGGCGAAGTAGAGGCTTCATATGAAGAGGATCAAAGAGCATATCCGCAGAAGCAGAGAGAGCGGGACGGGGAGATAGTGACGGCAACTAAACAGGAGGGGCCCCTCCGAAATAAGCAGATGCAGGGGTATGCCAGGCCGCGCTGGCGAAAGAGCAGCCAGGGAGGAAGAGGCATTACTGGCCCTCGAGAGGAGAGGCGCATGCCCAACGGCATGCACATAAAACAAGTGACAGAGACAACAAATCAATGCCACGGAAATCGCCAGCGCTATCCAAAGGCCCTACGGCTACGATGGCAGAGTGCGAAGCCTGTATGTACGAAGGGCTGTCTTTGGCTTGGCACTGGATCCTTGGTCGAAGGTGTGCTATCAGATCCGCACAAGGCTGGAAGGCCATGTACTCCCCTACAAAGCGGCAGCTGCGAACCCTTTTCGGGCCGACTACGGTTCAGACTTTGAGCTTCAAACGAGAGAGAAGGTGCATTAGGTAAATTGCGCTGCTCAGCGTCAGCAACCCCTGAGCCTGAAACACACAGATGCTCAAAAGGAACTGGGCATGTAGCACTTGGCGGCCGGTGTGTGAATGGAATATGCGGGCCCTGCTGGAGCACAACAGTGTACAGCAGCCCCATAGAGCATGTCTAGCAGCATTTAGAAGCAGCAGTCGCAGCAGCAAAAGCAAAAACCAACCAACGCACTTGGTGCAGAACTCCCAGTTCTGTGGGGACGTAGTACAGCACTGTAAGTATTCCCAAGAGCAATTGTAAGGAGGTCATCATCGGCAGAAACCGCAGTGCCGTCTGAGTAAACAAAAACTCGAAACGCTTCCCTATCCCTAACGTTATTCAGGGCAGTAAACTCGCACCCACACGTGACATGCGCACTTAGTCGGACGAGAGGCAGTGCTATTGGGAACCACCCCCCCCTTCTTAGGCTGTGCAGCTCAATCTTCGGCTTTTCGGACTCATTATCACTTCCCCCCATTCCCTCCTTCGACCCCTTTTTCTCCAAAAGTCTACATGCGAAAATCGATGTCACTAGCGGCGGACTTTGATGGGGGCGGGGAAAGGTTTGTCCTTATGCCTGAAGAAGAGGGCGAAGGAGGACAAAAACGTCAAGTACGCGAGCAACCTGTGATCGAACTGCACGGTTTCGGGGTTTTCAAAGAAGCGCCTCCAATTGAAGGGCTTAGCGTACACCTCGGTAGGCACCCATCTGCACCGAAAATCGCGAGAAAGGCCACAAATACCTTAAACCCGGTGGATCGCAGTAGCCTCCTGAGCTACGGCAGCGGCCTACCACATCCGAGTTTGAAGCACTTCCATGTGCAACGTTTACAAGCCCTGTTGAGGGTACCACCGCCGGAGCCATTTCGCTAGCCTCGACAAAAGAAACCTCGAGAGAAGGATTCGAATCGCAGTTTGCCGCACTTGTCATTCATAGTTGGCCAGGTGTTGCAGCATCGGCCAGCATCATTCCCAGCAACAAGAGCTCCGGAGAAGAAGGTAGTCCCCGCGAGGGCAGCGAATGCATGCGCCTCTCTTCCCGCCACCTTCGCTGCCGCCGCTGCCGCTGCTGTGATGGCTGCCTTGGGGGGAGAAGGCAGCAGCACAGCCAAGGACTGCCACAGCAGCAAGGTGTACAGCGTAGCGGCCATCATCAAGTGGAAGGCCAATCGGTAGGGTGACACGCTGCCCGTAATGTGCAAACGCACAGAAAGCATCCCACACAACCAGATGCGCGCGACGCCTCATGCAGATTGGAGGACTGACACATACACAGAGAGAGAGAGACAGAGACAGAGTGGGGGAGAGACAGACAGAGAGGGAGAGGGAAAGGTTTGGCTACTGCGAGGCCTCATGGCGCCACGCAATAGGCTCTCCAAAGCCGGATTCTTACACAAACTCACAAATAACAGCTCACCGAGGAGTTTTGACTTCCGTTTTCGGTTCTTCAAAGCCCGAGCGAACCATCCACCAGCCCACAAGACCCTGGATACCCCCCAGCAGGCCGTACACTGAAAACAGTTCCATATTCCAAAGGTACAAAAGTATATATATATATATATATACATATAAACACATATATACACACACATACAAAAACATATACTCACATACATATACATATACATATGAACACATGTACACACAATACACATATACTCACACTCATATATACATATATATATATATATATCAAAATCTGAAACGCTGCAAAAATGCAGCAAAGATCTTTTGGGAAGGCGAAACTCAATGACCGAGTGAGAAGGAGGAGAGGAACACTCTAAGGCCAGGAGAAGCTCGAAGCAAAAGACGTCAAATGGGGTATTGTGAGATTGCATGAGGTGGCCGTACTAGAAGAAACCCCAATTATTCCTCCCAGAGACGCTACGGGGGGCGTAGGGAAGCCACAAGAGGCTTTAATTGGGGGGGGTGGTCGAACCTGCGAGTCTCAAGCCAAGGGGTTTGTGAATTGCCTTGGCAGCAAGGCATGCAGCAGATCCTGCAACAAATACGAGGCCAAGGCCCCTGCCAAGCCACCGATGAGCCCATTCATAGAAGTATATCCTCTTGTAATCCGACAGCGTCATTCCGTAGTTCAACTGCAAATACTCTGGGGTTTCCTACGACCACACCAGCACACATGGCCATCCCGTGGGTATAAATAGAGACACTTGCCTCGACTACAGGTGAGCGCCATATCGACGCCGAAGCGCGTATTGCACGTAGACCGCATAGAAACGCTTTGTACAGTGTAAGGAAACCGCAAAAAACCGTTCTATTCAGTGCAAGGAACACTTCAGACGAGGAAGCGTTCTCCCCTCCCTCCCGCCTTCCAATTCCTCCTCTCCCCACCCCAATGCTTCCCCCGAAGATTCCACGGTTCGCTCTAGCAAGTGTTGTGCGTCTCAAGAAGCACCTTGTAGGCCTCAAACTCCTCAGTCCAAGCCTCTTCAGAGGCAGGCCATGCAGTACCAGCAAAACGCCAATTCGTCATGGAGAGGCCGCTCTCTGTGAGACGCGTCAGGCCCCCCCAAACCACCATAGCAAACACCCATCCCGTGCAGCCTGTGAAGATCCGCACATACATACACATATATACAAACACACACAAACAAGCGGCTGTGTCTGCATCCATGGCAGGAAGACCCTCCCGTGGCACGCGTCCGTTAAGAGAAGCCTGGGCGGAGGACGCCACTGAAGAAACCTTGCCCCTACGCTCACCAAGTAGCCACAGTCCTACCGGAATTCTGTAGTCGTCTTTCACGAACCTGTGGAAGACAGCCAGCACACAGGACGGCAGCTTTAGGAGCCCGCAAAAACAGCGCTGACGCCGAGACGTGACGGGGGGGAGCCGTGGAATCGCCCCTACGGGTGCTGCTCTTGCCTGCTCGCGTGATGGTAAGGGTCTTCGCGGGGTTGAGTCGGTGCTTTCGATGGAGATGGATTTCGCTGCGCTGCTGCCTCCTGGGCTAGGCTGGAACGCGCAGACACTCCACTGTCGGAGGAGCCACCATAGCGCGCTGGGCTCAATGCACACGCACGCGTGCCGCTAGCCCGCTGCTGTTTCCAAGGATCCCCCCCTCGCCCTCCCTCAAGGAGGCATGCTCCGAGACTTCGGCTAAAAATACATCGCTGGAGGCAAGGAAGGCCTTGGGAGCACCCCACAAATCCCCGGAAGCTCGAGGCGCCGCCTTGAGGGGCACAAAAGGGCCCTCGCGCTGCAACGAGCAGCAGCGGACGCATGCGCGAAGCGGCCAATGCCGCCATAAGGCTTCGAAGCTACAGGTTCAGTCTCTCGCTGTGAAGGACCTTCTGGACGCATTGCTCTCTTCGAGAGCGAATCGGAGGAGGCAACGCCTCACAGGCCTTACAGAAATCGTGATTCGAGAAGAAATAGAATCAAAATACTGCTCGGCAGAGTCTATCGCGGCTTGGTTACTTAGTAAAAGACGGGAGAGGGGGGCCCACCAGGAAACCCGTTCCCCCCTTCCCGCGCTGCTCTCCCTCACCTGAGGGGCCCCTGTCGATCGAGCACGCGCTAACGCTGCCCACCCCCCCTGGAGCGTGCGCATTATCTTTTGCTCAGTTCGTTCGTTGATCTAGATTTCCCTTATGGAGCGCTTAGAAAATTCAATGTTACAAGGACCATTGCGCTGAATCTAATATCTTCGGCTTAAGTGCACTTGCTGGGTAGGGGCCTGTGGACTGGCACCTACGCATAAGTGGACTTCAACAAAAGGACTGCTGCAGCACTTTGTGCAGACACAGCACGAAGCAAAGCCACATTCCAACACCTAAAAGTTACCATGAGTGTTACCACCCTTACCTCCCGCCTGCTGAGCACTCAAAGGTGCTCTTATCTTCCCGTGCAGCGTAGAGAAAACAAGGCCCTCAATATAATTTAACCTTAAAACCTATTTTCAAACGCATGGGACTGCCTATGACAACGCGTTTGTCGCTATTAGATAGGTGCACACATCACGCGGGCACCCCAAGTCGAGGTGTGCCGAGCTAAGCTACACTTCAATGCTTCCTGCTGCAATAGCTATGTTTAACCAAGCATTCGTGAAGGATTGGCTCCTTGATTTGTCTGTATCCACGTCTTCTTGATTTGCAATCTACTATAAGAAGACGCAATTGTGTGCGTGTATGTGTGTGTGCACTACACGCTATGTGCATCTAGCTATGAACGCTAGCACTGCTTAGAGAGTGCAGCTCTGCGCAGCGCGGCTGACCTTCTCCCTTCATCGCCAAACTTTGAGGGCTGATGACAAAGGAAAGCCGGAGCTTCTCGAGGAACACAATAAATTTTTAACAAAATTGTCTTGCTGCTTGGGAGGTAACTGTCTCCCTACGGCGACCTTAAAGGAAGCAGCGTTACAACTCCGCCCCGTAAGAAGCCGCGATGTTGCATGCTTGTGCCCTAGATGGCAAGTGGAGCCAATTTATGTTGATCGGCATTCTCGGGGTAATGCTTACAGGATGCAAAGAACTGTGCGCCGCTTAGCTCTCCCCCCTCCCCTTTCTTCTTGTCGGAAACTCTCAGGGAGGCTAGTATGGGAAGGAGGCAGCAGCTCCTTTGTTGATTACACAATAAATTTGGATAAAGCTTGAATTTAGTCTGGAATGAAACGTCTGCTTTCTGTGGAACTCTTGCACACAGCGTTACAAGTGGTGCTTGCCGTAAAACAAAAAACAACAGCCTTTCGGCAGATTCAGTATCCCGTACCAGGTGCCCTCGTAGATACGACAAATTACGGCTTATGCATATACTGCAGGATTTGTCGCAAAAGGTTTCTGGGGTAGGGGAATAGCCGAACAAGGGTGTTCTATTGACTAGAAGCTAGGTACTCCAGCACAGATAGGCCGTAAACCCCTCCCCTCTCAGGTGTGCTGTTCGGCTTAAATCATGTACATGAGACTTGTGCGATATCTGGTTGGGGCTTCAAGCTTGGGATTTATGGGAGCCGATCTCTGGGGATGCCAGTTATGCGCACCTTCCTGTTGACGGCCGTTGCCATTCGCTCGTGCAAGAGCTTCACAAGTTGTTGCAGCTCCCCGCGCTGTTTGTCTAGTAGAGCCGCTGCCGCTTCCATCTGCGGCAGCACAAAAGTAGAGGCAGCAGCGCCAGACAGAGCACGACGCCCCCTGATAAATCGCTAGCACATGCACCTGTGTGGATGACAGCGGCAAAGCTGGAGAAAAAACATACCTCGCTGCTCAGGGAGGCCTCTCTCCTCTGTTGTTCCTTGGCTGCACTTAGCGGCTTCTGTGCCTGTGCCCGCGCAGCCATGAGCTCATTCAACACCCTGCAGCACCACCATTTTAGCAAAGGCCTCTCGATCCAGAAGCAACAACCCCCTGCGGCATAGCCGAAGAAAAGAAAGGCCCTGCTCCAAACAAAATCCACGGCTATACGTCTCTGTAGAGGGAAATAGGTTCCTTATTTTTACTTGTTACGCGCTCTTTCATTTTGCAGCAGCTGCAGCAGCTGGACGGTCTCGGCTCCTCCCAGCAGCTCATGCAGCTCCTCCAGCGAATCACGCAACCGCAACAACTGCAGCAGGCAGGAGCAGCAGCACCACCCAACAACAACAATAAGAATAAGCATAACAACGGCAACAACGACAATACCAACAAATGAAAACGCGTATACCGGCGAACGCATACTGCAACTGAAGCGGCAGCAGGCTTCACGAGGAGGCTGTCAACACCTCAAAACGAGAAAGAGTAGGCCCCCCCAGAAAAAACGTGTAGCAGCGGCAACAATACCCGGAGCAACAGCTAACACCAGAGAAAGTGCACTCCTTATTCGCTTGCTTGCTATGGGGTTTGATTGAGGACATAGACGGTAGACGTTCGTACTGTGTCGTGCGACTTCTGCAGCTCTTCTGGCAAGACGTTGTGTTGCTGCCACTGTTGCCGCAGTTGCTGCTTCTTGCTGCTGCTTGCTGCTGCTGCTGGATTTTGCACGATTCGCGCGTACAGGAAGCCTCGCAGCTCAGTGAGTTCGAGCAACAGTTGCCTTCTTACGGCTGCACTTCCGAGAAGGCTGTCCGTAATGTTGCTGCTGCTGTCAGTGGCGCTCGAGCCATTCCACGTCCCCTCGCCCTCTTCAACAATCCAGCAGGTATGGTCTGCAGGGAGATCGTCTAGATCCGAGAGGCCCCCCTCATCTCCCTGCTGCTGAATCTCTATTTGCACTGCTGCTGCCGCCGTATCGTCTTGCACCTGCTGCTGCAAGACGGGTATTTCGGGTGCTGCTGCTGCGGCCTCTGCTAATAGCACATTCCCCATCTCCGAAAGAAGGGCTAGCAGCGGCAGCGAATCGTTTCGTGCCTCTTTGGAAGTGTTTTCCGATGTGCTGAAAGCCACGAACGAGCGGTAAAAGGCGAGAAGCTCCGCCCCCTGCTGCCGAATCAGTGCTTCAGCCCGGCGCAATCGCAGCGGCAGCTCGCGGTTTACATACTCAAAGAGCTGCTGCTGCAGCAACAGCGGATCTGTTGCTGCTGCTTCCTCCAAGCCATACTTCAGACACAGCTGAACGTAGGCCTCTTGGGAGGAGGCTGCACTTTGCTTTAGCAGTTGCTGCTTTTTGATACAGTCAGAGAGCTGCAGCAGCGAAACGCATCTCAAGATATGCTATGCTGTACAGGCAGTTACGTCAGACTCTGCACTGCTAGTGCGGCCGCAGCAGCATTTTTTACACAGCAGAAAGCATAGCAGGGGGAGTCAATATGCACAGTATTCTGCGTAGATCTACAGTGGCCGCACATCGAAGGGACAAGGCAATATGTAAACAGCATACACGCACTTCTAGGGATCATATATATATATGTATATGTATATACGTGCATCCCTGCCGACATGTGCGGATACAGATGCATGTACAGCATAATATGGACATTGATACAGACACATGGATACATTCACGACGCTGGATAACAAGGACTCAAGTCAGGAAAACGCCCACCAATCGTTGTTTCTGCTGTAGAATCTTCTGTTGCGTAGGCACCAGCATGTTGGCTGTCTTTGTAAGGGCCCTGGTAGGAGCACGTAAGGCAGCGGACGCGAAGCATGCAAGCGCCAACGGACTTGAAATACAGAATCCTGGGTGGAGATGGCTCTAATGCACCAGTTATACAGGATTACGTATTTGAAGCTCACCGAGACAGATCTGCCAAGTGTAGGTTCTGTTGTTGAAATGTACGCTGCAAACGCCGCCACTGCCTGTACATCGCAGATCCGAACGCTTTCGAAAAGAGGCCCTCAGAGCCCTAAACATATTATAACAGCAGCCACAAGAAAAACGCATATTGCTTGCCGAGTCCTCGTTATCACGAATTCCTTTAGAGAATCTGCCTCGAAAGACCGTCCACGGGAACGCTCAATGTCTGAAAAATACATCTGGAGGTAAGCATGCACCGGTCTCTCACCCCTTCTTTCATTAGAATTTGCACAAGTTCTTCCACTTCTCTATACCCAAAGGGACCGCCTTTCTTCTCTGCAATCAGCTTAGCGGCTTCTTGGCTCTCCGGAGGGGTTTCTAAGGCAGCATTAACGTGGGCCGTCATCCCTGACTCGAAAGAAAGCACAAGGGCACAGGGCCTTATTCAGACTCCTACATATACACACGAATAAGCATGTTTTGAGCTCAAGTTGAATCTCTCAGTTGACTTCCAGAGCCGCGTTTGCCGCAGGACGCGACAGGCATTCATGGATGCACTAGCTAAACGCATCACCCTGCTTCATCCCGTGTCGCCTTAACCCTTGGTTTCTTTTGTTATGCAGCATTCTTGGTTCGTCCTCACGCACGCACCCTTCAATCTCTGATGGTAATCCTCCGGCAGCAGCCGCCTGCAGAGGAGCCAGCCGACAACGCCCTCATACGGCACATCAGCAACATCTTCCATTGTCAGCAACCCGCTGTCTTTCGCTTCCTTCAGCCGCAGGAGGCAGCGGCCATTAGTTGCCGCTACGTGTATAATGGTACACGTATACACCCGAAAATGCTTAGCGGTAGCAGCAGTGCAAGAATGGCGCTCCAGAGACACGGCAAAGCAGGGGGCCCTACGTATGTCCACTACAACCAGGGCATTAGGCCCATACCACAGCCAATTACGGAGTTTCGCAGACACAGGATTTTCGTTCGGATGTAAGACAAAGAAACCCAAAAAAACACAGGGTGAGCTACGAACGCCGTAACATGCCGCATGCACTGTCGCAGCCGACGCAGAGGGGAAAAGGGATTCTGCAGATTAAAAAGCACTTCAGTGGTCTGTGTTTTCTGCTAACTCCCCTTAGTCCCCGTTATTTCAACACCTTAAGTAAGAGGTTTTATTTCATTTTCCTCTCAAAGAGAGGATATTTACCATTTGCTGGCCCCGTGGTAGGGGTCCACAAACACCCAGGCCTCTTCAGATTATCCACCACCTACTGTTGTTGCACCAGCCTCAGTAGCGCTCTCCAGTCGACAAGAAGACGTGACGAGACACTTTTTTGCATTGTCTCAGGAGATCTGCGGTGGAGTTGACGTATTGCGCAGGACCTGCTCAGTCTTTGGACTTCAGTCTCTGGTCACCTACCCCGTGTGTCGGCGAGAGATCCCCCAGCACTGGTAAAGGGCCATGCCGCATTTCCGCTTCTCGGCACTTTCAACAGAAAAGCCGCTATACTGAAAGCTATTAAACTCCCCGCTAACCGTCCGAAGTGGGTCCAGCGGCTGATTGGAGTTTGCCGGAGGGAGGACACGCACCGCGCACCAGAGCTGCTGACACTCACGCCTTGTGGATTGCATTAGCGGGGAGGCTGCAAAGGGCAGGCTACCGCTACTACAGTCAAATTAGGTGGCACAAGCCACAAGAGAACCGAGCTGGTGGACGCCAAGCAGGGAGGCTGCCAGGCGAGGCGAGCGCACTCAATTTTGTACTGCTTCCTAGACCACAAGCCCCCAGCGATCCCTTTATCCCCTGTAGCTTTGCTGGAGTTCGTATTTTGTGCTCACCAAACAGAGTGTAAGGTTCTGCAACAGCCGGCTGTACAGCAAGAAGGCCTGCAGATTTATCTTCCCTACAACAGACATGAGCAGAAAGCCCGATGTCGGGGGGCCTCTCGCCTTTGGGGGTCCCCGTGTAGCCGCCACCGCTGCCTCTGGCGCTCGTGGCGGACGGCGTCGGGAACTCAGGGAAGAGCAAAAGATCGAAATAAAAGAGGCGTTTGAGTTGTTCGACTCGGAAAAGACAGGGAAGATGGATTACCACGAACTCAAAGTACGTCCTTCCATCAAAACCATGCAGCTTTCCATGCTTGGCACACCCCATAGTGTGCTGAACACTTGGACCAATTTTTTCCATTCCACCAATTTTCAGCACACGGATCGTCTGCAATGTGCGGCGTAGGTTGCGATGCGGGCTCTGGGATTTGATGTCAAGAAAGCGCATGTGCAAGAAATCATGCGATCTTACGACAAGCAAAACACAGGATTCATTACTCAAGGCGATTTCGAGGAAATAAGTCCGTCTTAGGTGCTGGTGGCACTCACTCTAAGGGGTATTGAATAAAAAGAGGGCTGAGACGCTTTGCACAGCGGTTGTCCTGTTCGGGTTCGTCATTTGAAAAAACTATCGGCACGTTGAAAGACGCTTTCACTCATCACACCTTGCAGAGGCTAGTACGTTTTGCCTCTGTTCCGTTCTTGCTCTTCTGTACAGTGACGCAGAAATTCTTGGATCGCGACCCAACGGAAGAACTCCAGAAGGCATTTCGCCTTTTTGACGATGATGATACGGGGAAAATATCTTTTAAAAACCTGAGGCGTGTTGCAAGGGAACTGGTAAATGCGCTCCGGGATGTATATGCTTGAAACCTTTATTCTTCCCCTGTGAATCTCCATCCAAACTCTATTCAGCCCCACAACCCACGCTGTGGTCTGCTTTTTAATGTAGAACTACTTATTTTTGTTGTATTCCACAAATCTCTTGCAGTTTTCCGTTCCCAAAAGATTGTATGCAGACATTGATGCGTATGCGTGATCTGAAATGGTGATAGGGAGAGGACTTATCAGACGAAGAACTACGGGCCATGATAGATGAGTTTGATAGGGACATGGATGGCGAAAGTACGTGCAAGAAGATACCTAAATTCTTCCCAGCCAACAAACGAACGCCAACAAACTGCCGCATGGCGCTTTACAAACTCAACTGTGCGACCGAACGTGCATGATGGCGCTGCACGCTTTTTTGAACGCGGTACGGCTAAAGCGGTGCACTGCATGAATGTTTTAGATTGTCTTATGTTGTGCAGTTAGCAAGGAGGAATTCATGTCCATCATGAAGCAGACGAGCCTCTACCAGTAATACGAAGTGACCGCGGGACCCCCAGTAGGAGCTATCTGGTGCTTATATTCTTAAGTTATGGTGAATCTTGCATGCATCGTGTGCACTACCTCGTTTGGCCTCCCGTTGTATCTGGAAAATGCTTTGAGGAACCGCCGCTAGCTTCGAGTGGATAGACCTGCAAGGTGTTTTAGCTGCTGAAGCTGTCGATTTTGGGTTCCTTTTATTTGTACTCGCCGAGGGGCAAACTTCGGCAGTGCAGAAGTAACGCGAGACTGCCCCACAAGGAAACCACAGCAACTCCCCGGCCATGGGCTGGACCCACTACATGCCTACTTCTGTGGGAAGAGAACCGCATTATCCTGTTTGCTTCCATAGTTAGCCTACACGTATCCGTAGTTTCGTGAATATTTCCGAATGTCGGTTCCCACGGGGACTGTAATCGCCAGACTACTTCCACGCTGGTCACACCTGGTTGCTATGCACGAAGACCCATTCAGACTTACATTGCAGTGCCGTATCATCTTGCACTCTCTGAAGAAGAACAGTTTCTTCAGAAAAAGGAGGAATGGCAAAGCACAGATGCCCCTAAACTAGGAAAACTGGGGGCGGGGTGTCTGCAAATTCAAAGCCCATGAGCAACACATATTGATGGGACCCACTGCAGTAACCTTAAGCTGCGCGCGGAGGACGATCAATGTTGCTAAAGATACAAGCAGCATCGCTCGTATCCCAAAAAAATCCGCATGAAGCTATCCTGTATTGTACATTTTTACATTCTGTTTGCCCATCTAATACCTTCCGAAGTACTCTGCTAAACCTGCCGTTTTCCTCCCGGAACTCGAGGGAGCGGCAACATCTCGGGAATGCCGAATTCTCCTTGGGAAATGCCGCGCGGAACTCCAGCAGAAGGGGAAGCGCTGCGTGTGTAGTACAGGGTGCCTAATTACCTGTTGTGCAACGCCGCTAGGCCACAAACCCGTATAATGCGGAGGGTCCTCTTGTCACTGCAGTATGTACTGGTGAACATTCCTTTGAAGTGTGCCTTCTGATGCGTATGTTATCCCCTGTGCTGCCTTGGCTCCAACAATAGCACATAGATGAGGTCCTATTTCGAAGCTTTACATAACAAAGCCGATCCCCTTAGTTGAGTGCGTCTTTACTGGGGCCACAACAGCGTTCAGCAGGAAGAAAGCCATCAAATAAAGCAGAAGGCAGGCCCACTGAATGCATCGCAGTTCTGTCTCTCCTACATCTTGGGACCCCTCGCAGGGCCTTGGGACGAGGCAGAGGGAGCCTCGTGGGTGGACTATGGCCAAAGTGAAGAATGCGCAATGTAGGCACAACAGCACTGCAAACGTTGCTGCTTGCAAGAGCGGGGCAACAATCAAAACGGCATCCCCCAAGGAAAGAGGCCCCAAACCTTTCAAGCTGCTCGCAGATTCCCCTAGACTGTTAAATATCGCTTCCCAGAGATATGCGATGGTTTCTATGCCTGCCCCGTTGATCTCCGTCCCCTCCATGGTGCACAGGCGGATCCACGGAGGTGGGTGTGGAGGGCAGTGCTTTCTAAAGAAAAGGGCTTGTGGAAGCACAGCACGGTTTATAAGGTGCTGCCGCCTTCTGTCGTACCTGCTACCTATCCTCGCACGCCAGCAGCAAAACCGGAACCCTCCGCGACAACCGAGGCAATTTCACCTGAGCAAGCGTTTCCCTGCAGACTGTGCAAGGAGATAAATGTAAATGCTGGAAAGTAAACCCCTCGTGGGCAATAGGGGCCTTGCTGACCGCCGTGCAGGCAATCGGGGGTATACACACCGTGATTTGGACCTGGAAAGCATGGAACTAAAAAAAAACTAGCCCTCAAGCTCCCCCCAAATTCGAAAAGAGAGCACAACATGCACACACGACCACAAACAGGCACACAAGCCAGTCAATTGGCGAAGCAAGCGGAGTGAACAGCCATCCACTGTGAGTCAGGGCGGAAGTGCCTCCTGGTTGTCGCGTTGAAATGCTATTTCCTTCAGAATTTAAACCTGTTGAATAGGGCTATTTCTCTAAGCTAAAATTTTCGCTTTAACTGTAAATCTTGCATTGCCTTCTTTCATTATATACGACTTGCAAGAAATAGCCTTCTGTGCTAGGGTGAAACCACCAGCTGCCGCAGCCAAATACCTCTCTCTATTGGAGCGTGAACGCACAGGGCTAGCGCTTGAATTTAATATCCAGACATTCAGGAAATGTTAAGTGTCTTATCGTGGTAGTAAATAGTTGAAGATGCCCCAGGAGACTACTGCGCTGTCGACTGCATCTGAATAATTGAACGCTCCCCGAAGGATCACACCGCCTTTAGGACATCCTCTGCTCCCAAACTCTGTAAGACCGTAAGAGAAAGCTCCTGTGTAATTTCAATTTAGAGTACGTTCGCTTGCTTATCTTAACCGGACCGCTCAAGCCTGCGCCACCCCAACTTAAGCTGCGATCGATGTAAGGGGAAACCCCCAGCAAGCAAAACCTGCATCATCCTTTCTCTCCTTAAACCATGGCGTTCAGGGCTGAAGGGGAGAGTAACGAAAATGTCACAATCTATGCATAGGGACATAGTGAGCTTTAGACTTGAATTAAGCCTGACACACATTAATTGAAGGCTCATAAAACAAGCTTTTCCTTCCCACGCCAGCGTCCCTCGGAGTTTCCGACTTCAAGGGTGAGAAACTTTTGGGGAGCAAGCTGCTGTAGCGTGCAAAACTACACTTCACCACAGTCTAGTATACTAGCTACACTTGACTTGAAATTGGTAAAAAACTGTTTTGTTTCTGTGTTCACATCTTAATCCTTGCAGAGAACTGTTCGCCCGCTACAAGGAGCCCAAGTGTTGTGTGCGTTTGCATTAGGTGGTATGTGCAACAAGCTGTAATTTCTCCAAGTACATAGAGCGGGCAGCTAGGCGGTTCTTATGTGACCCTACTTCCTAATGTCAAAGCCCTAAAAGGTTCAGGCAAGAAATCGAGTAAGCTCTTTTGGGAAATACCAATAAACTCCAATGAGGTTTTATCGGCTCTGTATTGAGTGTCTCCCTACGGAATCATTGAATGGAGCTCCGAAGTTGTTAGCCTTGCATAATTCGATGCTACTGTGTCCCGCTCATCCACTGATTGTCCAGAGAGTGAACGGTCAGGTTTACCCACAATACGTTAATACTTCTGGTTGAATTAATGGGTACTCTGGCAATCTGATTTTGTTTGGCAGCAGTATGGTGGGGGGAAATATCCCCCAGCTGATAAAATGTTAATGCATGCGTCAATGAGGTTATGCAAACCAGAAAAGTATAATGGCCGCAAGCATGGGCAAGTACCGGGACATTTTTACAGGCGATTAGAGCGTTGCACCCTTGAAATGAATAAAGGGGGAGGACTTTTTGTGCCATGCTCATTTAAGAAGGACGCACTCCAATGATGGCTCTATCCGCGCAGAGGAAGTCGCCTACCTGCAGGGTTACTATACTCCGAACCAATATAAATGCCATGACTCGGCCGTTTCTACCGGAATTAACTCAACAGCAAGCTTTTAGAAACCAAGAATGCCGAAGCAGGGGAACCACTCAGTCGATTAATATCTGGAGATATGGGCGGGCTTCCTTCGCTAAAAGCCACGACGTAGGCAAACACCTGCTTTGCTAAGCATTTATCTCACGCCTAAAAGAGGCTTCACGTAAGGTGGTCGCACGATGAGCAGCGACTCAGCATTTCACCAATCTAAACGATGAGCGTTTCGCAAACGATGAAGCACTTAAGGCTGCAGGATTAGATGAGCGCAGCTTGTGCACATACGGATAAGTAGGCAGAGTCATAATAGCATTAAAAGTTCACGGATAGGGTAGGTGTGCCAACCGGCCCTAGCCCACAGTCCAAGGAAGACGAAAAAAGAACGCCAAAAGAAAGCAAGTCTCCTAAGCATCCCCAGACAGCCCCCAACAATGCATCTGCTTCTGTTGTAAAAAATAGTGTCGCATCTCCTAAACTGCAAGCACCTGCAAAATCGCAAGGAACCGAAACAGTAGGAGTAGGCACAACAGATCTGGGCTGCTTGAAAAGCAAAGAAGGCGAGTTAGGGAAGCGGAAAGACCCCCACGCAGGCTGCTGCGGCGCAGTCAAGGGGGCTGCCGAGGATCGAGCAGCAACTTGACCTTCACTACAGGTCTATTCTATGCTGCTTCGAGCTCGCATTGATGAACTAGAATTGCTGGCGCCACGTGCAAGTAACTGTGAGCTGCATCTGCAATCCGAGGAGATGGCACACAAAAGCAATCTGCCTATTCACTCGCTAGCGTAGTCCTTAAGACTGTGGTTTGCTGACAAGCGGCACAGCACAACGATTGACAAGGCTAGTGCAGTTACCCGCCACCAGCTCGACACTAGCACTTTGACTAATATCCATGATTTCTATGTTGGACCAGTGTGCCATGGCATAGACTCAGGCATGTTATGGATGACTCAATGGAAACTGTGCAGGCGGCCACACCTGCGGGCAGGAATGACTAGTTTGCCAAGCAGTGCTATGGAAAGCACGTCCCTTAGTCTCCAGAGTATTGCATACTGCGTCTACGTTGAGTGCGGTAGACTCTATGCCCTAACAGGGTAAGGCAAAATCTTCATGCAGGGTTCTCAGCAACGCAGTTAAAGAAGACGGTTCTAAGCATCTCCCTAGCTCCACTGGACACGCAGCCGGACCTTTATCAGTATGCTGATTGCAGCTTTAGCCAGGAAATATCAAGAATGGGCAATTATGAAGGGGGATGTCGCTTGTGTGCTAAAGAAGGACTGGAAGCCAGCAGGCTGGCCACTTGCTAGTCGTGCAGCCCACCCTATCGAGCTAACCCAGGCCACGACCAAGCTATGTTTGGTGCCACAGAGCAAGAGGAGGACGCTCAGTGTCAATCGGGCGATGTGTCGAAAGAGGCAAATAGCAGGAATAGACCAGCACGTTTGACTATATCCCGTTGTTGTTGCCGCAAAAGGACGGATGGTGGCGCATGCGCGTTCACGTTTACTTTTAAAATAAGGTCTTCGTACAACGAAAGTCTCCGATGTACTGGCATGTGTGCGTTAAAGTTTACATCCTGAACACGATTGTTGTAAAGCCAAAGTTTTCAATGCCTCATCTTGGCGAATTTATTGGCAATCTGCACGAAGCAAGAATCTACCCAACTTGCGCCTTCCCAGACGCATTCACAAATCCCCATTCAGCTTGATCATAGATGCACAAACGGTGCTCCACTCTCTCTCTCACAAGCTAGATCGTACCTGTGTGTGCCGGTTGGAGTTATGAGTGTCATCGAAGCTACAACAGCAATCTAATCGGCATGCTTATGAGCCTACCAAACAGGAGTGGGTGGCTGACTCTATGGACGGCGTCTTCGGATACAATCAAAATGTTAAAGGGGCCTAGAGCAACCACGGGTGGCGCCGCATCACCTTATACTGTATTTCTGTGAACAGCTCTTCGTTCGGGAATCGTGTTTCAGTTGCACGACTTAAGCCAGATCCAGCAAAGCTCAAGCTATCAAAGAACGACCTTTACCTATACACGCCCGCACAGCCGTTGTGACATTCTACGGCCATGCGCCTTTCTACCAAAATTTCATTTCTGAATTTTCTCGGACGGCTGCTCCTTTGACTGACCCACTTTAAGGCGTGTGGTCTACGACCTGGAGATAAGAGGCTGATGCGGCAGCAAGGATGCTTATGCGCCGCCTTGCAAATGCTCCTCTACTCGCGCTGCCTAATTACCAGCGTCGCCGCTTCCTAAAATAGCCGATTCCAGTGATGTAACAATGGGCATGTTTCCATCCTAATAGGCTACGGATCTTCCAACGCATCAGATTATTGCTTCTTATTCTCATGGCTTCGCCAAAACGGAATCGCGATAGCCAGCGCTTTTAAACTTTGTCGGGCGTATTGGGGCGTGCACATTGACGGCACTAGTCAAGGGAGTGTCATTCTACCAGCCAGGCCACCCACCAGTCTTCACTGTACCTTACGACGGGTTTGTCAAGACTCTGATGATCCTATAGTTGTTTGCAGGCTTGGGCACCTGCTAAGAAGCACCATTTTAGCAAGGCATTTCAAGGGCAGCATCAACTTGATCACCTGCACCTTCACAGGACGCAGCAGCGACTCACTGTTGTGCAGCACAAACACTCTTATGTGTGGCAGTTCACACGGCTTATCAAAATTAGGGAAGTTTGACGTCTTTGGCACCCACGCATTCGCCACTAGGTGCCAAAATCTAGAATGGGAGAGTGCTGAGCGCGGCGAGTCGTGATACAAAGCAAAGCGGGGGTTCCGTCTCCTGTGAAATCCAACTACACTCCGTAGTGCCCATTTGCGCAAAGCATTAAATCATGTTTTTTATGGTCCAGGTGGGATACACACCAGATTGAATAGGCTCTGAGGGCAAAGTTGTACGGCTGCAGAGAGGAGTTGGACTCATCTGACAATGGACTTTGTTGTTGGACTGCTAGAAATCAAAGCTTAGGAAAGCGTCTACTTCGTCATCGACAAACTCGACGAATATGCTATGCGATCCATCCCTTGTTCCAGCTCTCAGAAACTGGCTCAAATATTTGTTATCCATGTGTGGAAGCTCCACGAGCCCTCCAGGAGTGTCACTACCAGTAGGTACACGAATGTTCAAGTGCGGTCTTTGATGCTTGCATGATCCGGTCACACTGCAGCCATAGTATGATCACGGCGAGCCATCCTGCGGTAGATGGACAGAGAGAAATAATCTCAGTCTTTTGCGGTAGGTGTGAGTGTGAGTTCACAAGGCTTTAATTGCTTGGCTTGATTATCTTGTGATAAGTGGGTAATGGTACAACAGTGAATTCGTCCATGATTCCTGCATGCCAGGTCTACACAAAGCAGTGTCCATGTCATCCCGGCCTAGACCAAGTGTTCCAGGCCTAGCAGCGACTCTTAGCAGCGGAAGAGTTCCTTGAGCCGGGAGATTTCGCTCTGGTGACTCGTTAGGCTTTACGAGGTGCGTTGTGCACCGCAAGGTGCCTAGGCGAGAAAGTGTGCCTGCAGGTGTCTAGGAGCAATTGCCATTCCCTCATGAATCAATGTCCTTTCTTTATCGATTATCCAAGAGCCTGAGGGTTACGCACGTTTATTCAGATTGGCTCTATACAGAAGTTTTATACAATTCAAAATTGTTCGCGAGTTTCAGTGTGCAGGGCAATATCTTGGTTGATGGGGGTGGGTCCACAGAGAGTCGTTGGAGACCTGGACCATAGTATTATTAATCACTGAGGACATTTTAGATGGTGGCGTTTGGTGTAATGGGATACGAGCGTCTAACACATTGGCCAAAGGCGGAGTAGCTGCAGGCGTTGTTGCTGTGGGGGATTTAGTGGCCCAGGTTGGTCAACTTTTGTCACTGTGGACGGTATTTCTAGGGTTGCTCGGTAATTATTCTTGCCCAGCGCAAGCTCTGGCTGCAACAGGTACCTTCATTCTTTGGTATTGTGTGAAGAGGTCGGGGAAAACATTGTTGTGGTGTTCTTAGCAGACAGATTTATGTCCCGGCACTCTCAGTTATCTTCGCGACATTTTTACACATGCTTCGATTGGGGCTTGGAAATCGTCTATGCTGCATATACAGGCTGTGTTTGCATGCTGGCATTGCTCTATAAAGTGCCAAGGCACCGTTGACTGGTGCACAATTTGAATCTTTTCAAGCATTTACATGCCTTTTGTTTTCTCGTAGCAGTGGGCTCACACATCTCATTGCTCCAGAGGCAACGAGGCATGGCGCCACCGCGGTCATGCCAATTCGATTCCTCCGTTAGTTGTTAGCTGGAGTATCCGTCGTTGCTGAGGTAGATCCCACCTTAGAGGTCGTTTCATATATTGCCTTTCATTTGCAATGTTTTCCTGTGTCTGCACGCCTGGCGAGTGGCAATAGGTAAGGAGCTCTTCTGCTGCCCCACACGCAGATGGTTCCTGCGTACAGGCACTGAACCACGATACAGTAGTGTGCGTTTGAAACGGGGGCGGGGAAGGGGTCGCGGTCTAAGCTACACTTCTGCACTTTCTATTACACTAGTTATATTTAATTGAGAATAAGTAGACAATTGATTACTTTTTTTGTCTATTCGTGTTAACCAAAGCAGTATTTAATGAATACTGCTCCAGTAGAGTCCTGCCTTTCATAGCCCTCCAATCAAAGGCTCCCTGGCTGCGGGAATGAAGGAAGGATAATATGCTTTTTGAGGGGTTCGATGGGATCTCACTGATTGCACAGTGCTGTTGGCTCAGTACAAAAAGACGCGCTGATGTGTGCGTGTACGCTTGATGCTAAGTGCAACAAGCTGTGAACGGTGGGAGTGCTTGGAGGCTGTAGCTAGCCGCAGTTTGGTTGGTCTCTCTCCTCAGGTAGGGAATCCCGAAGGATATATGCAGAGGAATGCAAAAGGCTTTTTGAAGAATACATGAAATCCTCAATTACGCTTCTTTTGGGGTCGGGGCTGCTTGTGCCTCACTATGGTGACCCTACGAACAGTTGAAAAGTTTCATCAGTAGAGAACTAACTCCCCCCCACCGCCCCATATTGACAGTCAAAGGCCCTATTCATACAGTCATCTTTATTTCAGGGTCGACCAAATTAAAATACTTTCGCGGTTTAAAGCGTACGAGTAGCTTGTGAGTAACCCGTGTTCTAGGTTGTCCATGAAGAGAGTCGGCACAAACTCTACTAGATCAAGAAGATATAGAGTAAGTGCTTCTCCAAAAGCTTCTGAGTTGAATCGCCCTCCTTTCACAGGCTTCAGGCTTGCGGGGAGGAACGATGGTGGGGGTTGCAAGTACCTGCTTCCTGGGCAGTACATGGTTGGATTCACCCAATGCGCAGCCGCATACCATAAACCGCCGTGTAATACAGTTTGACTTGTTCAACAGCGAACATAATTGAGCAGTCGACAATTCATACATGTATCATTTAATTAAATCTTAGTAAGACAACTCCTATATGAGTAAAGCCTCAATGTAAACTAAGACGCCGATGTTCGGGTACACAGTATATTAAACACAGATATTTCGCTCAATCCTTGTGCCTTCTATGGGACTACAGTGACAGAGAGATATCATAGTCGGAAAAATCAAGAAAGAAATGATCGAGTTGGTGGCGTATCCGCAGCTCCCCCCCGATGGCAAAGGGTCCTACACGGCAATCGATTGCTCCACCAGACAGATACCTAGGCTGAATCCCTTTACTGAAAAGCCTCAATTACACTGTGCTTATAGTCGTCGTGCTGACACTGTACCGGGAGAAACGAAACATGCTTGTGGGAGATCGAAGGACTTTCCAGATCCGAATGCCATGCCTGTCGAGCCTTGGCAGCCAGCCCCTCCTGCGGGAGGCCGGCGCGTTTGATGATCTTCTCAAGAACATCACACGACCTTCTATCTATTTTTGACCGCTTGGCTCATTATCCCTGTCTTCTTTTCAATGAACTTAGAAACGCTGATAGTAAAGAGTTTGCTCGAAGCCCTGCGTCTGACGATCTCCTCGGTCCGCCTGGTTCGATTCTTCTGGAACTCCAGCGCCTGCTTTTCCCTACTTCCCGCTCCATGTGCAGGAGTTTCGGGCACTTAGCGCAATGCGTTGTCAGCAAAGAGGAGGTATCGGGGTACGGCTGCTGGTAGCCCTGTTTTGTGTAACACAGCTATTGAGGGATGGCGCAGGCGGGCAAGCAGCAAACCCGACTCACAGTTGGCATACTCATATGGATCCTTTTTTTGTATGAATCGGCTGGCATGAATGAATCCTCTCCTAACAGTTTCTGTGATCATGGAATATTTCTAGCGTCGACCGAAACAGATTAATCCTTGGATTCAATACCTGAAAAACCACCAGAAACCTCAGCTGCCGTCGGTTTTCCAGCTATCGAGAGTAGAATTGTAGATGTTGCTTCAGATATTCCACATGGTCCTGGATCCCCTGTCCCACCCCGTAGAGTTGGGCTGACTGTGGTACTTTTGATTTTCGTGGTGTTTGTGTTGCTCGTTAGAATGCTTGCGCTTACATCATCAGAAGCAAAGAAGGCAGAGACTGTCGAAACACCCTTCGAAACCACGCTTGCGGGGCCTCAGGTATCATCATCTATTTATCAGGCGGCAATGAAAGAGAAGCTGGAGGCACTGCGGGAGATGCTGCCTGCCGCACAGCACCTTGCTGATGTAGTAGGGACCCCTGCAGCGTGAAACGTGCTGTGAACCTTCAGGAAAAGCACACAGGTGCCTCATGAAGGTGAAGCGCCCGCCACAAAAGGTGCAGAAGCAGTCCGTAACCTCAATCTGCAGGCTTCCTTGGGCTCCTTACACTTGTTGCACAAAGAGGGAGTCAAGGCGGCAAATGCGCTAGTTGTTTAGTGCGAGAGGCAGCTTTTGAAGATTTGAGAGATTGGATAAGCAGCTTCCTTACGATGGGTGCAACGATTTGGGAGGAACACCTTTTGTCAAGCCTCTTGCTAGTACCTTTGCTTCCCTCCAGAAGAGCTACAGGGATCTGACTATTCAGCTCATGGCTGGCGCCGTGAGCCTATGCGATGGCAGGCTTTTTCAGAGTGAAGACGATGAAGAGCTACTATGGAGGGCTGCACTGGACCTGGAGGCGCTACAGAGAGTTAGTGCGGCCCGCAGTCAGACCACCGCTGTCTTAAGGGAAGCCAATGGCATATATTTGAAGAATGCATGATCTATCCTTGGCGGGGCCACGAAATAATTCAGGCACGCCGTGGAGTCCGATCTTGACATACTGAGAGCCTTTGCTGAAATTTCGCGGAGACAGCTGGACGCACAGACCCCTTCAGGCGCAGCTGTCGATGCAATCAGGGCGCTGCGAAAGCTTGGAGACTAGATAGCTCGAGTTTTGCATCTTACATCTCTACTCATGAAGGAGGAGACATTGAGAACCAGTGAAAGCGAAGACTTTTTGTTTGAGGCGGCTACTATAGATATCACAGTCAAACAACAGATAAGTGCATTCATGGACAGCTGCTGGGAGCAAATCGCACGCCTTCCCATTCCGCACACGGAAATTGACACGGTCGACAAGAAAACACTTTCGATTGTGGTTTAAAACGCCTTAGCTCAGGCGGTAGGCGACTGAGCGCTGCTTCATGACCTCCGTGATAAGCTAAACGAAGCCAAACAGCGCCTTGCTTTAGGCCGCCAAGAGTTCATCAGCAACGATGTAGCGAGCCGTATGTCTCGAGACACAGTGGAGGAGTTAAAAAAGGCTGAAGCTGCCGTAGCAAGCATTGACAAGTGTTCTGAGCTTATCGAAAGCTCTGCGCATCTCGATGACGCCAGGAATCACATGTCATCGGCACAGATGATCCCGGAAAAGGCTTGCCAGGCGGAGGCGGCCATGGAAGTGCAGCTTGTTAATTACGAACTCGCGGCCATCATGGAACGGGAATTGGCGCAGTTCAGCAAGCGAATGGCAAACGAAGGCTGCATACAGACGGCTTCACAAAGTTGGTGGAGAACATTTTTTAGCGCTTGAACAGCTGTTCGAGGAATCGCTTAAACGGCTGCAGGGAGCTGAGACACTGCTGGATACTGCATTAGAAGCAGCTAATATGCAAGAATTAGTAGGCAACACTGAGGAAGAGTGGAGCTGTTCGCAGCGCAGAGGAGGGCACTACTATGACACATTTGCATGGCTCTCACTTTTATCCCTGCGTGTCACGATTACGAGCTGCGCTAGGTCTTGCATAGGAGGACTTGTTTGGAGAGGCTCGAGGGAGGTGATGGAAATTTTAGAAACAGATGATGCATCAACAATACTTGATGCAGGATCGTCTGGATTCTCAGCGAAAAGACAGCTAAAATCCTGATCGGCGCATACACGAGGGACAGCATTAGATCCATGCCGAGTCACACGTGCGTGCAGCACATGCTACCTTGAGGGCCCCTCATTTACACACAAACAAGCAACACTTTAAACGAAGCTGTTTGTATAGGAGATGCCTAATATGTAATGCGCAGCTGTCTTGGGCTTAGTGGAGGTCTACAGCAGTCATTTCTTTTTGCCTTGTGTTTACTTCTGTTGTTGTACAACTCCGTTGCGGCGTCCCCTATCCTGTTACTTCCCGTCCTTTCCCGGTTCTCCGTTTTAATCTTATGTACCGTGGCACTTGGTCTGTTGCTTCCCCAAAAGGGTTGTCTTTCCACTCATTGCGCGGGACGATGAGTGTGGCACCGTGTGCTCGCAAGAGAAGTAGTAGAGGGATTCTCAAGTCGGATGCAGTTTCCCATATTTCTGATCGGACAGCTCGTTGAGGTGCGGGAAGGGGCAAGTTATATTTTTTCTGAGCGGTCAAATGGAGACGCCGTCCAATTGGAGGCAATCTATGCAGCACTACGTCGATCATCTTTTGACACTAGCATCAGCACACATCGTGCTGATCGACCCAACGACGTTGGCACGAACCTCTGGCTGTAAAAGCAGCGGGAGCGTGGCCTGTTTTGTGGGAAAATATAGACGATCCTGGACCGGCTTTATGCGATGTTGGCTTTGCTCAAACGCCGAAAGGCAGGTCTCCTTTCTGCCGATTGCTGCTCTGGTTTTGATCTATACAACACAGACGTTAGGGGCAGTCAGGCTTTGCACGCATATCTGGTCCCATGAATCTGTGTTCTTAGCAAAGGAAGTATAGAATGCCATTCGAGGCTCAGGAACTTAGGATAGTCCCCGCACTCGGTTGTATGCGCCCAACCATCAACAGGCGCTGCAAGGGGCGCGCCTGTTGATATTGAGTGCGCAGACTTTCAGAAGATGCCACTCGGGCTACGAGCTTCCCAAGGCTCGAGACATACTTTGACAAACCTTAAAATCCGCTCCTGGCAACAGCAGCTTGTGCACCTCGCAGAAAGGTGACAGAAGGCTGTACGTCTGCCTAAATCGGCTACTTGAGTTACAACAATAGCTGTTCTCCCGCTGTAGCCTCCCGCACCCAAGCCTCGAGTTTCTTCTCTGGCAGTTTCATCTGGTGCGCTATTACGTAGGCGGTGGGCTGAACGGCAATTCTGTTTGCTGCAATTGCTAGTGTACCTGTTGAGTTTGCATCAGAAGACCCAGAGGAGGAGCTTCGCGCCAGTGCAACAAGTGCAGCAAAGGCTCCTCTTGCATCACTTGAAGAAGTTGGTGCTGTTGTGTGAACATAGTCTTGCAGAAGTACCTGCCGCAGCAGTTCAGTAACTGCCACTTCCGTCTGCTGCAATAAGGCTTGCAGGGATACCCGTTCCGTCTGTTGCTGGTCTTGTTGTGCAACCCCCCAGCCCGAGTGTTCAACAGCAAGCAGACAGCGGCACGCATTCAGTATTTCCGAAAGAGCAGAAACAGTGGGGCGGGAGGCGGCTGTACAAATAAGCCCCGCAACAGCTTCTCCCACTGTGCGCGAAAACGCCTGCACACGCTGCCGCTGTTCCTGCCAGGTACTTATTGGCCCTATTGTTGCTTTTTGCTCCAGCACTTCAGTTACTAGCGCTTGAAATACTAGTGCATAAAGGTACGCTGCCCGGGGTAACAGCTCGGCAAGGTTTCTGTCCAGCGTTGCTGCTGCTCGCGTTCCATCCGCTGCGGTTCTTGAATGCAGCGCGGCACTTGCAGCCGCGCGCCTCCACAGCGGCAAGAAGTAAGAACTCCTGCACAAAGCGGTCGCAACTGCACGTATGCGAGCTATGGCTTGTATCTACAGTAACGAGCAGCAGCATGAAGGAATAGCTTGGACAACGTTTTCTGTTTCTTACCGGAAAGCTGTCTCAAGATTGACCAAGAGATGTTCCCTTATAGTTGCCAGGTCCGGTGAAGGCAAGCGGCGCGTTCTTCGTCTAGCAGGCGGGGGATCCTCCAGAGGTCCTCCCAAACGTAGTCCCAGTGTCTGCAGTGTTGCAGTGGCAGCCGTACAACATGCACTCAAATCGGCCGCCAGTGCTGCAGCTGCCGGTGCTGTTGTTGCCGACGCTGATGCTTGATTTGCCACGTCCCCGCAAAGTCTAGGCAGCTGCGCCACAAAAGGCATGGTGATTCGTACGGTTAAAACCTTCATCCTTGCTGCTGCCTCGAGGCTCTCCGCAAGTGCGTGCAGTAAGCGAGACCGCTGCTTCTGCTGCTTCCGCACTGCTGCTCGTACTGCTACTACTACGAGCCCTGGTGAGGATTCTGCCAGACGTAGATCTGCTGGCACGATGGCGGAAGAAACTTGTAGACTTGCGGACGCTCCAGTATGCGTTTGAGCTCCTTCAGGACATGTCCTTTTTGTTTCTGTGGCTGCTGCGTCGGGTGTTGCTAGACGTTCAGCATTTGATACTCCTGAGGAAATTTCCCCTTGCTGATTCTGCTGCGGAAGCATTCGCTGCGCTCGTGATGCGCATTTCATTCTCTGAGCGTGTTGCTGCTGTATCTGCCTCCTAAGAGAAGAAGAGCACTCCTTGGGGAGAGAAGGAGAGAGCAGAGGACCGGTATCTATGATCATTTGGGGTGTGCTTCCCACTGCAAAAAACGAAAGGCCAAATGGGAACTGCCGCTGCTGCAATGGCTGTGAAAGGACCTGCTGCTGTAGCAGCACCGATGTGTCTGTAGCTGATAAGGCCCTCGTCCCTCCACCCGCGAGGGCACTATCCCCGTCTGCAGCAGCCAGTGCTTCATTGGTTCTAGCCAAACAAAAGCGCGAGAGCATAGATACCGCCTGGAAAGGCTGGAGAAAGGCCCGTCGGTAGCAGGACCAGTGCCGCATCGCTTCAAGGGCGCACTGAGCACACAGATTGCACTTTGTCAAAAGGGAGGCTTAACGAGCGACACGGAAGGCTATGTATTGTAGAGCCCCTTCCTAGAGAGCGGAGCATTCTCCGGCAGCTTGATTTGATAACTCGAATGCGTGGTGAACAGCCAAGAATAACGATTCTCTCAAAACCCTTTGGAAGCCAGCATGTCGTCGACTTTGGAGGAATACACAAACAGACACGGTAGCTAACATAATCCTGGTGTAGGAAAGAAGGTATGCAGGGGCCCATTAAAGCGGTAGAATTAAAAGGGATCAGACAGGTTTTTACCTTCCCGTACGTCGGATTTTTCCTCCGGCCAGGTGCAACAGCTTCTGTCCTTTTTGGTTTTATTGTTGATGCTGTTGCTGCATGTGCTGTTGCTGCTGTTGCTGCTTTTGCTGCCCCCATAGCCGCTCTACCTGCGGTCCGCCGCGTATCTGTGTAGAGCGCTGGCCTGCAGTCACCCGCATGTTGTTCTGGCGTCAATGCTTTCGTGGCCCTAACGGAAGCTGCTGCTTCTGCATTTATTTGGATAACGATACGCCGCAGATGGCGGCGTTGGAGTCGGCGGAGAGCTGGCGGGCCCTCGGAACCCCACAGACGGAACAAACGCGCGAGAAACGCCTGATGAACAACCAAGAATATCCACAGGCCGCAAAACTAAAGCCTCGAAGCTAGCTCGCAATATGATTGCTTCTGTTAACTCAGTGGAACGGCTTGGTGGCACTGAGCGATGGCAATGCGGCCAGCACACAAACCTGACACGCTAAGGGAAGCTCCAGACCACGAAATGATGCACATTCGAGGGGGAGATGCAAAAAGACGGCTGGCTCGTTATGGTAAAAAAACAGCTCGTGAGAGCGACAAGATAGTATGCGCGGCTAGACATCTTGAACTACACACCTCTCGCCTTGTTACTGTTCTAGTAACCTCTGCACCAGCCGGCACGAGGCCCTCCACAGCCGCTCGGCGTCTCCGACCCCGGAGTTTGCCACTCTTGATGCTCGGCCTCAAGGTATCCAAATCCAAGGGTTTTCTGTACTCCGCGACAAACATGCTCCATGGCAAAACCACAAACCGTAAGCGCTTATCAGCCCCGCGCTCTCTGAGTTTCCTTAGCGTGCCACGGCCTGTAGAAATCAGCAGCGCCCCGCCGAGCCTTTGGGGGGTCGCCATAAGTCCTCTCCGCTGTGCGGAGCCCACGAGAGTCTTCTCTGGAGCCTCTGAAGGGCCATGTATGGCAGACTGTTCGCTAGGATTCGTTGTAAGGAGGTGTGCATCGCCGGTCTTGCTGTGGCTGCTGCCGTGGCTCCTACTTGAGCTGCAGGTTTCGACTGCAGCAGACGCAGCCCTCGCGATGCCCTTCCAGAGCTCTCGCAGCTCATGGGTACGTACTGTGGCGGCACCCTTGCACCCACTCGCCGCTGCGCGGCATCTGCTTGAACCGAAGGTATCTGTTCTTGATGCTGGAGTAACACCGACAGAAGCAGCAATGCCTACCATACTTTCTTCACTCGCTGGCGCGCCCAAAGTTATCGCCTTCGCTGCTGGCTGTGAGCCTTTTGAAGTTCTCGCCCCACTATCAGAGCCTCCCAGTCTTAGCACCGCTGAGTGCCGTTGCTGCCACTGCTGTGTTTCGTAATTTGCCGCGGACGTAGCAACAGATGCAAGCAACGCTGAGAGCAGCTCCGGGTTTCCTTTGTGCTGGATATGAGACAGATGCTTAAGCAGCGCAGCTGCAAGGAAAGGATCAATGTTCATGGTAGTCGTCCGCAGGAAATCCACACGACTAGCGGAAGGTCCTGTTGGCACTACCCACGCGTCCGATGCTGGGGTTGGGGGTAAACGGATTGCTTCTTTATCTGTCGCCAGTGCAGGAGGTCGTGCTGATAGTGTCGCAGGCGTTGCGGTCTTCAGTTCCTCTCCTGAGTAAATGCGTGAAGCAGCGCCATTCCAGGAGTCCCGGCGCTGTTGATGCTGCTGGTGGTATTGCTGCTCGGGACCATGTACTGGAAAAAGACACCTATCGGTAATGCATTCCTGCTTTTCAGAAAAAAGTGGAGGTGGCAGGTGCGAGTTGGGAGGCAATGGCTGGAGAAAGTGTAGGAGATGATGACTTGAGAGCCTAGCCGCATGGGCTGCTGCCGTGGCAGCCACTGCTGTTTGCTGCTGTTGCTGTAGCAGATGGACGTGCATGAGCGACTGAGAAGAGGCCGCTGCTTCAGCTGCTCTTGATATCTCGGGTGAACCTGTTGCCGTAGGCATCACTGCTGATACAGCAGAGAGCTGATTGAGAAAGCGCGGTGATGGTTGTGGGAACTGAGTTCGCTGTCGCTGGGGGCCTTGGTGACATTTCTGCTCTTGATATTGCTCGTAAAGCGCTGCGACAAAGACGATTGAAGCCTCACGTGCACCAGCCTCAACTCGAGAGGTGAAATATCGACATCAGCAGCGCTCCCTACAATAGCAAAAGCTGCAACAGGACCCATGGATGCGCATCAGCTGCCCTCGGTCCACAGAACGGCGCAACGGCCGCACCATGCCCGCTTACGTGCTATTTGTTTATGCAGCAAGAGAGCTGTTATGGAGGAAAGGAGGGAATGGTGGCGGTAACTCAGAGAATCCAAACTCGAAAGACAGCCTGCGAGCTGTACAGCGCAACGGTGGAGGCTAGAGCAGTAGCGGCATCAGCAGGACTGAAGCAGCAGGTCCAGTGTATGCATCAGGAAGGTGCGAAAAAGCTTCACGAGTACGGCGTGGCAGCACGAGCGCAGGCAGGCAACTGGATTGCTGGTGCCGCTTTTCTAAGCCCTGCAAGCCCCTTAGATCGCAGGCTAGCAGGTTCTCTCTGTAGGATTGGTGCCTCCTCAAGCTGGGGAGGGGGGCAGCGCTTGAACGAAAGGCAGAAGCAGAGTATTTGGCAGAACTCGCAGCAGAAAAACAGGTTACGCATTAACATATCGCCTGCACTTTACCATGTTGGGGGAGTAATGGTGAAGACTGTGCTGCACGGCAAGTCCCAGTTTGTTCAGCGCCGATGTTGACCGGTGCGGAATTTTCGCTAGGAGACTGAATGCCAACAAGCAAAGAACAGGGACAAAAGGCGATGCGCGCATTTTACATACAGTAGCAGACACACTGCTGTAGCCTTTCCAGACTCTACAATCAGCAGTTGGATGCACGAGTGAGGTCAACCGGAGCAACGCAAGAGCCGGCTAGTTTTTGAGGGGGAAGGGTGAGGCAGATGGAGCAGAGAGACACATTAGAAGAGGGAAAAAGGCCCTCTAAAGCAGTGCCCAACAACGATCGGTATAAGGGAAAGGGCTGTTGTCATGTGTATTACTTGAGCACTGCAGAGACCTTTGCTGGCGTAAATGCGGCCCATTGAAGTTCTATCTCTCGTTCTATCGCCTGTGGATCGACAACACGCAATATAGAAATCGCTCCCTCTAAATATATACATATATATATATATCGGTAAGTATATATATATATATATATTGAGAAATCCAATGACGCCCTCGCCTTCTCTCGTCGACGTTTCTTTTCTCTTTCCCTGCTGTTGACCTCCGGTAGCAACATGCTGACGCATAGCACGCACGTGCCCCCATGAACCGCCGAGCCGCTGCAGAGAATATTATGTCACCTACATCACTTCAAGAGGCGCCTTCCTAGTTTGTTGCTATACCATAGCAGCTTGCTTACCCAGCAGAAAGTAACAGGCAGGCGTTCGAGGCCAGCAGCAGTAAAACTCCTTCCTAAGTGTAGAAGGCACGAGAGCGACGAGGGGGATGTTGCCCGCTCCCGCTGTCTCTGCAGCATGTGCTGCTGCTGTTGCATGTGCATCGGGTGGCGTGCCTGAGCATCAGACAGCTCCGCTACAGGGGAAGACGGCTGCTGCTGAAGCATCAAGACGGACAACGGTCCTCCGAGGTTTTCGTACACCGCATTGCTCAAAGATTCTGCGATAGATCTGCACCGCAGCAGCAAATTCAGCGTCACTTGCAGCTAAGGGAGGGTTCTCGATGCACGGATCGCCACAAATGACGCAACAGCGAAAAATGCTGTTGTGTTGCTTCATTGCCAATCCTACCAGTACCGTCGGCTGATCCTGCTAGCACAGCAGGACTCCCACCCGCTTTCCGGAGGCATCCTCTCTTCCTGCTTGGGAAGAGAGGATGCTTCTTGCCTCAAAACCGCTACTTTTGGGAATGCATTGCGACACAGTAAGGGGCAGGAAGGGCCCGCATGCTCGCGGTGCCTGGGCATTGTTTTTTTACCGATCCAGCTCGCGTCTCTTCAGCAGTAGTGCAGCAAAGGCTGCTGCTTCACAAGGCTTTAGGGCTGCAACATTTCGCTTTAGCTGCGGAAGGACGGAGCTGAGGAACGGGGAGGAAGCTACAGCCGCAGGAACTTCCAGCTCATCCTACCACGACAGAAGCACACGCAATGCGTGTACGCTAAACGCACTCTCCACACAAGCGGCTCATGATGCCTCGGACGCAATAACAGTGCGCAAAAAATGCAAAAAAACAGCGCCCCGAAGTACTTTCATGGATCCACACAGTACTGCAGCTGCATTCGCGGCCACGCCCGCTATAGGAATGGCAAACACCTCGACGAAATACAGCAGAGAAAGAAATACATGCAAACGCTCCTACACAAAAAGGGAACTATTTGATTCAGCACCGATTCAAACGCAATACGTGCGCAAACGCACCAACAGACACTAATAAAGTGCTACTTAACCCAGTCATGCACAAAACGCTACACGGGCGCGCCTACACTCAAGTGCCCCATGTTTTGTCATTTGAGTTCTGCCCTTATTCAGGGAGCTGCACAGCTGCCCTGGAGCCCCCAGATCACATCAAAGTCCTGTCGCTTGTGAGGTGCTAGTGTGCCACTCGTCGGGTGTATTTGGATAGCGGTTGATGCAGCAAACCACCCTCAGGGGGGTGCACCTTCCTCGGGAATGCCATCGAGGCACACCCACACATACCCACACACATATGTGGCACGGAAGAGGAACACGTGCCGATACTGATGTGCTGCATCAGGCTCATCCCATGCGCTTTGATGAGAAATGCTTAAGTACTCCCACTTCCTCACGCACGAGCACAAGCAGCAGGGAAGAAAGAGCAAGGCACAAGAACACCCGACAGGGGCGGCGAGAGAAAACGCAAGACGCCACAGCAGGCCACAGTACGTACAAGAAATCGCTGGATCTTCAGCAAATCTCCAGCTGTCAGCGGCTTTTTCCTCCTTTCCAGGGACAAAAAGAATGCAGCAAGATGAGAAGAGCAGGGGAGGTACCTACAGGAATAACACCCCAAGCGTGCGCACTCTGCTGAAGGCAACGCGCGCGCCCTCATAGACGCGGCAAAGTCAGCCCGCAGCAGGCCATAAGAGCTGGCAAGGTAAACGCACACTCCTCCGCCTAGAAGCAGAGAGAGACTAGGATCGGAGGCATAGCAGGAAACACGTGTACACACTACCCACAGGACCACTGGAAACTAAATAGCGACAGCGAGTGCGTGACACCCACAGAAGAGGCACTTACACACAGCACGCACGCCGCACACAACGGCCTATGCACGAAAGACTCAGAAGGGCGGAACGCTTGGGTAGAGGTAACGGCTGAGGCCTATGAGGAAGGCCCCAGCACATGGAGGGGCTAGTAGAGTGTGCACGGCAATGAGGCTCAGTCGCGGGGAGTAGCGAGAACAGCGCCAAGAGCGAAATTTTTTCTTCGAGGCAGAGAAGGCATAAAGAGCTGTTTATCGGCACGAATGTGGCTCGAGGGAGCCGTCCGTGTCGACAGAAATAGGAGGAGAGGAAGGGCAGCACTGGGACCGACTTATATACTACTGGAGGCGCTGCAGGGGGAAAGGGAGGATGAAGGCGCGTTTCCACAAGGTCAGAGCACACCTGAGTCGCCTGATTGCATCGAGGAAAAGAAGCGTGTGCGTGGCATCTGCCTGCTTCGCTGCGACTCTCCATCTGAAGGCCTCACAGAGCCCCTGCAGGAGGAGCGGCGGCCGGCAACCAGCAGCTGCAAGGAGGGCTGCCCCCTGCTGCAGTTCTGACGCGCTCAGAAGCGGCAGCTGTTGTAGCAGCAGCAATAGGGGAGGAGTCCACGCCTGCGGTGTACGTATACCCGCATTGGCGAGGTCCCTCAGCGCCGCGAGCAGCACAGATGGCGACTCCTTGGTCTTAGAGCTCGGGTAGGGGAATGCCACTCCTGAATCAGCGTCCGGATACCTTGGTACACTTTCTGCTGGTGCTGTAGTCTGAGTAGAGGCGGAGGACGATGTTACTGCCGGCGATGCTGCCGCAGACGTAGCACTCCTGGCGCTACTGGGGGCTTTTTGGGCATGCCGATAGATGACCCCAAACACACAAAAGGCCTCTTCTACGGCTTGCTGGAGAGCCTCCCCCTCTTCGCCAACGCGTTGCCCTTTGCTAACGGCATTCGCGTCGCTTTCGCTGGCGCCTTTGCCGGCGGCACGGCTGCTGGGGGGTGCCCTCCCTGAGGCGCCCAAGGGGTCCGAAGTCGCTGTCGCAAACGCAGCAAACCCGCAGCAATGAGGACCTGCAGTGCGGCTGGGGCAGCCGCACGAGAGAGCTGAAGCCAGGAAGACGGCGTTTCTCGTCAGGAAAAACGGCGATGTTTCTCCCTGGTCTGCCCCCAATAGGTTCTTGCGTTCTACAAGTTCACAGCAGGCCCCGGAAGAGCCCCTCAGCCCCGAGACGACCCCCTGTGCGCTTCCGGAGAAGCAGAAAGGCGCTCGGAGGCGATGCGCCATTGGGGAGAACACCTCGGGAAATGGGGGGAGAGGGCCCACGATAGGGGCCTCCGGGGGCCCCCGCTCCCTCGTAGACGAAAAATGGCTTCCAGAGAGGGCGAGAGCCACAAAACGCGGTTGCACAGGAGGGACTGCGCCAAAGTTTACATGAAAAAGTCAGATACGGAGTCGCTTGCCAGAAGAAGTCCAAGGAGAACAACGAGGCGAGCCAAACGGGGGGACAGGCAGGGCCTTCTGTGTGGCCTTAACGGCAAATAAAGGCCAGAAGGAGGGCTGCTGAGTGCTCAAAGTACTCGCAGCGCATTCGCTGCTAAGGAATAGTGGTCTCGATAGTATTGTAAATATAAGGTATATAGGCTGAGGAGCGCCTGCATCGCCCGTACAAGAAGGGTACCCGCCAGCGAAATCTACTCGGGACTGGGGGGTTGGGGGCCCCCTCCTCAATCAAGCAGGCGTCGGCAAAAAACCTCTGCTTCCAAAATGCATTAAGAACGGGGAAGTTTACATTAATAGACGATTTTTCACTAGGATTTGCACAAAGGAGCAGGGGATTTTTCTGGAGTCGGACTTGTGTTCCTCAGTCTCGTAATAAAAACAAGCGTTTCCGTAACAGCGGCTAGTACTCGCAAGGTGTCAACGATCGGGGTTCACACTGCAGGAGCCATCATAGCCACGAAGGCTCGGGGGTACTGAGCTGTGGAAGGCGCGCTAAAGCGGTGCGTGGAAGAAACATGGTCTGCCTTCTCAATGCGTTTGGTCGCCCCAATGGCACAGGGGCTACACGCTCATCTTTCGCTCAAAAGGCTCTATACATAATGTGCAAAGCTGTCGATGGTCTCAACGAGAATGCAGGCTTGAAATTACTCCCTAAAAGAGCGACACGGTCGTCGCTCAGTAGGCGTTATCCAGCCATGGTGTATATTTCATTTCGAGTAGCATTGGTGCAGCCGTTAGACGCATATCATCTTTAAAAGGCACAGGATAAACGAAATAGATAGTGCTATGTCCTCACGCCCGCACTTTGGCATGCACGGCCGGCTCCCCATGTGTGAGACGCAGAAATGCAGAGGCTCACAGCTTGGCGTTGAGTGGTCGATTGCTAGGGCGCCTCTGGCTATGCATATATACGGCTATGATCCCTTTCCCCGCACTCTGTCAGCTATACGCGTGGCTCCAGAGTCCCTCTGCTCTAGCTCGCCACTTTGCTTTTTTGCCATTCTACAATTCGCATATATACTTATGTATACATATGTACATACGTAGCTACCCTTGACAGGAATCCCGCGTCTCACTGCGTCCTTCTTCCTGGCCGTTGCTCTTGGCGTGGTAGATTGTAGGGGGGTTGAAGAGCAGCACCAAAACCCCCATGTCTACACCATGCAAACACGCACAAGGCCTGATGCACACTTTTGCAGGCGGGGCCCTGTTTATACAGCTGTGTTTAGAGTGCTTCCCAGTGTTGATGGGGGATGAAGAACGATCCAGTTTTCGCAAGCACTGTAGTCCGACTATGCAGCACATTAAACGCGCTGGCTTTAACGTGAAAAAAGGTACACTTGGAGGAAAACGTATTTCCTGGATGTGCCCACAACCCTTCAGGAGTCCACACGAGCCGCAAACGGCTCGCAAGGGGCCATGGCATGCATTCACAGACTCTGGAGAGTTTTCCATACAGAGATGATTGCCCACCCACCAGCCCGCTAAAAAGGTCCGCGACGAAAATCAGCGCAGTAGCTCCGATCTTTAGATATATATCAAACGTGTTCACAGTAGCCCTTTCCCACAGATGATGCACACTGCATTCCAGCTGCATTTGGCACTTCTCACCGGAGTCAAAGAAGGGCTGCTTTGCAAAGCGGAAAGGGCCGGATTTTCTTTTTAAGTATTCCTCTTGCGCTGCGATAACTCTGAATGAAAACAAGGCTGAACGCAAAAACTAGATGAGAGCGCAAAAAGCACCAAAAAACGGAGGACTGCCGAGGTTCCTACCGGCCTCCAAACGTACCTCCGCATGAGCGCTATCTCGGCTTTCTTGTTGCCAAGCGCAGCCCTTTGCTCAGCCTCCATAAGCGGATCCTCCCAGTGAGGGAGACCTACAGCCGCACACCCTAACCCCAAAACTCCTAACCTAAGAACCCCGCCGGCAGACAGATCCCAACGGTGTGTCACAGTAGGCAGCCACCAAGGAATGCCGCATCCAGTGCAGCCGCTTCTCTAACCATCAACTCAGTACAGACACATTTAAACCCATGTCATCACCGATCTACACTTCCAAGTTCATTGATATAAACAAACCCACCTGCAGCGCGGAGAGCAGCTGGATGATGCAGAAGCTCCTTTACTGTTTTCCTGAGACACCAGTGCGCACGCAGACGCCGCCTCCTTAAGTAAAGACCTCCGGATGCCGGAGTTCGTGTTCGCGTCTGAGTTGATAGAGGCTCGCATGGCAAATAGTCTTCTAGTCAAGAGACGCAATGCGGTGCGCCCCGCGATTCGGTGCTCTGACATTCGTGCATTTGAATACAACAACCACTTTTACAGGGAGTGGATAGAAAAGGGACCCTTCTTGCCCCCTCAACCGCTCACGCTCACTCTCGCTTAACGACCGCTTGCACAAGAGCTTTCCGGAGTAAGAAATCAGCAGCTTCTTCCTTCAAAAGCAGTCGCACAACACAGGCCACAAAGGTTGTGCTATAGAGTTTCTCCCGAAAGACCAAGCCACTCAGGGTCAGCCGTCCGGGTGGCGTGCGAGAAATCCCACCTGGAGGAATAGCGAAGCATCCTCTTCCTGTGAAAGCAAATGCAGAGCCGTAAAAGAGCCGCCAATTTCCCGAGGTGGCACACACAAAAAAAGAAATTCGGCGGCAAACCTCATTGAGGGGTATAAGGGAGCGAACGAAAGAGGGAGGTCCGCGAACCTGTGTTTCCTGCGTCTGAACAAAAGCGGCAATCAGAGAGCACACCGCGTCCACTGATAATGCTGCCCAAAATGAGGGTGTCCCTACACAGCCACAGGTAGGACGCGCAGCAGAAGCACCTCACTGTGCAGCCCGCCTGTATTGTGCCGCAACAAATATGCGGCAGTGCGCGCGGACTGCGGTGTACATTCGGGATAGTTGACACTCACCCCAAACCACAGCGACAACGTCATCGTGGGGAGGTTGGTATGCAAAGTCCTAAAGTGCAACGCAGCACCATATCCCAGCCCATATCTGAACTCTCACTGATGTACACAAAGAATACTACCATTTTCTGTAGAGTTTGCCGGCCGCGTGCCGCGTAGTGGAAAGAAATCTAGCGGAACTAGTATTCAGTGCATGGCTCGCTAGCTACCTGCACCAACTGCATGCGCAGGGCCATGGCCAAGGACAGTGGAAGATTCCAGGATGTACCGGAAGGCAAGAGGCCGTTGGGATGAAGGGATCCGCGGACGCTGCATGCAGCGACTTGTGCAAGTGCTCATCCTGAAAAGGGAGGGCACGCGTTCTTGGTTTTAACCGTTTAAAAGCATAAAATGCGCATGAAGTTGAAGGTCTCTAGGTGTGTGTCTGCGTGTGCGTGTGCGTGTGGCCAACCTTCAGGTGGTACAATCCAAAGGCTTTTACAAGTGAAGAGGGATTGTCCTGCACAGTTTGCATACAGAGCATACAGTCAAAATGCGAAGGCTTGAGACATTTGTCTGTAGTTCCAATCTCCTAAAAGAGGCGGGCTAGCCTGAGCTCCGAGCGCACTCACGGAGGAAGGCATTGTGTGGTGCGCAGGTTCTCAGTCTCCTCTTTCTACAGTGCTTGCTCTTCTTACCAGTTTCTCACGGCCAGCGTGCTTGAGCTCAACATGCCTCATGAATGCCTCAGGAGCGCCCAACGGCCATGCGACAAGGCGAGCTGGTGGCTTTTCCCATCCAGATGCATCACCTGTTCTTTCCGTTGGTGATTCTGAAGCTTCGGCTGCCGACTGGGGCTCCGCATGCAGCACAACAGCCGGGTTGGTACCCAAAAAGGCTGAAATCAAACCTGTATAGACACCACGTTTGCGAAAATCATGTGCGATCAATGGCCACAGGTTTCCCACAGGGGACAGGGAATACGTGAAGCCGCTGCCGCTGCTGTTGCTGCAACCCTTTGCGGGAACGCGCGCACAAAGGCGGATATACAGACTTAACTGAACACGTAGGCGTGAAGTATGACACATGGACAGGATTCGGAATTGAAACTCCAAGTCCTAACGCACCACAGGGCAAGAGGGTGAGGCAGCAAACGTCGCATCCTTGGTGCAGGTATTCCTTGCGGCCGTTGCAGGCAGAAAAGTAATGCGCATCTGCGGAGTGCACGCAGAAACGAATCCCAACCGTCTCCGAATAGTAAGCCTTGGAAGCCAATAAATGCTGACACCTGAACCTGTTGCTTGCCGGTAAATGCGCATACCGTGTGCCGTGAAGAGCCCTTGAATATCTTTAACTGCCCTTTGAACTTGCGCGATTTGGGGTTCGTGTGCTGTAGATGATGTTGCAGAGTGTATTCTTGAAGCCGAATATGCTGCAGCGGCAGAATCTGCCGATGGCCCTAGCTCTTTGCAAATAAAATGAGGGGCAAAAGAACCTCCGATCCCGGTGCAAGAACAGATGCTGCGTTCTCCTAGGTGTACAAAAACCTGAGAAACGATGCAAGAAATACACGTGTCGAGTCGTAGGCTGTCTGGCTGCCGTTAGTCGTGTAACTGTTAGCGTGGATGGTGATGAGCGGTACCTGCGGTGTCCGGTGGGTGCAAAACAATGAGAAAGAGGCACGCGCAGCAAGTCCATCGCAGCGCAGGAACCCTCGTTTCTGGTGCAGTACTGTTGTTTGAGATGGCAGACAAGCGACGGGTTGCCTCTTCTCTAGTTCAAATCCTGCAGCAACCCACGATTCAACTGGATGAAGGCAGTCAGTCAGTTGAGGCATGTGTATGGGAGAAGGAGTCCACGGAGGGCAGCAAGATCCTTAGAGAGCACGCACATTTGATCCTGTCTGATGAGATCTTCGGGCTTTTGCAGACCTTACTGGTTTACCTGGGATGAAGGCTGCACACGCGGCTGCGCGCCAGTGTCGCATTTGTTACGTATTTGTCTAATGCCGAATATGTACTCGCCAGCCTAGCCCTTCAATCAGCGAGGAGCATCTCAAAAATGCAATATTGGCTCTCTCTTACCCAGAGGCTGTGAAGAAGGCAAAGGGGGCCTTGGGAGATGATCCAGTGAACGAGCTTCTGAAAACTGTATATGGCTCGATAAGGTTTGTTTTATAATCACACATGTGCGCTCACTTATATATGCGTATGCTCATAGGTATTTTGGAATTAGATATGTGTAGGTTGGATACAGAAAGGAGAATAATGCTGGCTTTGCAGTCCGGGCTACTGGTAAAAGAGGCCACGCGGGGCCCCCCTCCGGGGTCCAGGATAGTGGAGGGCATTCAATCTAAGTTCTCATAGGTTCAATCAGAAATTTCATACGCTTCCATGACAATCCCTACAAAAATTACTCCAAGTATTCTAACTAGGTTGTCCAGCGCTGCAACGTGCAGAATTGAGTGGCTCCTGGCTCGCCGGTATGCTTTTCTCTAAGCCTGCATCCCTTGCTAAGACATAAATATCTGGACTTTTAAATATCTCTGCTGCTATCCATAACTTAGGGTCTGTACATAGTGCGCTCCTTACGCTAAAAACTGGTAGAGTGGTGTTTTAAAACCATTAGCCAAACCGTGCCCAACGCCGGTCCTGGCAGCTCGGGGCAGCCAGCTAGATGCAGTAAGAACGGACCTAGCGGTAAAGCTAGATGTCTACTGGCTAGTACGTGAAGCCCGCTCAGTCCTTTACTTAGGCCGCTCTCCTCTTGCCGTGGCTTGTAGAAAGTACGCGGGTGGTATCTTGACTTACTGAAGGAGTTGTAGCGAGAGCGCAAAGCAGCTATGAAGTGACATCTACTATTATACCTACTGCTACTTCTGTTTTACTACGTTTGACCGCATGGCTCAAGTGCTCGTGCAGTGTATCTTGCCTAGAGTTTACGCATATCTTTTCTACGGCTGTATGCTTGTAGAGTCCCGTTTAAGGCTTCCGTATGGAGAAGCTAAGCTTCAGACAGAAAATAAGACTTGATCAAGTTTGTTTTGTTCAGGAGAAAAGACCGACCGCCAAGGCCCGCCTAACTGAACCTCAGCACTCCAAAGATCCGCAGCAAAATGCACAACTAGATACATCGAGCATCTAACGCAAACGCATAGAATATTACATCTTTTTGCATCGATATAACAGTACTCTGCAGCTAACGAGATATACGAACAGGCAGACAAATTCGTCGATATATCAGAAACCCTAACTGAGTATGACGTGTACTACAAACTTTCGGTGGAGGACAACCGGCTACATCGCCCCACCTCCTGTTTTGAAGCACGCGCCCTGGCATCACGCACCTGTAGGTCGAGACCAGCTACGTGCAGAACAATGGAAGTGTATCCACCCTGTCTTCTCTTACCAAGAGCTCAGAGTTGCAGAAGAAGAGCAGATGAGCAAAATAAGAAATGAGTCAATTGCTCTGAAAAATTGATAGGAAGAAAAACACACATCAGCCAGCAACGAACAAGAGACCAGACCAGGCGCGATGCCTCGCTCTCATCCGAGCGCTCAAATGTGTGAGCCTCCTGCCACGAGAAAACTCAAGACAAGCAAAATGTGTGGAATCAAAAACCAAATCAGCTCTGCAGTGTGTCCGCGCCGCACAGGGCAGTGTGTGCATCCAAAGACATTCGGTGCATGCAGCATAGTTGACTCGACAGCCTCGAAAAAGGCCTAAGGAAGGATGTAGAGTCAACGTGCCCAGAAGTGGCTGCGTATGAACTGTGGTGTAAAGAACACCTAAACAGTGATAAGCGCAAACATTCGAAGCGATACCCACTGCTGAAGGTAGCGGCTTTAGGCAGAACATGCGCTGCAGAATGAATTTCTTACAGAACATGAGGAATACTGTCCATGGCGGCAACTGTTGTGAGCCAAACACAACTGCAAATTTTCCCAGAGCCTCTCGCAGCTGCTGCTCTGTCAACCACTGCAGTTGGCATTTCCCACCCCATTTCACTAGAAACTCCCGTCTAGCTTGTCTACCGCGCTCAACAGTCCTAGAACCCAGCACTTTTACGGCTCCCTGTGAATCCTCCGCCTCCACACGGGTTGCTCGCCTGAGCAGCAGTGTCTACAAACACTTCAGATGGCTTTGAAGCTTCTTCAAGAAGCCAATATTGGTAGTTCTGTGTCGCCCTCAACTATTGGGGAAATCGACAAGCAAAGGCCACAGATTCGTGGGCAAACTCGAAATGATCCTACCTATCTGGATGCAAGTGTCTTCGTCGGGTCATATTTTGATGCACCTCGTAAAACCTGTTGATCCTCCAGGACCAAATCACCAGGTCTGAAACATATACCTGACCGCCACTCACCATAATGTCGTGCTTGTCTCTCTCTCGATCATAGCGCATACATTCTCATAAAGCACCCATCTACTCTCTCAGACCCTCGCTGCGAAGTGTGGCTGTTGACTATGGATCGCCAGATTGATGCTAGGTAGGGCAGGGACTCCCAGTGCAAACTAGGAGTACGGGAGAGCAGCTTGTACACAGGTGTGTTTTCGTGTTATAAAGCACTCAGCAAAAAACAAATTCAAGTAGCGCAGTTTGACTTTCCATAGCCTAGAATTGGAAATGATGCAAAAGTGCAGTTGATGCGCTTAGCATGCCCACAGGCCCTTAGGTGGTTCGCAGTTTTCACTACGATTGATGTGTAGGGGCATACAGGCACGCCAGAACCCGTTGAGAGGCTGTGTAGACCCATCCGTGAAGTTTCTGAGGAATTGTTGAAGCTTTTAGAGCTGAGTTAAAGACTAAGGATAGACTTTCTAAGCAGTGATGGAGGTGAGCAAGGGATGGAATAGACAAATTTGTTGAGTGCATCGACAACGACGTAGATGCTATTCTGACCCTGGATCTCGGGCAGTCTGCACTAGCGCTTACCGCCAGAACACATTAAATCCTACAAGAAGGAGGCAGCTGTTTTAATACGCCGGGTTTAGGAGAAATGTGCAGCCGCTGAAATGTGGAAAAGACACAGCGTCCTTTTTTGCTGGTCGATACCTGCACTACCTGCACCCTGCCACTATTTAGAATTGTTTGCCTGCAGCTCAAGCTCTTCTGCATGCTGTGGGGCGTTCAATAATGCGAACCATACTGCGGAGCTAAACCCCAAAATAAATTTAACAATTCTAAGCTAAAAGCAGCCGGACAGCCTTCTGGCAGCTTGTCATTTTTTAGTAGATTAGCGAAACCCTCCCTTGAGATATGCCCATTCCTGTCCTCCGATTCATCAGCCAAAAGCCTACTCGCTTGCTCCGATATTTAGTCACTTGTATAGCCACCAGGAGGGGATATGCACGCCGAGCCGTCTTTTCCTACTGCTCCGCTGACCCCCAGACCAACAAATCTGCCTCGCCTTGTTAATACCCCTACTTTACCCCTTCACCATACATCAAGAGTGAGTTGATAAGGAGATAAAAGCTGCTTCTGCCTAACTCTGCTCGGCAGCAAGATATCTAGATGACGCAGTTGTGGCAGTATGCGCGCCTCCATTTCACTGGATCACCCATGCCGAACCTACGATTACACCACGGTGTAAGAATCCAACATAGACGGCACAAACCCTGCCTATAGAGCAAAGTTTGTATTTGAAATAGACTTTAACTTCCATAGCCTTGCCAATCCTTGCATTCTGCCGCCCGTTATAAAACCTTAGTCTTAGGGACTGCGGGGACGAGTGAACAAGCAGCGTGCAGTGCTGTGCCAGCTCCCCGGATAACAGACTGACTTTGGATTTAGTTGCAAGACACGCTAGCAACGTTTGACCACTAATGCATACTTCTAGCTATGTGGAATTGACCATTGCTGGGTCCGCAATGGCGGCTGTAGCAACTTTGGCCCCCTTCACTGCCGTGCAGCCTCCGGTGGGGGGACTTGCTGTTTTTCTGATGCTCCTTCATTGCAAACAAAGCAGCCCGCTTTGGCTGTTTCCAGTCCCATGGTTCAAAGGTCTTGACTTTTCAATGCACTCGCAGCTCCAAACTGTGTGTCCCAGTCACCCACGAGAGAAGATGGGGGCTATCTGGGGCTACGTTGGAGAAAAGTGCCATTCGACGTGTCGCCCGCTCACTTAAGACCGTAGACAGGGCCGACTGACACAGCCTCAATATCTATAGATTCTAAATTTCTGACTTGGCTTTTCCGCTTTAGCTGCAGACGCAGAAGCTGTGCTCATCTGGCCCTGAGGCCTCTGGTAATCCGCCACTTGCGAAGGCTCCATCGCTGGGGTGTTCAATCGCTACTCATTGTGCGGCCGTCAAATGCTACACTCCCTGTGAGCACTCCCTGTAGTCACCAATAACAAGATGGCCTGTGGGCTCTAGGTATAATTAAAGCCCACACGCTGCTCCTCCTAGTGTCTGCTATCACAGATAAGGACTCTCAGAGACTGGCAATCTTTTAAAGTAGCGAGCTTCCGCAACACGACGGGGTGCCAAGGGCGTCCGAAAGGGCTACGGGCATGAGTGCGGAGGCCCACAACAATCTTGCGCAACTGCCGCTGCAAACTCTATCGCAAAAAGAGCGTTTATACATTCAAAAAAACCCATTCACATAATCCAAAAAGACGGTTCTTGGCCTAGATAGTGTTCCCCACGTTTTCATGCTTACATAGCCAGTTGCAGTACGGGAGCAAACCAGGGCTCAGCAGCAACAGGAGTCTTCATTACTGGAAGTAATCAGCTGCTTACAGAGAACAACCAGCTTTATGAAAGTCAACCTTTGAGGCCGCTCTGATATGGACGATCGTTCCTAAGTGCACTGATGCTTGCAAGCCAAGACAGGGCGCTGGGGCAACAGCTTCCCCGTCAGATTAGTGAGCGTCAATGCCAGTACTGCCAGAAAGACCTGATCAAATAGTAAGACATGTTATTTGCCATCTCGTTAAACTGTCTGTTTCTTGTTCTCTAGTTATATTCGAGGCTTCGCTATGAGGGGAGAGCACGCAAGTATAACAAAGCCTGGAGCCTCGTAACTCTCCGCGGCCATTCTAGTCGAGCAAAATCCTTATTTGTTACATCTGCACCAGATTTCTTTAAAGTCTAAAGGCCCTGATTGATTCCAAGTGTACATGGCCCCTTGTCCTCTAAATGCAAATGATATGAGTGCAACTGAAACTGCGAAGGGAGCACCTGGGGTGCGACTGCAGTTAGTTCCGAATACCACAGTTAAACGCCGCATCGAAGCCCTGAAAGCTACTGTTCGTTTGCGCTATGGCTTTTACAAGCCACATTTTCATGTTTATGGGTACATTTAATGAAAATTCATTGAGGTTAAGCCTTCTCGATACACCTAAAGCTTGCAATTGAGCTTTAAGCACTGAGCTGTGAGAATATCTGAGAGTGAGAGACGCTTTCTGCATGAATAGATGTAGCAATGAAATACCTCCCTTAGCATACATGGCGCTACAAACACCCGTTCCCTTTATCCTGGTGGTAATTAACGAGGTACATTTTTAATCGGCTGCTGGAATTTTCGAGTTATTGCCCAACCCTTATGGCCCAACCCTTATGGCCCACATGCTTTTCTAGTTGTTATAACCTTATTGACGAATCCTAAAGCCTTATATCCGCTAGAAAACCATGCCTCTATTCCAGTTGTGGGGCTGCTGCATTCATATCAACTTGCAAGCCAACCTCTGACAACCCAAGAGGCGTTGTGCTACCGTCAACCTACATCGACCCAGCGTGAAGTTATCAAACGAATCCTAGACATACTCGAAATACTGAACTACCAAAACACTTGAGTGAAATCAAAAGGCTGCCTTAAGGGAACATGGCACCATATCACATCCGCAGCCAATGAATAAGCTTGGGCAAACTGCTTCAACGGACCACACGGAGCTGAAAAGTCTAAAGCCCCATCTCAGGTCTCCGTAGGGAGACAATCAAACAACCTCAGACAAAATGCAAGCTTAAGAAAGGGTTGAGGAATATCATCCTAAGAAGCTCGCTGTGCTCCCCGCCTTTACTGCTCAAGGGTCCAGCAAAAAATTCGCAGCAACGAATCCAAAACTAACAGCAGAGAAATGAAGCCGGAAGAATGAGGCAGGCATATTGTTCAGTGAACTAGTTTCTGATAATAAATATCATAGTGTAGCTAACCCCGCTGCACAATATGCCCGATACATTCCACTGGTTTCATTTTTCTTTTAGTTTTGCCGTCGTTCTCGCGTGCTTGGCTGCTGCTCTCAGTGCTCATACTGGGACTAGTGCTCTTCGATCAGTGCGCTGATACAACTGCTTTAAGTGGAACGTGATTGTATGAGGCGTGCGAATGGATTAGATCAATGCGATCCTTGGTTTCCGCGGACAAGAGACTTAGAGGAAAGGAAGAAAGGACGCCGACAGCACCTTCATGCCCACTTCTTGCGTGGTATGTGGCGGCACCCGGCAACAAGCGAAGGCTCGTAACGAGGTAAATAGATAGAGATCTCGAGTACGTGAAGCAACACACCATGTGCATTCTAGGGCCCCATGCTTCCTGCTTGGGGAGTCTCCGCGAAAGCCGCTGCAGTGGTATACCCCTGCTGCTCCCCGATGAGAGCGCTTTTTTGCTTGACAGGAGGCGCTGCTAAGTTTACTGTAGACGTCCAAGCAGAACCTCTTAGCGCCCGTATGCTCCTGCGACAGGCCTGTGCGTGCTGAAACGACTTTGGTAGCGCAGGCCGTGTGGCGTGTCTGCACCGCTTGGCTAAGGGTGCTAAGGTTTTAGCGTGCTCCGCGGAAACGAGCGGGAACGAATTGAGGGCAGCCTACTACGTGCATCCCCTACAGCTACCGCACACCGCGTACACCCAATTTTCTTGGGGGCACTTTGGCTAGCTGGCTGCCTACCGGCAGCTGTATCTGCTTGCGTCTTCCACCTGCTCGCATTGCCGTTACCGCTTAGTGTTTTTGCTGCCGCGTATCAGGGGAAGCGCAGGCACACCCAGTGCAGAACTAGAAAAAATCTACTGCATTTTTTGCTCTCCTTCGCAAAACTCGCCGGCGTTGCTGCAGCGTTAGCCAAGAGCCCTGAGGAGGGCAAACGGCCTCGTCTGCAAGAACGCAAATCGCGTAGAAGACGCCGTCCTGTCTGCAGGCATTGGGAAGAGCGACGTTTCGAGCGCATGCCGCCCTCGCAAACGCTCTATTCGGCACCCTTTTCAAGTGCCTCAAAGAATCTCCTAAGGCGTTGAGCTATGACGTCTCCTTCCTCCTCTTGTTGCCGAGTTGCACCAGCGAATAACCCGTGTTGGGAGGTGCCTTGAAGCCCCAGTGGGGGAACCGTCCTCTCGAGGCTCTCGAGCAGCCAACGCGGTAGCAGCCGTTGAATGCGAGGCTCATCGTAGCGCCGATCCACGAGAAGGATGGCCGCAAAATCTTTGCTATGGCGAATAGCGCGCCCTATTGTCTGGTTCACAGTTATCATGCACTGCAACAAGGCGTAGTCGACGTTCTGCTGTTGTGGGGATGCCTGCATTTGTGCCGCGTCGGTGTCACTGCCCGACGCGGCCCTTCCTCCGCCTGCTGCACCCTGCTGCCGCTGCTGCAACATGAGATCCTCGTAATGCTGCCTGTGCAGAGTAAAGACGGTATCCTTGATGGAGGGAAAGGGCAAACCCACGATAACAACGAGCCGCGCAAGTGCGTCTGCAAAATTGACTCCTTCACTAAATCTGCCTCCCATGACGCAAAAAAGGAAGGTGGTTTGAGGCTGGGAAGGCGAACTCTCAAAAGGGTCACCTTGACCTAGAGAATCCTTCGAAGCCCCCAGAGAAATCGTGCAAGAACCTCCTAATTCCTCCACTCGCCTCCTCCGCTTTCCACCGTCGTTGCCACCCTCTGCAGCACCTCCCCCCGAAACTGCCATCTTGTAAAGGTGCCACAGCGTCCCCCCGTGCGCCATACAAATCCCTGCAGAGAGCAACCCGGAGGCGAGAAGCAACGTGCCTAAATAGGGGGAGGAATACGAGACGCAAGCTTCTTTTTAGACAGTAAAAAAGCAACTCGAGGCAGAAGGAGACATGCACGCGCATGCACGCACTCAGGCGTACAAGCAAGCAACAAAGACAGTTGGGAATGCATACGGGAGAAGGCCCAGGTCGACAGGCACCAGAAAAAAGCTGAAAATCACAACTTGCCAAAGACTTAAAGAAGCACAAAAAACTAGGCGAACCTCCTTCTGTCGTTGAAGGGGTAGGAGAGCGTTTCTCCGCAAAGAATCGACCTCTTTTCTTCAGCTCTGCGATGAGCGGTCCCGCTGCCGCCAACGCTTCCCTCGCAATTCCTGCAGGGGGGGAGGTGGCGGCGATTGCGAAAGCCAGGAAAGACTGAAGGACAGCAAAGGACGGAAAAAATACAACAACCCCACCACGAACAGCAGCCGAGGCATCGTGTAGCAGGCGTAGCAGTCCAACAAACTGGAGGGATAATGCATGCCGCTGCATGTACTCAAAGCAGAACGGAGGCGAATCAGCCACTGCGGCACAATAAAGACAGCAGCAGTGAGACGAACAAGACACTTCTTCTTCTTCCTGCTGCCGACGATGCAGCAACAGCAGCAGCAGCAGAGAGAAGAAGGGGCATGATCTTAAGCAGAAGAGCTAGCAGCACCTATAATTCGAGCGGCAAAAGCATCGGCTACATGCTCATGCATGCCACATCGCCGCTGCAGCAAGACTTTACGCAGCAGCTCGAGAAGAAAAAGCGAAAACAACAGCGGAAGAAAAAGCGGTGTCAACAGCAACAAGACATACATACATAGGCATACATACAAACACACACGCACATATGCATGCACACAAACCTACATACACACACTGCACCTCGAGAGAAACAATGTGCCGCCAGAGGCGTCAACGCCAGCAACATCTGCAGCAGCACAAACCGCTCACCCTTCGAGATCACTAGGCCCAAGACTCTATTCTTGCTAGCCACTGGATTCGCAGAAAAGAAGACGCTTTGGGAAGGAGCTAAACTCCGTGTGAAGCGCAATAGAGACGCAAAGGGCGACAAGGTTCCTCCCATGACAACCACCAAACGACTCGCGTTCACTACAGCCGCACACAAATACACAAGGAGATATGTAAGCATTTATAGATCTATAGATTTAACAAAATCAAGAATCTCTAGCCCTGAGCTGTAAGTCACGAATCGCTTAAAAACAGCGCTGGTGTCTCCTGAAGCAACGCACATATAGGCTCAAAGGCTTTCTCTGCACAAAGCACACAAATAAACAAGTAGTACACACAGACACATCCACACAGACACATCCACACATGCGCAGAGGAGAGTAGACTCTTTGGCAGCTCTGACGCCTAAGCCTGGACGCCTTTCGCTTTTCCAAAGGTATGTCGTGTAAGAGGCCTAAGGGGCTATTTGACGTCTTAGATCTCTCACCTGCAGCCACGCAAACAACCTCGACTTTGCAGCAGCAGCAAGTGGTTGCGCCTGGTGTCGCAACTTCTGGTGCTGGTACTTGAGATGTGGCGGCAACGGATGCAGATGCAGCATGACTACCCCCCCTTCTATCCTGACAAGCTTTAGCAGCACCTCGACTACCCCCTGGTCGGTGGTCATTTCTGATGAGGATGCGATCTGCTGGATCCATTCCCAGCAGCGCGCAAAGCAAGCTCTTCAAGTGGTATATGCATGACGCCTCTAGCATTTCACGTTGGTGCTGTATCTCTTCCTGCTGGCGTTTGTGATTGCGATGCGATGCGAACCCTCTTGTTTTCTGGCAGATGGCTCGCCTTCCGTCCGAGAGAAAGGCGATGAGCTCGTGGAAGTCGAAGCCTTCAAGTTTGAAAAGCCGCAAAAACGCGGTGGGTGTCAGCACGACTTCTGTTGCGTTTCCATCTTCTTGTATTGTGACTGCTGCGGCTGTTTCGACCGTTGCGTTTGCTGCTGCTGCTTCCGTCGGGGTCTCATGTGCAGGAACTGAAGAAAGCGCAGGAACTGAAGAAAGTGCAGAAACTGAAGAAAGTGCAGAAACTGAAGAAAGTGCAGAAACAAGAGGAACTGCAGGAAGAGCAGTAGCAGTAGGGACTGAAGGAGTTGCAGTAAAAGCAGGAGTTGCAGAAAGTGCAGTAGCAGTAGGGACTGAAGGAGTTGCGGTAACAGCAGGAGTTTCAGGAAGTGCAGTAACAGCAGGAAAGGCAGTAACAGCAGAAAGTGCAGTAAGAGCAGAAAGTGCAGTAAGAGCAGAAAGTGCAGTAAGAGCAGGAGGTGCAGAAAGTGCAGCAACAGCAGTAAGAGCGGAAAGTGCAGGAACATGAGGAATTGCAGTAACATGAGGAGTTGCAGTAACAGCAGAAAGTGCAGTAACAGTAGTAACAGCAGAAAGTGCAGTAACAGTAGTAACAGCAGAAAGCGCAGTAACAGCAGGAGTTGTATTTTGTAGGAATTGGCGCATGTACCGCGTGTCGTTGATTGATGCTGCTGCCGTGACGGCTCTCCGTGCCGCTGGGAGGAGGCGCTGCAACAGCAGCAGAACGAGTTGAGTCCTTTAACGAGGTGCTCCGCAAGCCTCTTGAGCTGCTGCAGGAGATGGTGGCTGCGGGGGGAGAGTCGCTGCATGTACTGCTGAATGTACAGATGGAGGAGGAGGGAGGCTGCATGCGCAGAGCGGTGAGTCAGCGTAGCTGCCTTGCTGCTGGCGAGGGCGTCCGCAAGGTGGTGAGCCTCGTCGACACACAAGACGGAGTCAACGAGCGAGAGAGGAAGCGTCTCCACAGTCTCTCCTGGAGGCGGAAAGGCTAGAGAGAAAGGCATGAGCACGACGTCGGCGTGTGCCGCTGCGTGGCGACAGGCGTAATACGGACAGCCCCCCACGCAGACGCCTGTGCGGCGAAGATCTTCGATATCCAAGGGAGCAGCAAGTGCAGCGTCGACAACCTTCTCGCGCTGTTTGTAGAAGCTGCACAGTCCTCGAGACACCAAGTAGGCACACTTATCCCCCATGTCTGCGCTGCTAGCGGCAGGTGTGTGCGCTGTCGCTGCTGCTCCCGCTGCTCCGCAGACGTCCGGATGAATGCAGAGCTGCTGCCTCCCCGCCGCGACAACAGCGACGAAACGCTTCAGCTCCGTCTGCTTCGCATGCAGCTGCAACAGCCGCACCTCTCCGACGTACTGCTGCAGCTGCTGATGCGTCCTCGTGCAAATCAAGACTTGGGGCTTGCGGAGGCGTTCTTGAGGCTTTTCCGCCTTCCCACGCGAGAAAGCCTCCGGAGACGCTTGGAAAGCGTCTGCACAGCCAAGATGCGTGGCTTGCCCCTCCGCTGAAGCGCCGCGTTCTTCGGGTGCAAACGAATCTTCGTCATCATCTTCTTCGGGTGGATTCTGCGAACGCCGCTGCTGCTGCTGCTGCGCGTGGCGCTCGCTCGCTCTGCCCCTGCACGACGTGTGGCGCTTGGAGCACACAGACAGCCGTGCATTCGGAGGCTGCTGCCTCTGCTGCTGCGCAGTCGCCTCACCAGCTGCAGCAGCAGAGGCACCAGCCACTGCCCGCTCGGCGGCTTGTCTGAGTCGCTCTTCTCTATCGACCAAGAACTGGCCTACCTCCTGCCGCTGCTGCTGCTGCAGCGCCTTTTTAATCCAAGGGGGCGGAGCTGTTTTGGAGGGCGGTGCTGCAGATGCACCTGCCACAGCACCTCCTGCTGCAGACCGCTGCCGAAGCTGCTGCAGGAGCAGCTCCTCCTCGTTGCGCTTCAGCCACAGGACGGAGGGGCAGAGCAAGGCGAGACTCTTCCCCCCACCCGTAGGCATCTCGAGCGCTGCGAATTTCGTCCCCTGGGGGCCCCCCCCCTCGAGGGCCCCCCAGAGTGTGGCCATGAACTGCCGCTGCGGCGCATACGGCGCATAGGGGAATCCAAAAGTGCCATTTTCCTCTTCCGCTGAGGCTGAAATAGCTGTCGATTTCTCAGGAGATGCATAGAGTGCAGCAGGAGGCAGCCGCCTTTCATGTCTAGCCTGCTCGCCGACACGCGGCCCTCCAGGTACACCCGACAGCATGTGTGTACAAGAGGCTTCGTTCGGTGCCTTTTGCAAGGGCTTCAGATATCGAAATAACCGCGCCTTCTACTTATAGAGAGACCTCTTTCGCAGCGCCTGCTGCTCCCAAAACGGGAGAAGTCTTATTTCAGATGCCCAAGACGCCTGCCACCAACCAGGGGGGCCCCCGGCAGGATATTCGACGTGCGTAGAGGGGGGGAAGGCGATCCTTCTATCTCTGCCTTGGGCATTCAACTGCAGCAACCACGCCAGTCTTCTTGATTTTTTACGCGTTGAAATGCTTATTATTCGTCAGCAGCCAAGACACGTGCAAGAGATTACTCGCGATAGGCCTCAGGGTCTGCGGGAGGGAGAGGAGGGAGCGCCTCTGGTGTGGTGGTGGAGACGGTGGGGTTGGGGGCCCCACCCCACCGTTTCCACCACCACACCAGAGGCGCTCCCTCCTCTCACCCCTGCTACACCCTCGCCGATTCTCTGTCTTCTATGGCTCAAATTGTGTGCCTATTGGCACTCGACGCAACTTGAAAAAACCTTCCCCGGAGAGAGGAACCCCTCCGTGCTCTCCACCTCCACCACCGCTCTCAGCCCGCTAAACCGAAATTTAGGCGCAAGCACGCGCCCAATACGAAGGCTTCATCTTAAATTACCTACCTACCTTCCATCAGCGAACCGCTTTCTTTGGAAAGAAACACACATAATTCAGTGCTCTAGCCTGTCTCCCTAAAGAGAAACGGCCGTCTCGCACACATAATTCCAGTGCTCTAGCCTGTCTCCCTAAAGAGAAACGGCCTTCTCACGCCCCCCGTGCAGCGAAACATCGCTGGCATTCCGCGTCTTCTACGCGCCTCACCCCCCGCCTCGTACGCTTTCTGCTGCCTAGTGGGGTGACCTCACAAACTGCTGTTAAGGCCCCTTAAGAAGAGAAGAGGGCACAAGTTTCCGGCGGCGCTGCCTGCCCGTTTTGATGATCTCGAGGAGGCGCACCGAATCTCTGCGTGCTTATAGAGCGATCAGAAGGCAGCCCCTCCGTCCCCCCCCTCCCCGCTCCCCCACCTTCCTACGGGGGTATTGAGCCAAAGCTCCTTTCGGCAGCCTTCGCGCGTGCCTGTGTATTTAGTAGGCTCGCAACAATAATCATGAAGGGCCTCGAAATTCGCAACGGGGCAGCGCAGGGAGAGAGAAGAAAAGAAGCGCTTTTTTCAGACGTTAGAAAAGAGTCCACTCGCAGCTTTAAACGCCACCCGTATCTCCCAGAAGCAGCCAGAAAGAGCGCCTCAGACACCAACAAAACTCTAAAAGGCCCCAACTGCCGGTGCCTTCCTGATAATTCGTATTACTATCCGTCTGCCCCTGCATACAGGCGTCCGACCCCTGTGCATATCTTTGCTTTTACTTGATTTTCGCAGCACAGCCAAACAAGGCTGACTCTCATGCCCTATGCTGCGCAGGCTGGATGCAAACAGTTCGATTTTGCGGGGGGGGGAGAAGGGGGGCAGACCAGCGGCCTGCTAGGGGCGCAACACCGAGGGGTGGCAACCCCCAAAACGCACATACGCATGCATGCGTATGTGCGATTCTTGCAAGGGTGCTCGAAGAGCCTTTGTCAAAAGAGAAACCTCAACCCTTTACGTCAGACAGACACTGGAGCTAGCGCACGCCCCCGCAACCCACGGTATTTACACTCAGAAGTAGTTGGTGATACCCCACAAGGGAACCAGAAAGGAGGCCGTGAGGACGAAAGGAAACAGGCGATCGTACACCGCCCCCGACTGCAAGCGTTTTCGCAAACAACAAACGCAACGCCAACAACATAAAACGGCGGCATGCGGCTCAACACTGTAAAAATACAAAGGAAAGGCACAAAGAAATCCGTCGACTGAGGAGGGCGCTATCAACGTCTGCATGCTAAACCGTGAGAAAATCCCAAAGCAACACGCGCAATTCTTTAGACCCTCGTGCAACGCGCCTTAAACGCCGCCCGCGGCGGCGCCTCGCACACACAAACTGTTCTACACATATTTGTACATCAATACATACATAAAAATACATAGGTACATAGATACATATACATATATATATATATAGACCACACATACGCACGCACGAACACACACACATATATACATACACACACATACGCACACAGGTACACACATCCGTACATATATACAAGTACACATACAAAACACACACGTGCACACATATACACACATATGTACACATACAAAACACACACGTGCACACATATACACACATATATATACATACAAAACACACACGTGCACACACATGGACACATACATATATAAAAATACACATGCAAAATACATACATGCACACATATGTACACATGCATATATAAATACAAATACACACACATGCACACATATATATACACACAAGTACACATACACGCACACATATGTACACATACATACATGTATATATGTATGTACGAAACACACACATGCACACATATGCACACATACATATATACATACAAATGAACATACATGTGCACACATATGCACACATACAAGTACACATACAGACACACACCAATCCCTGGCACGCCTATCCCTCACACTACGCGCAGAAGAAGCGCGCCTTCCCAAGCGCGCGCGAGTGTGAGCACTACTCTTACGTAGGTGTTGAATTTGCTGTCGGTGGAAAGTGTTGGCGTGCGGGGTGCCCTCCGAATACCAGGAATTGGCAAAGGAGCCACGAAGGAAGACGCAAGAGCCACCTGAGAATTCGAGGGGGGGGTGGAGTGGGAGAGAGCGACACCCGCAAGCTGAGGCACAGAAAAGGACAGCATCCCGCGGAGAGCGTTCTTCTTGAAGCGTCTCTGCTTTGACAGCATCTACGGAAGAAGTTTTTGAACACGTGAGGAAGCACCAGCAGCGTCCAAGACTGAAACGCGCGTGCAAAGCAGCAGCGAAGGGCCCGCACCAGAAGGGAAGGAGGAAGCCGCACAAAACGGGGGAGAAGAATCGTCCCGACAGCGTCCAAGGCACGGAAAGAAGACGCGCGTGTCTTAAATATATGTGTGATGCATAAGTGCAGAGAGAGAGTCGTGCATTATCGGATTTCGGAGTATTGCGGGGGAGCTTTCGAGGGAAGGAGGGAGCGGCTTATAGAGGCGCAAAATATTGGAAATCAAGAGTTCTCAGAGTGCGCAAGAAGGCCTCTTGTAGCGCGCGCCTCATGAAGGAGGCGGATGAATAGACAGCACACAGCACGGCGTCGAGGCGGGGAAACCCCAAGAAACAGCACGTTGGAGAAGAGAGAAAAGCGGCGCGCAATAGAACACACGCAAAAGAGACTGTGCCGAATGCCAAAGAAGCACAGCACTTTTCTGCAAGGCTCTGCAAAGTCAAGAAATACACTTCTGAAGGCCCCTCCTTTTGGTATTCCTCACCTTCTCCTCAGGAGGAGACGCTGGGACTGCGGATGTGGCAAACGGGCGGGCATGCTGAGTCTGCAAGACCCTCCCCACGCGCGCAAATCTGCTCAAGACGGCGGGATGCATTTCCGGTGAGGCGAAGGAGGAAAATACAACGAGGCAGAAGGGGCGCCGCAGCCGCAAGCGCCGATGCGGCAATGTGGCTAACAGCGGGCCGAAGCGGCGGCGCAAGAGATCAGCGAAGGGCTCAAAATCCCTCTGATTGAAGGAATGCAAAAATATTTCTCATTTATAAAACGCACAGCGCATGTCCGCTCGATCCGGCGAAGGGCGAGGATACACCCGATGGGCAAGGGCATGCAGCCCCTTTGAGGGTGGCGGCAGCGATAGGCAGCTTCCCCTTGCTCATGGGCCCCAGATCCGAGTAATTCAGTGGTAATTCGAGGCGTAACAAAGATTTGAGCAGGAAACGTCATGAAATAATCAGAATAACGAATTCGGTGCCTCCGAAATAATGCGCAACACGCTCTTCTCGTGAAACAGGTGCTGCTGCACATTTACGGACCAGAGTAGCCCGAGCGCACTTTCGCTCTTCGTGTGCAACAGCGATCTTCGCTTCCTTCTACGTACAAAGCACCCCTAAAATTCCTTCAATGTGGTATAGTTCAACATATTTGTGCCATTTTGACTATGGCCGCGCAGGTGTGTGCATATTACATAAATATGTATGTTTGTGCGTGTAGCTACATGCGTGTATGCTCGTATTGCCACATTTGTGCATGTGTGCCTCGATGTTTATATGTGTATGCATACATATGTATATATATATGTGTGTATGCAGTTATGCACAGCATTCAAGATGGTTGTCCAATGTGTTGTTCGCCTTCTGCCCCGTTTCCGTGGACTTGTTCCAAAGAGCACCTCTATTTTACAGACAGTAAGACATTCTTTGGATGTGTCGCCTAGCTTCTTGAAAGAGCTCTTGATGGGGGTTGCAGAGGCGGCTCCCCCCCCCCCTTCCCCCCCCCCGCTTTTCTCTCCATCATCACCCTTACGCCCCTAGGAAGGGTCCTTCCTTCCCTGCGCTGTACATGTATACATATATATGTAGGAAGCGTCTGCATATGTATATATATGTAGGAGGCGTCTGCATATATATACACATATATATATTCCGACACGTCCGTCCTTTCTTCCTTGCAAGACCGATCCTCTCAGCCCTTTATTCCGTTGAAACTGTTCTCACAGCGGAGGCCTCTGCAGCCGCCAACACGATGGACCTGCAGCTTAGTGCTCGCAGAAAAGACTCCCGCAGACTTCAGTTGTATCGCTGCAGCACGACAACTGCGGCTTCCGGTGAGCCCTTCCGTTCCCTAGGCGGCTTGCTTGCGATCCGATTTTCGCGTCTTTTGCACGAGAAAATTTCCGGCATGCAGCGACGCACTGCAACTGCGGCCCCTGCTGCGAAGTTTCTTCTCTGCCCTTAAATCAGGTGGACGTCGTGCTTGTTGGGCACATACCCTCCGCGTTGCTGACGCGCTACAGACAGGTAGTAGGCGTCCGCCGCATCCTGCACTTCCCCGATGACTCTCTGGCGCACTTGCCGGCTGATGCAAGCGCCTCTCTGCTACGCTTTTTAGCCGCAAAATACAAGGCCAAGGTCCTCTGCGCCGTAGCAGGAACTGCAGGAAAAGACATCCTTCCAAGGCTGGGGGCCCTGTTGGATATTCAGCCGATAACGGACGTCGTGCGCATCCAAGTGCGTGGGCTCGCCTTTCCATGATGCAAGCAGCTCTGCGAGTATTTTTAGAGGCGCACCTGGGTAGCATTGGGCCCCCGTGTGTACATTCCCCTTCCATCGACGGCCCCTGCCTTGTTATCCTGCCCCAATCCGCGCTGCAAGAGCCGCACAGAAGGAGGCTCTGCTGCTTCTCTCTCCCTTGATCTTCGCCCTACAGGGGAAAAATTCGGCTAAGGCGCTAAAGTGATGCCATATTCATATTTTGCGCTTCGGTGCCTTCAAAAGGACCGCTGTCCCCCCCAACTTGAAGGTATCTCTCAACCTCCTCTCTGCGTGTCTGTCTTTGCCTCAGGATTTCAACACCTTTACCCGCCCCATCTACGCAGGAAACGCCCTGCAGACTGTGCAATGCCAACAACACCCGAGGGTGCGCAGGTGGAAGAAGGGCGCTGTGTTTTGCAAAGAGGCCCCAAGAAAAATATTCCAGAGGCCTCGCGGAAAGGCTGGTGCGGGGGAACTGGGAGAGGGATGACTTGCAAGACGATGAGAAGAAATCCTTCTAAGGACGCTGTGGCTTCTTCTGCCACCCCTTTGCGTGTGCGCTTCGAGCGCTAGAGTTTGCAAGTTGGGAGTGACTGCACAGAGCGCCCAACCATCTTCGCGTTCGCGACAGCTTCAGAAAGCGCATGCGTGCCCTGCTGCTGTGTGCAACTTCTTCGTTGGCGGCAAACGGACTGCAGATCCTCACTTTCCGAGCAGCAGCCTTCGCGCCGTCGGAGCTCACAGACACCCCATGCCCCCTTGTAGAGATCAACGACTTTCATGAAAAAACGCGAATTGTGAGGAAAAACACGTACATTCCCGACTGCAGGCGCAAAGCCAGCGAGCGACTGCGCAACAACGCATAGCTCTGGGGGCTCCTCGCACGCCTGTTCGGGTCGTTGTGTGTCTGCTGCACAGAATTTCGTGGAGGAAATCTTGCAGGACTCTACGAAGCCGCAGTTGGGAAGCGCTCAAATCGTAAGGCGAATGGGGGAAGGGCAACCGGAGAGCTCTTATTGAAAGGGAGAGGGCAGACAGGTTTCTCGGGGCCGCCCCTTCGGCTACCGAGACACGCAACGTGTTAGACCACCGACGCGTTTAGTGACAGCTTTGCACATAAGGTGGCGTAACAACTCCGGGCTTCCGCGTGTCTCTCCTACGCCGTGTCACGCTCCTTGCCAGCGGAAGTGCCGTCAAAAGGCGTACACACACAGATACGGCTCTTGAAACGCAGCATTGATCTTCCCAACCCCACAGGCAGAGGGCTGTGCAGCTAGAGCTGCCTTTCTGGGGGCGTGTGTGTCTCTATATTTGAGCCACCCTGATGCATTCTGGCTCCAGAGAGCTTTTACAGCGCACCGTTCCGGCCCGTTTTCTCCCTCTAACCTCTGCCAATGTTTCATTGCCTGCCGATTCAGCTGCGCTTCGGGGTGTTGGAGCCACGCACGCACGAAAGTTGGCATGTGCGTTTATTGGCCTGCTGCGTCCTTTGCCCCCTTTGCATGCCCTCCAGGTTGTCAGTGGCGGCAGAGGATTCCGCTGCCGTGAGGACTTTGTGGGTTTGCTAGAGCCGCTACGGGAGAAGCTGGGTGCCGCCCGTGCGCCTTTCCCCCCTCCTCCCTTCTCTTGCGCGCACTTGCTAGAAAAGACTCCCCGCACTAAATCGGCTAGCGGAACACGCCAACTCGAAGGCTCTATAACGAACGACACAGCACCTCTTGAAAGGCGTACATAGGTGTATATGTATATATTATATACATCTGCATGTACAGGCGCATGTGTTTGTATACATGCATATTGGTTTTGTGCATGTGATGCGCGCATTTTTATGGACGAGGTTCATGCGCGGTGCCTCCTGCAGTGGGCGCCACACGGGCTGCTGTGGATCTAGGATTCGTGTCGAACGACCTCCAAGTGAGCAGCGCAATGTGGACAGCAAGGCCACAGGGCACGAGCCGTCGACCGTTGGTAGCGGCGCACGCGTAGAGAGCCACGCACTAGACGAGCGCTTCACGCGCCAGCCGAGCGCTTCACGCACTAGACGAGCGCTTCACGCGCTCGGCCAGCCGGAGACCTCTCCTCCGTGCCACCTCGCATGTCTCTCTTTTCGTCTGCTTCACGCGTGCCGCTTCTTTTTCGCAGGTCGGACAAACAGGCAAAATTGTGGCGCCCAATTTGTACATGGCGTTCGGTCTCAGTGGCGCTTCCCAGCACGTAGCTGGCATGCGCGGCGCAAAAGCTATCGTGGCCGTGAACAAGGATCCGGAGGCCCCAATTTTCAAGGTAACCCTTTCCGCTTTGCAGCCGTCACCGGGCGCAGACCTCTCTCTTACCCTGCATGCAGCAGTTAGCGCTTTTGCGTATCTGCCCCTGGCGCACTCTCCCCATGCACCACCAGCCCTCTGTATGTACGAAGCCCGCCGCGCAAGCAAGCAGCACAGCCTGGTGCGTGCGAGGACTGTCTGCTCTCGGCGTCTCTCTCGCGCGAGGGCAGAGAGGCCCCCTGGACGCCTGCGCGGGAGACAAAGGGGAGACACCGAAGAGGGCGTCGGGTTTTTTCTCCTCTTTTTGCACCTCCGCACACCGCCACCGCCCGAGGGGGCCCCTCCGTCCGTCGCCGCTTCCGGCAACCGCCTCACCACCGCAGAGCCCGCGTCGAGCAGCAGCGCGTTTTTTGTTGCATGCGGGCTCCTCTCAGATATGCGACTTCTACTTGGTGGGCGATATTTACAAGGTGCTTCCGGAGCTAACGGAGAAAATACGACCGCAGCAAGCCCCCAGTGGGGCCGCCACAGGCCCCTGATTCCTCGTGATCTCGACTATTCTGCATGCAGAGACTCGCCAAACGCGTGCGTCATTCCTTGGAACGACTCGGAAGCCTCTAACGCCGCTCTCGGCGATTGCGCGCACTCTCCTACACCCCCAGTACATATTTCGCCCCCGCCTGGCTAACGAACACACGGACGTGCGCGCAAAAGACGCCCGTCACGTTTTTCTTTGCATTCCACGAGGCCGGCAGCTTTTCGGCGTTTTTTCCAAAGAGACGCGTGCGTGCATCCGCTCGACACCTCCACAACGGACGTCGCATCCCCCAACTCAGCGTCCGCAGGCAGAAAGAGACACCTCCTCGTTCGTTTCCTTTTCCTTCTTCTTCGCCTCGTCTTCGCGTTGTCGTTGAATTGCGGTCGCCACACGCCACGTCCCTCAAAAAGTAAAACGGCCTGAGGAATACATATAATGTGACGGTCGTGGAGAGAATCACCCGATTATTTAAAAGGCCCCTATGCATGTGCGCATCCGCAATTGCATTCATACAGTACAGTATTGGCACGCGTCTCGCTTTGGGGGTTCATGGAGGGAGGAGGCCGCTCGGAAGTCTTCCCTCAATAGAGACAAAGACGCCTTCAAAAGCCAAGTAGTGATCCATGCGCTGGGGTTCGCCTTGGCACTCGCTATGCGGTATTGTTTTGCACGCAATTTGCTCGCCTTCGCGCTCGTCGCTTGGTGTTTTTGCTTCCCTCGCGGAAAAAGGGGAAAAGGGAGGAAGCAGAGAGGGCCGTCGACGTCTTCTTTGTCAGCCAGCAGACGACACCGCAGCAGTGCGCCGCAGTCCGCCCCTTCAAACAGCGGCGCTCTTCTTCACAGGCACCGCCGCCACCAATTCGTCTTCTTCGCCGCTATGCAACGCCCAGAATTGCATGCAGAAACGAAGGCACATTCGACAGCCACCAGATAGATGTACCCCCATTGCATGTGGCGGCGGGGAGAAGGAGACGGTCTTTTTTTGACGGATTTTTTTATCAACGCGTTGAGTGGCCCTCCGCGCATTTTTATAATTGGAAGCCTGACTTCTCTCTGCGGCGAGATGGCGAAATGAACGTCTTCGCGCGCGCATAGATATACATAGAGACACATACAAGTAGACACCCATAGACACATGCAGACACACACCTTCCAACGGAAAGTCAAGACAAAGACGAAGGAAAGCCAAAGCGAAGGACGGGTAAGAACTTCCGCTGAAATGCCTCATCTTGATGCCCAAATTCTGCTCTTGACGCACGCAGCCTGAAGCGAAAAATTGCTTTCAAATAATTACGCGCCGCCACAACCGACAGAATGGCGTCCTCCACGCGCCGCCGCTGGTGCATGCATACAGCCGTTCCTCCTTGTCACGGGAGGAGGAAGCGATAGGGATGCCTCTCTACGGCGTTTGAAAAAACGCCTCTCCACACGCCTCTTTCGCCTCATTGCCGCCTATCGACACTCGAGCAAAAGCCAACGCCAGCAAAATAGGAGTTTCCTAAGAGGCCAGCACAGCGCAGCCCAGTTGCACGCGTGTTGCTGTGAAGGAAACACCCCCATGTCGGTGTTTCCTTCACAGACAGCCTCCGCCTTTTCCGCCTAGGGGAGTCGACGCGCGTCTGCCTTCTCGCCCCTTCCTCCAGCTGCCGGTCCACCTGGAAACAGCTGCTCGATCAGAAAAAAAGACGGAGGCTTCACAATGAGCTGCCAACACTGCAGGCATCCCCCCGTAACGACGAGGCAACCAGGGAGCCTTGCGCCACAATAGGACGCAGGAAACTTCCTGCAGTCCACTCCGTGGTGCTCGCACGACGCGAATCGCTGCGGGTGACGATGTTGTGGGTGCAGCTCTTTCTGCACCTGGGAAATAAGAACGGGGGATGGAGCAGCAGTATTTCTCCCCGCATGTGACGCTTGCCGCAGTCTTGCGGAGGAAGCGCCCAAGCTCCCTGCCTCGTGCTCCTGCCTTTGCGCAGCAGCACCTGCAGTACCTGCAGCGAGCGACGACGCTTGGCTAGCCGCTTCTTCAGCCACTCCGCTGTGACTTACAAGCCGCGGATTTCTCTCCGCACGCCGTTGGAGCCGCGCTGGAATGAACACTGGTGCCGACGGATTAAAGGTAGACGCACTAGGGAGCTTCCCCTTAGACGCCTCCTCTCTGTCGATTGCACCGACGCTGCAATTCAGAGAAGCCATTCGTGCGTTGCGCTCCGCTTCTTCGGCCTGCTGCTCCGCGATCCCCCTTTCTTCAACATGCAGGGGACCAGAGACTGCGCATGCAGAAGTATTTGCTGCTGTCGGAGCGGCAGACGTGCTGCCGCGGTGCGCGGCAGCAGTCTTTTCAAGATCGCGGGCAAGAGATGCCTCTGCCAGCCACACCCTCGAAGATTGTCTTTCCGCGTCGCCAAAGGATCCCCGCAGCAAAACTGCGCTGCTGTCTCGCGATGCAGCCGAACGCTCAGCATCTGAATTCTCTCCTACACGTCTCTCGCCACCCTCGTCGCTCTGCAGACGCGTTGCCAAGACTCCTCGCGAATTTTCCGAAGCAGCAGCCGCCATGCGCACAGAGGCCAATTCCGCCTTGGCATCAAACGCTCCCTCACTGCTGCTGTGCTGCACTATGCCACACGGCAATCCGCCAGACGTCACAGTGGCGACGACGTTTTGACAACGACTCCATTGCAGATCGCTGGAGCCGCCACACGGGCTCCGCCTTACGGCATTGCTTTCAGAAAGCGCAACCTCCTCTTCTTTTTCCTGCTGCTGCTGCTCCTGCTCCTCCTTTTGCTGCTGCTCCTGCTCCTCCTTTTGCTGCTGCTCCTGCTCCTCCTTTTGCTGCTGCTCCTCCTTTTGCTGCTGCTCCTCCTCCTTTTGCTGCTGCTCCTCCTTTTGCTGCTGCTGCTCCTCCTTTTGCTGCTGCATATACTCGTCAAGTGCAAACGGCGGCCCTTCTTCAGTGGCTTCCCTCAAGTGCGATGTTGTTGACGTCACTGCCCCCAGGAAGCTCGTGCAATCGTCTTGTGCCGCCGGAAATCCAGGAAAGCAGTCTGCAGCGACCTTCAGCTCTTGTGGCTGCGCTGTTTGCTCCAGTCGCACTCCGACGTCTCTTTGCCCCCCCGACGACGCCAGGGGGAAGCCGAGAGCCTCCGTGAGGCGCGGAGTGCATGCAAGCGCTGCGATATTCCCCGACATCACGCCCTCTAAAGATCCACGCATGTCCACGTACTGACCGCAAGCCGAGCAACCAGCAAGCACGCGCTCTTCCGGCGCGCTGCACACATCCCAAGGCGGTGGGAGACGCATACCCCAAGACAGGAAATACTGGCAGTTCGCAGCACTCTCAAACACGGCCTGGAAGGCGGCGTCCACAACAGCTATTCCGCATGCCGGAAAAACAAAGCGAAGCTGCTCTTGTTGATGCGGCTCCTGTTGCTGCTGTTGCCACAGCTGTTGTTGATGTGGAAACTGCCACTGCGGCGGCTGACAATGCGGGAAGGCACCAGATCGGCGCTCGAGCACCTCTTGCTGCACCGCATACGGATGCAGCTCTGCTTGCAACGCAGCCGGCTGCTGGTGGCAGAAGGACGTCCATGCTGGTGGTGCCTGAGCCTCTAGTGGGCTCTGTGAAGCGTGTTGCTGCCAAGAAGCGTCCTGCTCGACTCCTCCACCTTCAAAACGCTGCTGCTGCTGGCGTTGCAGCTCTCGCGGAGGCTGCTGCCGCTGCAGTTGCTGCTGTCGCGCAGACAGGCGCTGCTTGCCCGCAAACAGCAGCGGCTTCCCGTTGCCTGAAGTTAGCGAAGCCACTTCGTGAGGCAGCGTCCGCTCGGCATGCAATCGATGCAGCGGCTGCAGCGCGTCTCGCGAAGCCTCGGATGCCTCCTGCTCGCGCCTTCTATCTCCTGCAGACGGCCGCCTCCTCCTACGCTGCTGCTCTCGCTGCTCTTGTTGCTCTCGCTGCTCTTGTTGCTCTTGCTCGTGTTGCTGCTCTTGCTGATGTCGATGCTCTTTGAGAAGTCTCCCGTCTGCTCGCTTCTCCCCATGCGTCTGATGCTGCGGCTGCTGCTGGCGTCCGTCTGCCTGCGCAGCCCGCGCTCTGCGGAGAGACTCCTCTGCAAGAATATCCAATCGTGCCTGCGCCAGCTGCTGCTGCACCTGCTGCACGATTGGATGCTGCAGCCGTCTTCCTTGCTGCGTTTCTCCGCAGACTGCCGCTGGCTGCTGCTGCTGCTGCTGCTGCTGCTGCAACCCCTGGACTAACGGCAGCAGCTCCTGCTCCTGCTGCTGCTGCTGCTTCTGCGTCTGCTGCCCTTCCTTCAGCTCCCCCGAGAACGCTGCATCATCCCGCTGGCATCCGGAGGGCGTCGCACGCACAGTCAGCCGCGTGCCGCTAGAGTGTGCATGCCTCTCCCCAGCAGTCTCGACAGGCAATGCCAAATCTCCACAAGAGGGGGAGACAACGGCGGCGTCCACCCGAGCACCACTGTGCGAAGCCTCTACCGACTCCACTTCCTCCAACACGCAACCTTCACCCCTGCGGGGTGTCGTCCTCGTGTCACTGCTGGAACGCAGCCTGCGGCGAACTTCTACAAGGGCCTTACTCTCACGCGGCAGGGATGCTGCATCTCCCACTTTTTGCCAGCACCTGCTGCTCCCGCTGACGAAGCCGCTGCCACTTGTGCTCCCACCGCGAAGAGACCCTCCTCCACAACAACTCCTCTCATAGCTCCTCCTCAGCGGCAGTGCAGCCTTTAGCTGATGACCGCCTTCGCGCCGAGCAGTCAGCGTCTCGCGCCGCCTCAAGAGAGCCTGCTGCCGCTGCCCACTTGTCGCCGTTTCCGCCAGAACCTCTTCTTTGCCGTGCAGCTGCTGCCGAAATCCTAAGCGACTCTTCGCGGTTTGGGGAAGCGCCAAACGCAGCGACGTCCTCGTAGTCTCCGACGCTGCCGCCTCCTGCGGAGGCGGACGCCGCTGAGGCACCGCAAGAGAGGCCGCTGCTCGCGGAGGCGTGCCGGTACCACTCCAAGTGCAATCCGCATGCAAAGCCTCCGCAAATTCTGCCGTCTGCCTACCATGGACTGGCGGACTTAACGCAGTGGGGCAGCACCCCTCATAGCTGCAGCGCCGCTTGCTTTGCCTCGACAACGACTCTGCTGCTGCTAGCCGCGCGACAGCGTCCGTTGCACCACCACCCTCCAGAAGACCTTGCTCTTCGAGGTGCGCCGCTGGGGTGACACAGCGCTCACCGTGTGGGCGTCTTCTTGTAGCGTCTTCTGGAGACTCTGCCGATGCAGCGTGAACGATTGGTGGAAACGCTTGCCCCTCTTCCTCGGAGGCAAGGCAGAGGCGCTCAACGGTGTGCCACAGGGCCGAATCACCTTCTCGCATCGCGAGAGGCTCCAGCCGATCACAAGGGTCGTCGTCAGAACGCTGCCCCACTTGTTGCTGCTGCCCCTGGGTTTCTCCACATCCCTGAGAAGACGTATCGGCGTAAGGGCCTTTCTCCTTCAGCTGATTCTTGAACGGCTGCTCCTGCGAATGCGGCTGCTGCTGCAAATGAGGCTTCGGCTGTCTACAGGCCTCCTGCTGCTTCTGCGCCTCCAGTTCGACGAGTTTAAGGTCCCCTCGTAGCAGCGGCGAATTCTCCCCAGGAGGCTGTCTGCTACTCGCTGTAGAGGTTTTCCTCTGCTGACCAGAAATCACGTGAGATCCGCTAGGCTTCGGCCTCATGCAACTTTGTACGTACAGCTGCTGGATCCTTCTCGGCCCCTGTTTTGGCTGCGGCTGCTGCTGCAAATGCTGCTGCACCGCCTCGCAATTTCGATCGATCGCCCGCCTTCTTCGGCCATCGTGTTGCTCCCTCTGCACTACTTGCTCCTTCTCATGGTGCTGCTGTTGTTGCTCATGGTGCTGCTGCTGCTGATTCTGTTGGTGCTGTTGTTGCTGTTGTTGCTCTTGCTGCTGCTGCTGCTGATTCTGTTGGTGCTGGTGCTGCTGTTGTTGCCCTTGGTGCTGCTGCTGCTGTTGTTGCTCTTGGTGCTGCTGCTGCTGATTCTGTTGGTGCTGCTGCTGATTCTGTTGGTGCTGCTGCTGGTTCCCCTGAGGGTTTTTGTTCTCATCGGCCTGTTCCGCGGACGGCCGTCCTTTCCTCCAGTGCTCTCCCGATCGATTTTGCCTCTGTGCAACCCCCAGCATCTCGTGCTGCTCCATCATGAGCCTGTTTTCTGAGGATGTCTCACTGGTACGTTTGCCAGGACCAGGCACTTCCTGGCGATGCTTGCCTTCCGGGGGAGGCGGCTCAGGCGTCAGGTGGGATGGCTGCTCAAGGATGGTGTTGAAACTCTTTGCCTGCATCCCACACCCTTTCTCCTGCTTCTCCAGTGCCGCTGTTGCGCTCTTCCGACACGTAACTAACGCCATTGCCTCCTCTCGAACAGACGCAGACGACTGCGGTGGCGTCTGCTGTTGCTGCGATCCTCTGCTCTGCCGAAGGGGCTTCCACTGCGCACTGCCACACGTTAGGGGGCTCTCGAGAGTGAGGAAACGCTTCTTCTCCTTGCCGAACAAGTCTTGCTCTTGTTCCTTCTCCTGCTGCTCTTGTTGCTGGTACTGCTGCTCTTGAGGGTGCTGGTGCTTTCGCTCTTGTTGCAGCAGCTGCTGCGCTTCCATCTGGCATTTCTGATTCTTTTTCTCGTTCTGCAGCTGCAAATCCTGGGAGTTCTCTCCTTCTCCCCTCTCGCTTTCGTCTTCTTCCTTCTGCCTTGGCTGCTGAGACGCCTTCAGACGTGCGTCTTGAGGCTCTGTTGGAACCTTTTGAGCTCCTGTTTCGTTGTTGAACCTTGCTGTTGCTGCTGCTGCCGCTGACGTATCCTCGCATGCATCCTCCGCTCGGCCCTGGGTTGCCTGCCGGCCGAAGAGCTGCGACTTCGCGTGTCGCACGAGAGCTGTGCGGGGCCGGAGAGGCTGTGCGTTTGCGTGAGTGTCTGCTTTCTTCCGCCGTCCCTCCCCTGGAGAAGGCCTCGTATGCTGCGCCTCCTGCAGCCTTTCGGTCTGTGCCTTGAATTCTTGCTCCAGTCGTGCTTGAATGCGTCTCTGGTGCTTCTGCAACAGGCGCTCTTCCATCCTCTGGAACACAGACTGGTGCTTGTCGAGCAGTTCCTCTTCCTTTTGCTGTTGCGCCAGCAAAATCCAAGGCCGCTCCAAAGGCGGGTGTTGCTGCAGAGCCTCCAACTGCTGCTCCGCCCGCCGCTGCACGATTTGCCGCTGCTGATACTCCTCTCTCAGTAACGCCTGCATTTCGTGCTGCAGCCACGCCTTTTGATCCGCGTCTTCAGAAGGCAGCACAAGCTGCCCGAAGGAAGACTCGCAGCCATCCGGCCACGATGGCAATTCTTGCGTTCTGCCCCCTCCCGCTGACAGCTCCAGCGAAGCGCATGCAGGAGGACTCTCCGCACCTCCTGACGAACGCCAGCCCCACGCAGCTTTGCACGACGATCCTCCAACGGCTCGCAGCCGCGCCTCAGACTCCCGCATCCAAGCTGCGCGCTCCCGTTGCCACTGCTGAAGTTCGTCCCCATCGCTGTCGAACGGATAAAAATGCAGATCATCATCTTCGCCCTCCTGAAGTGCATCAGCCGATTGTTCCTCTTCGTGTGTTGGCACATCTTGTGTTTCAATTGCGGGCGGCGCAGCAGCATCTGCAGCTGCAACTGCTAGCGTATGCGCATTGTCTCGCAGATTCACGTGCTCCTTCGTCTCCCGAGATGTTGTCCACACGCCTTCCTCCTGCCGATGAGGGGCTGCCAGCTGCCCCTGACTGGAGAAGTACTGCCTCTCCTCCTCAGAGCACCTTTGCAGGAGCTTGCTGAGAGACCTGCAACACGCTCCGCTACGCACTAATAGATGCTGCGCCTCCTTCTCCTCCCTCTGTTCCCGTCGGTGCGCGTTCTCCTGCGCGATCCAGTGGGCCTTCGACCCTTGCTTCGTGCTTTCTTTCTCAACGATCATCCCCCTTTTCACGTCGGTTCCTTGCTGCTCCTCGCGCATCGATCCTTCACCGGATGGCGTCTGATGCTCGCACGCCCTTCCCTGCGCAGACAGCGACTCGCTGCAGGAGAGTGCCGGCTGTGCCGCTGCTTCTGTGCGTCTCCCTCTCTCCTCCTGACAGTTTTCCCCGTCTGTCGGGGCAGTAGTCCACTCCGTTGGCGGCACTGCGGCGAGGAAATCCCACGCCTGCACCACTGCGCCTTGTGTCGTTGAAGGCGAAAAAGCCCCTGCAGAGTCGTGGTCGCGAAGACCTCGCTCCCTCGCGGGAGCCGCTATACGGCCGTCGCTGCCAACAGCGCAGCGCTGCTGCCGCCTCTCCCCCGAATTTTGCAACGGTGAGGCCGCCTGGGGAGTCGGCGAACTCTGCGTGTCGGCTGCCCCAGGCGTCGCTGCTGGCGCACTGGCCGTTGCAAAGACTTTCCGCGAAATTGGGGTCTGTACGACATCCAGTTGCACTGCGTGTGGCCTTAAGGTGTGCTGCTCTTGCCCGTTTCTCGCCGTCCAGCTGTCAGGCAGGAGAGAGCCGAGCAGCTCTGCAGATGCCCTTGCGTCCTGGCTCAGGCCTTCTTCTTGCGCGTTGTACATTTTCTCAGGCCTCCCCTCCGGGCTTGTGAGCGATGGGCGCCTCCTGCTTTTGCAGCAAGGTGGCTGCGACCATCCAGGCATCGGACTTTGCTGGGGAAGCACCTGGCAGGTTCCCGACGGACTGAGGCAGCAACTTGTGCCGCACGCCGCAGTCGTAGAGGCTGACAACACCCACAAGGGGCTTCCTGCGGTCTCCTCATAGGCGGGAACGGGCCTCGTAGCGCTCTCAGCAGCCTCTTGATTGGCGGCTCGACACGAGTCAGGGACGTCAACAGACGCTTCAGCCAAATGTTCAAGCGGAATCTCAGCCAACGAAAGACCAGGCACCGCAGGCACGCCCTCAAGCCGCAGCCCACTCCAAGGCGCCGCCACTGAGGGGCTCATTGCACTTGGCCCATCTCTTGGCCGGTCTGGAGGGGCAAGATCTCTTAGGTTGGTGGTGATGTTCTGGGATGCTGAAGCGAGATCACTCAGATCTTTGGGGTAGCCTTCTCGGTGTCTTCGTCCAGTAACAAACGCACTCAGCGTAACACTGTCATGCGATTTGCTCGCCTGTGAATTCTCCGGGGCTTCGCGCTCCACACGCTCCGCAGTCCACAGGTTCATGGTGTGTCCCTTGAGTGGCTCTGGTGCATGCGAGGCCGATGCGCTGCAGAAATGCCAAGGAGAACTACGAGAAGGCGGAGATGGAGGAACTGCTGAGTGGGGAGCAGCACGCGCCGGCCTTGTTGCATTCAAAAAGACTCCATGGGCTCCACAAACAGAGGCAAGAGAACCTCTGGATCCGGGGGCTTGCAGACTGGCAGTAGGCGGTGGTTTTTTTTTCAGAAAGTGTGCTGAGTTTGCATGCGGCGCTCGGCAGGTATCAGAAGAAATGGTGCTGGTATGCTTCACACAATCGTGGGCAGGTGCAGAAACAGCATAACCCTCTAGCATCCACCTGCTGCTTGGCCGTCGCAACCAGGGGCGAAATGCTGGGGAAGCCAAGGGCTTCATCTTTTCAGCAGACTCATTAGCGACTGTCTCGGTATTCCTGGCTCGAAGTTTGCAGCCTCTGTCTATTGGGGGCATATCGCATGGCGGGGATGCTGCGGCCCGTCCGGCGGGAGGACGACGCCGACTTAGAGTTCTGCATGCTCTCAAGCCTCCTCGTGTATAGACTGCCTTGTTCAAAAATAGGGGGTTATGCCAGGCGGCATGGTAAGAAGCGTCAATCTCTCCTGCACCACGCCTAACGCGCCAAAACGTTGTACAGGGTTGTGACATCGTAGTATGCAGATTTGGCTCACCTGCGGGTTCAAAACCTTGTTTTGAGTTGAGCCTCGTGCAGGAATACCTCGTCGCTTGCGTTTCTGACGCAAGGACTCGTCTTGCGTTACCACTTGGTCGTTCTTGGCCATGGTCATGAGTGGAAACAGGCTTCATGATGCCGTCCTTGTGTCACACAGCTTGTCTCGCCGCCGCCGTCACAGATTTTTTTCCTCTGACAACCGCGGGTCCACACTTTGTGATGAGCTGACCACTGAGAAGCTGCTAAGACTTCTTGCCTCAAGCGTCACCACAAAAGGCCAGAGTACAATTGATAAAAACTGGATGACCAAAGATGAGCTTCGTAATTCCCTTTTCTCTTCCTGTGACTATTGGTTTCACACTGCACCACTATGGGATGTAACATGATGACTGGGCCAAGCATTAGCGTTTTGTGAAATCGGTGGCGGAACGCCGGACCGAGGAAGCAACGAACATCATGGACAAAATTTTTGGACACGCAGTTTCACCCCGACTTTTAGCCTTCTTATTCGATCCTTAAACCCGCCTTGATGTGAATCGGTTTGCGTTTCCGCCGCTTTGCGTCACGTGCAAACATAAAGCCATGAAAACATGGTTCATTCAGAATACAAGTTACCCGCACAGGAGAAGGGGAAGAGATGAAACCATAAAGAGGGTTAGCAAAGGAAGACGAAAAATCTGAGAAGGCAAAAAAAGAAAAGATGATAATATGATGTCGGCTCACGAAACGCGGGAAAGTAATTTCTGGCAACAAGGTTCAGATACACGGTGACCACTGGCACAGGAACCTGCGAGTACACCTCAGTTACGTGGACGTACACCAGCTGCAGATGATGTAGTGGATCCCTGTTTGATAAATATGGATTTCGGGGAAAGTGCTTTTACTTCAATTAATGATAAGGTTGGCCAACAAATGGCCCACCAACCCCCAGTAGCTTTCCAGCGCCCACCGGTGTGGGAGCTGTTATGCTGCACGTCAGCCGATATCAAAACACACATCTTTAACTTGAAGCCATGTTTATCATGATTCACATGAGGCGGAACCAGATAACCCCGAACAAGAGACTTTTATAGTGAGCGTACAACAGCTCAGTTCAGGGTTCTTGTTGGAGGTGTTGTATTGTCGCCAATAGGCGATTGACAAGTGGAGTAGAAATAATTGACGCGCATAAAATCCAAGGAGTGCTTCAGTAAATCGAGTCTAGTGTTTAGATGGATTATTAGTCCATGGGGATGTAAATACATGTATATATATCCGAACTAGTGGTTTTGGTGCCCTTTACCATTCCAGAGGCCCGCTACAAAACAGAGAAACTGCACCTAGACGCCCATAATTCTATTTTCAAAGTATTTCAAGGTGATCTAGGAGGGAATACAAAATGTCTTTCATAAGACAGCATTACACGGCGGCGTCTTACCCTCAAAAATAGGAGCGTACGTGCCTGCTTGTGCCTACCCAGCCACCCTGTTCTAGTCTATCAAGGTTTCAAAATATAACCGTACGCCAAATTTTCACCGGTAAAGAGCTAAGGGTAAGTTGTTCTGGCTGGAATTGCGAAGCAAAGCAGCACATTGCGTTACCACTGCACTGTGCTCTCTGGACACATGCGGCAAAACCGGATGAACATAAACTGTGCCTTCTTCAATTTTTTGGTGTCGCCCTACGCCTCCGGCATTTCATTACATCAGCACAAAAAAGCAGCCAACCAAGATAGTAATCACTTGCAAACAATGATGAGATATACGTAGAGAATAACACCAAGTGTCGAAGACGGGCTGACGCTGTGTGTTCAAACGCAGTGACACCGAGGTTTCCCTCGTTTTCCAGCATAAATCAACACATACTTCCATGTGTATAAAACTCATAAACGCCCAATCACACGCATACGCATCCTATCCCAACAAGCACACACCAGGCAGAAAACTTCTTTTTTCAAACGTCTTTGCTTCCCGAATTTGGCATGCACAAGGCCTCTCAAGGGGAAATCATTCGCCTCTAAGGGTCAAATACATGCCGAGCGGAGCCCAAATCCGAGGCAGTGGTAGCCGATCTGACTGTGCTGAGTTCGTCGTATTGATATGGCGAAAGGGTGTCCTTCTTACACCCGGAAATAGCAGCCTCCGACGTCATCGGTGTTGCTGCTGCCTCTAACGAAGCGTGTTCTACGCTCCTCTTCTCCTCCCCTGCAGTTGTACTACCAACGCCCATTCCTTTTGCGCCCTTCACCTCTATACTGAGCCCTCCAGAGTCGGATTCAACACGGGCGGGTGCCTCAGCCATGCTTTCTTCTGCTGACATTCGAGGCCCCCTCCTCTCCAGTTTCACTCCTTGCTTACTTCCCTGCCTTTTAGCCAATTCGAGTTCCTGGCGCCTCCTCTTTGCCAGTTCCCGAACGACGGCAAAGTGCTGCTCCCGCGTGCCTTTCTTCAGGAAACTGCGCACGAGCTCATGAGACCCGGGTGGCGCACTCACGATTAAGCCTCGCAATACTATTTGCGTTTTCAGCTGGTCCAGTCCGCTTGATTGAAGCCCTAAGGCCTCAAAGACCTCCTGCCGCACATTGTCCTTCATTCGAATCTCGGCTTTGCTCAAATCTAGTTGATATTTGCCTGAAGCCAGCCCTTCGGCAAGCTGCTCCTGAGAACTTATGGACGGCACAGTCAGCTCCCCCCCAACCTCCAAAAGGACCGAACCCAGATCCATCTCCGTAGTATGATGCGCCTTAAATTTACTATTCTCGCGATAGTTTGTCCGCGTATGGTACGTATTCCGCTGCTTCTACGGCGTTCACCTGCTGTTCCGTACTACTCAATGGAGCAGAGTGTGCTGCGGCGCGTGCAGATGTGTTTCGGATCCAAACACTACGCACTGAAATCAATATCTGGCAAAAGCATGAAAATGAAGAACAAAGGAATCACAGTCTAACAGAAAAAGGAAGAGGGAAGGACGTCCAGCGCATGGCCACTAGCAGCATATCGATGGGTACGCAGCTTCCCAGGGAGGCAGGAAAAGCCCCCGTATGGATGTTTGAGCAATAAGAACCAAAACGGATGATAAGTTCTTGAAGCCTAACATCTACTTTATTCTCTGGATTCTCCTCAATGCTACAGAATCCGTACAAGAGTCACTATCAGCAGGCACACAAGCATGTCCCAGAAATCAGTAGCAACAATCCATTGCAAAATCGATGTTCACCTTCATGGGCGTCTGGTGCTATTGGCATTTACACCTCTTGCAAATATACTTATTTTATCCTTTAAAACTCATAACTTAGCGAATTCAATGAAGCGATGCATATAGAGCGACAGTTGGAGTGACTTCCGCAAGTGTGTCGCATTTTCTTGTGGTGGGGCAGGGAAAACTTCGATCTTGTACTGACTGCTACGCGGGCAGCAGAGCTCACGCAGTACTGAATATCGTAAATTTAATGATGAAGAGGCTATTCACCCGAGAGAAAAGCTTTTCGAAGCTACTTTCTGTAAAATAAACGCCTAGCAAAGATCTGCGCCCTTGAACAAGTTAAGGGAGAATAAGGTTGCTCTTCGAATCTGCTTGAATAAAGGGACAGATCGAACATTATACTGGAGTGTGCTCTGGTACTCACGCAAGCTGGAGAGCGGAGGAAGCTAAAGAAAGGCTTGCTCTCATTTGTTGATGCGGAAGCAGGCCTAACTCCCCACTCCCTTTGACAGTTTCAACTTCACCAGTTGCATTCAAGATTCACTAATCTATTGCCTGTGCGATTTCGCTGCTATTATTCTTCAAGTGCCATAGTGAAGGAGTAGCCAGCCTTACAACATCAACATGAATGGTGTGTGCCTGGGCAATGAATTGCTGCGTGACTGGGTTGACTGCTCCGAGTGGTTTTAGGGTGCAGCGGCGGTCAGCTCTGCTATCCCTTCTCCCCTCATAGCGCAACCCGCTGGGATGAGTTAAAGCACGGTGCTTTCAAGCAGTTGCCCCTCTTACTTGTACCTTTAGTTCAACTACCATTCTGGGGCTAAGGTCTCCAAAAGGTTACGACAAATTAAACGTTTCACTTGGCCTGCAGTTGTACAATGCAGTTTCTAATCTACCCGGCCGTTCTGAACAGGTGTGGAAGGGTAGCACAATTTATTTCCTTATTACCTTGTTTGAATCAACAGCGCTTCTGGTGCTACCGATTTGAGCTCATGTCGGCAATGTTTTGAGTAAAGTATCCACGGGCTATGGGGACTGTAGGAAGAAGGCCTAGCGGGATGATCAAGGTCGGTCTGGTGACGAGGCTGGTGCAGCAGACTGGCATGTGGAAGAACAACAACACGATTTATGTAACGCTCTATCTACGGGTTTCGCATAGAGACGCTTAATTTCAGACACCCTACTAGCTTGATCAAATGTTATTGAGTGTTTTTTTGAATTCTTCCTCTATGCACGTCCCTCAGAGTTTCCAAAATGAGGGAAGAGGAACTGCTATGATGCGCTTATCTGCATGCGCCAAGTGCTTCGAGCATTCACAGCTAGTCGCACATGGCATCTACCCCACAAGTACACAACCATGATTCGTCTTGTATCGAGCGAACAGCACTCTGCAAAGAGTGAGAGGCATGACAAGACGAACCAATTCATCAAATGTTCACTGATTCTTCGTATAAAATGGGCATTGTAGGAGTGGATGATAGAAAGTGTTCAAGCGTAACTTATAGCCCCATGTATCTTCCTTCCCTCATAACCCATATACCCGTACACTCTATATATGCACGTCAAGGCCAATTACATGCAGGACAGAGAAAGAGTTTCCGCTCTATCCCCACCCCTTAGGCAGGCAGACGCGCTAAAATAATGTGAACGATAAAAAGAAAGTGTGCGGCAGCCGCTAAACACAAATCAACGGGATGAAAGGCACACATTTTGGTAACGACGAAACAGGGAACACGGTAAAACAAACGGAGCGGCATGACGGCTGTCTGTCCTCAGAGCGCTGAAGTGTGTGGGCCCCATACTACGAGAAAACAGGAAGCAAGAAATTTGTGTTTGGCAGATCTGAATACACATTGTTTTGACAGTGCTTACGGGCATCGAAGAGCAATACACAGAGGCAAAGAGGGCCGTTTCACGCAGCACAGTCTACTCAGAGCCCTAGAATGAGGCAGAGGGGAACAACGCATCTGAGAGTACCTGCGCGTAGATTTGAGGATGTCAAGCCTTTTCTCAAAAAAAAGACAGCACCAGTTTAAGCAACATCCATCGATTAGTTAATCATATTTCAGGCAGAGCATGCATGCAGGAGCCCTGAGTGCTACAGCCTGTGGCGACTAGTGCTGTCTACCAACCAGACGGTAAATTTGCCCTCTGCCAACAAAGCCCGCAGGTCCTCCTCCGCTAGCCACTGATGCAGGCGTGTTCCCTTTTCCCTAGGCTTCCGTGTAGCGTGTCATCAGTGCTCATACTCCTAGAATCCAGTACTCCTCAAGCTACGTGTCGATTCTCCGCCTCCACGCCAGTCAGTTGCATGCGTAAAAAAGCCCCTGAATATTTCGAAGAGTGCATAGGTCTCTTAAAAGGGCCAATGTTGGTAGTTTTCTGGCCTCCAACTGTTAGGACATTCAATAGAATAAGAAACGGTATGGATCCGCAAGCGAATAACAAATGGTTGTAGTCACAGAGCCTCGTACGGCCTTATCTGCTCACCTCATGGTGCATGTCGTAAGGCACCTCCATCCTTCAGAAGCTGTTTGCCAAAGCCCAGGCACACAGCCAACCACCTCCTAACATGGTGGAGTGCATGGCTCTTGAGTTTTGCGCATACATTAGCGTGCATTTGAAGATGTTTTGCAAATCGTTCCGGTGTGGAGGATGCTCACTATGGCTATGGATTACCCGCTGGATGGCCGCTTGGCAAAGAAGCTCCTCGGTGTAGACCAACGATGCGGGAGGGCAGAGTTTCGATATGTGTACTGGATCATTGTACGCCCAACAGCACGACAAATAAATGCGAGCGAATCAATTAGTTATTTGCTTGCATAGAGCCTTGGATACTGTAAATGAGTGCCCTTGGTGCGCTGGATCTGTCCATTTGCCTCAGGGTTTTTCGAAGAAAGCATATTCTGGTCATTGCGTCGGTGGAACATAAAACACAGCGGAATATACTGACGCGCTTCGGATTCCTACCTGTTATCATAAACCTGAAAATTTTGTGAAGCTTTCAGACATGGCTTTAACCTTAGTTTAGGATTGCTAAGCCGAAACAGATGTCCGCTAGGGGAAATAGGTGTATTTGCTGAGTTTGTCGAACGCGACGTAGACGTTAGCGTGACCATCCATCTTCAGTCCAGCATTAATTTCGTATTCAAAGCAGTCGAAATTTGTTCAGGAATGGCAAAACTTTACAAATGTGCGACGTAAAAAAAGCTTGCGCAGCTTCAGCTGCTGCCAAAGGGGACACAGCTGTGCATGGCCTTCTGCCCTTGTATAAATCCCAAGCCACCAAAACGACGGGAGAAGCTTTATTCGATGTGTTAAAAAATCCAACTTGGCCAAAAAAAACACTCTCACGTGTTTACCTTCAGACAGCACTGCGGAGCAAAACGGGAATAATGCACCAGTGGCAGAGTCAAGCTGTGTTTCAAACCACAGCAGATAAGCAACGTGGTAATGCCTCAGCCTTTTTCGCCTCTCTGGGTCCTGACAATAGTAGTAGCCCGTGTATGGATGTTAAAAGCCTAATACGCATGCACTTTTGAGAGCAGCCATATATCATCACAGAGAACGCCGTTGTGCAGCACAGCAGTGCACCTCTGGGGCATCGTCAGAGCGCGTGAGCGACTCCTACGGTAAAATTTTTAATATGTGTATTTGTAAAGTCGAACTCTAGGAGGCGTTCAAGCTCGCAGACAACTCCTGGTTGATCAATCTTCTGAAGCTCTTCGCAAGGTGCACTAAAGACTAATGGGTGGCTTGGATAGTGAAAAAAAGGCTTGCACTTGTGGTCCCAGCACTCCACGCCCCACCATACTACACACGCTTCTTTCCGCGCTCCTAATAGCGCTGCTCAGTGAAGCGGTGAGAATGACAAGGAACAACCTGGTGTTCGGAGAACCCGTGGCTTGTTGGGAGAGAAAAGTAGCACACTTCAAGTCGTCACTTGCATCGGCTCCTGGGAGGAAGTGACGCTGCTGATAGCGCACTTCATTAGGCGCTTGCCGCGGCCTTAACTTTCGCTAGTAAGGTGCCATACTGCGTCCTCTCAATTACACCGGCCCAGTAGCAGCGATCCGAGCATACCGGAGTGCGGCGATAAGATGCAAGCCCGTGAAACTTCTCGACATTCCTACAGGTATGTAATGTTGAAAAGCATACCGTCACTGCTTCAATTATTTCCAGATTTGACTCAGTTCCTGCAGCTCAAGCGCGGATTTCGAGAAACAAAGGTTCTCACCCAAACAGCCTGGTGCATACTTTTAGATACCACTACTTGCCCTGCTATAGCTAGAGCGCATCCCGCAAGGCCTGTATGTGATTAAGAACATTCGGCTGAATATCAAGCCATCGTCCATGTAGACAGCTATCTATCTCTCCTTCATAGGCTCGTACCACCCTCCATTAACTTGCCGTTGCATTTTATCTGGCAACAGTACAGATGTCATAAAACTATTGAATATGTATTAGTTGTATTGTTTGAAAGTTAGCAACGAATTGACTTCTTTTCTCGATTTGTTGCATGCCTCGATTGCTGTATCAAATATGTCGTTACTCTCAGGTGTCCACGGGCATATACTTATATCCAGACTCTCAACAAAATGATTACTGTGTGATTTCGGAAAGCTCCCTCTTCCCCGGCTCGCGCAATTCGGCGTGCCGACATGGGGGCATAGGAGTAGGTAGGGTGCGCATTGCCGCATCCTCTGAAGCAGTGCGAACTTCGACAGCTAGTTGAACATGGCATCGAGCGGACATGCACACGATATATATTTCGGGTATGGAACTTGCGGTAATTTGCAGTAAGCGGGATTCGCGAACAGCCACACCATAAAGTCAGCCATTCACCAATTCAAATCGAATTCACGGAGTGAAGTAGAAAGTGCCGAAGTGTATCCTTCGTGCGTTACACGAACCGTCCCTCTCGCTTGATGCAGGGACCCTCAGAGATGATGGCAGAGAACGGAGCAAGCTTTCTCGAAGGATACCTCAATATTGTTTTCTTGATTATTTTCGAGTCTCAAGCTAGGTTTCACCTTATTAAGACAATAGATGAAGTTCTACACAACATTCGTGGTGTGCTTCGTTCCCGTTGGTGGGACACTTTGGGGTGCGGGCAAGGAAAGAGAGGCATCTTTCTAAAGGAATGCTTCACAGCATTCTCCAAAGGTTTGTTAGGCCTGGGAGGCGTAGGATTTTTCGTGCACGCCTCATGTAGAGTAAAGCAATACCCTTGAATGCCTCGAAAACTGGGGAGAAAGACAGCATGTTGCGCCTTGCAAGGATGCGAAAAACATGGGCAAAAGCGTGCGCACAATCATTTGGCTCTAATGCATGAAGTTCCTTCTAAAGTTTAGTTGTTGACTGTTAAAACGGAGCATCGATTTTACTCGTCGCGTACTGGACACACTCGGCTGCCCTCCCTCTAAGGCGTTTGTGGGTTTGACCCCCTAAAAATGATGTTTCGCTTTTTGCATTTAGACCCAACACCCAAACGCGACTGCTGTACGAACTTCTAAAAGGAAAGGGCTGAAATTCGCCACGCAATGTAGCAACTCGTCCTCAGTAAGCCCGCGGTGCCATCCCTCAGTGTCGGCGTTCTCCGGGAGCGCCGAGCAGAATTCCCCTTCGCGTGTGACTCAAGGGATTATCCCGTGGGGTGGCCCCTCCCCTCGATCGAATTCCTTTATTGGGGCTTTCTGGAGAGTTGCTTTTGCGCCAAAGAAGGTAGGAATACGCACACTGCTCTTCTTGTAAGTTAACTCTGCCTCGTCGTTCCTATGTGAGTACCTGGCGCTCTATTTTTTGCCGCACGCTCCGGAATGCATCGTGAATGCTTAAGACCATTGGGGTGGGGCTTTGATGCTGAATTTATCCAATTTTACCGATACCTACCTATTGGCTTTTGAGTGGAGGGAGGCACTCCTCCAGGCATCAAGAGGAAGGGACCCTTTTTTCTGTGGCGTTGCAGCATGAAGAATATCGCGGACGCTTGCGGTGCACGCCCACCAAAAGCAGACTTCTGTTCCGTTTTCGGCAGTTTACAGCACTGCACAAACCCCGAACTGCGATTTAAGCAGTGAGTACCCCTGCGGGGTGACAGCGTGCTCATGAAGGCCAACTGCGTGCTGGGTTTCTTCGGCACACTCCTCATGCCTTGTGCTGTATGCCTGTTGCGGCTTTCTCGTGAGGGGTGGCTGCACCCGAATTAGAGTGGGAGGCGGCCTTCTCCAACTCTGGAGGGCTTCTCTCTTAGCTTCTGTTGAGCGTCTTAGCGACGGCATCCCGCAGGTGGCGCTGCAGTGTACATACAACAACAGCGGCGGGAGGCGTTTATTCTGCCTGAGTGGGGTCGTTTTGGGGGTCCTGTGTTGCTCTTTTGGGCGAAGGCTGATGCTGGCTTCGCGGGGGTGCAGGGTGTGTTCAACCATCGGGGACGTGTGTGGTGGGGATTATGTGGCGAGGCTTGGGATTTGCGTTTGTTGGATGCATGCAGCGTCATCGCCGTGTGTTTTCGCTCCTTGGAAGAGGCCTTGGTATGCCTGCGGACGTTGCTTCCAGAAACCACAGCAGACTCTAGGCTGGATCAGCAAGCTTCTCTCCTCATCCTCGTCAAGACTGCATCTTCCGATTCGCGTCTTGAAGTAAACTGGTCACGTTGGAAAGAAGGGTTGGATTTGACGTGTGTGCTGCCGAGGATCGCAGTGTATGTACAGTTCACGAAGCCCGCTTCTCGGAGAATGTGGGCAGCCTTTGTTTCTTCATGCCCTTGCAGTGCCTCTTCTGCGAATCGCGGCCTCTCACTGTCGACTAGAATGGCAGTTTTTGCGCGTTTTTCGCGCGTTTTTCGCGTTTTTTTCGCGCCTTTTTCGCGTGTTCACTTGCTGTGTTGTGGCGTACCGTGCGACCCTTGCTACTGCTGCCCCCATTCGCTGCTAGCGGCAACCGAAGTCTCGCGCTTCTTCTGCCGCTCCATCTGTCAGGCCTCCTGTGCTGTTTGGGGTGGTGGTTCGCAGCTTGGTGGAAGCCTCCGACCCTGTCGTCTTGCGGAGAAAGAGCGCCTTTTTCTACCAGGCACTGCGCCTCTCGGTGGAGCTCATTGAGACGTTCGGCACTCATTAGCCAGGAAACTTTTTTCTCACGCAAGGCCAAGGAAGATGGTGGCTGCAAGGCGAAGGAGCGAGAACGGTCCAGACGCAGACGCAGGTCATGCCACGAAGAAGCAAGCCACTGACGTCTTGACGGATGTTGACAAACTTTGCGTCAACACGATTCGGGGGTTCGGAGCAGATGCACCTGCGGTGAGCCTTGGGGGCGAGAGGGGGAGGGGGTAATGTGGCGAGGCGACACTTTGAGGGGGGTGATTGATTGAACGGCTGCGGTGCGTAGGGAGGGGGGGTGTAGGGGGTGTGCGTGGAGAGGGGATGGCATTCGGTATGGCGCATGAAGAACTGGTGTTAGCACTTCGCTAGGCGCACTTAAAGGACAGCGAGGGAGTGGGTCAGATCGCTGAAGGCGCTTTGCATTGGCTGTGCGCTCGGTGACAAGGGTCTGCTAGCGACGTTGCCGCGCGCTTGGTAGGGCCGAGACGTGTGTCGCGAGTCGGCTCTTCCAGAAGGCGAGGAAGAAGAGCCAGACGGGGGGCCCATAGGGCCCATTGGTAGTCTTGAGGGGTTGATTGTAAGGGAATTTTCTGCGCCGCCGCTTCCCTGCGTCTTCGCAGGCAGCAAAGAGCGGCCATCCGGGGGCTCCCATGGGCTGCGCGCCGATGGCGCACTGCCTGTTTGGACATGTCATGAAGTTTCACGGGAAGGATCCGAATTGGTTCAACCGCGATCGATTTGTCCTTTCGAATGGGCACGCATGTGTCTTGCAGTACACGATGCTGCACCTTGCAGGTGGGGTTGCGTTTACAGGGGGGTAGGGGGCGCGAGCGCGTGAGGGAGTGAGTGACGCTCGCTGTTTGGCGGCCTAAGAGTAAGGGCCATAAGCAGCGGCACTCAGAGAGCCATCCGTTGAGAGGGAGGCTGCACGCAGGTGCCAACGGAGCAAATGCCGAAAGAAGAAGGTTTTGCGGGGCGAAAGGAAGGGGGAGCGGGGACTGCGCGATTACGTCCTCCGAGGGTGAAGATCACAGCCCAGAAAGAGTTGTTGCGGCTGCTGCTTTCTTCCCACCGTCTGCGCTGTGTGGTGTGGCTTCTTTCATAGGATATGACATGAGCATTGAAGACATCAAACAGTTCAGAAAGCTGCACAGCAAGACGCCTGGGCACCCCGAAGCTGGACATGCCCCTGGAATCGAAGTGACCACCGGTAGGAGACACCCGTCTGCGATTTCCACTCTGATGCTGCGTTTGCTTGTAACCAAATACTCACGCGCATGCGGCGAAATTCAGATGTCTTTAGAACCTCCCGCATTCTGATGTGGGAAGCCGCTCTACAAGGCCCGTTCAGCAATACCTGCTTTATGAACTCTGCTTCGCGTGCAATCGCTTGCTCTCTCGCTCTTTCTCTCTCTCTTTCTCTCTCTCTCTCTTTCTCTTTCTCTCTCTCTTTCTCTAGCTGGCATCGCCTCTTTTTTATTGCTCTGCCGAGATCACATGCGGATAACTTCTCTTATGGTTATTGTATTTTGCGCGCGTCTGCTCCCACCGTGGCCTCTGCACCCACACGTCCTCTTGCGCTCTCTATTTTTATGTTGTGTGTATATGTTGTGTATGTGCATTGTATATGTTGTGTATGTTGCGTATGTTGTGTTGTATATGTTGTGTATGTGCATTGTGTATGTTGCGTATGTTGTGTATTGTGTATGTTGTGTATGTGCATTGTGTATGTTGTGCATTGTGTATGTTGTGTATGTTGTGCATTGTGTATGTTGTGTTGCGTCCTGTGCCGCGCACGCAGGCCCCTTGGGGCAGGGTATTTCTAACGCCGTTGGCTTAGCCATTGGGGCTCATCACATTGCAGCCAAGTACAACAAGCCGCATTTCACGATCTTCGACAACTTCGTCTATTGCATCTGTGGCGACGGATGCCTCCAGGAAGGTCAGATCCAGTGCCGTTACAGCTGCATGCGAGGCAGCACGCGTGCATGCGCGTCTTCGCTAGCTGTCCCTCCTGCACAGGGCTGCTCTTTGTGCCATTCCGCACTGACGCATGTGTGGCTCCGTAGTTCGCTAGGCGCTGGAGGCTTTTCTGCCAAGAGCCACGATTTCAGGCACACAGCCGTTGTGGAGCGTATGCGCCTTGTTCCGCTGCATCGCTTGCCTTCCCCGCGTGTGTCAGCTTCCTTCTGCTTGTACACGCGGCTGCCTGCTCCCTCGCAGGTGTGGCGAGCGAAGCCTGTTCCTTGGCGGGGCACCTCGGGCTGGGAAGGCTCATTGTGCTGTACGACTCGAACAAAATCACCATCGATGGCGATACCTCTCTCAGCTTCACGGAGAACGTCCTTCAGAGGTTTGCCGCTTACGGCTGGCACACGCAAACCGTCGCCGATGGCGACACGGATCTAGGAGGCATTCTGCAGGTGCGAGAAATGGCTCTCTCTCCCGCTCTCTGAAAGATTGCACCGCAGGGGGCGTGGTCTCGCAGCAGTCCGCCCGCGTGCTCGCTGCGCCCCTCTTTATCCTCGCCTTCCGCTTGCAGCACCGGGTGCAGGCAGACGCTGCATGCGGCAGGTGCAGGTGCTGGCCGCTTCGGCCGGCGCTCGATGCATCGTCTCCAGCGCGGCATCCTCCGTTCCTGGAGTGCACCCGTATTTCCTCTCGGCCCCCCTAAGCGCTTCTCCCTCTCTCGCAGTTGCGACTCTCCGCATTCATGCGCTGCGCCTCGTCTGACAGGCAATCAAAAAAGCCAAGGCAGTCACGAACAAGCCCTCCATCATCGAAGTGCGTACCACCATCGGCTACGCCTCCCTGAATGAAGGAAGCGAGAAAGTTCACGGCGCCCCCCTCAGTGCAGACGACATCAGACAACTCAAAGTCAAGCTCGGCCTTAACCCCGAAAAATCCTTCCACGTTCCAGAAGAAACGCAGAAGGTTAGTGCCTCCCTCGCCAACTCCTGCACCCGTCTGTCTCAAATACGTCGAAGCCTCGCTTGACCTCCCCGCCCGTCTCTACCGTGCTTGAGAACCCTTGCTTGCTGGCTTCAGCACCTGCTCCTTGTCTTCCTGTTTTGAGCCTCGAATTTTTGGGGGCGGGCTACCCCGCAGGCCGGCGTTTCTTCAGCTCGCGCAGGCACCGCATTCCACCCTCCTCGAGGTTTAGTGTGCGATTAACGCCGTGCACGCCAGCAACACAACCTGCTCCTCCCCCTCCGCCTTGCGTGCTCTTTGTCACTGACTGCCTTGCTTTTGTTCCCTACCTCTTCTTGGGGAGCGGCAGCCCCAAATTGCCGCCTTCCGTGTTCCCGCTGCATGCGCGTCGTGGGCTTTTTGCGTTTCGCGAATTCGAGGCCGCCTTCCGCACGCCAGCAAGGCGCGTCTTACGGCGTGTTTTCACGGGTGTTTTGGCGCTTGCAGTTCTATGCGGATGTCATCACCCGCAACACGCAGCAGTACGAGGCGTGGCAAGCCCTCTTCGCCAAATACGGGGAGAGCCACCCCAAAGAAAAAGAAGAGCTGGAGAGAATGCTGAGTAGACAGGTGGCTCCGCAGGTAGAACAAGCTTTGCGAGACATGGCGAAGGCTGCAGAAGGCACTCCGAGCTCGACGCGAGCTTTATCTGGCAAAGCCCTCAACGCCATCAAGGATTTCATGCCTGAATTGGTGAGATGCGGGGAGGACGCGAGAGAAGGCGGATCTTGGCATTGCTCCTTCAGATACTGCGTTACGAAACCTTAACTTTTTATCGTTGAAGGAGAAGGGCTATCCTTGCTGTGCCTTGCTTGGCCTCCGTGCACGTGCGATTCGCGTTCGTGTCTAGTGCTTCCTCAGCGCGGCGCTTGTGCATGCATGCTTCTCTCTCTCCCCGCGCTTTCCGGCCACATTTAGTTCGCACTTCCCCTGCGCTTGCATGCATTGACGCTAGTTTTCCGTAAATGTGATGATCCAACAGGCGCGTGCCGGCGGGGGCTGACTGGCTGACTGACTGGCTGACTGGCTGAATAACTGACTGACTAACTGACTGACTGGCTGGCTCAGCTTCTTCTTCTTCCGCTGCCCAGTAGCGCTCTAATATGCTGCTTCCCCTTGAAGGTACGCCTCTTGCCCATGTCTGTACGCACGTTGCTGGGTGTCGCGGAGGGCCTTTTCTCCTCAGATTGGTGGCAGCGCCGACCTAACGACCTCCAACGAGACGCGCCTGAAGGAGGAAGGAACGTTTGCAGCAAACAAGAAATTGGGGTCGTTTGCGAATCGTTACATTCACTTTGGCGTCCGTGAACACGGCATGGCTGCCATATGCAACGGGCTCTTTCAGTACGGGTGTTTCCGGCCTTTTTGTGCGACCTTCCTGAACTTCATCACGTATGCGTGGGGATCTGTGAGACTGGCGGCTCTCTCGAAGTGTGGCTGTCTGTTTATCGCGACGCACGACTCCATTGAACTCGGAGAAGATGGCCCCACTCACCAGGCAATCGAAGTTCTTCCTCTCTGCAGAGCGCTGCCCAACATGATCTGCGTTCGTCCTGCGGGTGCGCCCACCCCACCGCTGCGGCAAGCGCAATGCGTCTCTCGGTTGTCTCGTGAACTTGTTGTTTCCCTTCGTGCGGGGGGTGCTGGCGTCCTTTCTCGTTGTTTTCCCGTACATGCACGCGCGCGCACATGCAGCGCCGTGAGTTTCTCATTTGCGTTTTTTCTGCGCTTTCGCAGACGCGAACGAAGTGGCAGCCGCGTACATGCTCTGGCTGCGCAACCCGACGCGACCTACCGTCATCTGTCTCTGCAGAGGGAGCGTTCCGCAAATCAAAGGGACGAACATCGACGAAGCCACGAAGGGATGCTACATTGTTTCCGATTTCAGCAATAATGGAAAACAGAAGGTGGGCCTTTAATAGGGCGTGTAGCGCATCGGTGGCGTCAACGAGACAACGCCGCGAGGAGCACCTAGGCTTCTCATGAGGGAAGGAAACATGGGTGTTTGTTACGGAAGCAAGCTGGTGGCTGCCTGTGTGTACCCCATCTCTGTTTCCTGCGCCACGACTTCCACTGGATTCCGCATTGTTCCGTGCGCAGCCCGTTCGGTGGTTGCTCAGTCGACGTCGGTGGAGAGCATGCATGCATGCATGCATGCATGCATGCATGCATGCATCGCCGAAGTTCACTTGGGCGACGCATGACTGCGGTCTTGCTGTGGACGCGTGTGCGTGGCGTGCTTTAGGTGCTTATTGGGGGAAGCGGCTCCGAGCTGCAGTTTTGCATGGAAGCAAAGGAACTGTTGTCTGCCGACTGCGATGTACGCGTCGTGTCTGTTGTTTGCTGGGACGTCCTGGCAGAGCAAACAGAGGCGTACAAGGAGCAAATCTTGATTCAGAAAGAGAGGAGGAGCGGAAACGTGCTGTGTGCCTACGTGGAGGCTGCAGCCACTACGGGTAAGATGTCGGTATGTGCCGCAGGGAGGCTGTGCGCCTGCGGGAGCAAACGCGATGCGTGGAGGAGGCTTCACTGCATGCGGCAGCAAGGGCAGCAGGAGCCACACCCAGAGGGATATGTGGAAAAGGGGGCAACCCGAGATGAATATGGCATCATCAAAGTGCTTCGTTTCGTCGTTTTTATGCACTGTGGCCTTACTCGTGGATTCGCGAGTATCTGTTGGGGTTTCTTCTCGTAGCCTCCTTTGCGCATGTGTTCTTCTGTGGCGTGTACTTGTGTTCGTCGGCTTCACTTGCCCGTCTCATGCGCCCTTTGCAGGCAGACTCCTATCTATGAGCCGTTGAGTGGTTTTTCCAAATGTGCGTAGCCGCGGGATAGAGTTCATTCATTTCTACCTCCATTGCCTTTCTTTGCAGGGTGGGACGCCTTCTTCGATGTGCACATCGGCATGCAGACCTTTGGCGCCAGTGCTCCTCGTGCCGACATCTGGAAGGCGTTCGGATTCACGGGTGAAAACGTGAAGAACAAGATCAAGGAGGCGCTAGCCAAGAAGTGATGTGGGTACCTTGTATCTTCCCGCAAAGCGGACAAACAGAGAGAGCGGAAGAAGCCAGGAGAATGCAATGCGCGGCCAAGGGCGGAGGCAGAACAATTTTAATTGGATGACGCACACAAACACACACTGGACAGCCCAACCTCCCCTCCCCATCCAAACTCCCTGCTCTTGGAGTCGGCTGCTAATCGTCGTATTTTTTTCACTAGTTCGGTCGTCTCGGTTTATACCCAAAAAAACGCGAGGCAAGCCTCTTGTGGTGCAGGAAAAAGGCATCCACAGGAAGGTCCTCATGAAGCTAATCGAGGAGGAATTGTGTTTATGTTCGCGCTGGTCGATGTCTTTGTGCTTAGGAGCATCAAAAGACTATGTGAGCAGCGCAAGCCATCAAAGGGCCAGATAAAGGCTATCAAGTTATCTGGGTGAAGTAGCGAGCAGCAACCGGGGTCCGTCGCATTTTCTAACAGTTTTCTTGCTGTCCTCTCCGAGCGTGGCATCATGCATGACCATCAATTATCGTTCCTATCGTATTCCCCGACTCAGTTTCTTCTTCTGCTCGCGAGGAAGCGGCAACGGAAGAAGCGCTTAGCTTTGCAGCTAAACTCCAAGGCCCCCTTCTAACACTCAAGGGTGGTCTCTTTACGAAGAATTGGTTTATGGCCTCTTTTTCGTCGTTAGTTTGCTGTGTCCACTTGTGGAGTCTTATTGCCTATTCACTGTGCTATGCCCCAGCGTCGCCTCTTCTTATTTACACTACTGTGCGTTTTCGCTTTCTTTGCTTCTGCCCATGCTTTTTTCATGGCCTGCTTTCCATGCACCTGCCTATCCTGTTGTTTAGTCCTTCTGTGTTTGGTGACAAATCTTCAAAGGCGCGCCTACGTCCAGGAAAATCTAGGCATGGGAGTGCGCGCAGAATGCAGTGCGGAACACGATGGCTGCTACGTTAGCAGTTAGTCCTTCAGCCGTCGAACCACTTACGAAGGTAGAAGCGAGCAATCGGCCTATGAGGGAGACAGCACCAGGATGCTCGTGGTCCAAGCTTATTGCCTGAAAACTTTACAATAGGCAGTGTAGTAGGGAGATTAGGAGGAGGTTGTCTGGGAGAGGCGAAGGACCGGTGGCATCTGCCCTGTTTGAAGAGGTGCCGATGCTACTTAGCGTTCTTAGAACCAATCCTCAACAAAAAAAATGAGGCGTGGTGTTCACGCCCATTGCACATACATATCGATGAATGCACAGCGGTGGCTTCGTTCTGCTGGCCGCATACCCTTCAGTTGTTCCTTCCGCAGCAGATAGTAGTGACTGATTGGGAAGGGGGAACAGTGTCTTCTTGCCTTTGACCAGCGTCTTTAAACCCGCAGCGTATCCTCTCCCCGGTAAGCGCTTGTTTACTCATAAAGATCAAAGCAAGGAGGGTACCCCGCAGCAACGTCAGCCATTGGTTGTTTCGAACTCGACGGCAACCTTCGGCTGTGGATTTCTCTTGTCCGCAAGCGACTTCTCAACGCACCTTTTGTATTCCTGGTAAAAAGTGCCACAGCGAGAAATGATGCAGCAAAGAAGTGACTGTTCTTTCTTCCATGGTATATACGCACCGGCTTGAAGGGAGGCGCAGCGTGGAGGGTCCTACAGTGTGACAACTGCGGGCAACACCCCGGGTATGACCACTAAAAAGCAAACGTAAATCAAGTGGAGTGTATATAGCGTTTGCTCCGCATCCAGCATTAGGTGGCACTCCCTATAGTAGCCGGAATAAAATTCCCCTGCTACGCGAACTTGAAATAAAAGGAAAACAAAATCAGGGAAGCGAAAAGGGATAGCCACCACACGCCCAGTAGTGCCTGCCCTGCGCTGCATGAATATGTAGAAAGCATTAAGTACTGAATCAGCTTTCTTCAACATACATGCGCGTGCATCTCGTCTTCCTACTAGGGCCTGCGACAACTGTCTGTTACCTCAAGTTCTCGCAGGAAAGCTACAAAACGGCAAATGCATTCTCACACCCACAGCTCAAGAATTCCTCTCCTCAAAGGAAACTAAAGCGTTTGCTAGGAATGAAAGAAAGCAACATAATTGCCACGTACGTCAAGTTGCTTCTTGCACGCTTGCAGAAGGGCCGCTTCTGTGTTCTTCGTTTTCCCGGGTGTTGCGGAACTCTCGATACACCCGAATAATGCGGCAGCCTCCTTCTCGCATCCTACAGGAACAACAGGTAAAATGCCAGTGTCAGCACCTAAGCGAAAAGAAGTCGGTCTGAAACGGCAAAGAGGAACACCTTAGCAAGTGCAATCAGCTCGGCACACAAGTCACTACAGCGGGCAGATACACGGGCTGAGTGCGCTGGGTTAGGAATGCAGAAAAAGGCCCACCTTTCCTCTCTAATGGAAAATACGGAGGAAACTTCAAATCCTGTGCCTCTCCCATGGCTGCTAAGAACTTAGGCGTACGAACACCTCTTTACCTACAGAAGCGCGTAACCAGAAGAACCGACATCCAGCTTCTTCTCGTGAATTGCATTTGCCAGCCTTCCTTCCACGCCCTGTGTGTCAAGGAAGACAGTGCTTCTTAGTTCTAGCCTTTTTGACGGGGTCACCACACACCAGAGTTTGCCTTTTCCGTTTACGGAAATCCTGACGGATGCCTAAAAAGCCGTGGCCGAAGCAAAAAGCGCCGCCTTGTGAATAGCCTCCCCAACATTATTCCGCATACGCGCATTCTTAGTGGTCAAAAAGGAGATAATGCGCCGGTGGCAGGGTGGCAGAACTGGTGAGTAGGGCCCCCAAGCCAGCGGCCCCTAGGTATGCATTCGCCCGTGCCTGGAGGGTGGGGAGGCTCCAACGTGGCGCGTACGGGGGCCCCCACCTCTAGTGCTCCCGCTATAAAAATCGTTTGTTTCCTGGTTACAGTTCCACTAAGCGTAAAGCATTCTGTGAAACGTGTTCGGCGAGCATTTCCTGCCGTTTCGAAGAGTAGTGTGTCCCCCTTCCTCCCACCCCTGTCTGCCGTTGCGGCCAAACCCCAGAGAATGCCTCCCAACTTTCAGGACTGGACGCCCGTAGTTCTTCAGAAGGGCGGAGGCAGCCAGAAGCGCGTTACTAAAGAACAGGAGATCAACAAGGCAAGGCGAGCTGGCGAATCCATCGAAACCGAAAAGAAATGTACGTCGGCGCGAGAGAAGAAGCAGATAGCATCAACGGGTGTAAACGGGCATTTTGTTTTTTAGGCGATTTAAAAGGACTCTTATCGATGGGAGCAGACTGCCGGACCATCCCTCCAGTGTGACCGTTCTGCCCTGCCTGCCTCCCAGGAAGGCTAAGGGGGCACGCCGAACTGCCGTCTTTAAATACCCCAATTTCGGGGCTGGAAACGAGCATTCCCATGCACGCCGTTCGGCGAAGGGTCCTCTGGTGCGACGACAAGATGTGAAAGAGCAGCGTTCGCCCTTGTGCCTTGTCTTCTGCTATGCTGCAGTTCTTGGCGGAAAAAACAAGGCCACCAAATCTGCCCTCATCCCCAAGTGAGCCTTTGCGCTCTTCCATGCGCGCGCACATCTCTTCTTGGAGTTCACGCTGTTAGGCTCAAGCATCTGTAAAATCTTTGCGGTCTGTTCGTGTCACTCTGTGCCGTCGCATGAGGTCGCCTGTGCTTTCGCGCCGTATTCTGAGTGCCCCTTCACCGCCGGAGGCAAGTGTGCGCGCCGCGCTGATAAATTGCATGCATCGATGCATGCGAAATTTCATGCGTGCTGTTCCTTAGCGGCCCTTATTTGCGTTGCGCTTCGTGTGCTGCTGCTGGCGTCGTTGCACCCCACCGCTGGGGGGTGCAGGGGTGGGGTGGGACGCCCAGAGTGTGTGTTTGGCGAGGGGAAGTGCTGATACGGTTTCAATTTCGAGTTGAATACGACTTCTTCTCACCAGAGCAGTGCATCTTGTCGCAGCTTGCTGCATTTTATCGACTCGCAGAGGCTTGAGGATACGCCTTTACTGCTGTCAGTTCCTTGCTTGTGCCTCTCGCCTTCGTTGAAACGGCACACAATTGCCGCGCATCCTCCACTCACTGGTGTTGTGCATGCGACTCTTCTCGTTGTGGGCGTCCACGCGGCGTGGGCCATGGTGTATTACATGCTGCTTCACCGTTCCCTCTTGGCGCATGCAATCTTGAAGCGAGGACGAACGCCGTGCTGCTTTTCCTCTTTGCTTTTAGCGCTAAAAAGATAGAGGAGGACACAGGAGATTATCACGTCGACAGAGTCTCCACAGACTTCTGCAGAGCACTGGCGGAGGCGAGGAGAAACAAGGGAATGACTCAAGCGCAGCTGGCGCAGGCAATCAATGAGAAGCCTTCCGTCGTTAGCGAATATGAGAGCGGCAAGGTCAGAACCTCAAGAGCTGCGTGCTGATACGATTCATGCTTGCCACTTGCCTTTTGTGAAGGGGGGCCCCGTACGTCGGAAGGATGCGTGCTCTGTTTCTCACATGCGTTGGAAGGCAGGCGCAATCAGCGGTATTTAGGGTGCATGATCAGTAGCTAGCGTATACAGTGCAGCCGCACGCGCTAATCTGAACGTTATCGTGCTATTGGTACCTCGGTGTATGGCTGTACGACGTCTCTTGAAGGCGCCGCTTGGCCTCCTGGCTGTGTGCGCATGTCTCTTCAAGTGATTGTGCTTACTCTGACTTGCGGTGTTTCCTTTCAGGCGATTCCCAACGGCGCAGTTCTGCAAAAGATGAGCAAAGCTCTTGGCTGCCCGCTGCCCAAATGCGTGCAGAAGAAGAGAATTGCGGATGACTAACGCGTAGACAAGGTGTTTGCACACTTCTGTTGTCTGCATACACCGGAGCTGTCAAGAGACGCTTGGGTGTGCAGATATTCCCTGAATGAGGAGGAGGGGCAGTGTTAGGTTTTGTGTTGAGGCTATTCGCGGCTTTTCTCTCGAGGGCGGTCACCTGCTTTGGGGAAGCTCGAACGAGCTGCACAAAAAATGTGCCTTCATTTGCCTTTCATGGGATGATATACTGCAACATTTTTGTGGCTTGGTACTTTTGTTCTTGGGTAAACCGGCACCTCTTCTTCTCTAAACATCAAGACACACATATTATTAGGGAATCCATTGCGCCCTATAGCTTCTCATTTGCGTGCTTTTTGCATTTGGTGTATCCCTGAGTCGTCTAGGCTCCCGAAACACGTACTTCTTCAGCTTTGGGACTGACTCTTCCCAGCAGCGCACTTCTCGCCGCTTAGGAGTACCTGTTTTGCGTAAATGCCCCCAAACTGTGTTTCCTCCACAGCTCGGCGTGCGGTAGCTCGTAATACAAGCTCTTTTGCCTGTTGCGCATGTCAGTTTAGCTGCAGGCAAGATGCTTAGAATAGTTCTTGCGTGTATAGAAGCAGTTGTCTCTTAACTTGAATTTCGTAAAAGCCGGTAGAGAAGTTCTTCGGTGCTAGATTTTTCAGGCGCCAGGCTGTTCAAGCTGGGGTGCTGGAGGCTCGTCGACGTTGACTGTACGGGCACCTGTATTCTTGGCGCATGTGGACTACGAGGAGACGAATGTAATGCAGTGCGTGCCTCAGTGGCTCCTTTGGGGGCTGTAAGCCAAAACACCGTTGCTCCTTTGTAAAAATTAACGGCGGCGGAGAACATCCCGTGGGCCTGAAGTGTTTAAGTAGAACCAGCAAAACGTTTCGATTTTTCAATCTTCTTTCATGATACAAAGGAGATGGAAGAGGGGCCCTAAGGCGCTCCTTCCATGGTCTCCACAGGAAGACACTTGGCCGAAACTCACAAAATTGGATTCAGCGTTCCGACGCGGGGAGTACAGGGGATGCCGGGGTTTGTGCTGTTGTACTCTCGGAGCTCTCCAAGCCTTGAACCTGACTGGACCGACTGTGGTGAGCTGGCTGGCACACAGTTCATTCCCACACTATTTTTCTGACCCTTCCCTGGAAGATACAGCGTGTATCAAGGGCCAGACGTTAGTGAGTCGCTAGCTAATTCGGACTAGTATTATCAATGTGGGTGAAGCGGCCGAAGTGTAGGTAAGCGCGCTCCAAGCCACATGAATTAGAAGCTAGTAGGCGGTGGCTACGGGCAGGGAGGTGCTTAGCCAGATGGGCGTTGAACGCTTGATGTGAAGGAAGGTTTCTACAGCGAGTATTATTGGGGGCGTTTAATCGAGAACACACGTCAGTAAGAACCTAGTGAGTGAAATTCCTCAAACATCGACGAGTACACGGCTTCTCAGTCATATCGGATGCATCCAACAAAAATCATCTTTTTGCTGAGCGTATTCAGAGTGTATACATCTCCCTCACTACTTGTATTCCGAAGGAAAGATGTTTTCAAGCACCTCAAGGTGCCCTCAGCTAGGCACTTCGCGTTAATTTAGATACTACAAGACAGGCACTGCCTTGTTATAGTCCCACGTAGATCACGGCCAGATGCAAATTGCTGGCGAGAGTGCACACGCGCTGTGTATCTTCGAGTGGGCGAAAACCCACAACCATTTGATCGAAAGCCCTATGCAGGAATCTCACCGGCTACTTTCCGCGTACTAAGCGGATGCTCTACCGACTAGGCTAAGAGGGCATCGGCGGTGCCAGCGGCTGGTGCCCCGTAGTTCATTTGTGTGTACTATCCTTCCATAGTGATGATCAAAAGGAATTTTGGGCTTTTTATTCGAAGGCCAAGGCTTTTGCATATTATTAGTCCCACTTGCAATGGCTAGTGGTGTGTGTCAGTCAACAGCTTGCTAAATGGCATGGAGGGCTTTACAAGTTCCTGCTCACTACTCGGTTGACACGTTGTTGTGTGACGCTGCAATCATCTAGAACAGTGAAAGCCTCTAGAAGGCTAGACGTCATAGCTTGACTTAAAGCCCACGCAAAATATGTCCAATGCAGACAGCCTTCCCGCATTCCGGTAGCGCAATTGCCAGCGCATACACAAGAAGTACAACCTTGGAAAGCCCTTGACCCTACACAATTGCCAAAGCAGTACGGACAAAATACCATTTAAAGTGGTATTCTAAACATTATTTACGGACATACCCAGTATCCTCAGCGCTGACACTCCAGGACCACCGAAACACCCTTTAATTTGCACCGATTTATGCGGTGGGCACATTGAAAGAGCAGAGTGAGTTATTTAAATTTATTTAGTATTAGAAAATTTGTTGTTTTGAGGTTTTTCGATGCCCCATGCGAGTAGTAGTTAAGGCTCATGCACTGCTAAACGGCAGGCTTTTATGCGTCCGGTGGTCCCTGGTCCTCTCTCCGTGCCTTCTGGCGCCCTCCCGGCTAGGATCTTCTGCTCTCTATCATCCTTTAATGCTCTAGAATTGAGGATTTTAACTGACCTCTCACCAAAGGCATCACTAAAGCGAGGCTTCAGGACCAGGACCTCGTTGCTTGATTGCGTCCTGCCAGGCGGTCGTAGGACGGAAAGGCAGCATATTGATGGGCCTTCTGTCCTGCTTTGGTCTCTCTTTCCTGCCTTTCTGCAGTTTATACGCGAAGAATGATTGCTCGTGTCTTATAAATGATAAATGACTCATCTTGCCACCTTAACTACAAGTACAACCTCCACATATATCTCTCGCTGGACGCATCCGACAGTCGACTGACAGACGAGCTCCTTTTCCCCCTTTGCGCCAGGTCCTCCTTCGCACGTGTTCCTCCCGTTAACATCAGTGCCACAAGGCCTTAAAATACATAAGGCGTGTATCATCCTTCCCTTTTACTCTTGCCTCCACCACCGTCCCATCCCCGCAGAGCCCTACGCACCACTCCTGGAGGTTCTGAGTTCTTTGCGGCCATGGCGGGTCTCCCCCACGCAAGTCGCTTTCGCACTGCACTCTTCAAAGGCGCGAGGGAGGCTGGGGAGGCATTTTCTCGCGCTTTCCGGGCAGAAGACTCCGTGAAGGCTGCACCCCTTACAGTCCCTTTGACGAGCAGCTATCGTACCAGTAATGAGGCAGTGGGGGAAGCAGAAGCAAGGCCAAAATCGGATCCGGTGCTTGCAAGGCCTTTAGAGGCCAGCATCGCTCCAGCGGCTCCAATTACCCCAATGGGGGCCCCAGCAACTGGGCTTTGTCTCCGCTCTGGCTCGAGCAAAGGCAAGGAGGGGGGCCCCTCGCTGTCTGAAGGCGCATTCATTGACTCCAGACTTCCGTACGATGGGTTGGACGCTTTAGGCGTTTCTGGGGGCTCACACGATGGAGTGGGGGGGGGATTGGCGAGCCGCCTGGAGGAGTCAGAGGGGTGGTTCATTACAGATTTGCTGGCAGGCAGGGACGAAGATCACGACTTGCGCGTCAGGAACGGCAGCTACAAGAGCGGTCCCGGCAGCTTGGTGATGGTCTCTTCTGTCGACTCGCTTGCCTCTATGGATGGAGAGGAGTCTGATGACCTCCCGCCGAGCAGCAGCAGCGCTAGAAGCGTGTGCGAAGAGCTCGAAACGGTGCACCCGCCTTCCCCCTTGCCTCGTATTTTGTTGCATTCCGAAAATCTCAGCTCAGAGACGACTCAAAGTGGCAGCGCACTGTCGGGAGACATAGAGGAGCAAATCTACCGAATATGCCAAAAGCGACAGTCCACATTAGCAGATGAACCCGACGAATGTCACCGAGACGTCCCGCGATTTACGGGGGATCGACTGTACATGATTGAAGCGGGGCATGGATGGAGCACTTATCCTTCCTTAGAGGTATAAGGAACGAATGCACAAACCACACAACGGATATCATTTTAACATTCGCAGTGTAGATCTACCCTCGCGTGCATATATTTTGGCCCTTTTTTGCATGCTTCTGGGTACGGACAGGGTGTATGCCACGTTCATGCTCGTTTTGGGGAGCGTGTATGCTAAATATAGCTGGGTGCATCTTTCTGCTTCTGGATGGTGCTGCATATACATATATATATACATGTACACACACATGCTTAGCCGCACCCGTAGGAGGTGTGTATGGCTTCTTGTCTGAGTATACGTGTTATAATTTTAAAGGAGCTATGCGCCTAAATTTACTTAGAATCGCGCAAATAAATATGTCTGGTAGTATACATGCCTATGTGTAGGGTGCGGATATATTCAATTTGGTGCATAGATGAAAAACGACGGGAAGTGACAGTCTGCTGCAAGCAAACGCTGAACTGTACATGCATCTACTCAATCTGCACAACTGCCGTCCAAGCTACCATGAAGAACATCGGAAGGCTTAAATCATGAATGTTCAGCTCGCTTTATCGGATGTTTCTGTGGTATCCCATGCAGGCTCTCCTGTGCTTTTTGAGGGAAACTGTGAAAGTGTTCGGCTCGACCCACCTGCGTTGTACACGATTCGTTTTGCCCGTTGGCGAGGCAGACACGTTTCTAGATGAACTTGAAACTATAGCTCCCTACTCAGCGCAAGATTTCTTGCGGGCCGCGCAAGCAGGTATGCATATTTTTTCGACTTTCCAGAGGCATCCTTTTTGTAGGGCTTTTCTTGTCGTTGCTGTTCTACATATTAGTTGTTAGTGCTTCTGGGTTTTTATTCAGAGAGGAGATGTGCTTAGTGAATCGGTATATAGGGGTCGATGCTATCGCTTTACGCAACACACATTCGCCCGCACCAATTTTCTGTCGTAGAAAAACAAACGTGGCCAGTCTACTACTGTGTATTCCACAGCTCTATGACACAGAAACCAGGATTACTAGGTATCTTTGTTTTTTTTAAACGCGTATGCATTGTAAGACGTTTATTAGAAGCGAGGGAACTGTTTGCTTTTCTCGTTTGTGGTCCTTGTATTCAGCTGCTTCCCCCATGGCCTTCGCCGTTGCCGCTCGCTTCTGCTTTATGCAGTTTGCGGAGGTCCTCATGACTTGGGGCGTTGCTGCAGAGGGTTCCGCTGCTGCAAGTGCCGCAGTGGGAGAAGCAACGGCGACAGCAGCTTCAGGGGCAGCAGCAGCGGGCTCTGCTGCTACTTTCTGCACCACTGTTGTTGCCGTTACTCCCTGGGTGTTGCTCGCTGGAGGTTGTGTGTTTGCCGTATTTCGCTATATCAGTAAATTGCAAGAAGTGAGGAGCAAAGTGCTTGTTCTTCCTACAGCAGAGGCAGGGGAAGCAACAGAGATAAGGGAAGCAGACGAAATTGCCTTGAGTGCGCGCAGTGGCCACTGTCTCATCAAGTGGCGATAAGCGCTGGCATGTTACAACGTTTCTCATTGCTAATGGTACCGAAGAGGGAAACGACCGCTATAGGAGAAGCAGCGCAAGGAGGAGTGTGCTTTATGTGTCATATCATTTCCGCCTCCTTTTCGCGTTAATCGTTTATTCCATTTTGTTTTTCTTCTGGTACACTTAAGCTTCTCGTTTGTCTTCTGCCGTATCTTTCATTGCCTTCCTGTTTCGCTCTTGCTGTTACAAGTCTAAGATGCGCAGTGGATAGGAGGCGCCATTGCGTTGGCCCTGAACAGCAATTATTTGGTTTAATACAGGAAAGGATTGGCGGACAGAATATAGCCGATTGCGAATTCTGTTATACAGCCTTCTCGTAATTTTGCGAATATTTACATATATAAGTGGGCATGGGGAGGCGGGGGTGAGTGAACGAGCGAAGGATACGTGGTAAATGTTCTGTCTTCTTTGAACTTTCAACAGATAAGCAGCTGATAGAGCAGCTTGTTTTGCCTTTGGGTACCCTTTAATAATTTACAGTTTCACTCGCTATCCCAGTATCTGACTAATTGACTGGCTAGGGACATGCTTTTCAGAGTAGCTACAAATATATGTATATATATATTTGTAAGTCAGACAGTGCCACAGAACAATTATATCTAATCATGTGCTGGTTTAAATTCCTGGTATGATATGCCCCTGTTTGCTCTCTGCTGGGTCTGAATCAAAGAAAATTCAACTTTCTGACTCCCCAGGCTTCATATTCATCGCGGCCTCGACACCTGAACTTTGCTGAGCCCGTTACTCCCATGATTGATCTAATCCCACTCTGTAGAAGTAGGACAGTCGAGCGACACGGGTCTTTCAGTTAATTACAGTAATGTAAGGGGTTACGTGTAGCTTGAACACTCTAGGTCTAATTGCAGCTTTGCCCCCCGGCGGTTGGCTCCTGGATAGGTTAAATAGCGTCCAATAGGGCATATTGATTGGTCTCTAGTAAGTAAGGAGAAGCTGTTGGGTGAGCCTGTGAAGAGAGCGTAAGTAATCAAGGATTGCAATTCTTAGTAGTCGTGCTGCTCTATTCCCCTGATGCAGTCGAGAAGACGCTACAACTGAACTAGAAACTTTATGAACTGTAGCAGGTACCTTTGCATTTAGGGGAAGCTGGCAGACATAGTCGTATACCTTCACAATACTTAAGCTAGTCTATGATGAATTCCCAAACCTTTACAGGTTACGACTACCTCACGCCTTTCCGCGATCGTACAAGTCGAGGCCACCTAATATGGGAGCACACTGCGACGCGCCTTCTGGGAAAGAAAAAACAGCCATATGAGCTAGCATGCATCCATTTTAAGCATTTCAACGTATCGTTATCTACGTTCTTTGAAGGCTTTAGCCCTGCACCGCAGTCCCACTAGGCCGCTATGTGCACCGAGAGGCACCCGGGGGCCAATGTGCGTGCGTAGTCTCCTTCATACTCATCCTGTTTCATCGAATACTCAATAGATGCACGTATTAACTATATTACAGTGTACAACGAGCCGATATTACAGTGAGAGCGCCGCCTAGCGAGAGAGAAGAATACCGGGTCCCGGCGGCCTGCCAGGTGTCTTGAAGTGCAAAGAAACAGTTCGCCTGGAGTCATCATCCCCAGCCTCTGACTCTATCAAGCATTGGGGGCTAGAATTCGTTGGTGAGCTTTTTAAATGCAGACGAGTGTGAACCATTTGAATCTTAGTATTGCAGCCCTTCCCGCCCCGTGGTCCGTGTCATCTCCAAAAAACACCACCCTGCGCATTTCCATTGTACATAGTCATCCGAGGTGCAAAATTTATGTACATCTCTGCTGCGTGATCAGTTCTAGCGGTATGTGACTGTTGTTTATATGGCCGTTTCGCCTGCCGTGGTCTAAGGCCCAGCTGCATGTCAATTAAGAACCATAAAGATCTGCTGCATCCGAGGAATCTATTCCTAGTTTTTCATCCTACTAAGAATATCCGTGTGTTTGCTCTTTCATATGGCTGTTCTAGCTCTTTATTGGGCTCCTTGTCAGGTGCCTGGTGCGTGCTCTCTTCAGTAACTGTGTGCTCTAAGGTCTCGTCCTATGTCTATGCAAATGGCCCCATAAAAAGGCGATGCGGCTAACTTGGTGCAGCCGCAGATCATACATCGTATTATGCTATACTTATTCAGGTCCACAAGCACAATCACTTTCGTTTCCTCGCGTTCCATCGAAGACCTCTCGAGGGGAAGATGTGGGATAGGAAGTTCGTGATTCGCAATGCAGACATGCCGGATGAAATGCAGCAGGACGCGATTGACTGCGCAAACCAGGCACTGGAAAGATACAACATTGAAAAGGACATTGCTGCACACATTAAGAAGGAATTTGATCGGAAGCACAACCCAACATGGCACTGCGTTGTGGGTAGGAACTTCGGCTCTTATGTAACTCACGAGACACACAACTTCATTTACTTTTACATTGGACAAGTTGCAGTTCTTCTCTTCAAGTCAGGCTGAACAGACCTGCTCTGTTGCCCTTCTAATGAGAATGACAACACCCTGGCCTTTTCCAGTGGTCATCCCATATACGGCAATCTTCGCCTGCGGCTCTTCGATGAAGGATCTAGCGTTCGTCTCGCGAAGGCACTGTCAGATTTTTTCAGGAAGGGTGCTTCTTCTTCCTATTTAAGGAGAGGGGTCCCCCGGGGTTGATGGGAAAGATGAATGGGCGGTACAGTCGGCGATTGTACTCCGGGAAGGAAACAGCTTGAACTGAAAGCCATACGCACAGAGGGCAGAAACAGAAGGAAGGCTTCCTGCATGGGCAGTATATGATTAGAAGCGTGCTTGTTACCCCCCAGTGTGTTACTACATTGTAGGGTGCAACCAGACTGCAACGCATGCAGGGCATTCGCCGCCTCTCTTCCTGCCCCGCTCCAGCTTCGCGGATAGAGCTGCCTGAGCAGCAATTAGGGGTTTTGTGTTTGTGCAAGAACCCCAATTCTAGGCGCGCATACTTGAGGCGCGCTAACAACTCTCAATGCACAACGCGAAACTGGGGTTGAAGAACTGAACGTCTGTTTCTTGCTCAGAAAAATTGCGGTTTATCTAAGCTGTTATTCTTGTCCACACCGTGTATGTGCCATTTCCTAATTACGCTGGCGAGCTTAGGGCACTTCGCACGCTGCACTTTTGGGGCAGGGCCGCATGATCCCTATACCTCTGCCCCGCAACATGCAATGCACAAAAAATAGCTCAGTTCAAAAGGTCTGCCAGCAAGCGTTATTCAGTGTGTGCTTTGAATACCGTAGTATAGGTGCGCTCAAATACGGTGGCCCAAAAGATTTCTGCGACAACGCAGTAAACTGTAATCATTGCCTCGAGGGGAACACACTTTAAACGAACACATTACAATACAGTGAAAAGCTATTAGCCAACGGCGAGGTAACAACGCGCTCACACTGCTAGTTCAACAACGCATTCACAGGAAGATTCTTGACGAGCCTGTTGGCAAGTTCAACTTCCACGCACAACTATGAGTCGTTGTACGCACGCTATCTAGAAGCAATCATTCAAACATCGGCCCGCCACCAGTATTTGGCTCCCCTAGACTCTTTGGCTTTCCCCTAACCCCGCGAGCAAGATGTCAGCTTCTGACAACTGGACTTTCTGGGGATGGAAATAAGGTGTTTGCACTTCTTCTCTGGGCCCGGGAATGATGGCGAGGTCTTTTGTCTGGAAGGAAGCCAGATGGAATTCTCTTGACCTCTTAAGCGCTGCTGCAGTTGCCCGACCGCTCCTAGTTCCTATGAATTTGACCAAGATCACCGGGAGAAGCAGAGCGACAGCACACAGCCCAACATCCCAAATTATATTTTCTATGGCGACGCGCCTTAATTCTTGGTAATGAGATTCGGCTACATTCTGCCATAGCAGCTGCAGGTATGTAATGCGCCCCTCCGTAGATTCTTGGTTTTCTTGTGGCAGGGGCAGGCTGGCGAATCCCCGCGACGCAGAAGCTGCACTGCTATCTGGCTTCGCCTCCTTCCCATCGACAGCCTGCATATGGGTTTGGTTAGGCTTGCTGGCTTCGTTACCAACATGCGACAGGCTCTCTGGTGGTAGTGGGTGATCACCGTCTGGTGGCGCCTCCGCTCTTGCACCTCCAGTTTGAAAGGTTTTTCCAAACTTGAGGTATACAACGTCCTGAGGAAGGGGGACCTTGTGGAATGGATGAAACTTGCCACCTGAATCAGTAAAAGTGAATATTAGCTCGGCGTCCTTGCAGTTTTTTAGCTGAAGTACTTGACGTCGGAAATGACTCAGGTATTTCAGTGGTACATGTACAATAAGCTTAGAGTCTGTTTCTATGAACGTCAGGTACTTCTCCTTAGTGTGTGTTCTGCGGTCTTTCCGGCCGCGTGCATACACCTGCAACACTTCCGCTGAGATGACATTTAAAAGCTTATCTTGTTCGGGTGTCCAGATTTCAGCCTCCAGCATATTTTGTCTCGCTGTATTCTCCTCCCTGGCTTTCAGCTCCTCCGGAAGGCTCATGCTCCATTCTCTTTGCATGGTAAAAAGCGAGAGATCTGCTACGACACTAGATGAAATGTCGTATTCTGTTTTGATTAACGAGTAGAATGATTTACTAATCTTCAATGCCGGTGCATAGGCCAGAGCCATACCCACAACCCCACGACGGACTAGGCCAACCGCGTCCATAAGGACTGAAACACAAGAGACGCAACAGACCGATAACGGCACCAAACGCGGGAAAATAAACAAAACCAGCAGTGCTGCATCCGGGATGATTCCACTGCATGTACCCTATGAGGCGTGTATACTTTAAGCTCTAAAAATACGTAGTTGCAATTTCGTTATAGTTTCTACCCGTTTAATGACGATATATATGTCCTAGAGCGAGCGAGAAATACTTGCAAAAAGAAACAAACGATCGATAGGGCTGCAAGCGGTTCCCTTACGAGATTTCTTGTCGATGCGAGTACGATTAATACAGTCCAAAACAACGGGCTCATTGAATCCCTTCCTCCTCCTCAAGAAGCAAGGTCCGATTGGCAGAGTCCCCATCTGCGTGATCCGGGGCACTTCGTCGGCTTGTATCCATTCCCCTCTCAGTTCCATATCCTCTATCTCCGCGTCTTGCAGTTGCTGCTCCTCTGCGTACAGTGCTGCTAGCTCTAAAGTTAGCCACTGCTCACTCCCCAGGTTAGACGTATATACAGGCAGAACCCGAGTAGGAGGCAAAGTGACGGAGATATTCTCCAAAAGCCTCAGACGCACACCTATGCCCATTGAACGCAGGACGTTAGGGAACAGCTCCACCTGCACTTCCACTGTCCATGGACCGGGCAGAAACTCTGCGAAGAGAAGTTACAGCCAGAGACAGAGACACTTCATGAGGCAACAAAGGTGCAGAAAGTGCAGAACAAACAACGCCCAGCATAAGCACCAACCAGGGCAGACCAAGACGCTAGGAGTTCAATTCAGCCAGTCTATCGAAATTGTATTCGTATCTTTTTTGTATCGATTAGCTGCATGAGCAGCGATGCGCGGGCATAGTCTAGTGGCTATGGCGTGTGCCCGGGAAACAGTGACATGCGACAAACATTCGTGAGCTGTCAAGGTGGAAGACGAGATAGATTTAAAGCAAGAACAGAGAATCGTTTTATTAATGGATCCTCTATGATTTGGATGAGCCAGTTGGAAGATGCGAGTCATAAAAAACTAATATTATTCCCTGAAATACTATTTCCATCATGTGGAGTTTTGCACCACATGGGTGAAATCGCGCACGCATAAATCTTTGGATCCTCTGCAAGAAGAAGCTTAATCGCAGTGGACAAAATACGCGAAAGTCGCTGCACTTACCAACATTAAGGGCGGTTTCTTCTGTTTCCCTGGAGAATATCAGCTGCTGCCCCTTTTTCAAGCACAGGAGAGTTGCTGTATCGCCTGCTTGGGGAGGCACGAAGTCATCAACGAACTCTGACCTACGGGTTGGCGACAGCGGTAAGGCCTTTGGCATTTGAGATGAGAAAGCTTCCGGGATGGGAGAAGTGTAATCTAAGTGCGCAAAGAAGTAAGGGGAGCCCTGAGGGCTTGCTTTTTCCTCGACTGACGACAGAACTGCCTCAGCAAACCACGGGGCCGCTGTACATTCAACATACCACGTCGGAAATTCCTCCTCCGCGGGGTGACGTGCAGCCTTTCGGATCGCCGCACCGAATTGCTTGTTCAGCGAAGAGCACGCGTCTACGTGGCGCCCCTGCGGGGGCAGGGAAAGACAAGCTGTTGAGCCGGTTGTCGCAGTATCTGTCCCCCCCTGTGGCTTCTCCGCAGCCGAATACGCATCCCCAGCCGCAGCTGTTGGCGCCTTGAATAATTCCAAGTCAATCCAGCGGATGCACTCTGTTGCTCGTCGCTCGGCAGCCACATCCCCAACGTATCTGCTTAGGACACTTGCGAACTCCGGGCTCTCCAGCATCTCCAGTGGGAAATCAGCAAACTCAAGAGCCACGGCAGCTGAAGCTTCCCCTGAGATTGACGCCTCCACTAAATGCCCACCTTCGGACTCCAGGATAACGTCTTTGATCTCATGGGCACAAAATACACAAAGCACGAAGACCATCAACACCCTCATGCTGCCCACCGCCTGTGCGAACATTGGTAAGCATACCATGGCACTCGCAATCGCAGAAAGCACGTTGCGGTTCTCACTCACTAGCAAACAGTGAGCCCCTGTGGTGGACGCGTACTCGTTCCCAAGGGATCGAGGGGTGGCTATAAAAAGCTAGCAAATGTGCAACCACCTCGAGCTATACCTCAATTCATAATGCTCGCTCTCGTGCTTGGTTAGCGCTTGCTGTATAGCACTTTGATGGTAATAATGCACACGCGCCTACGTCCCTGCAGAATTTCCCCCCACCTTCCCAGTATCACGATGTAGCAAAAGGAGTGGTTGCTGCATGGCGGAGCATCTTAGAGGTGCTATAGGAAGCCATGCAGTACTGAGTTGCCTTTTGGGAGGAAAAGAAAGGTCTAACACGACCCCTGATCGAAAATCAGCACGCCCCGTGCTGGCACGTCCATTTAGGTAACGAGTTCTCCCTACCAGCGCTCTGTGTACTAATGCTTCTTGAGAATTCACATGATATAGCCACTAGAAAATGCCGTGCAGTGCGCATATATAACTTTCAGCCAGAGGAAGAAATCTTTCAGGGAGGGTCCAGAAATCGTCGGTTGCATGAGTAGCCCCAGCTCGCACTGGCTGATGGAAAAACAAAAGCAGAGGGTGGAGATCTGTTGATTGCTTTTGCAGACTATCCATTATACGCATTTTTGTGCTATAATAAAAGGAAAACCATGGGTGCTACATATGTTCTCGGTACAGTAGCGACGGAATATGTGACATTGGCTACGTGTTCTTCCAGCAGGTCCGTAAGGATCCACGCAAGTCTTATGCTAAGGCTTTGAAGTACCTCTGCATCATTCAAGATACCCATGATTTGATACGGTGTTAAGGCTACCTCACTTTTAGTGCGTGCAACTTAGGTTTAGCCTGTCAGAAAGTCGATTGCCTTCAAAGCTGTGGCAGGTAAAGGTAAACCCAAGCACCTTTTACAACACTGGTATCATTTTGCACGGAATTAGCTGAAAATTGACAAATTAGTGTGCTTACCGTATATCACGCTCATTGCGCATTAATCTAGGGCCAAAACAACAAGGTGCAATGTTGTGGGCGTATGTATGAAAGGCTATGTGTGGAATACTCTATTTAGGATCTCCCTAGAGAGACACTTAACTCAACACTTCATGCAAAACTGCTAAAAGGTTGCTAGGTGGTTTTAAAAAAAACTCCTGACCTTTCCACCCCTTCGCCTTTCAAGGGTTCCCACATTAGGAAACTGGGACAGCTAGGGTACGATTAGCTGCGCTCTCAAAGCACTCCAAGCATTCACAGGTACCTGCATAGAGTATCTAGTGCACATGCACACAGCACGGTTTCTTCTTAGGACGAGCTAAGAATACACTGCAACGGCTAGTATATACGAACAAAGACAATTTCTTGAAGTAGTAGGAGATTGAGTACAGCTTATCCCACTGTAGCTTTCCTCCTCCGTGTTCTTCAATACACCCTCTTACTCTATGCGTCTATGCAATACACAGCTACGTGCAAGACATAAGAAGAGCTCTTGCTTTAGCGCTAGTCCTCGACTACGCGGGAGGCTAAAACCATGCAAATAAGAAATAGAGGTGTACTTCAACGATTACGCCTAAATTGTTCGTAAGAAAACACATTCGCTAACTGACAACAAATAAAGGACTCAGTTAAACCAACCGCCGCGGTGTGGAGGGCTCGTTGAAAAATTTGTCTTTTCCCTGCTACGAGGAAACACAAGACAAGTGAACTTTGATATAAGAAATCAAAATACGTTCTAGTTCAGCAGTTCCTGTGTGCCTCGTAGAGCAGTCTCTGCATGCCGATGCACCTGGTGCGTGTGACATAAGCAATGCAAAAGCCCCACAGGGGCATCTGGAAAAATGAATGCACAGCACACCCCTAAGTGCCAGCGCATACATGGGCATATACAAAAGAGTTAAGCCATAATAACCAGGAACACTTCAAGCAATACCAGTAGGCGGATGTAGCTCTTTAAGGCAGCACCTGCACCGGCGAAAGAAAATTGGCAAGGGACGCGAGGACCACCCTCCAAATCGACTAGCATTGTGAACCGAGCAGAGCCACAGATTCTCCCTCAGACAACGAAACCAGCAGTTGCTATGCAATCAACCACTGAGGCTGGGGTGCCCCACGAGACTCCATTAAAAACTCCCGTGTGGTGTCTTCTACGCTCCATTGCTCTAGGATCCAGTACCTCTGTGGCTCCCTGTGGATCCTCCGCTCTACACGAGTCACTTGCCTCCACAGCAGCCCCCAAACAATCTAAGAGCTTCAAAACTTTGCTGCAAGGCCAGCCTTCATAGTTCTGTTGCAGCTACAAATTTAGAGAGAAAGATTGAGCACTGATTTGTGGACGGATCACACTTAGTCCTAGTTATCCAGCCGCAAACGCCTTCGTCTGCTTACTTAGTGGTGCACCTTGTAGAACCTGTCGATTCATCATATCCATTCTTAAAACACACTGCTCAGCGCCGCTAATCATAACTTCTTGGCTGCCTTCCTTAGGTTTTTGTGTATATGCTCGCACGTCGGCTGTTCACTAAATCCCTCCGCTGCATAACGCGGCTGCTGACGTTGGACAGCGAGGTACATGACCGGATCAGAGAGCGGCTGCTCGGTGTAGTAGAGGGATGAGGGAGGAACACTGGCTAGACTAGTTTATTATTGAATCAAAAATCCACTTAACACAAGAAAGAGAGCGCACCCAAAATCTCAAACTTCCGTGAACGTAGAGTTGGGAAAATCTGCAGAAGAATGTGTTTGGTACACTGCGACTCTCTATTAGCCTCGGGGTAGCTTGCATTGGTTAATTTACGGTAAAGGTGTAGGCGAGTCATTATGGTACGCCAGAACGCTCAAACAAACTACTTATCCATCTCCCGAGACCATACACTTGGAGAAACTTCGAAGCTTCCAGATAAAAGATTAAGAAAATCTGAGTGGCTTTCCAGTCTGTGACAGAGCCGAACCATGGGTTCAAGAATTGCCATATTTGCTTAGTCTGCTGACAACGCCGTGCATGCTATCGTAACCCTCTACTTCCGGCAGTCGAACAAGTCAGTCCACTGTCAAATCAGTCATAATCCCTCCAGGAACGGCAAGGCATGGCAAAAACCCAGGCTTCGAAGAATTTTGTGTTTTCATCTGCTGATCGTCTGGACATAACAGTGCATATTTCTCTGCTGCTGGAGTCACCGCAGACCACCGAAAAGACCGCGAGAGTTTCCCTGCTGTGGTGTGAATCTCACCATGGCCAGAACAAACATGATCATGTGCTTTGCGCAAACAGCATTGTGGGGAGAAGTGGGAATGTATACGCCACGGAGTCCTCACCTTGTTTTGAACCACAACAGGCCATTATAAAAGTAGCATGCTTCACTGTTTGGCATTCTGGAATTGGATATTAGTAGCCGCTGATACATTCCTACCAAAAAGGCAAATTGCACTCGTAGTTTAGACAGCATCTGTAAATGCTCACATACAAGTACGAATGTGCTGCACAATGGTGAAACCCAGGGGTGTCGCGGGAGCGCATTGGTAACCAAATTAGTGATCCACCAAAACCATATCACTGGAAATCACTTCGTTCACTGAATAGCTCTAGAGTTACTAGCGTCCTCAAAACTTTCTGTAGGGTACACATTAAAGGATGGTGACCAGCCTGTACAGTAAAATGAAGCCCACATACAAAGTGCCAGCTCTCTCAGGCCCCATCACACCGCGGCAAGTCCCATTTTCTGGACTGGAAACCGCTGTACAGGTCATGGTGAATCGATAAAAACAACAAGCAGTTACTTGGTTTTAAAAGGAATCGGTAGCCAGTTGATGGAGTCTAGCGCCTGACTCTATGTCACGAGCATCGGATGCGTGAGGAAATGACGCTCATACTCGGGCAGCGCGAGTACCGGAGGCGTTGTAGGCAGGCAGGCGAGCGTTCATTGATGCAGCATCAGCTTCCTCTGTCCAAATTGTAGACTGAATTCTGTGCGTAGACCAGTCAAATGAGCAGCGTCCCCAGCAAAACCAGGAGTGAGACTTTGGTAATAGATTTAAGTCCATGAAGCTTTCCAGTAACCTTGCTGGTGCACATTGGTAAACAGCTTGCCTTGACTTCTGCGCGTTCGGCCCAATTCGGCTCAATGCACGCAGGTGGAATACGTAAAAATAGGAGCACAATCTGTCTCATGAACAATTAATAGTTGTGTGTTTTGCGTAGCACACCACCTGAAGCGCACATCGTATTTTTGTGGCTGCTGTTGAACATCACCTCTCTATGAAAAGACCACAGGGCTCCTGAGTAACCTGTTAATGTGGTCTACCTGGGTATTAGCAACTCCAAATGACATACATATATTCTGGGGTTTACAGGTGCGAGGTTGAAAAACCAATGAGTGCCTGTTATCTGGCTGACTGTAAATAAAAAACTGCGAGGTCAACTATCTAGCGGACTGCTAATCTTTTAGTTTGTCACCTGATTTGCCAAGCTGATACATCGGGAGCATCTGAGTCACCGAGAGGCTTCAAACTAACCCTCCTGCTCTACCCCTCCTCCCTTTTCGCTACCAACACCAGAATATGCCCCAGCGGCGATGGTTTATTCCTGCAGTTTGCCCTTTCGTCCAGTAGTTCGTCCACCTGCCAGTCAATCTCCGCTTCATCCTGTGGGGCGTTTGAAACTATAGAGACTAACTCGAGGCTCAATAATATATTACTCCTCTGGGTGCGCTCTAAGACCGGCGGGTGGCTTGCTTGCGGCAGCCCCTCAGTAATTCACTCATGCATAGACGCCTATACAATATTTACCCATTTATGTTGTTCCATCACAGCGTACCTTACAAAATGCCGTCCGTTGATGCACTAAAACAAGTTGCGTGCTCAGAGCCGTCGTGTCTTACTGCTTTTGTCAGCCCGTACGAAGGGTCTGCCTCGCCTTGTTTATGCAGAAATTCGACGCGGCTTGTTAATGATGAACTGAATTTAAAAAAGCGACAAGAGGAAACTTCAGCTTGCTGATTCTCTGAAGCAATCTCTAAAACACGCAGATGTGGCCGCAAGCGCTCCTTCTATTGGAAAACCGTGGCAAAGCCACAATTACGTCGTGGTGCTTGGGTGTAGAGTAGAGGCCTCAGGCCATGGTGAGAGCACCCATTCCCAATTTGGGACGATATGCAAGTGTCCCACCCCTTTGTTAATCCTTGTATTCCGCAAATGTATAGCAAACTCGAGGACTAGGGACTGCGCTAACCATTCAATAGGCAGAATTCACTGTTATGTGGCCTGCTCGAATTACATATCCACTCGATGTCCGGCTCCAAGTAACACAAGCAGTTCTTGCTCATTTTTGTGGGCGTTAACGGGCACAGAATCTACCTGCGGTGAGCTCCCAAAGGCAACTCTGCCCTAAGGGGCTTGTATTGACGCATGAACTGTAGTAATCACTGCAGCCAGGCGACTTCCCCAGAAACCTTGCCACTATTGACGGCCCGCTCATTCTAGTGAGTAATCCGCACGTTCCACTTGTTCTTCTTCATCTCGGGAGCACAAAATCGAGGTACATCTCCGATGGGCCGATGAAATGTTCGTTTCTGTTAATCTTTGCAGCCGTCAAACTTTTGCGCCCGACAGAACCTCATCGGCTCATTCATAAACATTTT